CTGGATCCAGAATTATGCAGCCCAAGTGTTATGTCTACGTTATGCTTATGTCATCTCGTTGTTCAGGATGTAGGAGTACTAATTGGTAATCATTAGTAATCGATTAGTCATCAGTAGTAATCACTATGTCATGCCAAGCTTTATGCAACCTTATCATGTCAAGTACCTATCAACATCAAGTATCAAGCCAATGTCATAATTATGTAATTATGACTCATGTTTCAAATTGCGATTCATTATGTTTACCCATGCTATGCCCATGTCTCGGCACTTATGTCGGCACCTCCTGTCAAGTATAAATACCATGTCCCTCTCCCCCTCCATCCTTTCCAGTTGTAGATTAACTTGTATATTTTATTCTCACGTACTTCAAGATAACCGTTTTGTTAAATAAATCCTCTGTTGAAATCAAGTTCTTGACAGTAATGCTTCTCTAGTAGTCATGACTTTCTCCATTTCATAGCCAATACTTGGAAGAGCTGATGCCACAAAAATAGCCTTCTTGGTACCATCGTCTGTAACGCCTGCTGCTCTGAACAATTGCCTGAGTCGATTGCTGATTCCCTCAACATCTTCACTGATTTATCAGAAATAAACTATTTACAAAAAAGAGTATGAAATTAATCAGGTAAAGAATATCGTTTATTACATTGAAAATAAGAGAATTTATGTACTATTCAAATTGAGGGATTTGATGTGATGATAAGGTAGTAGATGGGTTGGTTTGGGTGATAGAATAATAGGTTGGATCTATTATCCTGAACATGCCATGATACGGATCGTAACTGAGTCCTGTTTTATGTCAAAGTTTATGATCTGATGCGATCTGTGCTTGAACTGATTGCTTCTACGCATTTGGAGAACCGATTTAGAAATGATACATCACTCAAAATCAAAAAACAGTTTGTACATCCAGGTCCTCATAGATAAAAGATATAGAATCATGTAAAACTAAAATATGTTTTAGAATTGTTAAGCACAAAGAATAAAAGGATTATTATTTGTAGCTTATAAAAAATGTTCGATATTATAAAAACAAGAAAAGACTTATTTGAATAAGATCAGACACAAAAACTAAAGATTTATTGATGAAGACAAGAGTTATTCTATTTATACTAAGTTCTGAATGCCAAAGTAGCAATTTATCTTGTACAACGCTTATCACATCGGTGAACCTCAGTATTTAAATAGCTGATGCAGTGAAATCAGGTTTAAATAGATTTCACAAGAAAAATAAAGCAATAGTAAAATACAATAGAAATCAACTGTATTTTATTTTGTGTATAAAATGAACTGAAGATCCTGGAATTGAGTAAAAAAAAGAAGAGTATTTATACATTTGCATCTGGCTTGTAGGATTAGTGATGATAGAGAGCAATAGGTGCTGCTATTGCGATATCTGGCAAATGTTGTTGATGTTTGATTTAAAGTGGTAATCAATGCAAGAGCACTGGCCATAAGGGTCGATTTGAGTAACCTTGATGGGCTTGGGTGAGCTATCGTCATAGCATGATTTAATGTAACCTTGATGGTTTAAAGTGTGATGTTTGTTATTGAAGTATGGAATCCTTTATCTGGAATATTGTGCAACTATGGCAGCAGGGCATAGTTGTCATATTTGAATATGCTTGTTATTGATTTGATTCTTTTTGGATAAAGATACCATCACTTATTACGACCATCATGGGTGTGATTGAATACACTGTGATCAGGAGTGATTCATTCACACGATGTGCGATATAAGCGTGTATCTTTACTTTAGTATTTTTAAATGGGTTTTTGATGCACATTTGAGCGCTTTCATTAATAGATCCAAATAGCATGAGTTTGAATGAGTGCTATTTGATGAACTTTGGTTTTCAATTAAGTTGCGTTTGGGTGGCTATTTCATTACAGCTGAGATGCACTTCACTTATCATAGCTTGTCCATGTTGTTGCACAACACAGACATATCTACCCATCAAGAATACCTTAATCTTTATAGACAGTTGTAGCCCTTCTGGCACAACAAGAATAATGATATTGGACCAACTTCTAAGTGGGAACATTATATTATTGGAAATGTTTGCTTCATGAGATAATCAACATTGGAGATGCTATTTTTAAGCGGGGGAATATGCATGCTTTAAATTGCAAATCCTATTATAATTGAACAAAGCAAGCTACAACTATCTAACTTTAAAAGCAAGATTCTCCATCATGTCAAGTATCTACTGATAACTTGAAACCAGCAAGTTAATATTGTTGTAACTGTCTGAAATACGTGAGAATGGATATGTCTTTTTATTTTCAGTAAAATCAGATAGAGAGAAAAGGGAAGGGTGAATGTCTACTGCTATTTATATGTATGATTTATGGATTGCTTACACACCCGTCTAGAATGGTGTTCTCATGCTAAGTTTTAGTGTCAATCCTCACTTATGCTAAATGGTAATTATTTCAGATATAGATAATCAGTCTAAATATCTTTAGTAGCTCTTGGCAACGTTAATTACTTACATTCCTTATCTGCTATCTTTTGACATATAGAGAATAGCTTATCGAAACTTAGCTTATGTGAATATCATGATTATCGTTTACATGTTGAACAGCTTATTTACATATGCTCCATATGTGCATAGTTTATTGCTCAATTCAATCTACGACATTATGATTCAGGAACAGTTATATGTGTGAATACAACAAATATGACCTTTTTCGTTCGCTCCAATTTTTAAAGTGCTCGGTCAAATGCATGCTTGTGCGGTGTACACATGCAAAGGCTAAACGGAGCTTCAATTTATATTGTTCTGAATGATGATCCATAGGATTCCAAAATCTATCGACCATAAAATTACGCGTTTCTTGATAGTAACCATCCCTTCAAACTTATATAAAGCTTGTAGAGAATTGCAAGGAGAATACAATGGTATTTATATCAAGTCTCCGATGTACACTGCTCACCTGATATTTGATACGATTGTTTTTACAATTTTTCGACTGTTTTCTAAAGATTAATCAGTATCTGTTATCAAAACATTTTGTTAAGCATTACTAAACACTGTAGACCAACAAATTTCCTATCAAATGAGCTATTGCCTGAAGCTCTGGCATAACTTTATCATGAAATATTGACAACATTGTCCTGACCAAAAAAAGGTCACCCCGTTTTTTAGCTTGCTATCACAGGTAGGTTCTGAAGAAAAATCCATGATTTTGCATGATACCCCTTTTAGGCCATATCTCGACAAATAATCATTGGATTTGCACAAGACAAAGACCATACAATAGTTCTATGTTATATCCATTATAATATGAGAGTTTAAAGTACCAGGTGTACGTCCCCTTCATAAATTTGCTGAAAATCATATATTCTATGAGCTACAAGCAGGGGATATTCAACTTTTTTTCTTATTTATCTATAATAACCATGCCATCTTATAGAGAATTGAAAAAGAAACAAAAGTTATTAAGTTTGAAGCTCTCGTTTACTTGGTAAAATTCAGAGATATGGCCCTTTGAAAATCGGTCATTTGGAACATTTTCCCTCATTACTCACTGGCATCACTTTCCATAACCTCACATCAAACACGTCCTATTCAAAAAAAGTACCCTCTACAACTTTCACTACACATACATACCACATTCATATAGTAATTTAAAAACTTTTACTAGCAGCTTCTATTCAAAATTTTCTATTTTCTAAAATCTCCTGGAGAAGCCTGATTTTTGATGGATTGAAGAAAAAAGGGGTAACCAAGGTTAATATCATAATGACCCCATCACACAGACACCTTTCTCTTTTTTTTTTCACTTACCACGGTAATGCAGTGGTATCAGTTCCTTCATCCATAAAGTTGACAACTCATTTTCCGCTGGCAATCATTTGAGTTAATGTTGGCCAAGTTCCCATATTCCTTTACATGAGAGTATTCAGCCAGACCACTGGCGATGCTTACGATTTGTGTATTGAGAAACTTAAGAGGTGTCGCACCATAACGTAATTTTGTTTATACATCACTCAGGTCTGTACGCCTGAAAGAGAGTCTTTGATAATGGCTTGAGTTGTTCCTTGAGCTGCAGCGGGAGGCCTATGAGGTAAATGATTGCTGTTGCCAGTGTCCAGCCGTGATATTGGTCCGATAATGGCAATACTGCATAGTGCTGATGAGAAGAGGATAAGCATATGGATGTGCTTCTTTGTGGGTTATGTTAAAGCCTACTTTTGTTCAGGTTTTGTTTCGTTTGCGCTGGGACCTGTTGTAGATGGTTCTCCTGTTTTTGCTCTCTTTTCGTTCTTTCCGGCTTCGTGATTATAAACTATACACTTTAACCACTGATTGAAGTTCGTATCAGGAATTACTACGAGGGTAAAACCTTCTAAATGTAGACCGCACAGTGAGCTGTCCATATGATATCCCAAAACTTGGGCTTACATCACCAATATACATCATCAAATTACCCTTTTTCGAATTATTAGCGCTGATTTTAGCACTGTGTTAGGGCAGATATTCGGTGATCGTCATTGTTGTACAAGTTCCAGAAGTTTATTTCATGCATCGCCCAGTGATCAAGTTTCACAACATGCTACTATTGAAGGCAGATCTCTCATGAAGCAACCATGTCAATATTTGTGATGTTAATTGTTGTATATAAACAAGATTTCTCAGTTGATACGACGAGATAACCTTGCTCGTTGAAAGAAGACATAAAGCTACCTTGCATCAGTAGACTGGGGCTTGGAATAACTCAGGTATAATCTTCTTCCGATATACAAGAGCAGCTACTAATACAAGCACATCAACAAGCGTAATGACAAGCTTGGTTGGCCTTATACTTGGCATCTTTTGTTCCTTATCAAGCAGAAAGACATAAATGATTAGCCTCAATCTTTTACGCGGCATTCCAATGCGTTCTCGTATTCAGCTAAAATGCTCTTGATTAAACTAAAACAAACAACCAAGCGAGTAGTGTTTTAGTTTGCTTCTTTTCCCCCCTTTTTTTTTCACAATACATACATCATGGCAAAAAGAGAAACTTGCTTATGGATATTTCCTGTTCGATGGGCAGTGTTTGTTATATCATTCCTCGTAGCTGTAAGTTGCGCCAAAGGCTATCTCTGTTCATTCGACCAACTCCTGTAATTTTATCAATATTAGGGTGTATCAGGTGCTTTTATCGCCATCACATTTTTACACAGAAATCGTAAAGTAGTACAACACGTCAAGTTGGAGACTCTATTAACAAAGCTATTCAATCTGTAGCCATGATGATCCATCTTGCTGTTATCCATGCGGCGCTGCCTTGGGTGTACATTATCATTTTAGGTATGCAAATGGTATCTAGCAAGCGCTTGTCCTTACTAACAACACTACGATAGCCGTTACTGGAGTGATTGGCATCTTTGGTCTATTAGCCAGTCTTTCTGTAAGTTATCTCACTTCAAAACTATGCCAATGCAGACCTTAACACAATGCGCATTCTATTATAACAACAGGGAAGTCATGGATTTATGGTCATGTACAAAATCATGTTCTGGTTAATGACGTTTTTGATTGTTTACATTTGGCAAATCATTATATTCATTTTGGCCCTTGTGAACCGAGCAAAGACAACAGAAGCGTGTAACAAAGCGAATCCCAACCAAGATTACAGCCAAAATGACAATGCCAATGTTACCATTGAAGGATACACAACTACTTTATTGGGCTTGAATTACGGTGAAACCTATGGCCTTGCTAATTGTGATCAAGCAGTAGAGGCAGGTATCATTGGGATTGCCATCTGCCTATTTGTAGGCGGGCTATTTATGGTAGGTTTTACAATAAGAAAAGCCCAGCAGCATACTCATTGCAATGATGTAGACTTGGTTTGCATTCACCGTCAACAAATGTGCCAGAAGCTTAGATACCAACAGTATGGGATCCCGAGCTAGAAATGCTCGATGGGATGATGATTTGGACGAACTGCAATCCGCCTATGCAAAGGACAGAAAAAACGCACCCAAATACCCTTTGAAGGACATGAATGGACCTAGTAAATTTTCGAGGGGCCTCATGAAGATGAAACTTAAAAAGAGCCGTAAATAAATCCATTTTATTCATCATCGTCGTCAGACAACATCAGTTCAGCCAATTCTCTTTCTTCTTCTTCTGTCATGCCCGTCTCCTTTTTCTTTTTCTCCTCCTCCTCTGCTGCTAGTCTCTTTAATTTAGCCTCTCTAGTTTCGTTGTATTGCTTGATAGATGCTGTTGTAAGCGGCCACTTTCTGATGGAGCAATCCAAGGATCCACTGTATAATGTAGTGCCAATGATGTCCAAACAGCTCACTTCATCAAAATGACCTTCAATGGTGCAAAGCAACTTTCCCGACCCGATATCCCACACACGAATGTCATCATCACTAGAGCCGGTGACAATGTAAGGACCTGCAAGCACAATGGATTTGACTCGGTCGGGATGGGTCAATACCATATCTTCCACGCCTTGCTGATTGAATCGTCTGACAGTTTTATCTGCTGAAGCTGTCCAAACATCCTCGTCCCACACACGCGCACAATAGATACTGGTTTCATGACCCTCAAGCGTGCTGATGACTTGAAAAGTGCTGAGATCCCACTTCAATACTGTACCATCGGAAGAAGCAGAATATATGAACTTGCTGTTTTCAGCAGCTGCCAAACTCTCAATGGCACGCTTGTGTTTCTTTTCGACTGCTGTGCATTCCAAGGTACGAGTGTCCCATCGACGAAGGAAGCAATCACTGGAACCTGAGTAGAGGAAGTCGCCCACCAAGACTAGCGATTTTACAAAATCTGTATGGCCTTCCAATGTTGCAACACATTCTCCACTAACCAGATCCCATTGCTTGATTGTTTTATCCCAGGAGCCTGTCCACAAATGTAATTTCGTAACAACTACACTGGTAACTGGGCCCTTGTGTCCTTTGAACAACTTGACAGTTTTAGAAGTCTATCATAATAGTCCATGAGTATGCCTTACTAATGCTTCATTCTATGCTCATACTTACAGCCAAGGATAGCTTTCTCACTTGGAAGCCTGATTCAGCTACGTACATGTACTTTTGATCGCTGTCGATACACATATCAAGCGCTTTTGACGCCAACTTGATAGCATCACCTTCTGTGTAGTTGTATTTGGCTTCTTTTTCTTTTTGCTTTGCAAGCTCAGCATCTGTTTGGAAGAAGGCGCCTGATTCTTGGCTCACGTTGACCATGTTGTTGCTGTGGAGAGAGGTATATTTTAGTTGAATGAAAAAGCAACAGAAAAAAGGGACTTGTTAACAGGATGATTGAAAGGCAATTTCGCTCATTCAAACAACTGTGCAACTATACCTTTGAAATCCTATTTCGTATACAATCACCTGTCGAATAAGGCAATTTGCAATTGATATGACTATGCTATCTCTGTGAGCTTTGTTTGTTTATGATCTATTATGCAAAGTAGAGAGACTAAGAGGCTGGTTTTCTGGATCTCATCATTCTATTTGTTTCAAGATATTTCATATTTTGAAGGTATCCATCATCGTGTTACATGTCTCTTTCGAGAAGGTTACATGATTATCCCCAAAAAAAAACGCAAGGTAACATTTTTAAAACTGAACCCAATTTCATTGTAGAAAATGCAACAATGCCCTTCAGATAATAACAAGGTGACTAAATGGATATGAAAATAGAGGTAGCGTGTTAAATCATCCACTGTAAACAGTAATGCCGCCTCAAAGCTGTCCTAATCAGATAGATATATATCATAACATGATTGATTTCCACGAGGCAGATAAAGGGCCTATTTTAAGGACCATGTTGCTTGTGAAATACGTATTGCTACAATGAAAAGGGGGAATGATATCAAGTAGACTTTATTTAATTAATAGAAAATGTCATGTGTGGCACTGGTTGATTTGTGTCTTTGATGCTTTGTGAAATGTAGATGCTCTTCCTTATGACGATCGACAGCAACCGCAGTACTGAGACTACGTTTGACAAGAAAGGTATTGGTCCTTGTGTATTTTGGAAATGCGGGTTTGGTGGATTGAGTAGGTACAGGTGGTGGAGGTATGCTAAATTGATTTGGTTTATAATTTAGGTGTATCGATGGCGACTGATCTATTGCCAGATGGTCATCTTCATCACTATGATTTTCATCGCCAAAAGGACTCTTTAAAGGCGGCTCTTCTGCTTGATTGAAAGGATTCGCAGTAGACAATTCTTGATTTCGAACAGAAGGTGACTGATAGACAAACTTTTGTGTCAACAAGAGAGATTGCCCTGTATTTAATTCATGCAATGAGAGTGAAGATCGAGATGAATGCAGTTGATCTTCCGGTATCATGATGGGTGCTGTCGCTTGTAATTCGTATGGATTATGATGTATAAAATCGCTTGGATTGCCTGCAGACCTGGATCTGCTATGTGTATACTGCTGCTTTTCTTCCAATTGAATGATATTTGGTGTTACAGGTGTTATTGTTGCAGTTGTCGTCATTGCACTAGTGAAAATAGGTCGTATCATATTATTAGCATGAGGAGTGGTTGCACTGGTTTCAGTGGTTAACGGCGGCTGAGGCAAGACTTGAGGCCATTGATAATTAGGTGTATTAGAGATAGAGGTGGTATTAATAGTGTGATTAGGAATAGAGGGAATTGGATAAAAGTAATCTTGCATTGAGGAATCAGATTCAGAGGTAGATGTAGCAGTGGTGGTAGCAGTTGTATAAGTAGTGTTTGGTATCGGTGTATGCGCAGTAAATGGCCCCATGTACGAACGACGATGTTCAGTCTGTTGTTGCTTTTCATTTCCCCACCAAGACTTTCTTTGGTGTTTTGTTGTATTCGGTATCACCTCTAATCCAGCTGTTTGCAAATTTTCTTTATCATTAATGCTGTTATTGCTGGCATCAGATAATTGCTGTCTTTGAGGTATGATGTCTGATTGGATCAAAGCATCAATGGCATTGCGATGAAAATGTGGAACTGGTGCTATATACAATTGAAAGCATCAGCCTCATATGATTATTACGTATAAACCTTAATCACAATACCTCCTAAATATACAAGGGCTCGGCTGATTTTGCGTCCGTTTTGGGCATGAGCAATTAAACGCAGCATGGCAAAAAATTGCAATTTATTTAGTCCATCACCCGCTGTCTCAAACAAGGCTAAAATCTATACATGATTTGTTTGTATATGTCCAACGAAACGAAGAATGCTTTTTTAAAAAAAACACTTACTTGCTCCAGCTTGCTATCTTGCAAACTGCATCCAACAAGAAATTTCAGGACGGTTTGATTATTGATCTTTTTCAAATCAAAAGGATCTAAATCTTTCCACCATGATTCATATGCTGGTTTCTCCAATTCAGACAAATCTTCAAATCCTATAGCAGGCGGATTGTTATCGTAAATGGTACCACTGTTAGGTGTCGATGGAGTGGGAGCAGCAACAGATGAATGTCGTTTTACAAATTGCTGTGGTCTTCTGTCCTCAATGACTCTTTGTTTCTGAGAAGAGCGCTGGAATACTGTCTTTAACTTGTTCATTTTGTATTGTGTTAAGGGGTAGGAGAAAGAAAGAGAAAGGAGAAAGCAAAAGTGTAAGAATAAAAAAACAAACAAAATCATGCCTTGAAATGTTAAAATTCTTTTATATGGTAACTTTCCTTTTTTGGTCAGCTAGACTCGGCATTCTGACTTCCGCAACAATCTGACTGGCTGAAAGAGACAAACAACACGTTTTTGATTGATTTATACATTTTCAGGAACAAAAATGTTACTTTTTTAAACCTCAGGCGTTTATTGTTCATTTTAATTCTTTTGGAAAAATTGATACATGATCTTGCGAACAAAGGACGATAAGACATCGGCTTCTTCTTGATAAAATGACATGATGATACCCATGGCAAAACTAGTCATGACAACTTCAAAGTGTTTGACCTTGAAGATCCAATGACGAGAGTAAGCAATGTGATAAAAACTGGTGATTGCCTTTGGTAATACATAGAGAGCCAACTCACTGCGTCTTTTTTTGTCCTCCAAAAAGATGGCTGGGTAAGAACAAAGGAAGCCAGCAGCATAATAGATGTATTTTGAGTTCCAGTTACCAATCAACCCTGTCTTGAACAGATTTCTATGCATACAGATGTAGTATTGATACAATGTGACAAAGGTAGCCAAAAATGCACCTGATTTCAGTGTGGCAATAGTGGTTTTGGACAACATGTTGACAGGACTATCTTAAAGGTTAATATACGCACTCCTTTGGTAAGATCCACATTCGCTTACTCTCGTTTAAAATGTTGGGATCGAAGCAACAACATAGGAACAAAGTGAAGTGTACCATAGACTGGCAAAAAGCTCTTGAAAACTTTTGTAAATCTGTCAAACGCTGTTGCATTACAACCATCAACCCAGGGATGAAGGATTTCACTGTTTAGTACAGAGAGAGAGAGAGAGAGGTATGTTGGTTTTAGTTGGCATTGCATATGATCCTCCTCCTTTCTTACCAGGGAATTGCCGATGTACCTGTAGGTAGTTGGCTTACGACACTGAGGGAATGCGCTGTGGGGTGCAGCTTCTTGACTACATTGAGTGCTTCTTCGGCATTGATAGGAATTCCGCGCACGGTTTTTTCATTCAAACGAAGAGCCCCCTCTGGACATCTTGCTGCTTTTATCATGAAGGAATAGAAATCAGGTGGCAAAGTTTCGGGTCGCATTGTATACGCATAAAGCACTTGTGCACAAGTAACAGCAAATAATAACGCATCGCCATGTTTAAAGTAAAAGATGTCTCTCGCTTTGCCGGCATTATACACGGCTTGCAATGCTCTATGAAGGCAGATGTTAAATATACAGAAAGTCTCTCCTCGGCCCATTTATTTCAGAAAATGGGACGCACACACACACACACTTTACCTCACCAGCATTTGCTGTGCAATATCCACTCTACGTTCCTTCTTTTCAAACAAAATACTGAGGCCAGCCACTGCACCACCTACCAGACCATTCAAACGATCATCTTTTCCTCTATACAATCGCATGCCGTTATTGACAGATTTCCATAGTAATGCAAAAGATCCAAACATGGCACCAAATCGAACTGAATCTAAATTTTTAAAGGATGCTTGCAGTATATGATCCCAAGACGCTCTATTTGAAAAAAGTGAGATTTATGCATGATAAACACATTTTGAGTTGCAGATTTCATTTACTTTCCCCTCAAGATACGTATCAAGTATAAACAGAAATTGACAGTTGCCCTAACGCCATAAGCCAATACAAATGCTCCTAATTAAGCTATTAGCAGCGAGCTTCTCGCATCTTTTATTATGTGATTTTACTTGTTGCGCCTTTGATGGCATGTTGTATCACCTCTTTTGGTGTGCTGGGCCTTGGCCAATCTTTGGTATCTGCACATTCAGATGGATTTCTCTTTAGTTTTTCTACCAATCTTTGATAAGATGTGGTTCTATGAGGTATATCAGATTCAACCTTCATGCTGAGATGAAACGAAAAAAGAAGAAGAAGAAGAAGAAGAAGAAAAAGGAATGGGAGTTGTTTGATTTGATCTCTGTCTCCAAATGTTTGGATATCATCATGCCTTTTGGCTCTCACATCAATTATGATTCGCAGTTGGGGGTTTTTGTGACGCATATTTACCCCAGTGTGCAAACGTTATTCACGTGCTGTACCTGGGTAATTGAGGAGAAGGTAATGATTGTCAAGTTCTGGTTTGGTTAGACTAGGCGATTCTAGGATGGCCACTCGCTAGGCCAGATTTGCCGTGTTGGTTCCGCACAAATCACAATAATGTATACCAACATTTAGAGGACCATTTTATAAGGATTTAATGGATCTAGAACAAAGATGTGCAAAAGAACTGATTGCCAGGCTAAGCTATGGTATTCTTTGAATCACAAAATCGATTGAAATGCCAGTTAAAATATGTTTTATTTACATGAAAAATAATCAATTGAGTATCCTCTAGTGTACATGATATGTATTGAGTGCTTGCTATTTGTTTCTTTTCACTGTCAAAGGGATAATCGGTATAACCCTCAGCGCCACGGCTATAGAAGGTAACTTTGCTGTAAGAGTTCAATTTCTAGCCATTGTAAAGACGTTCAGGAAAATTAGAGTTACCAATGACATAACGACCGTAGACAACTAAACAGCCCGTCTTCTCAGCAATCTCACTACCACATTGAGAGAGGGAGAGAGGCCATTAGCACTAATGAAGGGATTCTTCCAGATCTTTCTATAGCTCTCTAAAGCGTCGACAGTGTTTTTTGATTAGGCGTTGGCAAGTCGACGCGAGATTCGATGAAATGCAAATAGGCTAATCCAGGATGGCTCTCTTGCAACTCTGACACCAAGTAATCCCACGATTTTTTCCACATTATCAGAGGCAATGTCCTGGAAACCGCCTTCGGGAAGGAAGCGAATAGCAGTGTGTTCCTCACCAACAGCTGCGACAGCAGCATCTATCACCTCTAACGCAAATCGGTCACGTTTATCCACGGAACCACCATAAATTTCAGTACGGTTGTTGCTAGAGTTGATAAACTGATTCACAAGATACCCGATGGCACCGTGAATCTCCACACTATTGAAACCAGCGTCAATAGCATTTCTGGCAGCTTAAGCATACTCTCCCCCCCCCCCACAATAGATTTTATTTCAACAATAGTAAAAGCAAGAGGGACTTCATGGTCAATGCCTGTCTGAGCCTTACCAGAACAGGGGATATCAAAAGCACTTACGATTTGCTCTTGATTGGGGTTGAGATAATTTGATCCAACAGGACCAACGTGCCACAACTGCAAAAAGAAGACACTGCTCTTGACATAAACAACAGATGTGGCCTTCTTTCAACCTTCTATTTACTCCTTGTTGTAGACACCAGCAAGACGTGAGATGAAGGTAACTTCAGTGACCAGGAGATCGCGGTCAGAAGCACGCTGCTCATTATATTTGGCTTGGAGATCAGTAGGTACAGCTTCAAGAGATACATTTGGAGTAATTTCAGAAATACATTCTTAGCGTGAATGTATTTCTTCTCAATCGAATATCTCTGGTGATACATCATGGCCAGCTTCTCGTGAATTACATTATTGGTTGTATAAAAAGCCTGAGCGTAGCCGCAGTAGAGCATAACTCGGATATGATACGGGCCGCCTAGTGCTCTGAGCTACCGAGTGATGGGTAAATCTACATTTGAGCTAATTTTATAATATAATTTTTATTACACGCAAACCATCTATTGCGTATAAAATGCCCAGTAAGCCTTACAGCCGTCATCGCCTCACTAATAAGCTGTATCATAATACAATACAACAGTATCACTTGGCCTAATATTTCCCGCTGACTATTTGGATTTAGCAGCATGCCTTAAAACTAGATTAATGCATAGAATATCTTTACGCCTTTACATCGCAACAAGGACACGGCTATTGACAAGCAAATGTATAAAATATAACCAAATTTAATAGCTTTCAAACTTTAGTATCTAAGTATATAAGCCTTTCTGAACCACCAGAATGACGCCAAACAATTGTACTCAAGTAGCAGTAACCTACTGACACCTTTGCTCAACTTTTTGGGGACCCAAAAAACATGGCCAAAATTCGACCAAAAAGCATGAGGCACCCCCTCATGGCTTTCATCAAAAATCAAACGATCGCGTTTTTGACCTCAAAATGAAAGACTTTTACTATGGCATATATTAAATCAAAATGTTTCTCTCAACCCAAAGCAACCTCAGAAACCACTTTTGTGAGTCCTTCATAGGCAAAATCTCAACATTTTGGCCAAAAACCTCATTTCGTATTCTCAGACACTACTTGAGAAGCTTATTCAAAACATCTCCTTTATTTGGTACCATCGGATGCGCCATGAAAAGTACTCTTAGAAAGCTTAAGGAAGTTTTGGATGATAATCATAATTTATATAGTCGAATCTCGTAAAATAGTTCGATCAAGTCGAAAATTAACAAAATTTGGCCAATCTTGAGCAGAAAAAAATTTCGACGTTTGAATCGTTTTAGGTGCTGCTGGCTGGCCAAAATGCCTTTCTGATGAGGATTATATCCAGATACTGCAACTTTTCATGCTAAAGCAGTAGGGCTACTAGTGAAGAATCTTCCAATCCTAGCACTTTTGCGAGCTCGGGGCCGCACTGGCCTCCCATTCAATTATTTAGGAAGCTAAAGGGTAGATGATTTGAGACAATATGTGTGCTTAAACTTCACCAACCTGCTGTGAGAAGCATAATCGATACGTATACATACATATAACCTATCGCTGTCCCTTACGCTTGAATGATACAGATCTCTTTATGAACAAACATTGACTACATATTCAGCTTGTAAATTTTGTAGACAACACGTCGATCAGAGTAGACCACGTATACATATTCATGTACTCATCAACACAAACAAGCCAGCGATGCGAATCAAGAGCATCTACAACAAGATGTACCCCTTTATTTGTTCATCTGAATACTTGCCCAATGTAGTTCAAGGTTGTATTAATGCGCCCTTTAATACGCAACTGATGATTTGGAAATTTTAGCAGCGAGAATCACTGAAGGTAATGGTTCCATCATTGGATCAGTAGGCGGGCGTTGTCTGAGCCAGGGATTATTACGACATTCGAGCTGCCAAACATCTATTCATAATAATGTCAATCACGTTGGTTAATGGGAGTAGTCGCTTTAATAAAGATATTTCATGTGATACTGTAGCTGTGAGTTCTGGTTCATAGCTTGCACAACAAGTTACTTTTATTTTATGTTCAAGGTCTTGATGAGTAAAAGTCATTCGAGTTAGTCTCGATTGCATGTGAGGCGGGAGCATAGCCAGATCTGACTGATAATGTTATAAGGAACGCTAAGGTGATTGCTGCTGTTGTTAATTCTGGCGAATGGCTAGTTCTATACATATACAGACACATGTTATATACTCGGTGAGTCCAAGTGTAGCATATATAAACAAACGCTTGTTGACAGGCTATCCTGCTAATGAATCTCTTCACACATACATACATACATACACACACACACACACACACACACACACACACACACACACACATACATACATACACTTGAATCGGACTCTTATCCCATATCCTCGGTGATATATCAAATAACCAAGTGACACAATGTAAATTTGCTAATCAGTTATAAATGGCTTGAAACCTCTCATCTTGGTCTCTTTTTTTTTTCTCTTTCCCATCATTAAAACAATGTCTCGTTTCAGTTTTACTGCACTTTTAGTCACTGTGCTTCTTGCACTGACTACATTCAACTATGTCTCTGCCGCTGTTGGTCCTCTTATCACTGATAAAGGTGAGTACTGTTTGTTCAAACGATGAAATGAATGTCAAGCTTATCGCAAACGCGTTCCTTTTTTAGTTTACTTTGATATCAAGCAAGGTGATGAGGATCTTGGTCGTATTGTCATGGGTTTATACGGTAAGACTGTGCCCAAGACCGCCGAAAACTTCAAGCTTTTGGCTACTGGTGAGAAGGGTTATGGCTATAAGGGCTCCAGCTTCCATCGTGTTATCAAGAACTTTATGATTCAAGGTGGTGATTTTACTAACGGTGATGGTACTGGTGGAAAGTCCATCTATGGTGCCAAGTTTGCTGATGAAAACTTCAAGCTGAGACATACTGGTCCTGTAAGTTTGAAGGAGATGTTGAAATGTGCGTGTAGTTTGGCATGTTGACTGACTTTTGACGGCCAATGTGTAGGGTGTCCTTTCTATGGCTAATGCTGGTCCTGACTCTAACGGCTCTCAATTCTTCATCACCACTGTCAAGACTAGCTGGTTGGATGGTAAGCACGTTGTTTTCGGTAAGGTGCTTGAGGGTATGGACATTGTTACCAAGATTGAAAACTGCGAAAAGGGGTAGGTTCAACTAGGATAAAGGCATCATCTCAATCTGTGTACTAAACCCTTATCCATAGTTACAGAGACAAGCCCAAGGTTGATATTGTCATTGCTGACTCTGGTGCTTTGCCTGTTGATGTTGTTGAGCATGCTGAATTATAGCTTGCTCTGTATGATATGATACTTCAATAAAAATTGCCTATTGATTTATAAGCTTGAGGGCTTTCGACATTACGTTCTTTTTCATCATTGGCTGTCATTGCTAGGAACACCTTTGTCTGACACACCGCATTGAAAAGGGGGAGGGAGAGCACAGCATTGACATGACGTACATTTTGTGTTGCTGCGAGGAGAGAGGACCGAGAGTTATGGGCGAGCGGTTTGTAATTAGCTCTCGCACATTCTAGACACCACTCATTTTTTGCTTTATAATGAAAGCCAAATTCGCATTTCTTTTTCTTACTTTTTCTTTTTATCTTTGTATATTTGTACAAAAAACAAGATAAAAATGTCTAATATGAATGTTGATTCTGAGCAAACCATTGATGAGGGCTTGTATTCTCGTCAGCTGTAAGTCCTCATCACTCTATGCTTGACCAACTCCATCTTGTTGACACGCGTTTTTTTTTTTTTTTTTTTTTTCATCTTATCTAGCTACGTTTTAGGCCATGAGGCCATGAAAAAGATGAGTGTTGCTCATGTCTTAGTTGTTGGCCTCAAGGGTCTTGGTGTGGAGATTGCCAAAAACGTTGTTTTAGCTGGTGTCAAGAGTGTCACTCTCTGGGATCCTGCACCTGCTGAAATCACAGACTTATCTGCTCAGGTACTTTTGTAGTGAAACTACGCACGCATACAGCAGGAACTAACCATCACCATCACACACTTGCACAGTTCTATTTAACAGAACAAGATGTTGGCCAACCTCGTGCCAAGGTCACTCAACCCAAATTGGCTGAATTGAACCAATATGTCCCTGTTCATCTCTTGGAAGGTGAATTGACTGAAGAAGTGCTCAAGAAATACAAGGTGGTTGTCATTACTGAAATGCCACTATCCAAGCAATTGGCCATCTCTGAAATTTGCCACGCCAACAACATTCACTTTATCTCTACTGAAGTGCGTGGTCTCTTTGGGTGAGTAGTAGTAGTAGTATTAGCTGTTGGGTGCTGCTTGGGAGGGGAGCTGAAATGACTGACATGCATTTGTAGTCGTATTTTCAATGATTTTGGATCCAAGTTTGAAATTATCGATACTACTGGTGAAGAGCCATTGCACGGTATGATTGCCAACGTTTCCAAGGTGAGTAGATCAGCACATGTGTGTATTTACATGGAGGGTGTGGAGTGATTAAACACATGCATGATAGGAGGAAGAGGGCATCGTTACTTGTTTGGATGAAGTGCGTCATGGTTTAGAAGATGGCGACTATGTTACTTTCAAGGAGATTCAAGGCATGACTGAATTGAACGATATTACACCTCGCAAAGTCAAGGTATTCGGTCCTTACAGTTTCAGCATTGGCGATACCTCCTCATTCGGTGACTACACCAATGGCGGTCTCTTCACACAAGTCAAGATGCCTAAATACGTTGATTTCAAGTCTTTCAATGAATCACTCACCCAGCCCGAATTCTTGGTCTCTGATTTCGCCAAATTCGATCGTCCCATGCAATTACATCTTGCTTTCCAAGCTTTGTCTGGCTTTGTTGAGAAGCATGGCCGTTATCCCAAGCCTAGAAATGAACAAGATGCCAATGAAGTGTTTGAGCAAACCAAGGCTTTAGCCGCTTCTGTGGACGAGAAGCCTGAGCTCGATGAAAAGCTAATCAAGGAGGTGGCCTACCAATCTCAGGGTGAACTCTCTCCCATGGTCGCTGTCTTTGGTGGTTTAGCTGCTCAAGAAGTCTTGAAGAGTGTCAGTGGAAAGTTCAGCCCCATCCAGCAATACATGTACTTTGATGCACTTGAAGCGCTTCCTACTAGCGTGCTCTTGACCGAAGAATTGTGTGCTCCTACTGGCTCTCGCTACGATGGCCAAATCGCTGTCTTTGGCAAGGTTTTCCAAGAAAAGATTGCTAATACCAACGAATTCCTTGTTGGTGCTGGTGCAATCGGCTGTGAAATGCTCAAGAACTGGGCCATGATGGGTTTGGGCTCAGGTCCCAAGGGTCATTTGACCATCACTGATATGGATACCATTGAGAAGAGTAACTTGAACAGACAATTCCTGTTTAGAGCCGGCGATGTTGGTAAATTGAAGTCTGAATGTGCCTCTGCTGCTGTCAGTAAGATGAACTCTGATTTGAATGGCAAGATCACTATTCACCAAGAACGTGTGGGCCCTGAGACGGAGAACATCTACGATGATGACTTCTTTGAAGTTTTGGATGGTGTTACCAACGCTTTGGATAACGTGGAAGCACGTAAATACATGGACAGACGTTGTGTGTACTATCGCAAACCACTGCTGGAGTCAGGCACTTTGGGTACCAAGGGTAACACACAGGTCATTATCCCCTTCTTGACTGAATCCTACTCTTCCTCTCAAGATCCCCCAGAGAAGTCTATTCCTATCTGTACGCTTAAAAACTTCCCTAACGCCATTGAACACACCATCCAATGGGCCCGTGATTTGTTTGAGGGCTACTTTAAACAACCTGCTGATAATGTCAACCTGTACTTGACTCAACCCAACTTTATTGAAGCCACTCTCAAGCAAGGCGGTACCAGCAAGGACACTATTGAAACTGTCTACAACTGCCTCACCACTGACAAACCCAACTCATTTGCTGATTGTGTTGCATGGGCTCGCTTCAAATTTGAAGATTTGTTCAGTAACAATATCCGTCAACTCTTGTTCAACTTTCCCCCTGATGCTGTGACATCTACCGGCCAACGCTTCTGGTCTGGTCCCAAGCGTGCCCCTACCCCTCTCACATTTGATGTAGACAACCGTGCTCATCTCGATTTCATCATTGACGCTGCCAACTTGCACGCTTTCAACTACGGATTGAAGGAGGAAACCAGTGATGACTATTTCCGCAAGGAGCTTGCCAATATCATTGTGCCTGAATTCAAGCCCAAGGAAGGTGTCAAGATCCAAGTCCAAGAAAACGAAACTGTGGACAACGATTCTGGCAGCGATAGCTTGGATGAAGTCATTGCCAACTTGCCTTCTCCTTCCAGTGTAGGCAACTTCCGCTTGCAGCCTGCCGAATTCGAAAAGGACGATGACTCCAACCACCACATTGACTTCATCACTGCTGCATCCAACTTGCGTGCCATGAACTATGGTATTACACCTGCTGATCGCTACAAGACCAAGTTCATTGCTGGTAAGATTATCCCTGCTATTGCTACTACCACTGCCATGGTCACTGGTTTGGTCTGTCTTGAACTCTACAAGATCATTGACGGCAAGAAGGACTTGGAGCAATACAAGAACGGCTTTGTCAATTTGGCACTGCCCTTCTTTGGTTTCTCTGAGCCCATTGCGGCACCACAAATTGAATACAACGGCATCAAGTTTACCTTGTGGGATCGTTTCGATATTGACAAGGACATTACATTGCAAGAGTTCATTGATTACTTCCAGAATGAACACAAGCTGGAAGTGACCATGGTGTCTTCAGGTGTCTCTATGCTGTACTCGTTCTTTATGAACAAGAAGAAGGCCGCTGAGAGACTCAACATGAAGTTGTCTCAGGTTGTTGAAACTGTTTCCAAGAAGCCTATTCCTCCTCATGTCAAGTCGTTGATCTTTGAAATCTGTGTGAATGACGCCGATGATGAGGATGTTGATGTTCCCTATGTCAGAGTTAAGATTAGACCCTAAGTATATATAGTTTCATAGTATTTGCATGATTGACAAAGTATAGCATAAATAAATTCCTCTTTTGTGAATCATAACGAAAGGCACCGATCGGCCCACTGATGTATCTTGATGTCGAGTGATCACATCAGCTGACAAGCACCTTGATCTCGTATTCATAGAGTAAATCAACATGAATCGAGTGATAAAATAGCATTGATATCAACATGGACTAATGCCAGCCAAAAAAGACATTACAGCTTGGAATGCTTGCACCAGACATAAATAGACCATATCTTGATCTCATGAAGAGCACCACATTGACAAAGCTCCGAAATATCTTTTTTTTTTTTTTTTTTTTTTTTTTTTTTTTTTTTTTTTTTTTTTTTTTACATGATAGCGTTGGGGTCACAAATATCTCTCGACTCTCTTTCTCTCGACTCTCTTTCTCTCGTTTTTCTTTCTCCCTCCCTCTCTCTCTCTCTCTCTCTCTCTCTCTCTCTCATCTTTCGCATCATGTCCTCCAACGAGATAGGCTTCTCACTATTTCCATATCAGTATGTGAGCTCACGAGTGATAGCAGCAGCAGCAGCGGCGGCATCCACATCCTCCACACCGAATGCCATCTTACAATCACCCTCTTATTTTGGAAGCATCGTAGTTCAGTTTACAAGACAAGTAATGCGACCCAAAGTAGTATTACCCATGCTGTTTGTGATTGTCATGTTATTTGATCTGGAAGATGCCTTTGATCTGGATGATGATTTCTTTTTATCGGACGACGAGGAACAAAATGGAGAAGGAGAACCTAGAACAACAGCAGTAGTAGAGGAAGAAGACCAAGACAGCAATTAAATTTAAAGTACCCATATACACACACACACACACACACACACACACACACACACATTTGTAAATTATAACACTTATCAAACCCCCACAGCAACACCATCAGACATTTTACTCTATTAATAATAAGCTCGCTGCGTTGAAACTCACAGTTTGCTCTAATAAACCCTACATGCCGCTTGGTAAAGCTCAATGTGATTTCTTGTTGACGAGTTACACAGGGACATTTTGTGTTTTCCCCACACAGTCATAGTTTTCCTTCATCATTTCAGCATTTGTTTCTCATTGTTTTTTTCTCTTTTCGCCTCATTCAAATATACAATGAACCCGTTCAATGATAGCAAGCCTCCATTAGTACAACCTACCATTCATCAATCTCAAATACATCCTGCTTTCCAAGGAACCAGAGTCTTTCGATACCCAACGCAAATACCTCACCCGCAACACATGCAACCACAACCACAACCTCTGCCATTCAATGCGTCTGCAACAAGTCCCATCTTTTATGGATATTCTCCTAATCCATATCAACAAAGTCGACTGTAACTATTGAACCCCATCTATTTACTACATAAAGTATCCACATGTTTATTTGCTATTCTTTTTCCACCATGTCTTGCTTGAGCTACTTTTAGGCGTGGTAGGAGAGGAAGATCCTAATGGTTGAGTAGATTTTCTTGCATTCATGACTTTCATGTATTTGGAATAATCGTCAAATCCATGCATGCTGCTCTTTTTGCTTTCCTTCTTTTTAAAGATGCTGGTGAGCTGAGTTGAAATGGAGGCGGCTGGTTTGGGTGCTGCTGCCATAGGAGCAGGAGCAAGGCGAGTATGGAGCATTGTATGGGGACATGTTGGTTCCATGGGTGAGGATGTGTTGGTAGTAGCAAGACATTCGGGGCATTTCCCAGGAGCTATGCCTCTGATGGACTGTGTCTTGAGCTAAATGATCGTGTGTGCGTGGTGTTAACATTGAGCCCATCATGCCAACTCATGGTTTCTATACTCTACCACATGATTTTCAAAACAAGGAGGATGACATACAAGTCCACAGCCAGATGTACACATGGAGGCTGTTTCTTGATTTCGTTCTTTACAAAAAGGACACATGGGGCCAGATCCTGGTGTATACATATGAGCTTTCATGCCTCTCTACCTACATGAAAAAGGACACTTTACCTTCTGCAAATGTAATTTTGACCATGACATGTGTATGGTCAAAAGATCTTACATACGGTGCAATGGGAGATGATAGATTGCTGATGGGAGATATGACGCTGGCAGCAGAGTCTTTACGTTTTGACACGGGATCTATGTCCAGCATAAGACTGACATCTTTCTTTACGGCTTTCCTGAGGTAGCTTTGCAGTATGGTGCTGTTTGGTGCTGTAGTGGTAGCTGTTGTAGGTGTGGACGGGGTATTGGGCGATGGTAATGCTGCGTTTCTATCTTTCTGTGATACCCAAGGATGGTGCAGTAAATGAATGGCTTTTGGCCTTTCAACTGGGTTCTTTTTGAAGCATAATTTTAAAAAATCCCTAAAATCCTATACAGCCATCTGTTAGTTTGAGTTTCCTCTAGGCCCATTGCAAGCACAACGTACATCGGATATGCCTTCTGGTAGAGGAGGGCAGTCGTCTTCAACAATCTTGAACATAGCTGTCATTGTGAGCAAGTCTGCATAGGGTGGTTTGCCTGTGTAGAGTTCAATGACAGTGCATCCCAATGACCTGTATTTCATTGTCAGTCTTTTAGATTCATGCGATCCATCATGTCAGTCGTCTACTTGCCATATATCAGACTGAACCGATGCTCCTTTAAGCTCAATGACTTCAGGCGACACTATAGACACACAAAATGGTAAGCATCCCCCGCTTGACACGAGACTCCCGACAAAAGACTTACTCCAAAAAGGTGTTCCAGAAACTAGGTTCTCTTCATGGTTCTTTAGCTTTAAATTCAACGAGACACCAAAATCAGACAGTTTGACATCGCCGGTCTTGGTGGTGAGTATATTAGCCGCTTTCAAGTCGCAATGCACGACATCTTGTTGGTGCAGGTAAGCGAGTCCTTGCAAAATATCATGGCAATACGATGCCACCAAATGCTCTGGCAAAGCATGGCCAAAATGCTTAAGTGTGTGCAAGAGGGACCCGTTCTCCACATACTCTAAAACAATGTTCACGTGCTCTTGTGTTTGAATAAACCCTTCATACTTTACAACGTTGCCATGTGTCAATGAACTCAATAAAGAAGCTTCTTGCATCATGTCTTCAATGTCGGCTTTTCGCGCATCCTTCAGGTTGATCTGTTTTACTGCGACTGTCTTGCCAGACATCAAATCAAGGGCCCTGTGTAATTGTTTGTGTCAGCTCATTTTATGTATGTGTGTGTGTGTGTGCATGAGAGCTGTCAAAAAAAATAGAGCTGGACGTACCTAAAAACTGTGCCGAAATGACCCTTTCCGATCACATTACCCAATTTCTACCATTCGTTTCAATTAGCTCATTGATCTGCATGAAAAAAAAAAGGTAGATACTTACATAACGAGCAATCATATTACCCTCTTGGTCACAATGATCCAATATATTGCTGTTTTCTTGTACGATAGGAGAGATCAAGGATACGGCTGTATTGGGCGTTGCAGGAGATAGCAAGTCGAACGAACCAATGGACTTGCAGCGGCCATGCTTTTGTAGCGATGATTCTGGTAATGCTGGTGTAGGGGATGGTGTGGTGATAATAGAAGGTGGTGTCATGATCTCTGATTTCACTCGAGTCGATGCAGCGTCTGTACGTCGCCTGCCTCTGGGTTGCATGGAAGATCGCTTTGTCATTGGCTCTTGTATCTTGATGGTGGGTGGTAGTAGTTCCTCTTCAATGATAACATTGTTACTGCATTTAAACAAATGCTCTTCATGAGGTCTCCGTATGCTACCACTGTTGCTAGCGCTCGTGCTGGTAGGCGAAGGCGAAGACGATGTGTTGTGTTTATCGTTGTTGCTAGACCAAGTCTGGTATTTGACAAAATGGGGTTCCTTGCTCTGTTGTTGATGACTAGCACGGGATTTTGAAAACAAGAGAGATAGCTTTTTTGTTGGACTAGTGATGCTACTTCTGTTGCTGCCTCGACTGCTGGTGGTGCCGGTTAAAGAAGCGGTACTTTTAGAGCTTGCTGGATGTATTTTTAATGATGGGGGTGAGGGTGCTGTTGGTGGTGGTGTTGTTACAGGAGCAAATAAAGCCTCAAATAAATTCTGAACCTTATTGCCGTTGGTGATGGTCGTCGTTGTCGTTTCTATAGTTTTCGTTGATTGCGGTTGGATGGACGACGATCTTCTTCTATTTTTACGTCTGGTGCCATATCCACTGTCTCCAGAAGATGAAGGTGTATGGCTTTGCTTTGTATCGTACATGTCGTTTTCATCATCAAAATCAAGTGTCGGATCCAAAAAGCTCTGTATCGACATTCCGTCGTCTTGATCTTCCTCGTGCGGATCGTCTTTAAACGTTGTAATATCAAAAAGACCGAATCCAGGCACGCAATTAGGTCTTTGAATATCAAAGGGTGGTTCTCCCCACACTCTCTCCATGATGGAAGAAGAGGTAGACGACGATCTGCCATGTCCTGATTTCTTGAACAATGTAGTAGGCGGACAGCTAGGAAGCGCTTTGTTGTTGTAATGATTGCAGAGCGAGGTAGGTGGTAATATTGTATCATGCTGTTTGATCGCAGCAGTGTTTGTGCCATCGCTTCGTGTCTGTATAGCTATCTTGGGCTCCTCTTGATCCTCCTTATCCACATCCAACATCTCCTCTTTATCGTGTTGCTCCAGCATCGCTAGTTGATGATGATGCTCCTGATACAGCCCCTGCTGCTCACAATCCTGATTGATATCAGCTGTCTCTCTAGCAGGCATTGTTAAGTTAGTATTGTAATTATGCTTCATTCTTGCTGGTTTTATAGGTTGTAACGCTGTTTCACTGTTTGATCTGTGTAGAGTCTGTGGTTGCGTGCTCAAGCTGATGGTATGTGATTGTGATCTTGTTGGTTTCGTAATGGCAGTTGCAGTGGTTGCCGGTGATGTGCTTGCAAACCTTTTGCAAGAATAAATATGCGCAAAGAGTAGGATGGTTGAAATAACCTAAGTGGAAAGTAAAAGAAAGTAAATATAAGGGAAATCCCTTTTTCTTTGTATGATAATTGAGATAATTACTGTATTCATATTGTCACCATTCATTAGATCATCCACAGTGAACAAGTCGGACGATTGCAGACCAAACTGATTAGCATTATAATGGTTCAGTGCGTCATGTTTGTATTTTTCATGCAATTAAACAAAAACTTACATCTTTTGCTGCTCGCAAGAACAGGTTGATTCGATCTTGCTGTAGTGAGTGTATTTGAGTTATATGGTTAAATTCCATCCATCCCCTCTTTCCATCGTTCTCCTCTGTCGCTGCTACCACTCACTCCTATCGTCTCCCCCCCCCCATTCTACACATTGTTTATTTATATTTACCGGGCGCTTGTCATTATCATTCAAGATATTATAATTATCAGGTAATTGTCCATGTTGAACTAGAAATTCGACAATTCTAATACACGAAAGATTTTTAGTTAGTTTGTTTGATTATTCTAAACACAAAGAAATTGACAACGGACTTGTAAAGAACGAATCCATCCTTCAGGCAGTAATACAAATCATTGGAAACAAGTCGAAATCCAACAATGGATTCTATCCAGTATCTCGCCAGTAATGGTTGCTTTGTCATGGTATATAAATGTTGCGATGGTAACTGCGCTTGGTATAGAGAACGCGACATGGAGCGCATGGTAAGTTGGGATGAGGAATCGAGAATGAGAGAAAGAGAGAGAGAGAGAGAGAGAGAAACAGAAACAGAAACAGGTTGCCTGAAAGAGTAAATTGCTGTTCTCTTAATATCTCGACGAGTTTGAAATTTCATAGGTACTTTTATTGGCTACATTGGTCGATTGCAGGGTCAACATTGGTAAGCAATTCACATCAAATGTGTTGTCGTCCATGGGTTGTCACGCATGGCTCATGGAGAATAGAATGGCGGTTTGTTGTAGCATCAAGCCTGTAGAGATTTAGTGTATGTCAACACACTATTTAGCAGCACATTTTTTCAGGTACAAGCGTATTCTTTCGTAATGAGGTACAAAAGTTCAATGATTCCATGACATAAACAGCATTGATGATTGCCACATCAGGACAAACGTCTGTCTGTCTGCGATCGAACCTCGTACCCGAATTCCATGAGAGTATATACAAACAAGACATTTTCCAGGGACTTGATACTGATCTAGCTTTTACTTGTATGCTCTTGATTTCAGGGTCGGTATGAGGCGTTGGTGGTGAAGCGAAATATGACAGATCACTGCTGCTATAGTTTTTTTTTTTTTTTTTTTTTTTTTTTGTTGGAAATCATTTAGAACAAAAGAGCACGGAAGGTACTAAAAATGCAAAATACAAGTGATCCTCTCCTAGCATCCCACCAGTGATTGAATAGCCGGCGAGAGATTGTTCCCGATTGAATGCAATGGCCGCACTGCCGATGTTTTCTCGATTTGGAGGATCTGAAAATAGACTGTCAAAACGGTAATTTGGTGTAATCAACTTGATGTTGTGTAGGATACATGTTGTAGCTTGGGCAATAAGATAAAAAAAAAAAAAACTGCTCAAATTGATGAACAACGCGATACAGCATTTTGTGAGGAAATCAAAACTTCTCATTATCGTCATTGTGCCTAATAGTCTAGACATATATATGATGCGAACCCCACTCAGCCCTCTTTTTGCTAAGCTTTATATTTGTTTCGAAAGATGGATAAATGGCTATGGAGCAAGTTTAAGGCAGAAAATGATTATTCATGCATGGATTTGCAGTCAAGCGATTGAAGAGCATGACATGCGAAATACCACAAGGCAGATTTTTATAGCCTACTAAATTCTGGAATAGCGGTGTTGCCAACAATGTGGTTTTTGTTCTCAAACATGGCCTGAATTGACTACCGCTCTCGATCTTCTTTGCGACCGACCCTGTTACTTGAAAGCGCTGTTCGTCTCGAAATTAGCGTGTGATGGAGCTTTCATCCATGAATATATTGTCATTGTATTTCCCCCTTTAGCTGTTGCTTTTATTTCCTAGATGTCTATATACAAAATTGTAGACTTGTCGTGGCTGTTAGTTATCGACCTTAATGTTTGTGTTCAAATCTCGGCAATGAGCAGAGATTTGGTAGCATTTGCTCTTTAAACAGGTTGGAATGAAAATACAACAGACAACCACTGCGAGGCAAATGGATACGCATGGTGACTTTGAGAACTCACAATACTCTTTGCTCGGGGATACTGTTGTCGATGTCTCGAAATGCAAGCTATGTTTTTGATACAGAATCTTGCTTTTGGCAAGGTACATTAGCGTGGGTTGAGATTGCCAAAAGTGTAAAGGGACGCCCACACAGATAACAGTAGGGATGTCTCACTACTTATCTTTACCTGCCCTGCCAAGAAGAGAAAGAACCAAGACGTTACTGATGATTCAAATGATGATCTAAATGATGATTGAGTACCTTCTATATATAGCCTGTTTGCAAAAATTAAACCGGACTTTTTCTAGTATGACAACGATGATCCATAAATAAACTTCCCAATCTTATTTATAAATTAGTTTTATATTTCTTGTCCTTCTTTTACTCTTTTTTCTTTCCTTTTTCCCAATATCAACAGCATGTATATTTCATCACTATCAATATTCGCCATTGCTGCAGCATTTGCGTCTGCTGCTGTGAATGCTCAACAAGTCTGTAATGGCCATGCTGAATTCTGTGATAAGCCTTATAACACATTGACCTACCTCTTAACTCACAACGCTTACGGTTATGTGGCCAATCCAGCAGCTAATCAAGCTTGCCCTGTAAATACACAACTCACAGATGGTGTCAGGGGCCTCAAATTATCAGCCATCAAATCTTCAAACGCTACTACTGCCGGCTCTACAGCTGACAGCATCCAACTCTGTCATACATCATGTTCTATATTAAACGCAGGTGCTGCTGTGGATACCCTCAAAGTCATTGCAGATTGGGTCAAGAATAACCCAAATGAAGTTGTTACTATCATGTGGAATAACCTTGGTGGATTCAAACCCGACGCATTTGCTGCCGCTTATAATGCCAGTGGTCTGGCTGAATACGCTCATGTACAGGAATATGGTAACTTTACTTGGCCAACATTAGCTCAAATGATTGCCAGTGGAAAACGAGTTGTCAACTTTATGGATGAAGGAACTGATACCACTGCATTACCATGGTAAGTGAAAAAAAAAAAAAAAAAACAAAAGGCGTCTTTATGTGATGTGGGTCATTATGATATTAACCTCGATTACCCCTTTTTTCTTCAATCCATCAAAAATCAGGCTTCTCCCCGAATGGAGTTTTGTCTTTGAAACACCCTATGATAATCACAACGAATCAGCATTTAGTTGCGTTATTGACAGACCTGCTCAACCTGATAATCCAACACAAGCCATGTATGTGATGAACCATTTCTTGTACGGCACATTGACATTGGGCACCACCATGATTGAGATCCCACAAAAAGGAACATCCAATGTTACCAACAGTGAAACATCCCTTTTGAAGCAAGCTCAAACATGTACACAGACTTTTGGTCGTCAACCCAACTTTTTAGAGATTGATTTTTACAACAAGGGAAACGCTCTCAAGATTGCAGCACAATTGAACAATGTCACTTACACAGCTCCATCTCAATTACAATGTGATATCTATGAAGCAAATGCTGCTAGCTCACAAAGCGGAAGTAGCTCATCTGAGGCCAACAACCAACATGTTATCATGTATGGAACCACCATGTTGTTGTGTCTAGTGGCAACTGCTTTCTCTACCTTTCTTTAGATAGTTAATTTAATATTTACACCTGTAGTTCTATTTTTATTCGTACACATATACACACCATCCTAAAAAAAGAGAATCTATTATCATATAAAGCTATATTTTTTCGCCAAGCAATGACTATTGTTGTTGATGTTGTGGCCTATTTGTTATGTGATGAGGCTTGGATGGTGACCCTTTACGTCTCAAATCCCAAAAACAAAATATCATTTCTCTAAATGGTAACATCATAATAACATAAACCATCGCTTTTTTTTTTTTTTTTTTTTTTTTTTTTTGCAAAAGAGGTAGATCTTCAAGAAATGCTTAAAACTTTAGTGCAGGTTGAGTCTAGAATAAAAAGCCTAAATACACTAACCACAGCCGATCCCTTCGCCATTAGCTCAAATCCAATTAACAAGGCGATGACGAATATCAAACCTACTACTGCAGATCTTGATGTCATTTTGAAGTGTTCTATAACTATCAATATCCACACATACTATAGCACAGTTCAAGGAGAGCACGTGGGGCTGCTCAATTTCACCTGCTATAAAAAAAAAAGGGCAATCAAACCAGAGGTATTACAGGCAATGTAAATTTAGACGCAAACATAGCACATGCTTTATTGACAATTAACAAAATCAATTAAACCTGCATCATACTCTATTCTCGTGGTATTCTTTATGCACATTGACACTATTTGTCCCTTTGGAGTTATATACATTATTACCGTAATGTGCAATACGATGAGCATCATGGTTGTAGACGACTCAGCTTGAATGGGCTGCAAAATATTCAACTATAATGACCCATTTGTTCTGTAATCTTAACAGCATGTACCTCATACATTGACAAACCTGTCTCTTAGTAACAGTTGCTACTATTATAACTTTGTGTTCTTCAAATGGCAGCAATATTTATCTGCTGTACAATACACAGTGAAAACAAATGCTTCTTTCAAACACTTGTTCGCTATAAAAGTTATATTGCACAAACCGGCCTCCCTATTGTTAATTCATCAGAATTCTCTCGATTCAGGGCTCTGCTATACCTATACTATGTACAGTAGTAGGGCATGCAGATAGATTTTGCAGCTGTTATTTCCATGGCGGGCCTTACTAATTCTTTTTGCCTCAATTATTGTTTTCAGACTGTATATATCACTGAATGCAAATCTGTTGTATCTAGTGCTTCCACAACCGAGATACATATGCATTTGAAAACCAAACAAGATGAATGCTTTCATGTCAAATCATGAACACAAAATTGAACGGTTCTCTTAGGTTAATCAAGCAAGAAGATCATCGTTGAGGTCAATCAATAAATGACTACAACTGTTTAGAATAACGAAATATAGACAGAGTAAATACAATTAGAACTGAATATATTTATTATGTTATTCCAAGATTGAATAGGGATCAAAACTAGTGTAGATATCAAAGGTATTTACAGTTATTTGACAGTGCCGCAGCAATAGGACCTTGATCTTGAATGCGGGATAATTGTATAAGCCTTGAACCAGTTAACGAGAATGTACTGCATAAGAACTCATGAACCGCCAGTCAAGGATAAACAACAAAGATGATCCAGGATAGAATGTTCTTCCTAATAGCTTTGACGGAAGAACATTTGTCGGAATTGAAACCCACTTCCAGGGACGAAAGGCCATAGGCTACCACTCTCCAGGAACCAGGATATAGATTAGCCATTTGATGGCACCACTCATGTTCCTTCGTGCTGCTTGAATAAAGACCTCTCACTTCTACTATGCTTCTCAGCTTATTCTCACATCCTCTTATGTAATATACAACGCCTAATACATTTGCCTCTCAGAGATGATCTATATCCTAAACAACAACAACATACCGCCAGTAAGTTACTGCATCAAACTTCAAATCAAAGTACAATATTTATAGTCGAAAAGTCTGCAATTATGTTTCTCTATAGTTATATTACCCTTAACAAAGATGCATTAACTTGAAAAATGGGTTTCTGACGACAATAATACTATGATCAATGAAATTTTAGATGAGCAAATCCACAAAAGGAAAAAAAAAACGGTCTAGAAAATTTTCGAACCCCGATTTCGACGTTTTTGGTCGATTTAAGACCCCGCCGGTGCCCTTTAAACGATGGAGCAATTGAAATTGTTGTAGGTAGAGTGGTTGTTGAGAAAAAGGAGATTTTAGAAAATAGAAAATTTTGAATAGAAGCTGCTAGTAAAAGTTTTTAAATTACTATATGAATGTGGTATGTATGTGTAGTGAAAGTTGTAGAGGGTACTTTTTTTTTGAATAGGACATGTTTGATGTGAGGTTATGGAAAGTGATGCCAGTAAGTAATGAGGGAAAATGTTCCAAATGACCGATTTTCAAAGGGCCATATCTCTGAATTTTACCAAGTAAACGAGAGCTTCAAACTTAATAACTTTTGTTTCTTTTTCAATTCTCTATAAGATGGCATGGTTATTATAGATAAATAAGAAAAAAAGTTGAATATCCCCTGCTTGTAGCTCATAGAATATATGATTTTCAGCAAATTTATGAAGGGGACGTACACCTGGTACTTTAAACTCTCATATTATAATGGATATAACATAGAACTATTGTATGGTCTTTGTCTTGTGCAAATCCAATGATTATTTGTCGAGATATGGCCTAAAAGGGGTATCATGCAAAATCATGGATTTTTCTTCAGAACCTACCTGTGATAGCAAGCCAAAAAACGGGGTGACCTTTTTTTGGTCAGGACAATGTTGTCAATATTTCATGATAAAGTTATGCCAGAGCTTCAGGCAATAGCTCATTTGATAGGAAATTTTTTGGTCTACAGTGTTTAGTAATGCTTAACAAAATGGTTTGATAACAGATACTGATTAATCTTTAGAAAGCAGTCGAAAAATTGTAAAAACAATCGTATCAAATATCAGGTGAGCAATGTACATCAGAGACTTGATATAAATACCATCGTATTCTCCTTGCAATTCTCTACAAGCTTTATATAAGTTTGAAGGGATGGTTACTATCAAGAAACGCGTAATTTTATGGTCGATAGATTTTGGAATCCTATGGTTCATCATTCAGAACAATATAAATTGAAGCTCCGTTTAGCCTTTGCATGTGTACACCGCACAAGCATGCATTTGACCGAGCACTTTAAAAATTGAAGCGAACGAAAAAGATCATATTAACTTGCTGGTTTCAAGTTATCAGTAGATACTTGACATGATGGAGAATCATGCTTTTAAAGTTAGATAGTTGTAGCTTGCTTTGTTCGATTATAATAAGATTTGCAATTTAAAGCATGCATATTCCCCCGCTTAAAAATAGCATCTCCAATGTTGATTATCTCATGAAACAGACATTTCCAATATAATGTTCCCACTTAGAAGTTGGTCCAATATCACAATTTTAAAACATATTTTAGTTTTACATGGTTCTATATTTTTTACCTATGAGGACCTGGATGTACAAATTGTTTTTTGATTTTGAGTGATGTATCATTTCTAAATCGGTTTTCCAAATGCGTAGAAACAATCAGTTCAAGCACAGATCACATCAGATCATAAACTTTGACATGAAACAGGACTCGGTTACGATCCGTATCATGGCATGTTCAGGATAATAGATCCAATCTTTTATTCTATCACCCAAACCAACCCATCTACTACCTTATCCTCACATCAAATTCCTCAATTTGAATAGTACATAAACCCTCTTACCTCCAATGTAATAAACGATATTCTTTACCTGATTAATTTCACACTCTTTTTTGTAAATAATTTATTTCCGATAAATCAGTGAAGATGTTGAGGGAATCAGCAATCGACTCAGGCAATTGTTCAGAGCTGCAGGTGTTACAGACGATGGTACCAAGAAGGCTATTTTTGTTGCTTCAGCTCTTCCAAGCATTGGCTATGAAATGGAGAAAGTCATAACTGCTAGAAAAGCATTACTGTCAAGAACTTGATTTCAACAGAGGATTTATTTAACAAAACGGTTATCTTGAAGTACGTGAGAATAAAATATATAAGTTAATCTACAACTGGAAAGGATGGAGGGGGAGAGGGACATGGTATTTATACTTGACAGGAGGTGCCAACATAAGTGCCGAGACATGGGCATAGCATGGGTAAACATTATGAATCGCAATTTGAAACATGAGTCATAATTACATAATTATGACATTGGCTTGATACTTGATGTTGATAGGTACTTGACATGATAAGGTTGCATAAAGCTTGGCATGACATAGTGATTACTACTGATGACTAATCGATTACTAATGATTATCAATTAGTACTCCTACATCCTGAACAACGAGATGACATAAGCACAACTTAGACATAACACTTGGACTGCATAATTCTAGATCCAGGTACCAGATCGAAGCTTAGTTCATGACACAACCTTTAGTTTAAGCCTCTTCTATAATGGATCAGTCTCTAGTTTGAGACCTTCAAACTAAGACGCGGTGAAATAATAAGTCTTATATATCGCTCTAATCCAGCCTATGATATGAATTTACGATGCCATTCAGGGAAAGTATGTAGATCATGTTGTAAAGTTGGGCAATGTGCGTACAATGCCAACTGCGCTTGGACTTTCCTTTTATTGATGTCTACGTACAATGGCTATTGGGCCATTTTTCATGCCTTCATACACAAGCTTTATAAACCAGAAACTTAAATTATCCAAATTTGCCATCCCAGTTAGTTCATGGAAAGGAGACGTTTCCACCTCAGTATCTGGGTGTCTATGCTCTGGCCAATTGACAAGATAAAGCTTAGCATGCTTATTTTTTAGCAGGTCAGTCCAAGGAACTTGTGAGTATCACAGGGCCGCTAAATGTATGAAAAATAATCAAAATTAGATGAACTGTAACAAAATCATTAGGAACAAATACACGTACAGGTCATTTGCGTAGCCATCTCACGAATACTCTTGAGGTACTCCGCTTTCATCAGTGATTCCTTGTCATTATCAAAAGCAGTAGCAGACGTAGATGCAAGAGCAGAACGAGCAGGAGCGTTACCGTTGGGAAGCAAATTCGAAAGAAGTGGCTCCATCTGTGAGAGGCAGGCAAATCAAGCGGACGTTCAGCTCTATCAGCGTGAACGCCTAAGGCCAAATCTTCCTGGACAGGACTCCCAGCAGTGGGACTTGATGGGACGGATGAGGCCTCAGACATTGCTAATTGGATTTTAGGGTCTGATATAATCGTTGACCAGCTTCCAGTCAAGCCCACTTACTTTTCATAAACGTCTTCAGCAAACCTAAGTCCAGTGGATACCCTAATACTTTATGTACAGAATCCACATTGTCAGCTCTCTCAGAATGACACAGATCATTGAATTACCTACTGGAATTAAAAAAAAATATCACTAGGATACATAAAGTCGTTATCAGTTTCTGTATAATGATATAAGACGGAATGAAAATTGTATTTGTCTAACATCGCTACGAGGCTTTTAGTGATGGTATTCAAATCATTATGGTAGACTTCGAGTCTTCCTCCGGTGGTAATGGGCTCTGCATCCCTAGCCTTGGTCTTTTCTGCGGCTTTCAATTTTAGTTGGTTGACCTTGTCAGGGTTGTTTTTCTTGAGCGCCTTCCAGGCTTCCGCATACTTGGCCATCAAGTTTTGTAAATCGTTGGGTTTTCCCGTGCTAGCAGTAGAGGACACCTTACTCGTCTGCAGCATCATCTCTTGCTTGAACATGTCATAGCCACTGATTGCTTTTCTTTTCCTGCTGGCAGGAGCAACCTTGATGGTAAAATCAGCCATGTTCTCTTTAACGAGATGGCCGGCGACCAAGCAAGCAATATCATTGTTTTGCTCTTGGTGTTGGTCTGCATAATTTCTAACAAGCTTACTGACATCGTCAAATAGTCTTCTAAGATTATCTGTATCTTGTTTGGCTGTTGGTGTGTAGCGCATGGTAATTGTTGTGAAAGAGAAGATTCAATCAGACTTTTATTTGAAAAAGTACTAACTTTAATGTTGGCAGGTAAGGTAACACTACGGAGTACACTAATTTTGTTTTTCACCAAAGAGATTAAGATACAGAATACGATGGCGCTTTGCAGTGCTTGCAGAGGATGGACAATTTTCTTTCATTTGATGCAATTACTACATGTAGACAACTCACGCTCAATCCAAGGATGTTGCCATCATCTCTGCAGATGGATATATTTCGAACTTTAAACACAATAGCTGTGTCACTTTGACTCAGGTTTCTACAATGTTGCTCTAGGGATGCCTGTCACTGATGAGCTTGTAGTAAAGTTGGAAGGAGCCTCATCCATTTCAATATTTTAAGAAATACAGCATAATAAGGATAAAATGGCCACCAAACACAAAGCTACTGAAGTAAGTAATACTAATGGGCCGTCGATTGAGAAGGAAGCTTTTGTTGCCAACGATGCAAACCAAACATCAGCATCTGATGCCGAGGAGAGCAACGCAAAACAAGCGTCGGCCTCGACCAAAAAGGTCAAGGAGCTTCAAGTCTACGCTCCCAATCCCAACTTTCAGAAACGCAGAAAGTTGTTGATCAAAAAGGCCATGAGTCTGTTGAGAAGAACAAGAAAAGACCTATTGATCACGTTCAATTTTGTACTGGAAGATGTAGACGAGCTTATTGCCAACTATCCAACGACCGAACTTGAAGGGAAGCAGATAGAGATCATGCAAGTGTGCTACGCATTCAGCGTTCATTGTCTCGCTTCCAAAGAGCAAAAATCACTCAACGCAGCAGCATTTCACCATAAGCAATTGATGAAAACCATCAGACCTCATCAACACAGATTCCTTGCCAAGCAATGGAATAAAGCCTATCTTCTCATCAATTATCAACCACCTTCTGCTGTTGTAAAAATGTTTTTCAAGTCATGGAATAACGCCAAGGATCACATCTGGGACGCTTGCCTTGTCTCCTTCTTGGCTTTTTTCTCTTTAGCTGATCAGCGATGGCTAACCACTGCCAAGGAGTTCCATCATTTAAAAAACATGTAATTGTAGAAATAAATCAATTTTGACATGTTGATTTGAATTTTATTCGCATCCACTGCCCATTTTGCATTGCGTTTCGTCACAATGAGTGAATGAATATTGATTTAGAAAATTATTGTTTATTGTTTAGAACACCAACTCGACCCAATGTTGATTTGACGATTTCACGCAGTGTCTGTGCATATCTGGTTCCTGACAAGGTAAAGGTAAAAAAGTATCTACAAGCACTACCACGAGTTAAAGACTAGATGCAAAGAATCGAACTAGCGGCTTTAATAAGAATTAAATTTACTTCGGACGCTCTATCAGTTGTGGCAAAAAAATAAATGAGATTTTTTAGCTAAAATTTACTTGATTGTATCCTAATAAGCTTTTTTTTTAGCTACGTTAGTCGTTGCCCTGTAACCTAATGTTGTATGATGATGATTGCTCTGTTATAATAGCTTATATTCATTTTTTGTTTGATCTTATCATTGCTAGACAAAGCGATTCTTTTGGCTACAATTTTCGTCATTTTTTCTGGGTTTTCAACTCCCATAAGGCCTTAAAAGGACTAATATACTCTTTACAGCTGCATAACTATTGTTGGAAAGGTTTGGAAGCAGAACATTTACATAACTCGAACTGAAGGAAGCTTGCTAATGTTAAGATATTGTTATAAGACCTACTCAAAAATTAAACTTCGTATAACAACGCTTACAACATCACAATATTCTATGAACTGGTTGTCAGATCAAGGTAACTGTTATTTTATGCATACAACCAAGTTGCTGGATCATTGAAATGTTTCCAAACATTATTATCACTTTAGTATCAATGATAATATACGCTATGATTTCCAGGACCACAAATACAATTATTTTAGACTACATTATAACGAAAAGACGTTTTTTTTTTGTCGATATTAATGCTTCACATGGTCGTATCTAAAGAAAAGCAATTTCAATTGCTTTGTAAGATAAGCGGAACCAATACTTCCTTCAATGGCGAGCCACAGAAAGGTACACCATGTATGTAAACGACTGCAAGTGAGAATGGGAATGAAGAGTGCTAATAGTGTTCCTTATACTGGGCTGTTGTCTCTTCTGATGAATTAATTTGACGTCTGTACCTATGGAATTATAACTTCTTATCTGGTTATGGAACACGTATCATATATAGCTCAACAAGACGTAATAGTATTATTTCCCCAGATGAAGATCATGTCATTTAGAAATAGAATTGTCAACTGTTTTGCGAGAGTAATTCATATATATGTTACGTCTGTCATTAGATCTATAGTCATTATGATGATAAAACTTTATTTTTAGTAGTAGAAGATTGAAGGTTGAATAATGATATAGAGCCACTAAGTAGGCTGCTCGAGCATAACTGAGGCTAGTGTAGACGCTATGCTGTCAGCCATATTTGTTTGACTATCACCATGACCACGATCATCCTCGCCACCATCGCTCTCTTCATCATCATCATCAACTTCATCGTCTCTACCATCGCTCTCTTCACCATCATCATCAACTTCATCGTCTCTACCATTATTATCACTGCCAACAATGCCTTCTTCATCTACGCGGTCATCAGCAAGTGGTCTGGGCGAGAACAGGTTGACATCACTTCTGTCAGCAAAGCAAACGACTACCATATCATCATCTCCTGCCTCGGGGTTGTACCTTGGTGGATTATTCTTTTTCAAGATTTCCATCAAGTGGCATTTGTTTTTTTTATACAGCCATACCCACTTGAGGTAATCTATCTTGATCAAGTGGTTCTGGCGAGCAGCTTCATAGATGCCATCAATACGAGCGATTAAGTTCTGCTCGTATCTCTGTGCCTCTTCCTACGATATTACCAGAAATGATTAACTGCAGAATGGATTTGGTATCTGACACTTACAACAAGAATGGATGTTTCCTCGACACACTTTCTAAGGGTATGCCAGTCTTTCATTCCTTGAGACAGTCTCAAGAAATCAGCATCTTCATTGTTTCTGAGCATTTGCAGCTCAATTGCGACACTGGGCACTTTTTTACTGGGATCCCCTAATATGTCAGCGAAAGATTGAGAAATCCTACTCTTGATTAGAAAATTTGGTAATCAACAGAGCTTACCTCCAAAGTTTCTATCGACAAAATTGCTAATACTATCTACTACTAATCCAACCTTCTTTGTAGAGGAGGCAATGGATACTAGCAGCCTAGCAGCCTTATCAGTTCCTAAGAAAATTGGTTAAAACCAATTTAAACGGCTTGGTGTATCTTGCTTTTTCTTTACCAGTCGAATTGGGCCAACGAAGCTCATTATCGTTCATGAGAATGGAAAAAATTAGTTGTCTTAAGATTTTAACCAATATTTTGTGGCATTCATCTTTGATTGCATCAAAGTATTGCTGCATTGTGGTGTGTCCAAAGGTTGTCGGCCTTCCTCCATGGACAATTAACTGAGGAAATAGTCGCTCGAGTTCATTGAGTTTTGCTTCCAACTGACGCGTCAAGCCAGTTATATAGCCACTAGTAATACTAAATCAAAATCAAATGATTAATTTGTTGGCTCAAAAATATCATGCAATATCTTACGGCGAATCTCTTGAGTTGAGGAAAATGAGTTGACCAGCTGTCACTGCATACTCATGCTTAATATCGTTCATAAGCAAGATATTTCCTTCAGCCCTTTCATGTAGCCTTTGGGAGTTCCTCACGTTGGAAAAGGGCACAGCGAGCGCAGTTCTGTGGCTATTCCACTGTACTTCGAAACTGTTGTAGGCACTCTTGGTCATGTTGAGTTGTCTGATAGTGTCCATTGCTTTGTCGTATTTTTTCACCAACAAATTTGCTATGAGTTACGTAAATTACGTGGTGTTACTGTTTAAATAAACATATTAGTCAACTTACGCAATATGCCTCAGCCAATTCAATAGTCATTGCCCTACGGTTAGCTTTGGTCATCGACATGATTTGCGCGACGAAATGATTGGCAAACGACCAAAATCTTTCTTGAAAAGCCATTAATCATCAATAATGCCTTTGGATCATACCTGACATACCTGCTCCTTCTCCATCTAGAGCAATGAATAAGAAGCTCTTAGAGCATGAAAATGTCAATCATCAAGACTGAAGGTCTTAACTGTTAATCCTAGTGCATGATCCACATACCTGGGGTTGTTTTTGGCTTGGCAAGCAGCACTATTATGTGCGTACGCATGAAAAGTACTCACCGCATGCAACACATTACGCTCGCTTTGAAGCTCTGGAAAAGCTTTCTTTTGACCAGTAATTGCAATCAGTATATTGAGTTTACATATAATCCAGGCCACAGGAACTTACGTTGAAAGTTTCTCTACATGCGCATGCTACATCATACATAATCAGAAGCTTCTGATCTTCTTCCAAGTTTTTAATGACATGTTCTGCACCAGCCAAAGCATACTTTCTCCCACAAAAAGATTAATTACAATTAGACCCACAGTCGACTAATCTCTTACCCTTCTTCCTCAAAAATATCAAATAGTCTTTCAACAATTCCATAACGAGCACAACTTATACTGAAGACACCTAGGAGACAATCCCATTTGGGTTAGATAACGTCCAATGAAAGATGAATTCATAATTTACCATTTTCATCAAAGCGGTTGCTGATAGCTCTGCGGTTATTGCTGAGAGCTTGAAACTCGCTATCTAAATTTTCCAGAAGACACTATTAAGATGATATAAATGTGAGCATTGGAATTGTCTAATATAAACAAAACATTTACATCCTCGGTCGCAGCAGCCTCTGCTCGATCATATTTGTCGACATCTGCTTTGTCACCAAACTTTGCTTTTTCAGCCTCAGAAGTGAGAAAGATGTTTGGATTGCCATTATCAACAATATCAATCTGTCTAGATCTCTATCATTTTTGTTGGAAATTTCCATCCATTGTGATTCCCTTTCTTGGTGCCCCCTGGTTGTATTCTGATTAGTTGTTGTACTCTTCAAAGGACAGTTTCTTACCTTGCATGCCAAGCAGCTGCAATCTCTTTCCGTATCATGTTGACGATATACGCTATTAATTGAGTGTTTTTTAACTCTTTGATAAACTACAGCCAGTTCGTGAAACGAAGATGGAAGAGGTTTGAACTGATATAGTCAAGAAGCCGATTAGAAGAACATGATTTCAACTGATAAGTGAAGTACATACTTTGGGATCATAGCTTGAGAGTCTCAGGTTACTAGCATTGTTTGCTTTAACAAAACCATAAACCGATGAGTACGCATTTAGGCGATTGTCAATCATAGACTCAAAGAGGGAGAAATGCACTGCAGAAGTGGGAAACACAGTTGCTGTTGGCACCATTTGAGACATCAAAAGCGACTCGAGCAATACTCCACTTGGAAAATACATCGCTCTATTCCATAATGTTAATTCTCACATTTGGGAGTTTTTCCTTTGGTCTGTATTTACAAAACATCATGAAGCCATAGATAGGCCATGAAGTGATTCTGGAGGTACAATCGCAGCTTTGGGGCTTCGTTCCAATAATTATCGGCGCATCGAGGCATGGATCGGCATGGCCATGCAATTCGTGGCTTTCTATATAGCTCTTCAAAAGCACTTCACTGAGGTCTTGCCACTTAAGTTATCTGTCTGAGAGGGAAGTATTGACTTCCTCATCAACATCTCCAGCTAGTTCATCTAAGTTAATGACATTTGATCCGCCATTTGGTCTATTGTTGGCAGAGGACGAACTAGGTTCTTGCTGGTTTCTTTCAGCAGAGGATAAGGGGCGAGGATGTCTTGCAGGAACAGCTCGACGAGCTTCATTCACGTTGACCCCTGAAGCATTCATGTTTGCCAAATAGTTTTTTACTAATTGTTTTTGTTTTCTTCTTTTTTGCTATTGAAATTCCATAGTGTACGTTCTGGGTTCCTTCTTCAGAGACCCAGCGGATCCACTTTCGTCTTTCTTTCTTTGTTTAGTTATTCTATTTCTAGACATGTTTAAAAATTAAATATTTGTATATATATATTTTAAAAGTGAAAATTTCGGAAATGCAGGTACAATGATAGTTGCTATTTGTGTGCATGTCCTAGTAATTTGATCAAAGAACCTTGTAGTCACACTACTTCAGTTTTTTGTATCACTTAGTAGCTGCCAACTATAAAACGAGATAATTTGTAAAAATTTCCGATTAGAAATCGAGAATAAGCACAATATATATAATATGAAAATTTGTGACGAAAACGTGATATATATGAACCCCATTAGATCTAGGAGTTTGCCGCTATATATGCATCTATACAGCACAGTTTTTTGATATCTCATTCATATATGTTTCAGTGCTATACCATCAGTAATGTACAGGACGGATACAATCTCAAAGCTGAAGCGCCGATTGGAGAAAGGTACGATTGATAATCAAAGCATTTTCGATTTTGAATCGGAAAATTCCGCCTAAAATTGATTTTTTTTTCAATTTTTAGTCGGAAGTAATAGTTAGTAAGGGGTGTTGACCGAGCATTTTAAGAATCGGAGCGTACAAAAAGGGCCATATTAACTTGCTGGTGTCAAGTTATCAATAGATACTTGACATGATGGAGAATCTTGCTTTTAAGGTTAGATAGTTGTAGCTTGCTTTGTTCGATTATAATAAGATTTACAATTTAAAGCATGCATATTCCTCCGCTTAAAAATAGCATCTCCAATGTTGATTATCTCATGAAGTATGCATTTCCAATATAATGTTCCCACTTAAAAGTTGGTCAACTATCATTATTATTCTACGGTGTATTTATATTGATGCTAAGTTTTTTCTATGGATTATATGTACTGAATTTTTTTTTCTATATGATATAGTCTGTAATGGATGGCTGGTCCTTTTATAATGAGTTTTGATACACTTAGTAATCCTAAATGCTATTGTTAAGCACAAAGAATAAAAAAATTATTATTTGTAGCTTATAAAAAATCTTCGATATTATAAAAACAAGAAAAGACTTATTTGAATAAGATCAGACACAAAAACTAAAGATTTATTGATGAAGACAAGAGTTATTCTATTTATACTAAGTTCTGAATGCCAAAGTAGCAATTTACCTTGTACAACGCTTATCACATCTGGTGAACCTCAGTATTTAGATAGCTGAGATGCACTTCACTTATCATAACTTGTCCATGTTGTTGCACAACACAGACATATCTAGCCATCAAGAATACCTTAATCTTTATAGACAGTTGTAGCCCTTCTGGCACAACAGTCATTATTCTTGAGATAGGGTTCAGAGTATATTCAAATATAGGAAGCATTTAAGAGTTTAATGTCAACTTGTAGTAACAGAAGTAGGATCCAATATAGCAAGCATTGAAGCGTAGTTTATTCGATAGCGTAGGCAATATACAGCAAAAAGAGAGATTCAGTTACAATGCCATGTATCAGTAAGTGTCTACGTGCACTGCAAACAAAAAATATTGCAAAAAGGATGCTCCCTGCCAGGATCGAACTGGCGACCTTCAGATTATGAGACTAACGCTCTACCGACTGAGCCAAGGAAGCTTCTTGATGTTCTTGATAATTTTAGAATATTCTTACTCTATTATGTAAATTTTTTTTCGTGTTTTCGGTCTTCTATGTGATGTAAGCATCTACCCGTACTCCAATATGCTTCTAAATGATATGGAATTCGGTATATCTAAAGCCTTTTATCTATATATATATGCTAATTGAAGACTCTTTAATGTAGTTAGTTTTGTTTTAATTGACATGATACGTACTTATCGGTAAATTGACATTCATGCATAGATATTTGTACACAACAATTGAGTATTATTACTCTCGAAAAAATATTAGAATTTAAATCGAGTTAATAGAAAACTGACGGCATCTGCTGCAGTCTTTCTAATCAAATGGTAGACACTGATTATCATCAGCTCCATTTGATAGTCAATCAAGAAGAGCAGTTGTTATCAAATCTCTTATTCCACCGCCAATGATGACAGTATACAAAATGATGTCAATACAAGTAATGTATGCTATGTCTTTTAAAAAACTTAACATCAGTTTTGGGGAATAAATAAAATTTGTGCTCGAATTCAATTATATATCTAGCACCTGGTTATCTTTACCTGCATGAAGCATCCTAGACAAGGCATACCTACAACAGTGAAGCGCATGATTTTTTTTTCTAATAAATATATCAAAGCCTTTCACAATTCAGTCGCAACTATAGATTGCATCGCTTCTGGCATTTTGTGCTGTAGTTTCAGTCAGTACATGTGTTCAGTAATAAACGCTCTAGCTGAACTATGTTGCTCAAGAATCCATAGCGGCTTTGGATTGTTGACAACAGTATTCGTTTACAGACTTTGAGCCACCTCATCAAGGTCAAATGAGCTTTCAACTCTTTCTTCAACCGCTCGTCATGATTGTGATGGTTCGCATCAAGAAAGAACAAGCGGCACTTGTCACCTTAATTGTCTTAACTTGGGTGTATTGTATTCAGTTTCGCGTTTGTGAGCAGACAAGGACAAAGTGCACTGACCAGCGCTGCATTGGATTCTTATAGACCCAAAAGCAGAACGATTTGTATCAAATAGGTGCTTGATTTAAATTCTTTGTAAGAAAAATCATCAGTACTGTGAACACATCAACTGATAACACTCATGCAATATGGCCTTTATAGCGCGCTTTTGCTCCAAAATACACTGAAAAAAATGGCTACTGAAAAGACAGTGATACAGTATGTTATTTATTTTAAAAATTACAGGATAGACATTTTCCAAGGAAGAAGAGCCATTAATGATTATTTCTGAAATTGACAAGGTAAACAGTAAAGAGGATGAACAAGAGAGCCAATCCCATATTGAAGGTAGTAGTGGAAGACTTGCCCAAGGCAGCATCAATAATCTCGTTTGTCACTGATTTAATACAAGCAGCATCTGTACATTTAGCAGCTTTATCGCAGAATCTGGCACAACTATCAGCGTTGAAATGGTTATCTGATGAGGCAATGCAGTTGGCGGTACAGGCTTTGATGGCGTCTTGAAGGGAATCACTCATTATCTAACAAAACAAGAACATGTGACCCCTTAGTCACTTTTGTGGATATAACAGTTGTAATAGTACCTTTTTATTGTTTGCTTTGAGTTTGATGTAGATCCAGAATTCACATTTCTGATCTGCTATTTATACAAAAATCAACCTTGATACAAATGTGACAGTGGCTGGAGTCTTTCATGTGTCTCAATGCCTTTTTCAAACAATCTAATTATAATTAAAATATGGTAACCAGTACACCGAACCTTGGAGTAACATGTATTATGCAGAACATGAATGATGATATACCATTCTGGCCCTTGAAAAACAGGTGAAATAAGTAGCATAGACGCCTCAGAGACATTGAAGCTAGCATCATGTCCAAAGCGTAACAAAATGCAATGTCATTGCAGCGATTTAGCTTGGAAATTGCTAAGCATCAACTTGCCATTATCGTGTTGTACATTGACAAACCACAGAAAGTTTTTTTTTTTTTTTTTTTTTTTTTTTTTTTTCAACTGATTCTTACTGGATCCAATGCTGCATACAAAAGACTCTGTACAACAGCAATCAAGTTCTGTTTTACATGAGAAATACTACGCCATGATCGGTGTATTGAGATTTCAAAAGCGATCAACTTGTTGCAAGCTGTCAAATACCAGCAAACATCCAACGGATGATCTCTACTGTATATACTGCAATGCCATGAATCTTGTTTGCTGTTGATCTGGACAAAGTATTGATTTCAACATTTAAGTCAAGAAGCTCAAGTGATACAAAATTTATACAAAGTTCTATGTGCTTATCCCAGGGTATCAATCAGCTTTACCAGATTTACACACACACACACACAGTTTTATTGGTAAGACACGCAAAATAGAGGCGGAAGGAGAGAGACAAGTGTGTTGTGGTACAGATCTGATGGGCGATTCTATTCATGTTCACGCTATCCATCGGCAAATTTTGTATACTTTGCATGTCTCTGTCAATGCTGTAACTGTGCGTAAATCAACCATCACAGGCCCTTTGCGAGGGAGATGTGTATCTTGTATCTACAAGAACGGAGCGCGAATTGAGCAATGAGATACTTATTGTATACACCAGTACAACTGACCTGTATACGCAATATACCGCTGAGATAAGCATTCTCCAGGTGTGTCTGATTTACAGAATCAAACGGTATCAGAAAGTTGCCAGAGACAACCATCCACGTTAAAGTCATAGAAAGTGTTTTTGAGATGAAAAGAGAAGAAAAATCGAATAAGCGTTTGGTTCATTGCCATATAGATCATATATCAAATCATGGATTATCGTTGACAACAAAATAATCTTTGCTTGTTGCAGCTTTATTATCAAATGTCATCAAATATATTATTATTAGGTCTACTTTGGGTGCCGTTGACATCCTCAAATCTAGCAAATGGAGATACATTGTTGTTCAATTGTTGTCGGTTCAACCCTGAAGAAGCCATCAAAAAGGGATTGGGAGATAGAGGCCTTGATGAGCTTTCTTCAATGGCTGCTGTGTGGAATGGGCGATGGTTTTCATTTGTTACAGGTCTTCCAAACACACGACCTCCTCCTCCTCCAGTAGTGTGTTGATTGACTGAATTAATAGGGGGAGGGCTAGGGGTTAATCTCAGGTTTGAATGAGATGGGGGAGGAGGAGGAGAAGGCGATGATGATGGCGTGTTTGCAGCAGCTTCTTCGGTATTACTCTTTATGGTGCCAAACAATCCCCCTAATTTATGTTTCACAGTATCTCCAAATGAAATCAAATTCGTCTTTAGTTTCATAGCATCCACAGGCTGACTCGAGTTTTCGTTTGCAGAGAACGAAGAGGCGGAAGAGGATGCTGGACTATCGTGGTAGCGTTCGTGATGGTTGATGTTGCCTGATAGGATTTCTTCGACTCTTCTATCGCGTTCATTTCGTAAGGTGTCGGGCACATTGGCTCGATGGTATTTTTTGTTGGTGTATTCCTATTCAAGCATGTCAGTGAGTGCCATTTAGAGAGAGAGAGAGAGAGATGATTGCATTTTACTCTATTTCTGGCACTTTGTACGCTGATACGAGCACTAGGATTGATTTCACGTTCTTTCAATCGACGCTCTATGCATCACATACGATTTAGTCTCTGTAGAATTTCATACTTGCAATGCATACCCTCTTTGACCAATCTCGATCCTTCTTCCACATCAGCATCCAGCAGTGCACCATTGTTGGCTTCCGTGTCATCATTGTTATTGATATCGTCGTCATCACTATTTTGATACGGACTCTTGATACCACAGAATCCCAAACAGCGACCTTGAACATTGAACAAAAGGGACAAGGATGGAATCAGAATGATGATGGGAAACCAATCAGCAAAAGCGCCTAAAAACTTGATCAAGTCTGCTTTTCCCATAAACTATCAATTTCGTACTTTTAGTATTCCACGATGCTAGACTCTAGTATCACTTACAGTTGTGAATACAGCTTTACTGACTCCTGGAGCATCCACTGCCAAGTTGATAAAGTTGTAACACAGAGGTGCCCTTTTATAACATGACTCAGCCAATCAGACACGGTGCATAGTGTTTGCCTAGTAAACTTACATCATTTTACACATGTAGCTAGTGAACCATAATAAACTGTTTTCGTCCGTGTGGTGGTTTGGAATAAGAATATACAGATTAAAGAACCTGATCTTAAACAGAGACGAGTATACACAAATGCACATGTACATGAGCGTAAAGAATGCCATGATCTATAGGCTGTAGCATCAATATCATCTAAATATAACATCCATGGGCTCCTCTGGTTACCTCTAAAGCAGCATAGTTGGTGCCGCATGCATTCAGCACATAGTATACGATGGAAATGATTACAGGCCGTCTCACGTTAAACACGATTTCAGACCAAATGATGCACCCGCTGATGACTGAAAATACGATGGCCAGAAATTTGTTGAGATTAGGCGCAATTCGCAGCATCCACCACCATTCTAACAAGCGTGCGTGTGTTAATCACATACTCTCTACCGTCTTTGCCTATAGCATCACCCACCCATTGACGCTTTGATATCTGTCCATTTTGTGCTGTTTTTCTTTGATCTTAATGTAGAAGTGAATCGACTAGCATCATCATTAGATTTCAATGCTGTTACTGCTGCTCTCTATCCAGCCTACCGATCGCGCTTGTCCTTGTTCTTGATGATATCTTGAAGGTAGAATGCCTCATTCAATAGATTCTTCCATAGGCTTGTCAAAAATAATGAGCACCACTCTAGTCAACGATCCCCATAAACAGCTACTCACGCATTTTTTCTGTCTCTCATCCGAATAGCCAAAATCATACGCTTTGAAATCTTGACAAGGTATTCCTCGGTCAAATCTCTTGGAATCGTAATGGAACTATCTCTCTCTGCAAATGCTTCATGAAGTACAAAGGGAAATCTTCTGTTCATCACATTGATACAGTGTCTGATTTCTGGTATCTCCATCATGGCCCTCTTGGATATCGCATTCATTGTTTTCGCAAGTTCGTTGAATTCGAGCTCACTGTCCATACATTCCTCCTTTAGTCGAGCGGCATTGGCATAGTGTTGAAACAAATGACGGTCGTAGCTTCCTGAATACCACAAACTTCGAGGCACCGACACAAGTCCATAACCCATGAACACAATCACGAGAAACAAACCCCAACTGTTTGCGGCGGCCATGACATAGCTCTGAATGCCCTCTCTGTAGTCGTTGACTGTCAACTCTGCTTTTGCCATGCATCCTTTCAAAGGCGACCTACCTTGTTGTCAGTCCACTTCCAAACACTAGATAGATCAATCCAATAGTGCCTACAACAACGTAGATGGAGTAGAATCGTATGTTGACTTGCACTGCTGATTTGAGTCTCTTGACGACGGTGAAATCGCCCGTATTGACATAGGCTTGCATCATGGGTATCGCCATCCATGTGAGGCAAAACGATGTCCAGTACAAAACTCGCCAGGCAATAAACAAAAAGTGTTGCGATACATAGGCAAACGGCACTCGGCCCTTTTTATCGTCGTGCACCGTCTAGTCTGGATGGTTAGTGATTGCCCTATCAGCCTCTCTCTCTATATACATACAGATGCCAAGTCTAATGGTAATAGAAATATAATCCAAAATGGGAAAAACCAACCTATGATACATACAACAGTTACATACCAAGGTTGGCTTTTAATATTGCCGTATCTTGATAATGTAAAGAGAACGATAGTCAACATGAAGCATGTCATCAAGACAAGCGGCAGCCAGTCGCTGTGATGTGTCAGGGGCGGCTCTGCCTCTGGTGGTGCTGGATTTGTTGGTATCGGCAGGTCTTGTTGAGCCATGCTTGTTTAAAAAAAAAAAGAAAAAAAAAAAAAGACGAGGAAGAAGGAAAAAAAAAAAGAGAAAAAACCCTGCTTTTGGGACATTTGTGTATCAATGATTGTCTAGTTGTAGGTCAATGATGAGTGGAGAACGAAAATATGGGGTTTTTGATGCAAATATTTATACATTTACATCACACTGCAGCATTTTACATGCCACCTTTTACGTTTGCACATGGCATTCAAATCATGATTCATAACTAAAGACTGCAATTTATTTGAACCTGCTTCAAAAAGGGCAAAATCCTCTTATATAAGCGCAAATCAACATGCTGATAAATTGGAAAGTACCAGAAGCCTGAAAATGATCTACGATGATTCTGATTTCCTATTCGGATCGAGACAAGAAATGTAGCACCACACACTATCTATATAAAGATGCGACATTATTCAATCTCACTTTCTTGATCTTTTTGCTTGCTTTTTCATATTCATTCAACATGTCAAACACAATGCATGCTCTCCAACTCGTCAAATATGGCTCTCCAGAGGAAGCCTTCTCATACAATGAACAAGCGCCAAAACCGGCCATCAAATCAAAACATCAAGTCTTGGTGCGTATCAAAGCTGCCGGTGTCAATCCAGTGGAAGCAAAAGGATCATCTGGCAACATGAAGTTAGCAACATTCCCCATGAAGCTGCCTGCTGTTATAGGTGCTGATTTCTCGGGTATCATTGAAGAAGTCGGCACTGCCGTCAAGGACTTCCAAGTGGGCGATGAGGTGTTTGGCTCCTTGCAGTTACCCATGTTCTTGGAGGGTACCTTTGCTCAATACACAGTGGTGGATACTACCAAAGCCTCCATTGCAAAGAAACCTGCAAATGTATCATTTGAACAAGCTGCCTCTGCTGGTATCGCTGCTATCACTGCCTATCATGGTATCATTCATAATGGCAAGACGTTCAAGAACCCTGATTTGAATCGCAAGATCTTGATTGTGGGTGCAAGTGGAGGTGTTGGGTCGTATGGTGTTCAATTTGGCAAGGCTATCAACAAGGAGAACACGGTTGTTGGTATCTGTAGCAGCCCCAACGCTAAATACGTTCAATCACTGGGTGCTGATCGAGTTGTAGATTACAAGGACAAGGCCGCCTACGACGCATTCATTACGGAAGAAAAGGGTACGTTTGATATTGTCTTTGATTGCGTTGGTGGAGAAGAGTATTACAATCAACTGGATCCTCTCTTGAAGAAGGGTGGCGTCTATTCTACTGCTGTGGGGCCCATGGAACATGCAGGATCTGATTATGTTGGTATTTCCCAAATTGCCTCTATAGCTGCCAAGCTGGTGTACAAGAAGTTGTTTGGTCGTCATGCTTATTACTTTATCCATATTCTTCCTCATGGCGAATTTAGAGATAAAATTTCGAAATTCTTTGAATCAGGCGCTGTTCATGGTACCATTGCCGATGATAGTAATATCGTTCCGCTTAGGGAGGGTGTTCGTGCCTTTGAACAGCTTCACACCCATCGTACTGTTGGCAAGATTGTTCTCCAAATGGATTAACTAAAGTTTTATTTTAATAAACTCTACATATCGTTTGTAAAACTCAACAAGTCAATCCAATCATAATTTGCATTGATGTGTTTAAAAATAATGAGCTTTATTGCTGATAAATGAGGAAAAGCATTGCTAGGTAAGAAAAGGAAAAATGAAAATGAATATATAATACACGGGTGGTATGTATATATGCCAAAGATATATCATGCCAATGCGTGGATAGTGAATTACAACCCTACTCGATGTATATATAAATAGGAAGAACTGTTACAATTAAAAAAAAAAAAAAAAAGAGCTATACATGATGTACATTCAAGGATTGGAAAAGGCAGTGGAAAAATTGTAATGAGCAACGTTGCCCACAAAAGGAGAGGCAGTATTGCTGCTGGTGGAAAAGTTCAGTTCATTGGTGTCCATCAAAGGATGAACATGGCCATGGATTCCACTTAATCCTTGTTGGTGCCCTGCTGCTGATCCTCCTCCCCCTCCTAATCCTGGCCCTACGCTTCCCAAGGTGTAATTTGGCTGGAAATAGCTTTGCTGATGTTGTGTATTTTGAGATTGCTGCTGCTGCTGAAGGGCTGGTTGCCTTTGCTCTCTGTTCAGTTTGCCTTGAATGCGTTTGCAGTAAGAGGTATTTCGAATGCCAGGTAACAAAGGACGAATGCAATCACCCAACTGCTATCCGTGTCAGCATAAAGCAAGTCTACGTTGATAATGTACCTTACCTTTTGATGCTGCGAATCCTCTGCAAAATCCAAGGCAGTCTGAACTACATAATTAGCATACGAGTCTTTCAACAGTTTCTCCAGCTGGGGACGGTTGACCATTTCCTCAATTAAATGTCGTCGCGTGTCTTCTTCAGCAACACGAATACACTGCCACAAACACTGGTTTAGACGCGTACAAGTCATTGAACAAAGCTGGGCCACTCACCTTTTCCATGACATTGGAGCTATACTTTTGCACAGAGAGTCCACTGATGTGTCCAATGAATTGACGTATCAACTTATCCGAGAATTGAGCATCTCCTAATTCAAGCACGTACTGCACAACATAATTGCCATAAGGGTCTTGCACAAGCGTCAATGCATTTCGAATGATTTCATCCACCAGCTGTTTCTATATAAAAACACATGTTAAAGGGCTACTACTGCTAGTTGCTTCCTCCCATAACTTACCTTTTGATTTTCAGCAGAGAAATCAATGCATCTTTGCAAGACACAGCAGCCGTGTCGATGAGTAGCTACCTCAATACAGTTTTTGCTGACGGCGTCGTAGACAAATTGCTTATCGGCAAAAGAGAGTCGATGCAAGCACTTTTGAATGACATGATTGCCGTTGATGTCCTTGATCAGCGCTACCACGTTTGGAGACAGAGCTTCGATGGTCTTTTGAATCTGTGGTGGTTTAGGTTAGATTGCAGGCACGCATTCTTACACTGTAAGTAGTCAAGAACTTGCCTGTTCTGGCAGTGTCAAAAACTCAATCATCTTTTGCACTGCTCGCGTGCCATGCATATTCAAGGAGATGGGCATAATGGCATTGGCGACTTGCTCAACAATTTCTGTTCTCTGGCTATCAGTGCAGTATTCCATCAGCTTTTGACAAAGATAGTTGCCAAAGGGGTCTGTATTCCATGCATGTATTAATACTGGCAAGCAGGCAAGTGCGTGTATGTTTAATCTTACCTGTCATTAGCTCTACAAAATGAGGACATATTTGAGTGAATATGAGATCACGCTGTTCAGGTTTCTGTTCCTCCAGCTTTTTTTGAAAGAATCGACAGCCATACTGATCTTTGCAAAGGGAGTAAATCTCATCTACTACGTCTTCCAAGCGGATAGTAGCAAAACGGTCTTGCTCAGGTGAGGTAGACATGGCATGGGTAGAGTTGTTGATGCTGGCATTCATGGTCGTAGCTGAACTGGTTCTTCTCAATTGCTGCTGAATCGAATTCTTTCTGCTAAATGTAGGTGATGTAGGTCTACTATGGCTGATGCTCATCTGTCGCATCAAGTGAGTAGCCAACAGAGGGTTCATAGTATTGGTTGAAGGAGACATCAAGGGAGGAGCAGCAACAGCAGCAGCATTCACCAAACTAGGGAACACTTGTTGATATGGAGCTGCTGAGGAACTGTAAATAGAGTTACTGCCATTCATTAAGGGCGATGACGATGAGGGGGAGGAGGAGATAATGGGGAGTCTACTTGCTGTCTGCTGATATGGATGGTGATGATCTACAGCAGTGAAATCGTCCAACGCACTTTGATCATATCGTCTCACATTTCGAGCGTCTGCATCTAAACTACCCATGCGTCTTGCAGATGATAAATCCGGGTTTGAATAGGATGGCGTCAATCTGCTATTCGACTTGTCCAAAATGTCCAGTCTTTTAGAGGCAAAAGAGGGAGCTACATCCATTGAAAATTTGCGGTGGTATGGCTGCTGTTGTTGTTGTTGTTGCTGTTGTGGATAGGGCTGCATAAGGTAGTTGGCGTGTGAAGGTGTATTTTGTAAATAGCCGTGCCAGTCAGAATAATGGCTGCTGCTGTTGGTTTGTTCACCTGCCAAGTAGCTTGTGCTCTTTGTTTATCACGATTAAATGAGTATACACATGGCTTAATTGAGTTGCCCATCTACATACACTTACCAAGTTGGGGTAGCTTTCGCGTCTAGACAGTTGCTGATGACCGTCCATTTCATAGTCATTGTAACGCATCAATGTATTGGGATAGTCTGGCTGGATGGCTAGATAATACAGAATTAAAATGCATGACGATGAGGCGCATTGTGCTACTAAGACTTACAAAAGGAGTTGTTACGAAAGAGATGTCTGTCGGTCGATTGAGGCGTGAATGCTGTACTGTTTGCGAATATGCTGCGAAATGACATGGCATTGCTAGTAGCAGTGGTAGTAGAAGCAGTGCTTGTAGAGGTTGTTGTAGCAGTTACATTGGAAGGTCTCCTATAGCAAGTTACACTAAAGATTTAATTTGACATTTTTTTCTCTTTTGCTTGTGTTTGTTGTTCTGTTTCTCTGACTCGCTCTCCTATAAACTATAACTCCCCCCCCTTTGCTCCCCTTCTTCTGCTTGTTGTTTATAAGCTCGTGTTATAAACTAATATATATATGAGGTCCCCTATACCTCCCCTTGGTTTATTTTGTCTTTTTTTTTTCTAGCTGAACCCGATGATCAGATAGATATAAGCCCTTACTCATTCACTCATCCGTTCACGCACACACACCACAACCATCAAAAAAGAGAGAAAGAGACTTACGTGTCTAATAGGGTGTCCATTGGATGCTGTTGATCTGATATCGTCAGACTACTGATGGTAGCTTGAATGTCTTGATCCGTGATATTATAACTGGAGTGTATTTGCTGATGTGTATCTCGTATGCAATCTTCATAGCTATCACAATCCTCTTTAGGCATTAATGTCTGAGGAGGAGGAGGAGGAGGAGGAGGAGGAGGAGGAGGAGGAGGAGAATTGATCATATTTATCAGTGTGTATTTTGTTTAAAAGAGTGAAAGAGAAGGATGATGAATTTGAGAAAAACAAATACAATGTAATTATATATAAGCTAAGAGAAAGAAGGAGAGACAGAGAAAGAGAGAGGGGCAGAGAGGATGAGCAAAACAACAACAAAAAAATCGATTTATGCGTCTTCTTAAAAAAGTAAAGGATTTATCCTAATCAATATAGGTCTTGTGGAACTCTATTCAAACCAAAAAGAAACGCATAGTGGACGTACGACAAGAATGTAAGTGTGCGTGTGTGATTTTGTACTTTGAGTGCAGCATGTACATTAGTTTGATTAACGTGCTCAGTAGAGCAGCATCTACAGACATTTCACTCTTTGTTTTGCAAAGGAGAGCAAACTGGATTTAAGCTTTTATCTCGCGTTGCGCGGGAGACATCCTCCGAGCAACGAACGATGATGAATAAGAGGGGGCTAAATGTCGTTTCAAAGTGGCATAATGCGAGTCAGAATGAATCACTGATAATCAAGGTGGATTTTGATCCGAGCCTTGGGGGGCTTCAGTGTCCATTTGAGCCAACGAGTAGCTTTCTGTATCGATGTTGTATCTAAATCCATTGCAACTGCACCTACATTGGCAAAGAGGCTTCCCTGATGCCCAAAAGCACTAAAATTTACCCCTGAATTTGGTTTACCCATGTATCACCACTATCACATCAAATGGAGTAGGGAAAAACGAATAACTTAAATAGAATGAAATGGTTGCTGCTCTTTTAAAGTGGCAGCGAAAGAGTTGTATAAAAAAACTGCGCGGCAATGTACATGGCAGGAGCACAACAGCCTGATCCGTTTGAGATGTACCTCAAAATGTCTTGTTGGCGTCAGTTTTTAGCTTCTTCGAGCCCAAAAATGGGAGAATCAAAGCATGGATGCGCTGCCAATTGATACAATTCAAGATATAGCTGGTTATATACACAAATATTGGGTGAGGCACTCGTTTGAAGCATGAAAACAAATCAAGTCAACTATGAGCGATTAGAAGCGATTCAAGCGGCATCGCCATTCTGCGATACTCAGCATAGTATACCTGGCTCCTTTCGATTGTAAACGACATCAAAAGATGCAAAGCAATATCGCGTCAAGTGAGTGACCTGGTAGACGCTGTACACAAGACAATTACATCCTTTGATGCTAATCCACTGCCAAAGGATGACTCAAGGTATTCAACATCAGCTTTCAGTGATGAAAAGTCTCATGACTACTTCTTTGATCAAGTTTTTTCTTTCTCCTTTCAAACAACAACCCTTTCTCTATTCCGTGTATACTATTCTGTTATAATGTCTTTGTCCGAAAGAGACGAGGAAACTACCTTTATCCCTCCACAGCCATTGGTGTCTGACGCCGAGAACAATAGACGATACATATTACACTTATCTGACAATGAGGATGGCGAAGTCGACCCTATCGAAAAGATGTACGGTCCCTTTGAGGACGCCCTGGACACAGTGCCGCCTTATCCAAAACCCTACGCGAGACTCGCAAAAACAGCAGAGAGGATTCGTGAGGAAGAGATTCTAAAGTTGAGAGAAGCCATTCGAGACATGGAACAACAAAGGGCGCAGAATATGGAGAGAAAGAAGCTCAAGGAAATCGAAAAGGAGTGGAAAGCAGTAGAAGGAAGCCGTCTGAGACGCACTCGTATATCATTTGCCGAGAATAGGGAAAGATTGAAGGCCTTGTCAGAGCCAATTGTGATTGAAAGTGATACGGATGATGCCATGGAAGTAGAGGCCGTTACTGATTCTGTTGCGGTGGCAGAATCAAGCGAGATACAAGAGAGTGAACAATCAGCACACTTTGTATCCTCAGCTGAAGACGAGATGCAGCTTACAACCGATAACAATGAGGACTCTGATAATGACTCTTTCCAGACAGCTCAAGATGCGGTTGAAGACATTGATCCCGAAATGCAAATGATGAAGGACGACGCAGCAAAGATTGAAAAGGAAGTGCACGATCTGAACAAGGAAATGGAGGCACGCGTAAAGCAAAAAGAAGATATCAAGTTGAAGTTGTTGGGAATCAAGGTCAAGATATCGATTGAAAAGAATAGAAAGGAGCTGACAGGGAAACGAGCAGCGACGCAGGCATCATCTTCTCCACCGCCCAAGTTGGGTATGAAGCGTGCATTTACAGACGAAAACTATCAAACTGATCAACATCCATGGAGGCCGGCTCAACCTGCTAATAACACACCTTTGGTTCCTACTCAACCCATGGCATTCTCACAGCAAATACCACCGCTCATGCAACAGCACTTTGCGCATCCACCGCCCACACTTGTGCCAATACCACAGCAACCTGTACCTTACCACACCGGCTATGATGCGACATACATGAACGGCCTATCTCCACCTCCACCGCCGCCCAATACCATGCCACCTCCATATATACCACCTCCACCCCCACCTCCACTCTCGGATACCATGTCATCTGCATATCCGCTGAGCTACAGTAACCACAAGCGATTCAAGCGAAATAACGCCAATACCACCAACAAGGGGAGTCGACATAAGGATGCATGGCACACAACACCCAAACGATTCACTGCTGCTGCTGCTGCTGCTGCCGTAGCATCACCTTATGCTGATTTGAATTCACCTATTTCTCGCATGGAAAACGCAGATGAAGTGCAAAATGCGCTTGCTCATCTCAGTGATTCAATTAGTGTGCGAGTTTTTGGTGATAAAAAGCACAATGCCTATTCTGCACATGTAGAACGAAACTTACCCCGTATTCGACGTTTGGTCACTCAAGGCAAACGTACCTTTGCAGCACCTGTTAATGTAAGTAATACGTGTGTGTGTGTGTGTGTGTGTCTTGACACTGACCATCTAATGCAATCATAGGAGGCTCTTCCAGGGAACAAGACCAACAACCACCTTGTGTTTCTTTCGCCAGCCGTGAGTATTGAACAGACAATCACATCCACCTGAGCCTTATGAATGTCTTTCTTTAGGGCTTACCTGCACAATTGCAAATAACCGATGCAAGCCATGAAAGTCCATTTCTTGGCTTACTGTACAGGAGATATCAAGAAAAACCTTTCCACAGCACCATGGAGTTTACAGTCCCCTCCATCTTTTCATGGATTCCTCAGGATGTCGACCTAAGCACGCTGTATTCGAATGAATTTGAAGGCATCCCCTTGTACGCTGATAAACTGACAGAGACGTACAACATGGTGTGTGATTTGTCCAGCGCTTACCCAGGTACCGAGTTCTTGGGCGCTTTGAAATTGGAGTTGTCCATGTATGTCAATGGCCGAGAAAGCGAAACGTTCATGCGTGATTGTCAAGATTGTGTGGCGCAATACAAGGATTCTATTGATGTGTTTTGGCAAATCGTGTTGGCTGAACCAGACAGATCAAAGCAAATCTCACTCATTCAAAACCATTTAAAGTCCATCAAGGTGTCCTCTGATACTGGTAAGCTTCGTCAAGGGGGCTCAAATGGATTAAATAACCCTTCTCTTTTTGTAGTGACCATGGTGATTTCTGAAAAGACGACTGAGATACTGATCCGAACGCTGCGTTTATTTGGACTGGGCCAAGTACTCAATCTCGTTTCTGACGGCAAGATTACCCGCATAGATGAATCAGAAGGTGGTATTGTTTTATTAGATCAGATTCAATATGTAAATGATGATGGCAAGTATTTTATTTGTATGTCTATTTTACACTATTATGTGACACACACCTTGCCTGAGGATGTGTGTGATATTTGGATAAGTACGCTTGTCAAAGATGGAAGTCCATCTCGAGAAAAGCCCTTGTTCACCATTGACTGGGCAAACGCGCTCAAGAAACACCCAGTGGATGGACCAACGCTTCGTGGCGCGACCAACATGCTTCTGTCCATGCTTCGATACTTTGGAAATGTAGCAATAGGCAATGTGAATAAGAAACCATTGTTGATCGGTGTACTAAGTACCTTGTTTTCATTTCTAAGTTGTACGAAATGTTATGATCTCATTGGAACATTGGTGTTGACCCAAGTGCTGGATTCTTCAGATCTCGCTCGAGATGTTGAAGACATCAAACTGGACCTCAAAAGTAAGACGGATACATAATACCCCCCTCTCCCCCCTCTTCCGTCTATTGAATAAAGTATTGTCGATATTTGAAGGATGTATTGGATCTTTGGCTTGTGATTTGCAAGGATGCAACTGTCGATCGTATTGTATGGTTCCAGTAATAACGATGTACATATCATTTTCGCACTGTGAACAACCAAGAATTTATCCCTTTCTTTTATACAACATTTTATTCTTTGCAATGTCTAAACAAAAATCAAACAAAACTCTATTGAAAGCTGCTAAGGAGAGATAGAGAGCAGCTCTACATAAAAGCACAAGCATTTATCATCGAGGAACAAGTATAACTAATATGTTGTCTTTGCCGCAACATAAAACCAAACTTATCTACAGCTGGCATAGTTGCTGATAAATTGGTATTTTAGAACGAGATAATTTTGAGCAGATGTTAATGGTAAAAGTCCTTGGATTATTACTACGTAATTGCTGGGTACAAGTGTAGCAAAAAGTTGTAATTGTATTGAGCTTTTTCTCTAAAGAGACGTGCTTTAAGAGTAAGAAACAAGCATTTTGCTCAAACCCAATTATATACTGGTTACTCGTCTTTGATGAGTAGCCTCGCCAGTTCAAGAGTGTCAAGAGCCTGTTCAGCTCATTTTCCCATCAGAGATCCAAGAAGTATTGGTCGCTCTATTGCAAAACGTAAGTAAAAGGAGCAGTATACTATGGTATCTTACTAATGCGCATACCCAGAGCTTGTAGGTTACATCTTGGACATATTTGATCAAAGCTCTGGCTCTCATATCACTCTCTTGAACCTTTCAAAATTGCGCCTGACGCCTGTTTACAGTCTTGCGACTAAAGTTACTCGGAGCAAGTAATAGAAGCCTTTTTGTCACATGGGAGCTTTTTGTAACTATGAATCTGAGCCTTCGTCAATGCTCCCAGTGTGTATTGATGGAGATAGTTCATATAAAGGCAGACAACATATATTTGCAATGTCTCTTACTACTCAAACATATGAAAAACATAGCCAAATTGCATACATTCGAGATGTGATTTCTCGTGTTGGAAGCCGTTTTAGGCCGCCAGATTAGCGCCAAATAATTGCACTTACTTACTAGCACCTTTGCTCAACTTTTTGGGGATCAAAAAAAAAAACATGGCCAAAAATCGACCAAAAACCATGAGGGATACCTCATGATTTTTATCGAACATCAAACGATCGCTTTTTTGACCTCAAAACTGAAGACTTTTACCATGGCATATATTGGTTCAAAATGTTTCTCTCGACCCAAGGCAACCTCTGAAATCACTTTTATGAGACCCTGATATGCAAAATCTTGATATTTCCACCAAAAACCTCATTTCATACTTTCGAATATTGCTCAGTAAGCTTGTTCAAAACACCTCTTTTAATTAGCACCAGCAGATGCGCCTTGAAAAACACTCCAAGACAGCTTAAGAGCGTATGTTATAATCTTTACAAATTATATAGTCGAATTCTGCAGAATAGATCAATCAAGTCGATTTCGATCAAAATCTGTTCCAAATAATATAAGCGGAGATTGAATATTTTTCGGCTGGCAAAGTCAATGCCTTTATATATCATCAGGCAATACATGTTTCTAAAAGGTAATAAAAAGGGGAATTTGTATCAAGAAATACTATAACTTAGCATGCCTGCTAAATTACATCTCTGTTGTAAATGTTTCTATACAATACATAGATCGAATCATTACGCATTTCTCGTTCAAATGCAAAATGCAACATCGCCACCTTGGTTAGCATTGCCGATCGTGAGGTGGCACCTTTTATGGGCAGCATGAGGATCGAGATTAAAGCGGCTTAAACAATTGGGCAGCCTGGTGACTTTGTACCAATGTATCTATCAAGACTTCTACAGAGTGAGCATCAAATGACCTATCGTTTTTTGCATCATTCATTTATAAATTACAGCATGAAAAAAGATAAGGATTAATTTCTTCCTTATTTTTTTTTCATCTATTGTTTTAACATGAAAAAGGCCACTACTTTCCTTACGACATGGTGTCTACTGCTTCTGTCCGTTTCCATGACAACAGCTCAGGGGCAACAGCAGAGCGTATTCACACCGCCAGACATTGCTATTCAAAATCAAGTGTTTGAACTTAGTCAAGATTTATTTGGAACCAATTCTGTTGAAAAATCTTGCAGTAGTTGTATATCTCTATTACATATCCTTAAGAAAATGTCATATATGCCTGAAGGATTTCTTGTAACCACATTGACAAGAGCATGCAAAAAGCTGAATAAAGTGGATGACGAAGTTGTAAGCATCGTGTCTCATTAGTGTGCTTATCATTTGTTTATTCATCATTCCATGTATACAGTGCGAAGGAGTTATCCGAGAGCAAGCACCCATTATCCGCAAAATATTGCCAGTAAGTTTGTCTATACATGTCCTCCTCCATCATGGTCAGCTAAAGTATCTATATGTGTAGTCAATGACCATATCAGGAAGGGATGGCCATCTCATGTGCGCAGCCATTCTTAATTCCTGCCCCTATCCAGGTAAGATCTCTTCAGTGATAATCAGATGCATACTCACGCTTTAGCAACAGAGGTAGAAGAGTGGAATGTTGAGTTCCCTAAACCCAAACCTACCATTTCACATGGATATGGTCCCGAATCAGAGGGTCAAACTTTTACAGTACTGCAATTAAGTGATTGGCATATTGATCCAGACTATCAAGTATATATGTTGAATTGGTGTTGGTAATGCATACCATATATTAAAGTCATCTACGTATAGGCTGGCACCGAAGTATTCTGCGATAAGCCCATCTGCTGCAGAACGGCCTACACTGATTTTGCCAATGTAACCAAGTCATCGTCCATTTGGGGTAAATTAGCGATGCAATGTCTATCAAATCACCTCAAACTAACGCCCTCATCTAGGCGAATACACTTGCGATACACCGCTAGCACTGATTCAGTCCTTATTAGAATACATTCCAACAGTAGAGCCCAATATAAAGTTTGGTATCATGACAGGTGATGTCCCCCCTCATGAGGTTTGGAACACCTTACCCGTTTTGAAGACACAATTGATCCAAGATGAAACGTATCGTTTGCTGCATGACTACTTTGACTCTCCCTTCTTGCTCAACTCCATGCTGTATCCTGCTGTGGGTAATCATGAAGCTGCGCCCACCAACAACTTTCCTCTCAAGGGCTCCAATATACCGCAGGAAATCCATCGTCATTTTTACAATATGAAATGGCTGTATAAGAGCTTGGCTCTCAGTTGGAGAGGCTGGCTGTCACCTCGAACAAACCCCTTTGTAGAGTCCAATACAGGAAGTTATGCCGTACGACCTGTCAAGGGCCTGAAATTGATTAGTTTGAACACAAACTTTTGCTACATTTTGAACTGGTGGTTATATGAGCATCCTATTGAAAAAGTAAGCGTATTGCAGACATGCCTTGATCTACATTCATGCTAACTACTGCCTTTGATAGGACCCTAACGGTGTACTGTCTTGGCTGATCAATGAGTTGCAGGACTCTGAAGACAGAAATGAGAGAGCTTGGATTATTGGACATATCGCACCGGGAGACAATACTTGCTTCCATGACTATTCAAACTATTACTATCAAATAATAGATAGATATTCTCATGTCATTGCAGCACAATTCTTTGGACACACTCACAAGTAATTTACAGCTACAAGTTGCTAATGAATCCAGTCTAACACCTCATTTACAGGGATGAGATGACCATTTTCTATGGTCATAACAAGAACCAAACTGCCAAAGAAGCCATCAATGTCGGTTACATTGCGCCATCCATCACACCGTACCTTAATGTCAATCCTGGATTCCGGTAAGATTTTAGCATGATTCAACTTTTGAATTTGTATCTGATTTAGTTCTTCTAGTGTCTATAAGATTGACACAAAGACGTTTGAAGTAGTCGATTCGATTACTTACACGGCTGATCTAGATCAAGCAGAATCATGGACGGACGGACCTGTAAGTCAATTTCTACAGCGAATATCAGTATCTTCATGCTCACCCGTTATGACATAGAACTGGCACATTGAGTATTCGGCCAGAGAAGCATTCAATTCAAGCAGAGCTAAATTAGCCACACCCACATCCCCACTCACAGCTTCATGGTGGCACAATGTTACTATGGATATGGAAGACGATCAAGAAACATTTGACAAATACAACAGATTTAGTTGGAAGTCATCTCCACTTGCCAAAGAATGCGATGAAGAATGCAAAAAGAACACTATTTGCGGCATTCGAGCTGGAAAATCCGAGCTTCGATGCGATTATGAATCTGATGTGTTTATGGGAGAGAGATACAAGCCAAAGTCTCATGATTGTGCCATGAATCTGTTGGGTATCAATGCTCGCTTGAATCAATAAAGCATCTATTTTGATCCAATCATGCACTTTACTAATATTGTTTGCCCCGTATAAATTAGAAGTGACATTGGGTGGCTTAAATCATGTCAGGGAAAAAAAGTTTAAACTGGACAACATGCCCAAAAAAAAAAGTCTTTACTACTTTCCTTCATCTACAGTATAAACAACAATGTCTAACATGGAGATCTCTATGGCTTACCCAGCCTCTAAATTTGAGGCTGATAACACTTTGACCAACCCTGTTGTCTTGGAAAAGTATCAACTCGCTGCTGATATTGTCAATGGTACATATCCGTAATTGCTTGTCTCTCTCCTTGATGCTGATTTTATTTGATTCAGGTGTCCTTCCCGTTGTCGTTAGCAAGGTCGAAACTGGTATTTCAGTCTGTGATCTCTGTCAATTCGGTGATGACCTCTTGACCGCCTATGTAAGTTGGATCTAGTCGACTGAAATTTTATGTAGACGTTAACAGATCAAATCAACATGTAGACCGATAAGATGTACAAGAACTCTGAAAGAGGTATTGCAGTCCCTACTTGTGTCTCTGTCAATAACTTTGTTCAATACTTTTCACCTCTTGCCGAGAATGATATCAACTTGAAGCCTGGAGATGTCGTCAAGATGTAAGTGTATACACAGGAGCACCAAAAAAAAAAAGGTACAGGTGATTGACATGTGTCATGCAAATGGATAGTGAATTGGGTGTTCATGTCGATGGTTATATTGCTACTGCTGCCCATACCACCATTGTTTCTTCCAACTCTCAAGAGCCCACCACTGGTAAGGCTGCTGATGTTGTTGCTGCCACTCATTTCGCATATGAAACCGCCCTCCGCATGCTCCGTCCTGGAATCAGAGTAAGTATAAACACATCAAATCGGGATAGTGCTATGGAGTAATAACATGTGAATCCTCCAGGCCTCAGAAATCACTCGTGTCATCACTGAAATCGCTGCCTACTTCCGTTGTCAACCTGTTGAAGGTACCTTTTCTTCTCCCATGAAGCGTTTTGTTTTGCGTGCTGGTAAGGACATCGAGAACCGTTTCCTTGATGAGTTGATTGTCCAAGATTTGGAAAAGTATGATTTCGAAGTTGAGGCCAACCAAGTATATCAATTGAATATTGCTTTGACTACTGGCGATGGTACCGTCAAGAACACTGAATACAAGCCTTTCGTGTATCAAAGAGATGTTAACAAATCATACCAACTCAAGATGAAATCTGCTCGTCAAGCTTACGCTGAAGTCAATGCCAACCACACTGTTTTCCCCTTTGCCACTCGTTCTTTGTCCAGCAACGCTGCTCGTCTTGGTTTGATGTCTTTGTTAGAACATGAGCTTGTCACTGCTTACCCTGTCATGCGCACAAAGCTCAACTCTGATTTGGTTGCTCAATTCAAGGGCACTGTCATGGTTACTGCTGAAGGTCCTGTTCGTAACACTCGTGCTTTGCAATTACCCTATGTTCACTCCCAATTTTGCATACCTCAAGCTACCACTGCTGCTACTGTCTTGAGCACACCTGAAGTCAAGGAGATCAGACAAGCTAAGCCTTTGGCCAGTGTTGATGTTACATTTGGTGATCGTCGTATCCAGGTATGTGTGGTTCATTAGAGTGACGAGAAATAGAAATTAACCCTATATCAATAGAAGGAGGATGTCGAGATGGATATGGAGTAAATTAGATACACTCACTCATCTACTTGTTCACTTACAGCCCAGCAAATAACCAAACCACACATCATGCAATAACACACCATTTTATTATTTTAGAAGCAAGCCAAAAAAAAAAAGCCTCCCTTAAAAAATCAAAAATTTAGGAAGTGTATCAACTTCCTTGGACAAATCTATCCTTTTCTTTAAACTATCATGTAAATATCACAAAGGGAAAGGGGTCTATGAAGTTTTAAATAAAGTTACAAAATATTTCTTCTCCTCAAATTACGTCTTTATGATGCATTTGTGAGCCTGTACAAGCTCAATTCTCATTCTGCAAGCATGTAGTAGGATGAGTATGGGTTTGTGTACTGCAATAGAATGAATAACGTCGTTTTGAAGAGAGCAAAAACTCCGTTTATTATTAAATATTTTTATACAAAAAAGGAAGATCTTTTTTATTGAATTGACATTAATCACAGTGATTTGCAAGTTTTTTTTTTTTTTAAAGATGTAAAAGGGGCTGGTATACAAGATATAGAGAAAGCGATATGTAGTAGCTGTGATATAAGAATTTTATAGTTTACAAAGGAGGAAGAGTGATCATACAGTAGGGATGTACAAAATTTACTCGGCTTGCCAGAGAGAGTGAGCAGCTCCAGGTTGCCATGTGGGGTTGGAGGTGTGGCCTTGAAGACACATGTAGACTTGACCGTGATACTTGACTCTGTCACCAGCAGCATAGGTACCAACGGGGTTCCACTTTTTGGCATCACCTTCATCAGAGCTGTTGCTATCACGACGACGGTGGTGACGCTTTTCGCAATCCTCATCATCATCATTGTGGCGACGGCCGTGTTCTTGCTTCTTCTGGTGATCGTTCTCGTTATCATCGTTACGATGGCTGTTCTTTTGACGCTCATACTCTTCCTTTTCTTGTTGGTAACGAGCCTTTTCTTGATCAAACTCCTCACGTTCTTGCTTACGCTTTTGCTCCTCTTCTTCTCTGAGATGTTGAGCTTCTTGTTCTTGGCGCTCTTCCTCCTCTTGCTTCTCATTATGGTCGTCATAGAGCTTCTTACCGAGGAAACCAGCACCGATAGCGAGGGCACCGCCGAGAAGAGCACCACCAACAGCAACGCCAGTAGCCTTCTTCTTGGTAGACTTCATGCGAGCACAGTGACCTTCATGAACGTAACTTTGACCGCGAACGGGTTGAGAACCTTCAAAGTTGGGAGGTTGAGAGTTGGGGAAACCGATAGCAGCTAATTGCAAGTTGAGGAGACCAGCCTTCTCACCCTTGGTGTTATAGATTTCAAAGAGACCGTTCATGTTGGCACCAGGAGCGTGGACAACTTGGTTGATGGGGATGGCAGCGAAACCAATGACTTCATTGACAGTGCTCTCTTCATCAAGGACTTCAACGTAAAGATCAGACTCACCGTTCAAGGAGATGGTGAAGGTTTGGTTCCAAGTGGCGTTCTCACCAGCGTTCTTGTGGGTGAATGTCTTGAGGTAGGAATCCTTCTCATTGAAATTCAAAGAGAATTGGAGGTAAGGATCTTGCTTACCGAAAGTTTGAGCAGAGACTAATTCAGTAGCAGAGCTAACATGAATAGAGAGGGAAGCAGAAGAGTGGCTGTGAGAAGTGGAGATGGTGGTTTGGCTGTAAGAAGATGAAGATGAGTGATGGAGCATGTTAGATTATACAAAAGGTGTGTTTTGTGTGGTAGAGAGCAAATCCATTTTGATTTTCTCGAGGTATTTATATACCTTTTGCCCACTGTAACTCTTGTACAAATATCGACAGGAAGCTTTTGATCCCGATGATTACCATAATAAGCTTTAGTGCCGTTCATCATCGAGAACAAGAACAGGATGTTCTTGGAGAAGAAATTCATTTGTTCACGTGCACCCCTTTTGAAAACACCTCGCATCAGGACCCCCATCGTGTCTATTTGTTTACCAAATCAAAGGCTTGAATGCGCGTATAGTGTTATGAACACGGCTCTTTTTTCGATACTTGTATTACATGAAAACGCCCTTGGAGTTTAATGCAAATGAACCATTTGGCGTTCATGGATTAAATGAATGAAGTAATAGCTCGGGTCGATTCCCGTACCTGACGTTTTTTAGTATGCCGCTACGATTGGCGCTTGAATACGACCGCCACAGTTACATTAAGCCCATCATCCATCGCCGTAACTCACAAGAAAGGTAATTTCGCAGTTGATTAGGATAAAGCTTATTTTAAGCATTTGTTATTTTTACTATCCTCACTCTTGGGTAGAACTTTCGTAGGTTGAAACAGGTAAACAGAGCTGTCGAAATGAAAGAGTTTATTTTTAGGGTGATAGAGAGTGAGAGCACATTTTGTTATGCACACTTTGGCATTTTAACACTAGCGCATATTCATCAAGCATCAGTGAAGTCCACCAATCGATACCAAACATTTATATTACGCAACTAGCAGTTTTTGTGCAAATTCAATCTTCATTACACAGCAAACATCGCTATACCATTTATCCGCGTATGTACTAGAGGCTCTCTCTCTCTCTCTCTCTCTCTTTCTTTCTAGCTACTCTACATGGGAATTGTCTAGATTTTCGTTTGCCATACATGTTTAAACTTGGTGCTTTCCAAATCGAAACCATGAACCGACCTTTTCTTCAAATAAGAGTAGCTAAATAGTTGCACAACACAAAAAGTTTAATCGCAAATATGCATATACAAACAAAAAGGCATCGCCGTGCTATATAAAGGTGCATGATGGCGTTTCGCAACATCTCGAATAGATAGATAGAACACACTCAACACTTTGATTCTCTCAATCAAAGTGCATGCTAATTTGTCATAGTGCCAAAATGCTAGAAACTATAAAAAAGCGGACGCCATGTATTTTTGCATTTTTGTCTCCATCTTACTCTTACGCGCTTCTCGGTCAACTGCTTCGATTTGTAGCATCTTCTGAGACAAGGGCAAGTAATCCAAGAGATAGATCTTTCTCGGTAAGCAAATTGATTTCCTCGACTCGATTTATATATATTAACCTCATCTCTTTATATTTAATACAAATGTCGATGATTTGCACGAGGAAAAGCGGATATTACTTGTAGATAGATGCTCTGATAGACAACAGTTGTTCCCTTGTTTGAACACATGAAAAGGCAGCTCGATTGATTGGTTGCAAATAAGGCGAGACAGTATTAGGATGCATTAAATGCGACGGAAAGGTGAGAACGTTTGGGGGAAGAGAGGTTGCATGATTCCGAGTACCATGTACTACGTATCTTGAATAGAGTGATAGCTTTTCATACCACAAGTGCGTTATAAAATAAACTTTTTGCTTTGATTCAGGTACCGGGAATAGTCATTGATGCTGTATTATACAAAGTAAAGTGGACACCTCGAAAATAGACATCTTTTTCAGTTGATACCTACAGCATGAAATCCAAACATCTTGCATAAAAATAATTATACCATGCAAAACAGAGGGTATCCAGTATCTCGACCTTCTCGAGTAAACAAGAGGGCTGCCTTATTTGATGATCTCGAACCTGAAACCTTGTCTTTTTCCATGTACCTTCATCATCAAATTTCATACAAGTTTTGCTAATGTGTGACAAATGATAACATCTAGGCTTATGATCCCGACGATTACTAGATTCATAGTAAAGCCGTGCATGGTATAGCAGCAGCAGCAGCATGTCATGGTTTGTTTCTTTTTTCTCGTTCAAACGTATTTGCTATATATCGCATATGGTTTAGAGCAGACCATCGGAGGATAACGACATGAATGATGGAGTCTTCAAAGAAGCTATGTTACAAGACATGCAAGTTTGTTGAAAGCACAGCCAATATCCAGCAAGACGTCAGGATACATTTGGTTCCATTATGCGCTCTATTCAAGCGCGTTCATCCGTATATTGAATAAGCTTCAGTTTGACAGATGAGAGCATGAAGCATGTATCCGTGACTAGGATCCTCTGTTCTCATCTATTCGAAAGCGGAGCAAGGCTGTCAAGGGTCTCATTTCACTCTTTTCTCCCTAGCATACAACCCATTGTTTAATGAGTAAATCCAAATTCACATCGTTCTCCAACAAATTTCCTACACTTGCTGAATGGAACAAGAATTTTAGACATAGAAGCTCAACAGCACCGAGAGCGACATTGGGAAATCAAAAAATTGCAGGTATGTTTGCTTTTTTCTCGAGTTGAAATAAATTGCTCGTTCTAATCAGATTTTTCTGCATAGCTCTTGGATTCAAACAACTCAATCTGCCCAATGTAAAAGACATGACAGCAGTAGAAATATATCCAGGTATGCACACGTTGGCAGCCACAAGGAAAAAATAGCAATTTTTGTCTGACAATCTACTGCAACTGACAAGGACTCGGCGCATGGACTTCGGTGTTGAAAGAGAATGGGTTCAAACGAGTGCTTGCATTAGAGCCAGTACCTTCCTACAATAAATGGATCACTGTGAGTTGGCAGCACAGCTTTGTTTTCGATATTTGACTAATGTTTGTCTAGGGATTGAGCGAGCAATCCAATGGCGTGATTGAAGCATTGAAAAAAGATGGCTACGAATGGGAGACGTACATGGATTTGAGACAGCCAGAGTATTTGGGCCCTCTGGAAGACAAGGACTGGACACATGTGCATCCACGTATCTTATTCACAGGCACGTTGCCTAAAGGAAGTCGAGGAGAACAATTGCTGGCTCAATTTGCGACATGTATAGTGAACAAGATGGCGATGCATACGCTGGGTCGTGTTCAAATGGCATTTTGGATGCCTGATACTTTATACCAAGTAAGAGGGGGGGGGGAAGAGAGGGCAAAGACTATCGTGGAGGAAACACTCATGCTGTCCATGTAGAAATTCGTCGCGCCACCAAAGAACCATATCCGTTGTAAAATGAGTGTGATTGCCGAAGCTTGTGCGGACGTCAAGTTGGTTTGTTCAACAGAGCCAGAAGACATGTATCCTCATGTAAAGTATTGATAGCAAGTTGCATTTCCCAGTGGTGATACTCATACTATGAAATAGGGCCAATATCATTTACTTCATATAGTACCTTTTGCTGAGAGTAATATCAAATGTAAGCGCATCAAGAAAAAGGCCTGCCAAAGCCTTGATCACTCATACTGTTATTTTTTTTTTTTTTAGCTCAATGGGATGTCTTTGAGTATGTTTTGAAACATTTATTTGTCATGCAAAAGCAGCCATTAACTCACATGGTCAAGTAAGTAGTTGAAGAAAGGTGGAGCACTGGCAAGTAGTTCATTGTTGTTTTGTATTAGAACTTTGGGACCTGGCGCAGATATCATTCTTGGGCGATTATCTTTTGATCCCAACATTCTTATTGGAGAAATGACAGCTGTTCAGTTAGATGAAGTTGCCAGGAAATTCGATCAATGGCCACTTCGGCCGCGAGTCCTCTTTGAGGATGCCTCTGTATTTACCTAGACACACATTTTGTAGAAATAAAAACACGATAGATCTTTTTTTTTTTTTATTTTTATTTATAAAGCATCAAAATTAATGATGTGAAGTGCCTTTCTTCGTTCCATTTCATCCTCCTTCTTTTCCAATGCACGAAGCACCACTACCACCACAGCTAGTATGATGGAAGCACCTACCAACACGGCCAGCACCCAAGGTACATAGTCAGCAGGCTTGATGTACAATTCCACCTTCCAAGAAGAGCTGTCTTGCACATGCTCTGGTTGGTATGGCAGGAACACCAGTTGTGAATTGGGGATCACGCCCTCATAGAAAAAGTAGTTCTTTTCCTGATGACGAGACACACCAGCAAACATTTCCTCTACATAATTGTTGGTTCTACCTAACCCAAACAAGCAGTAAGGTGTTTGCAATGCCATGTAGCCGGATTGTGCTAGTTGCGAAATTTGATGCGATCTCTTGACTCCTGCTGTGTCTAGTACAGTGAATTTGAGCGAGGCACCAGGATAACTGACACCATACGCCTCCAAATCAGCAACACCGTTGGACACTATGAACTGTTTAGCATGCTTGTCTCATTCTATATACACGCATAGGTTCTTACCTAATCCCTTTAAAAAGAAGGCATCATTGAAAAAGTTGTTGATGACAAAGTTGGGCGTTCGTTTGGCATCCGAGTTCTTTTGCAGGTTTTGCAATACCAAGATATCGAGAGAACCCTATCAATCAGCAACACTGCATGAGTTTTGCAAGCTGCTTTCAGTTTCCAAGGCCACTTACATCTTCATCAATGTCGAAAAACGCTGCTTGCGTTGGATTTGACATTTTGTTGAGGATACCAGCTCCTGTTGTCACGATGGAAAAGGTGCGTCTACTCACTGACTGAGCACTGCTTGAGCATAAAGTCGTATCGCACAAGATGGACTCTAATAGCAACACGCGTTGATTTGTAGTGACCAGTAGATCAGGATATCCATCCAAATTGTAATCGCCTGTATGCACTGGCACAGGTAATTGTCCTCTAAAGTTGGCATCCTCCGTCAGAATAAACTCGTTGTCATCCAAATAGGCATCGATATCGAATACCACGTAATGTTGCGTATTTGGCTTGGTGAAATCAAAGGTAAAGTTGGGGTCTGCGACACACAAATGTTGCGCACTTCGACATGAGGTAGACGCTTGTTGCGATTTACTGCAAAGACCCATTTGCTGGTTGTAGACGACATGAATACTGCACACCTTGTTTTGGCAGACAGGGAATACAATATCAATTGATCCATCACCATCGATGTCTGCAAAACTGAGCGGCCCTGCTCCGCTCGGTAAATCTGCTTCGTGCGATAATGCGAACCCCTCATCTCTGCGATTTGTCCATATCTGTATCGATTTTGATCCACTGGATTTGGAGCACACAAACACAAGGTCTGCCAGACAATCGCCGTCCAAGTCGACAAATGCATTTGAATGAGGGTTTGCCCATGTACAGCGGTCTGTCAGTGATTTGTCAAACAGAGGCGACGCAGATGTTCTACACAGAGTCTCAGGTCAGTCAGACAAAAGCGATGGCTGATGCACTGTACTCACACATTGAATATGGTACTGGTATCGTTTGATTCATTCAATGCTTCGTTCATCCATAAGCTCAACTGCTTTGTTTCCAATGAATAGCCTAAAATATCAGTCTTCATATCGCCATTGACATCTAAAACAATAGGTAATGCATGATGTGCTGATGGCAACTTGATCGTCTCTGATTCTGCGAGTAGAGAGAGAGAGAGAGAGAGAGTGTGTGTGTGTGTTAGTGAATGATCCGCGTACTGTTGTCGCCTCACAAGCATACCAAATGTATCGTTGCCATTGCCGAGGTATATTTGCATTTTGATTTCGTTTGTAGGGTTTTTATCTGGGTTTTGCTCTCCCATCAACAGCACGTCTAGTTTTCCATCGTAGTTGTAGTCTCCAGGAACGACGTTGGTGATGATGAAACCTGGCTGTATTGTCTTGCTCTTGGTGAGTCCTCTGAATGTAAATCCCTCTGAGAGAGAGAAAAGTAAGGATTGCTTTTCATTATACTCGTATCAATTGCAAAAAGTTACCATGATTCCATAGATATATCGAAACGGAAGTCTGGTCTGAACTCAAGATAAACAAGTCTGTACTGTATAATTTAGGTCAATATCACTATAGAATGGACATTACTAAAGCAACTCACAATTTATCTCCATTGAAATCACCAAATGCAGCTACAGTGCCATCAATGCCATCAAGACCAATTGTATCTGGCTCCAGATTGTACAACTTGTTCTTTGGAAATCTCGAGCCATACTGAAATGTTTGTGCCAGCGCTGCTGTTGGCAGAATACCAGCTATCAACCAAGCTAGTGTCGATAGTTTCATGCGTAGATGCTGTAACGAAAAGAAAAAAGAAAAAGAGCCAACAACCTCTTGGCAACCTGCATTCGACTTTACATAAAGCACACATCCCAGTGACTGTCTGGCCTATGTTGCTTTATAAAAAAGACAAGAAAAAAGCTTTTCTTTTCTCTCTCTCTCCTTCAAACATGCGTATTTGCTACTATGACTTGCTCGACATTGAGCGTCAGGCAACCAGTTTAGACATCAAGAAAGCATATAGAAAACAGGCTTTGATCTGGCATCCAGGTAGGTGGATGGTATCCATTCAACATGTGGCAGGCATTGACACTGTATGTCAGATAAAAATGGTGATAGGATTCAAGAGGCAACAGACAGATTTTCGCTGATTCAAGAAGCCTATGAAGTACTATCAGATCCTCAAGAAAGAGCATGGTATATATGAGAGAAGCATTGGCTTGGTCATCACATGTCGCATCTAACCAAAATGCATCGTAGGTATGATGGACATCGAGATTCGATCTTGAGAGGCACAGATAACAAGCACAAAGACAGTAGTGCAGGCACAACTGCCGAGGATTTGATGCGTTATTTTAGTGTCTCTGAATTCAAGGGCTATGAAGATACACCAAAAGTAAGCTTGGAGGAGGCATTGCTGACGACCTTTTAGCTTACATTGTTTGCATGAATTTATAATAGGGCTTTTACAATGTGTACCGCAACCTATTCCAAAAGCTCGCCAACGAAGAAGAGGAGGCCTTCCGCAATAACCCACCAGAAAACGACGACGATGTTCATTCAGCAACGTCATACCCATCATTTGGTAATGCCTCTACACTGTTTGCTGACAATGATGGTTATTTGGGTTACGGTGCCTATGTCAGAGACTTTTACGGCGCATGGTCCAATTTCACATCTGTAAAATCTTTCATCTGGATGGATAAATGGAAGCTCTCTGATGCACCTAGTCGATATGTTCGCAGACAAATGGAAAAAGAGAATAAGAAAGCAAGAGACACAGGCAGAAAGGAATACAATGATACTGTGCGAGTATGTCTCAATACTCTTGATGATGGTCTGGGTACTGATTATGTTCAGTAGAGCCTTGCAGAGTTCGTCAGAAAGAGAGATCCTCGAGTAAAAGCTTATCTAGTAGAAGAGCAAAAGAGAAAAGAGGCCGTTGCCGCTGAACAAAAAGCACGCATGCAAAGAGAAAAGCAAGAATTGCAAGCCAAGGTTGCTGATTACCAAACACCTGAATGGGCCAAGGTGGAGGACGACATGGAGAGTGGGTTAGAGGATGACGAAGAGGAGCAAGAAGAGGAAGTCAATGAGTTCTACTGCGTCGTATGTGAGAAGGGCTACAAGAGTGAAAAGCAGTTTACCAGCCATGAAAGCAGTAAACGACATATAGACAATGTGGAGATTTTGAGACAAGAGATGCTGGCTGACGAAGAGAATTTTGATTTTGGCAATGTAACGCCTAACATAGATGATTTAGACGGCGGTATACCTGTGGATGAGGAAGACATTGCAGCACAGTTGGATGAATTAGATCTTTTACAACAACAAGAGGAGGAAGAAGAAGAGGTGATACATGTACCATCAACTATCAACAAAAAGAAAAAGAAGAAGAACAAGGCCAAGATGGCTCCCAATTGGGGTTTCGATCAAGAAGCTGTGCCTGAGGAAATGGATGAAATGTCCGTGCTGGCTGCTGCATTAGAGGATGAAAAGTCAAAAAGACGTAGTAGAAAGGGCAACAATAGAGCTAGTTCGCCTGCTCCCAATGAAGTCAACCTTGCAGACACAGAAGACACCCAAGAAAAAGAAACAGTAGTCGAAAAGGAGAGCGCAAAGACAAAGCGTGAAAAGCGCAAAGAAAAAAAGAAGCTCAAAGAGGAAAATGCAACATCAGAGGTAAGCTTTCTTTGTGCTCATAATAAACAGTATGGTTTGACCAGTTGGATTCGATTAGAATGCGTGCAATGTCTGTGGCGATCAATTTGAGACTAGAAATCAACTTTTTGGACATATCAATGAAACGGGCCATGCTTTGGCGATCCCTGGGTCTAAAGGTGGAAATAAGAAAGGAAATAAAAGACGTTGATTTCCATTTAAAAGATAAGCTTTTGTAATCTAGTGTATCTGATATATAGACAGCCTTCTACGGCGTGTGCTTGTGGATATTGGCCTTCATTTCAGAAAAAAAAAAAAAACCAAGCCCATTCGTGAAGCGAATAATGGCAATCTCTTTATAGGAAAACTTTGGATAGGTACCTGGGATGAGATGCCAAACAGCAACGCGCACTGGCTGATGAATACCAGTGCAAGTTTTCCAACAAAGAGCGCCAGACATACTGCATGGTAAAAGCGTGATCTGCGCCTTTTATTTCATTTGCTTTTCCTTGATGTCTGATTTGTTTAGCTACAAAGCCAAAATACTAAAGACTTTCATTTACATTGCGTCTTTTGTATATAACCACAAGCAACTGTATAAAACACAGCCAAATTGGACGGTTTTCAAGCCTTCATATCTTGATATGCAGACCTTTCAGAGCCGCCGGAATGACCTCAAACCAAGTGTACTCGAGTAGTAGTAACTTTTTGGCATCTTTTGCTCAACTTTTTGAAGACCCAAAAAACATGGCCAAGAGTTGACCGAAAAGCAGGAGGTATCCCTCCTGGTTTTTGACAAAAAATCAAACGACCGCATTTTTCACCTTGACAATCAAGACTTTTACTACGGTACATATTAACTCAAACTGTTTCTCTCGATCCAAAGCAACTTCTGAAATTACTTTTATGAGGCTTTCATATGCAAACTCTCGACATTTTCGCCATAAGCGTCATTTCATATTTTCAAGGAGTCTTCAATAAGTTTATCCAAAACACCTCTTTTTATTTAGCACCATTGGAAGCGCCTTGTTGGAAAGTATTCCAAAAATGCATTAGGACGCACGGGCTGATTATCACAGTTTCTATAGTCAAATCTTACAAAATAGGGTAAAGAAGTCGAAAATAGACAAAAACTGTCCAATCTTGAAAAGAGAAAAAGCGTTCTGAGTTTGAATTGATTTTAGTGGCTGCTGTTGCCTGCTGACCAAAATGCCTTTTTGATGATGACAGTGATGATTAGGATGCTGATGAAGCGAGATCATGAATTTAAAAGGACCATCGCTTAGCCTCAATGCTTTTTTTTTTTTTGCTTTTATTTGGAATTTTCATATCTGAGGATGCCAGTCAACTTGGTTCACCGTCAAAATATACGTAATCGCAACTTCCTCACCATGATTTGCAGTATTCCAACACTACTAGCCAATCTATCTCCTCACTACGCTCAATGTCGGCGTCGTCCTGTGGGCTCTCGCCAAAGACATTTTAAATCAATAATGAAATTTTGGTATATTGAGTAGATTTTAAACAATTTATTATTAGTAAAAGAAAGGTTCTATTATTAGGGCCACCAGGGGGGGAGGGGGGGGGGAGAAGGCATCCTTTTTGCTTACACAGATATCAAACGAAGCCTATTATTGAGACAATGTGGAAAGAAAATTCAATTTTATGCAACATTTGTACATCACAATCGCCATTTTCTGATAATAGAATTGCCATATCATTCACTGCTGCTGATGCTCTTAATAAGATGGCGACATAAAGCTGGCCATAAGTAAGTGCAGGACTTGTGTAAGATCTACAGCGATTTTTTTTTTTTTTTGAGATATCGTCATTTCAAAAGGCACCTTTATAAGGCAAAACTCCCAAAAAAAGTATTTGCGTTAGGCAAGTGTCCCTTTAATTCCATGATTTCCATTTAATCAGCATCACAATCATCATTGTCATCAACAGAAAGACATTTAGGTCAGTCAGCAGCAATGCCGCTGCCAAAATTGATTCAAACGCAGCTTAATTTTTTCTGTTCAAGATTGGACAGATACTGTCTTTTTTCGACTCCTTTACTCTATTTTGTAAGATTTGACTATAGAAACTGTGATAATCAGCCCGTGCGTCCTAATACATTCTTGAAGTACTTTTCAAGGCGCTTCCAACGGTGTTAATTGTAATAGATGCTTCAACTGAAATTATTGAGCAATCTAATACATATGAAATGAGGTTATTAGCGAAAATAGCCATATTTTGCATATGAAAGCCTCATAAAAGTAATTTCAGAAGTTGCTTTGGATCGAGAGAAACAGTTTGAGTTAATATGTACCGTAGTAAAAGTCTTGATTGTCAAGGTGAAAAATGCGGTCGTTTGATTTTTTGTCAAAAACCATGAGGGATACCTTCTGCTTTTCGGTCAACTCTTGGCCATGTTTTTTGGGTCTTCAAAAAGTTGAGCAAAAGATGCCAAAAAGTTACTACTACTCGAGTACACTTGGTTTGAGGTCATTCCGGCGGCTCAGAAAGGTCTGCATATCAAGATATGAAGGCTTGAAAACCGTCCAATTTGGCTGTGCTTTGCTTTATAAGAACTTTTATTTACACGGCATGAATCACATCTTTGGTAGCTGAAGTCTTCTGGAAGGGCAGTTCTGCAGCCTATGTAATTTCTCATTTGAACAGGAGGCATATTGATTTCGGTAAAGCTGATTCATGAAAATTCTGATGCGATATGTTGCTGGTAAGCCTATTGACAATGGAAATGAAAACCCACATTTGCTGCTTAGATACTATGGTTTTGCATATTCACTTCTCTACAAGCAAGCCCTCGTATAGATCAATGCTATCAAATGCTGGATTGGATGTTTAGTTGTCATAGGTTTGCATCTTTGCGTCGCTGCGATCAAGCCCTCATATAGATCAATGTTACCAAGTGTTGGGTTAGATGCGTTATGTTCTCTTCCCAAACCTCCTCCCCGTTGCCGGCTTTGCCGATGGTTTTATTCACCTTGTACGGTACACAATTTAAGATTTTGAAAGGATATGATTTGTTTGTCTACTCTTTTTTTTTGAGTGTTTTACAGCATATATAGTGAAGATGGCATGTAGGCAGTATGCATTTCAATGATTTACTTCTTGGAAGAGACTATTGCCACTGTCTGAAAAGCTATTTCGGTATGCGATGAGGGGATTTTTAAAACTTGTATTAGAATGTTCATTGAGAATGATGGCTGTAATCTAGTCGGCAGATTTTGAGTACGTCTATCTTCATCAACAGTTAACTCCAATCTCATTTGAAGGTTGAGTTAAATGCGAGTGTCCTTGTTGTCTTCTTGTTTACTCAGGATATCAAGAGCGTGCTTTTAAGTGCGAATAGAAATGTCTTTCGAGCCTTGCCTACTGCTCAATAGTATTTGAGTATATTCTGTGATACGATAGCATGGTCTGACAATGACCATTCGGTACCAGATTGTGTGTGTGTGTGTGTGGCGACATGACATCGATCACTTGTGGATCAGTCTGCGCTAGGCAGTGCAGTCTAACTAAATTGTTCAGTCTGACATATGATATTCAATGTGAGGTCTAGTTGCGTCAAACCTGTCTGAATCTTATGCTGGTTCAGGTGGTCTTGTGATGGACGGTCAGCAGGAAAGAAGGGCCTTCTCTCTCGAGTCGCACAGCCAGCTCAAAACTTACCATGTCTCTTGATTTTCAACACTGTATTTTAGGTATACCATGTATAGCATTGTGAAAAGTTAACCCGAGTACGTGTGTCTTGTTTACCTGTTACTGATCAAAATCATTGTTATTGTTATGAAGAACAAAGGATTTTTTTGTCTTTTCTCCTTTTTCTCTCCCTCTTCTTGTTCTATTTTCCCACTTTATTCTCTTTACATACATAGATAATAAGCTTCCCTCAACCCCTTGAATTATATATATATATATATATATAAATGGACTCTTCTTCAAATACCACTTGTTCTCAATACGATCAAAGACACAGTAGACCTAGCACATCTAAAAAGGAATCATCGCATACACGCCATCAGTACAACATGAAGCCTATTCATCATCGACGAAAAAAAGAGTACGTTGAGCAACAAGAGGAGCAACCACCATCTCAACATACGGCATCATCAACAACAACACCACCACCACCACCACCACCAGCAGCAGATCCTGATCTATCAGCTGACACACATCGGTATTTTGCAGAGGCCCGATCCACACCGATCATGTATTCGACTTGCTCACTGCACTCGTCTACATCCACATCCTCCGCTTCCTCATTGGAATACAACAATGCTGGGGTAAAGATGACCAACAGCAATGGCCACCAAAAAGCAGATGATAATCGGTCTTTATGCTCTGCGCATTCATTCACAGCTGCACAACAGCAACAGATGGAGTATTTGAACAACCGACCTGGATCTTCCATGACAACCACGCATAGCTCAACAAGGAATCAAACCTTCTATTTTGGCACACCGCTTCCACCACAAAAACAGCAGCCTTATCAATACCATGATCCCACATGGTATTGCGGCGATGAATCCAATACGCCGCCATGGCAAACACCTGTCACCCTCTCTCAATCACAACAGCCAAGCGCCAGTGGTAGTAAAAGCGCATTCCTCACAAGGAAAAAAGACATGTTCCTACAGTCCAATGCCAACCATCGCCGTCGACTCAGTGAGGGCGGGACCAGCATCAAAAGCGCTTTCAGTACGGGACGCCAAACCATTAAATCTTGGCGACAGAAAAGAATCAACCTCATGATGAAACAACATCAGTTGCCTGATTTTGAGACAAAGGCATTCTGTGAGGTTTGCGAAAAGTACATTCAAACACGAATAAGGTATCGAAATGGATCCATGGTGTGGCTCATGTCATTTATTCTGTAAGTCCAGAGCTGTGATTTTTGCATTGATTCAAGAGATGAACAATGAATGTGTATCTAGACTCCTATGCACCGTTGTCTTATTTTGGGTTCCATTTTACGTCAAGTATTTCAAAGGTAACATAGATACAAACTCAATGGAAGCAACATGTACCACTTTGCAGTTTCATCTCAATGTCTTGTATATGTTTACCAGATGTTGCTCACTTTTGTCCTGGCTGCGGGAAGCAATTAGGCGTATCCTATCGCTTGTAACACACGGAATATATCGAGGATTTGAATATGGCTGGTAAATAAAAGAGCAATGCACAAGTATGTGTGCTGCTAGAGTGTCCTTTTTAGTGTTTGCGTCTTATCTCTCTTTTACCATTGTCATACCCCAGCAACGGATATTTATATATATATATAATGCTCGAGAGAAGAAGGGGGGGGTATATGTATATAAATTGCAGAGAACCAGCACACGAGCATCTAATGTAAGTGCTTTATTGGAATATATTTTCAGCACGTGTAAAATAGACTGAACAAGGGGGGTTTATTTTTTAAGGTTATGAAGAGATCGTCGCCTGTTTCTTCTGGTGTGTTGTTGGGATTTGGCTTACATTTGGGTTCACATCAACATGAGAGACCTATTTACAGCTTTTTTTTTTTTTTTTTTTTTTTTTTTTTTAGAGCGGAGCAGGCGATATTTTTAATTTGAGTGTGTTACTAGACCCATTTTTTTTTGTTTGATATAAATATAAAACTGGATTTCGTTTGGGCTTTGGTCTCTTTTCTCTCTTCTTTTTCTTCTTTTCTCTATTATTTTATTAATACGTTTCATCCAATATGGTCGCTGTCAAGAACATTTGTTGTGTGGGTGCTGGCTATGTCGGTAAGTTGATTGGTGCGCAATCTCTCAAGAATGTGTGTGTTGACTCATGAACCTTAAAAGGTGGTCCCACTTGTGCTGTCATTGCCTACAAGTGTCATCATATCAAGGTTACTATCGTCGACTTGAACCAAGCTCGTATCGATGCCTGGAACTCTGACAAGCTTCCTATCTACGAACCTGGATTGGAGGACGTTGTCTTTGACCGTCGTGGTAAGAACTTGTTCTTCACCACTGATGTCGATGCTGCCATCCAAGAGGCCGATTTGATCTTTGTCTCTGTCAACACACCTACCAAGAAGGCTGGTTTGGGTGCCGGTATGGCTGCTGATCTTGCGTAAGTACACATGCATGACATATCCAGAGAGAGAGAGAGAGAGAGAGAGAGAGAGAGAGAGAGAGAGAGAGAGAGAGAGAGAGAGAGAGAGAGAGAGAAAGAGGGACGCGCGCCCTGACCCTGTTACTCATTCTCATCCATCTTGTTAGTTACATTGAAGGCGCTACTCGTCGCATTGCCGAAGTTGCTACCAGCTCCAAGATTGTTGTTGAGAAATCCACTGTCCCTTGTCGCACTGCCGAAAGCATGCGTACCATCCTTGAAGCCAACTCTACTGGCGAGATCCACTTTGATATTCTGTCTAACCCTGAATTCTTGGCAGAAGGCACTGCCATCAAGGATCTCCTCAACCCCGACCGTGTATTGATTGGTGCTCTCCAAACACCTGAAGGTATTGCTGCTCAAACTGCTTTAGCTGAGGTCTACACCAACTGGGTCCCTGAGGACCGTGTTATCACTACTAACCTCTGGTCTTCCGAACTCTCCAAATTGGTAAGTATGATAGAGAATGTGGGAAGGGCAATCATTCAATGTTCACATTGCGTTTAGGCTGCTAATGCCATGCTTGCTCAACGTATCTCATCTATCAATGCCCTCTCTGCTATCTGTGAGGCCACTGGTGCTGATGTCGATGAGGTTGCTTATGCTTGTGGTCGCGATACCCGTTTAGGTTCCAAGTTCTTGAAGGCCTCCGTTGGTTTCGGTGGTTCTTGTTTCCAAAAGGATATCCTCAACTTGGTCTATCTCTCTACACAACTCAACTTGCCCGAAGTCGCTGAATACTGGAAGCAAGTCTATACCTTGAACGAATATCAAAAGAAGCGTTTTGTCAAGAAGATCATCTCTACTCTCTTCAACACCATCACCAACAAGCGTATTGCCGTTCTCGGTTTTGCTTTCAAGAAGGACACTGGTGATACCCGTGAGTCTGCTGCCATCACTTTGATCAAGGACTTTATTCAAGAACAAGCCCATGTTGCCATCTACGATCCCAAGGTCGAACACGAACAAATCTACATGGACCTCACTGAACCCACTGTTGCCGATAGCCGCAAGCAAGTTGAAAAGAGCATTACCATCTGCTCAAGTGCCTACGAGGCCGCCAAGGATGCTGATGCTGTTGTCATTGTCACCGAATGGGACGAATTCAAGTCAGATGCTCTTGATTATCAAAAGATCTACGACAACATGCACAAGCCCGCTTTCTTGTTTGACGGTCGTTTGTTGTTGGATGCTGCTGAACTTCGCAAGATTGGTTTCAAGGTTCACATCATTGGTAAGAATGAGCTTGCTGGTACCGCTTAATTTATTTTCTTTCTGTTATCCCCCCCCCCTTTTTTTCCCAATTTTTTGTTTATCCCATCCATTTCATTGTGTGCATTTGAAAAAAAAACAACGTTTTCCATTATATAAATTCCTCCCTCCCTCCCTCCCTTCCTCCCTTCCTCCCTTATCACAAAAAAGAAAATAAATTGAACATTAGAATTTTTTTTTTTTTTGTAAAAATGGCAATAGTTGACTCAAAAAGATTTGACACACGTTTTTCGTGAAACTTGATTTGTGTTCTATACTAATTACTTTGGTATTGAAGCTCAATTGGGGGCCTGCAAGAAGAAACTAGACAAATGGATGACTCCAACGTTTATTAAGCATACAAATCCATCAAATCAGAAAAAAAGACCCTGATCCCCCTTTAATGAAATGACGATTGTCTCAAATAATTTGCGATGTTTCCGCTCATTCTTTTAGTGTAACTGTCTGATTCGAGATCTTTGAGTGCTATCAAGATGAGGATGGCCTCTTTGTTGGCACAGACCATTTGATGATGCGAGGCAACATGATGATCTTGCCATGAACCAAGGAACCTTATCCATGCATCTGTTACCTATGCCATGTGCATGACCAGAATGTCAGGCACACAATAAAATGGGCATTTTCTAAAATAGAGCTCGATCTACTCGCCAGCACAATCTGCTCCCAGATGTATATCAATGATGTAAGGGATGAATAGTGAACATGTTGCCTAAAAAGTAAATATCTCACGTAGCCAATACTCTTTTCTTTTCAGAACGAGCGAGCGTTTAATCAAAAGGTCATTAAAACTGTGTTCCTAGCGTATGTTACACACTATATTTGATAGAAAATCGCTTTTTGTACTAGGTGTCATGGAGCAATTATTTAGTAAGAGTTTCTTTGAGCGAAATTTACGCACTAGAGCCAAATGGATTTCGAAAGAGCGATGGGTGGTAGATATGTCTCAATGCGGTATGATAGCTCGCATCCACAATATTGACTGGTCGCTTTCTATTGAAAAGCAGAGCAGTATCAGCGAATGCATTTGTAGATTGGACCTCTTTCCAAGATGATGAGATAATTGATATGTAGGGTATGAGGCAGTATGACACTCTGACTCGTAGGTGTGCTGGCTTCTTTCGATCCATCATTCCAAAGTCGTTCACACAGGGCATTGCTGATTGTTTTCATGCATCTTGAGAGGGCAATTCACTGCAACTCTAATCGTATTTAAAACGCTAGCGCAGATCAGCCAAACCCGTATTAATATTAGCATCACTGATCGTCTTACATCGTTTAACCAATCAAGTTGATCACATCCTTTCTATGTAGTGTCCAAGCTTACTTCAAGACACATCCAGTGGAGATGGTGAAGCCATAATACTCCAAGCTTGCGTCCAAAAATCGAGGATAACTTACATCAGCTTGAGCTGTATTATAAGCATAGGAAAAAACCTCGTTCTAGATGTCTTTTTTGAACAATCCCAATGACTAGGTGGAGGCATAAACAATGCATTGGTATTCTGCAGTGGGTGTTGATGTAAACTAAGCCATGAATTTATTGAATGCTGTATTGTCGAGTGATGATGAGTATGCAATCTCTGCAAATTGTATCCATAAAAGTAAAAAAAAGGGGGGGGGGTAGTTGATCTAAAGCGAGTATGGTCTATAATAATATGGATGATCTAGTAGTAATTTTGAATGTTGTAGTAATAGCTATAAATAATGAATGGGTGAATTGAGAGTGAGAAAGACGGAAGGGTGACGGGAGAGGGGTATATGGATTTGATCTCTATAGACGACGATCAGGAGAGTCTTCACAGTCTCGAACAACTGCAACAATGACACTGATATCATCTGCTTTACCACCTTCCATCAAAAGACCTTCCTCCATGGCCCGTCTTTGGAAAGGGGTATCTACATTGCGTTTGGATTCGCTTACTTCTTTCGCTGCATTTGCCAAGATATCAGACAGGATTTGAGGCTGCAGGTTTCTCACACGAGGAGGTCGTTGGGCATTTCCAGGAATTGTGTGTGCATGCACATGGTCTCGAACCAAACTCAAGATGGTTTTATCAAACAGATTATCGTACAAGCCGTCTGTGCCCATAATGATAATATCGCCCTTCTTGACCTTGATGTTGAAAGATTGCGCGTGGTGAGGCTGATCTCGGGATCGAATGCCCAATTGATATGGAAAGTTGAATGCATGCTGTTGTTCCTCGCTGCGAAAGATGTAATGGTTGTTACGGATGATAGAAATGCCACAATCTCCAATATTGGCCACTCGCAATTCATCATGGCGTAACACGGCGATACAAGCGGTAGTAGATCCAAGCACATTGCTCTTTTTGGCTTCCACTAAGCTTTGTTCATAGCTACGTTGCAAAATGTCAACAGGATTGGTTTGGCTGTATTCAAAGAACATGGGATCTTCAGTATCCTCAAATCTGTCCATTTCGAGGTTAGCGTAATGCATCAGTTGGCTAGAATATAAAGCCGAGTTTGAACCTGGTAGAAGTAAAATGATTGATATAGAAATTGATCCGGGTTAGACATACTGCTATAATACAACAAGGATGATCTCCGCAGAGATGTAACCATAAAAAAATTTTTACCTGCAGTCTGCTGCCAGCCACCAATTCCATCAGCAACGCCAATGGCATCAGAACGTCTAAAATAAGCGTCTTCACCCACTTGAGCACTTTCAGATGACCAGGATGAAGAGGTAATGACAGATGTCTCGGTGTTGGATCTCTTTTTAGCAAATCCAGCTGCGCCATGGCCAAGCTTGTATGATTGCTGAGGCTTGGTTTGGGCAAAGAAATCAAACAATGGCAATGATTTGTTGTTGTTGTTGTTGGTGGTGGTGGTATAATCGTAAATGTGATGGTTGTTCAATGCAGAGGGTGAAATTGATTTGGTGAATGCTCTTTGTTGTTGCTTGTTGACTACTGCTACTTTCGCCACTGTCGCCACCAGCTTGGATCTAGTTGAACTTTGTAAAGATGCAATCATTTCTTTTGTAGATTTAAACCAAAACTGGATAGTAACGAGTGGGAGGTAATAAAGAAATCAAAAATGTGGAGATGTATGTCTCAGAGTATTTATACTATAGTTTTAAATGGCCGATTCCGATGTGCTACGATTAGATTACGGGGAAAGAGAAGGAAAGGAATACAAACATTTCGCACGGGTACATTGCTGATTCTGGAAAAATATAAGGAGAAACGGCTACTTTACAGATTTTCATTACTACTGTAAAAAAAAAAAAAAAATTGATACATTATGTATGAATTGTGGAATTACGCTTATATTCTAGTCATGATATAGAATCATTTACCTAAGAAATGCCAGATAATGCAAATATTAGAGTAGGACAGTGGTCGTCATTTAGCTACATGCTATCTTTATTGGCATTTGGTCGGATTAATTCATGCAAATAGCATCACTCATAGTCGAGGCCATTGCACATGGTGCCATGCTGTTAGGCTATCAGCATACCTTGGTAAGGATTTGGATAGTTGCTGTTTGTTTATCTGGTGATACAGAAGAGCCTGAGAAACTCATAAACAAATAACTACTGCTTTGTGTATCAGGCACATTCGCTGTTCCTGAGTTTCTGTATTGCATATCCATTCGCCTGCCATCCCGTTTATGCTCAGCGAGAACCGTGCTCTATCTTGTTTGATTTATAAGTGAAAGTGAGATAGGGTTGACACTCGACGTATTGCGTGCAATGTAGTTATTTTGGGTTTCGCTTTGAAGGAATCCGCATTTCAATGAACCATTGCAACAGTTAAATCTACCAAATACAAAAAATGTGCTATTTATTATTTAGGTAGCTGTCAGGGTATAATAGCTGCCAATTCGCTATTCCCTTCATATGAGCTCCAAAAACATCCATTGCCTTCATCAAAAGGCATTTGCCAGCAGCCAAAATATTCAACGTCCGCTAGCCACTTCTTTTGCTTCGAATCGTTCATTTTTGATTAAATTCGACTTAACTGGACCATTTCGTTCGATTGGACTCTATAAATTGTGATAATCAGCCCATACTTCCTGATACATTCTTGGAATACTTTTCAAGACGCTTCCAATGGTGTTAAATAAAAGAGGTGTTTTGAATAAGCTTATTGAGGAATCCTTGAAAAATACGAAATGCCGTTTCTGGCAAAAATGTCGAGATTTTACATATACAGGTTGCACAAACAAAGTTTCAAGAGTTGCCTTGGATCAAGAGAAGCAATTTGAGTTAATATATGCCATAGTAAAAGTCATTTTTTTTTTCAGGGTGAAAAACGCGATCGTTTGATTTTCGTCAAAAACCATGGGGGGTACCTCATGCTTTTTGGGTCCCTAAAAAGTGGAGCAAAGGTGTCAGTAAGCAAGTGCTTGTCGAGGCTGGTTGTTTGGCGCTATTCTGGCAGCCTAGAATGGCTTTTGACACGAGAAAACGCGGCCCAAGTATACTTAAATTTCACAGGGTTTTGTATATTTTTGAGTATGTAGAGGCAATGCAAGTACGCCATCTGCCTGTATATGAGTTATTCCAGCTGATGCAAACGTAATGTATTCAAGGAGAACCAGAATTACAGATACAGATCGTACATGGAGGTTTACAAGTTTTTATGGATTGCTTCGAGATAAGAATACAACGTTTGAAGAGAGGACAAAGGAATGGAATTGGTATAGAATCAAGCATGTGATAGTATTGCATGCAGTTCTTGACACATTCTCATAACATAGACACTGTGGAGCTCATTGGTTGCATATGGCCGCTCAAAGCTTTAAACGCACGCATATTTGAGTAGAACAGTTCCTCGTTTACTAAATGCTTGCCACATTCAAAACGAGGCAATACTATGTAAATTTTGACTGCAAATGTCAAGCACCTGTACAAAACAGTTTAAAGCCGACCGAGTTCTAGTGTGTTATGCCAAGGGGAGAATAATGAATGTCCAGATCTAGTATAGTCTGATGAGACCAAATAGTCAATTGACGCATTCAAATGTCAAAATCAAAAAGAGTGTTTGATCGCTGATCTTACAGAAGATGAAGACATGTCGTAAATATTAAGCAGGCAATACTTGATATTTGTGTGCTCCATACACCTTTTGTTGCTATGCAACATGCGATTCAATACTCAGTTGAGGTCACGAAAGCATCATCATCATCATTCCGACGACGCAGTGCTGCCCAGCATCGCCTAGCACGATAGAAGCGAGCAGTTAAGCTACCCAGCAAGCAAAAAAAAAAAAAAAAAAAAAAAAAAAAAAAAACTCTCTTGCATCCATTTGCTGCCTAGCAAGTGATATCATTGCTGCTTGCATGTACAATACAATGCCCTTCAAATGCCATTCCCAAAAAAAAAAGAGGCTGATAATGCAACTTGATTTAAGAACTCTCATTGGATATGTTAATGAAAATTTTTCTCTGTTTGCCTCACTTGAGCACCAGCGTCCTTTTTGTTGGGAGACCCAGTTTGTTCTTCCGCAGACATGGTATTTAAAAGGTGGACTTGTATTCTTTTCCATTCTCTTTTTCTTTATAAAACTTTTTTTTTTTTATAAAACCTAAAAATGTCTTACCGTTCAAGTGGAATCTGTTACAAGTGTGGTGAACGTTAGTAGAAACTCTTTTTTTTTTTTTTTTTTTTTTTATTGTATTCTTGCAAAAGAATGGGGTGTCATCTGAAAAAGGGAGAGAGGGGACTGATTGCATTGATGCAATCAGCGCGCGCTTTCTTTTGGCACATGGTCAATCGACTCTTGCCTCTCTTCCCACCTCGCTCATCCTCTCTCTTTTTCCTTTCTGATACTCTGATACGACTACTGTCTTTCTTGCTTTTTTTGTTTGATTATTTATTGCATTGTCAATATAATAAAGATGAAGAGAAGAAGGAGAGAGTAGTTTATATATATTATACAACTTGCATGTCTTTATCATTGTTGCTGAATACTGATTCAATTTTTTTTTTCTCACATTAACAGCCGGTCATCAAGCCAGAGATTGCTCTCAATCCGAGTCTGTCTGGTAAGATAGAACCATAGAGTGTCAGCTGGCCATGCCATCTTAATGCAAACTTTTACCTCATAGTTACAACTGTCAACAAAGTGGCCATATGTCCAAGGACTGGTAAGTTTCATTTGCTGATTTGTGGAGTATCTAGCTAAAATCCTACATCAGTACCGAAGCTCGTGCTGAAAAGAAGTGCTACAAGTGTAGCCAAACTGGCCACATCTCTCGCGACTGTCCTGAAGCTTCCAACAACGGACCTGATTGTTACGCTTGTGGTAAGTCTGGTCATATCTCTCGCAACTGCCCTGAGGGTGGTAACAGTGGCGGTTATGACAGCGGTCGTGGTGGTTATGGTGCTCCCAAGTCTTGTTACAGCTGTGGCCAAAGTGGCCATATGAGCCGTGATTGTCCTACTGGTGGTAACGGTGGTTATGGTGGTCAAAAGTGCTACAACTGTGGTAACTCTGGCCACATCTCTAGAGATTGTGATCAACCTGCTCAAGCCAAGACTTGTTACAAGTGTCAACAATCTGGCCACATTGTAAGTGAATTGCCCATGTGTTGCTATATGGATCATTTTGATTAACCGATTTTTCATGATCTTGTAGGCTAGAGACTGTCCCTCTGAAGAGTAAACGCTTTCTGTTGCCTTTTTGTTTCCAAAAAAAAAACATTTCCTTTCTACAAAATATTAAATGAAGATTTAAAAAAGATCCAATTGATCTATAAACTAGCATGAAATTTCACTTTATATAAATTTGTTTTTTCTCCCTTGATTTCGTCTTAATTCACCATTTTGCAATAAAATTGATCAAATCAATCACATTTGACTATACACATATCAAACGTCATCAATTGTGGGTGCATTGCAATCCCACATTTTTAGTGGCCCAGGCATGGGGAGGGCGAAACAAGGCTCCACCACACACCCACACCCACCAGAAAAAAGCCCTGTCCTCTCATAATAGAACCCCGTAATAAACAGAAAAACAAAATCCAGGTGCTTGATTTTGTTTTTTTTTTTTTTTACACCTTTTTCTTTACTTAACAGTTTCAATATAAAAAATGTCTGCCTGGAAAGCCGCCGGTATCTCGTATGTGTACAAGCTTACATGCTTTGTTGGATGACATTGCTAATTATCTTTTCTTTTTTTTTTCTTTTTGAATCATTTAGTTACCTTCAATATGCCAACATCTGTGCTCGTGCCGTCCGTAACTCCTTGAAGGACGATGTTCGTGCTGTTGCTCTCCGTCGTGATGCCAACAACCTCAAGTTTGCCAAGTGGGAGAATGGTGTTCAAAAGGAACAAGTAAGTTGTGTGAGACTTGTTGGGTACTGAAATGTATGGATATTGATGGCTTTTTTTTTTCATCTAATAGAAATTCGTCGTTCCTCCCAAGAACTAAATTATTTTATAATCAACTCTTTCCATACACACAACAGCCAGATCTTTCAATAAATAATCGAATGTAGTATATATGTATCGATCGACATTGTTTAGAAAGAAGACTATCATTGTATTGATTTGTGTTTGTTGTCTGGTATTCTGTGGAGATTCATCGACATTGAGATTGGATTGCGTATTCATTGTAAGATTTACTCGTGTTCAATGTCTATGTGCAAATGCAACCAAACAGCATTAGAGAGAGTGTGATAGCGTCTGCAAGGGTGGTGGTGGGAGGAGAGTAGAAGGGGATCATTTAGCGGGATATAAGGTGTGTCAAGTTTGTGGGGTATCTAACGTGTCAATGAGGGTATCGTAACTGCTGGTTACTCTAACATCTTCTTTTGCCTTGAGTCGTTCGTAGAATTTAGGGCAGTCCAAAGAGTCGCATGGTATATCTGCGTAAGGTTGTTCCTGTTCTACGACTGTCATGGCATCCAAAGGAGATAGATTGGAACACTCTTGACAAGCTTGCACTATCTTTCTAAATTTGTTTTGAGACATCTGTTGCCTTGATAATAATGTAAAAACAGTGCTGCTCGTATTTTGCTTGCATTGATTACAGATAGCTAACACGTATGAATACCATAGACTGGGGATATTTCACACACACACACACATACCTTGATCTGCTATCTTTCTACACACAATGCAATGAGAGCTCAAATAATACTGATCAATTCTTGTGGGGTTTCTAGCTTGATGTTCAGTGCTTAACGCAAGGTTCATGGCTGCTATCTTTTGTGAGCGAGGCATTGAATCGTACCAGGACAGTATGTCTATGAAAAGAGCTTTGAATGTTAATCATAGGTGGGTATCACTCGGATAGTCCAGCTCACCAACACCCATCAAGTTGAATACTCGGCTCAAGGGAGGGATAATTTGCTTTCTGATATAGTATTCAGCATCCAGTCTCAAGGAACTACAAAATGCAAGCGTCAGCACGCAGGCACAAGTATAATACAAGAGCATTTTACCTATCATTCAGTAAAGTTTCAGGTGGAACCACTTTGTCCTTGAGCTTTGCATTGGGGCCACGATACACGACAACGTACGGAACTCGTTCTCCATACTGGGGTTCAGCTCTTGCATCTGTGTCCATTTGCGCCTGAGCAATCAATGCGCCGTTGGGACCACCTCGACTGGAGTATGTTCCCATTCTGACCTCCTTGGAGATGATGAAATCTTGAAGCAGCACTCGGTTCGATAGTATCTTGGTCCATTGGTTGTATAGAAAGGCCTTTAGCTCTGACATGTCTTGTGTACGAAACAGTATTCTATGTGATATATGAGCAACAAGATCAGTTGCTAATCACACGCTACTTACTTTAGGCAAGACTCCAGCATTTTCTGTGTGGCAGGTGTGCCGTCTCTTCTTACAGTTTCAATGCCTTTTGCCTCGAATACGGGCTCTATATCGCTAGGATGTTCATATTTGAAACCAACGTATCGCTTCTTTGCCAACAACACAGCCGGATGATACACTTTTTCAAACTTGAGCTTGACAGGAGCAGGGTTTTGTTTGGTAATGGTCTCGGCAATTTCGTTTCCTAGTGTAAATGCCTCGTCTTTGGTTTTGCCTGGAAAGTAGATGAACATACTGTCTGTATCGCCATAGACGACGCGCGCTCCCCATTTTTCTGTTTCGTTGATCAACTTGATAGACTGCTAGCGGTGTAAGTGTGTGTGTGTGTGTGTGTTGAACCTGTTGACTAGTATACTTACTCTTTCCAAAGTCTCTCTTCCTGCAGCTACGATACTATCAGCTATTTCGACTGAAGGCATTCTACCAGAGAATGAGGCAGATGTGTATCCATAGGTCACGTTGGCAAGCAGCTTCAACGTCAATTGTTTAGCATCCAGCATGCGAAGAAGACCCTAAAAACAGAATACACGTTACATAATCATCCCTCTTTTTTTCTCTATGAGTGCCACTTACTGGATCTTCCGTGTAGTCTTTCATAGCTCGCTTGATCATGACTCTTGTGTCCAGCAATTCTGATAGCATTTTGGCCAACAAACTCTTTCGAATTTCTGGCTTGACAAACATGATGCCATTTGGAGATACTAACAGAGATTGTTAGCGCTGTATACACTGTATTTACTATCACATGTTACCATTGATATGGTCTTTCAATGTATCCAAGAGGCCATCATCAGGCTCAAATGAAGGCAATACGCCAAATCTGGAGGGTTCACCTGGCTTCCCTATTCTTCCCAAACAAGTAGAGTAGCTAACCAAAGCAAAGCTCAGTCACCATCTCGACTCACTAAAGCACAGCAGACTTACCAATAGTTGTACGCAATCATGATGGACGGATACAAGCTCTGAAAATCCAACACTACCATAGGACTACTATAAAACTGAGTGATAGGTTCCATGATCAACGGTAGAATCTCCAATGATCGTTGAGACGCCACTTGTGAGCGACTGGGCGTGATCAGCACAAAGTTCTCTGGTTTGGCTATACGAAACATGATGGACTCCACATTATACTGCGATCCTCTTGAAATAACAGCATAAAAGTCGATACCATAGACGCGAGCAGATTCACATGTGCGACTCACTACTTGAGAAGCATCCAGCATGTCCAGATTCAGTTGCACCCGTTTCATGTAATACTTGAACAAACGATACTTGAGAACAGCAGGGCCCTTGGTATACCAACTGGTCAGTGTAGCATGCGAATAGTGAGGCACTCGATCATGTAGCAGGTTATAAGCGATATTTTCAAACGTATAGCTTGTCAAGGTCAATTCACTCTTCATCATGCGCCAGACGTTGAGCATGTGTCTTCCAGTCACTCTGTACACGGACGCCTTTTTGTAGCCCCATTGATCTCGCTTGATTGCGTCCGTGGTTGCCATGACGCGAGAGAGCTCATCCAAAAGATGGTAGCCCAGCTGCGCTCCTCGTTCTATCAAGTAGCCCCATGACGCACTCTGCACCTCGTATCCTACCAACATGTCAGGATCGTAGTATCTAATTTTTTCTATCAACAAGCTAAACAGCTGCTCCTCTGTGTCAGCATAGTCCACCACGAGACGTGAATTGCAGATACCTATTCTGGAAATGTCAAAGCCCTTCAAGGCAAGCACGCCAATGTAGTTTCCCTCTTGATACCCGTTGGAAGTAACCCGCAAATCTTCCGTCTGTAAGCACCAAAAGATGAGCTGCACAGCATCGAGCTCTGGGTCAGGCAGCAGTTGATCTCTGGTATTGACGTGGATTTCCAAGCTGAAATAATCAATGTAATCACGAATACGCTTCACTTTGTTCGCAGGTTTGCTTGCAGAAAACTTAAAGTTGAATGTGTTACTGTATGTGGGATGATGCAACTGAGTTTTGCTATCATGTTGCTGCTGCTGCTGCTGCTTGGGCTTGTAGTTGGCGTATTCCTCAGTCTGCATCCAATCTTGCACTTGCTTGAAAGAAGGAGGATTCTGGCTGGGGCTCCACGCTTTAATGGTCATATGCGCTCCCTCTGGAATAGATGTAGTATACACGCTTTGGAACTCTTTCAGCGCGGCAAGGCCTACAGTAGGTAGCTTGAATTCTTTATCGGCAAACACAGTTGGAAAACGAGGCACGTCGCTTGGATTGCTGTAAAATGGCTCTCGATACGCAACACCTTCTTTGGGAAGGTCGTCTGTATTGATTTTGGGAGGGTCGTATCGATAAGTAAACTCCTTTGTGATTGTCTGTGTTTGAGAGAACTGTTCAATGAGTGATGAAAAGGTGAAAGGCTGGTCCGATGCAAGAGTTGCAGTCGGTTCGACTGGCTTGACCTCTTCGTTGTGCAGTATCTTGGATATCTCTTGATCGACATCACTCTCTGCCATATCCTCTTCATTGCGCTCGTGTACCTGATCCATTAGGTCGCTCTTTCTGATAATGACTTTTGGTTCAGGATATGCAGTTGGCTCAACATTCCTCGTTCGCTCAGGTTCGGTTGCCTTTGGTGGAGATGCTTCAGCAACCCACTCTTCCAAATCCTCTACTATCTTGTTCTTGTTCTTTTTTTTTCTTTGTTTTGGCAAAGAGACTACCACAGTAACTCTTTGCATGCCCTTTGGATGTATATCATCAGTGCTCTTGGCTCTTGTCGTCTCAGTGTTTGTGGGTGTTGTCTGAGGCGCTATTTTGGGTGGTGCTGATACAGTGCGTTCGTCTTTTTTCAGCGATCGCTGTGTTGCCATCTTTAATCTCATTTTCTTGAGTGATTGCTTCTCTTCTTCCCAACGTTCAGCAGCTGACCTCAATCGCTTCTTCTTGCTGCTGCCTTCTTGCTGATCTCCAGATCCATCTAGCTGGTTGATCCTGCGCATAAAGAGACGACTCCTCGTTACGCGAGCCCTAAATACACGTTAGTTTCCTTGTGTGCATAGTAAATGGCAACGTATTTACATTGGGTCGGGTGGACTATCACTTAATTGAAAGGGGGCTTGATCTACATTTTCTTCTCCCTGTTGCTTGTCGTCTTTCTGCTTAAGCTCGTCCTGCTGCTGATCTTGATGTACCTCTTGGTCAGCTTTTTCTTCCTTGTCGTCCTCTTCTATAAACTCCAGTATACTCTTCTTTGGTTTATGTACATGCTCAGTTGCCAATAAGCTATCCATCTTTTGCACTTCAGCCAAGATATCCAATTTCCTCGGTTCATAAACAACGGGCTCCCCGTCATCATTATCGTAGACTATCACTTGCGTATTGTGCTTTTTCATCTTATCTTTGCTCTCTCCTCTCTCTGTTTCCTCCAACCAACGAGCAATATCGCTGATACGCAAGCTGTCCTCATTGCTAAATTCAAATTCATCGTTCTCTTCTTGTTGGACAAGGGCGTCCTCTTCTTGCTCTTGTTCCTCATTGCTGCGCGAGTCAGAATCCTCGACATCCTCTTGATGGAATGAAGAGTTGACGTCCTCCATAAAGGTATGAATGATGGATTTGTCGAGTTGCGATTGCACGCTCAGTCCTCGATAGCGTGAAGGAGTAGCTGATACATTGAAATCAGAAGAGACGTTGTTATTTGGATTTCGATGCGGCGATATTTGAGCAGGTGTCATATTCATAGATAGATTTACAGTAGAAGAAGGTAGATCTACGAGACTCAATTCATCTGTTCTTGTAGGTGTATGCTGTATTGCTGATGCTTGAGATGCTGTATGCTGACTTGATTCGTATTCAAAGTATTCAGTTGGGTACAATGCCTCAATGGCTTCAAATACGGTCATCACTTTGGGCACAAGAACCGAAGGCTGCTGCGTTTCGGATACTTGGTCAAAGGGATGGCCTGTCATCATTTTCTCCATCAGTCGTCTGAGCGTCGGTTCTGCCGTCCATGGCTTTCGAGGTTCTCGCTCATCCAACTGTGCAACAGGCGGAATCGGATCTGCGATGCCTCTGGATTTGCGTCGATTCGTCTCATCCGCCCAGATGCTTCGTAGTGACAATACCAACTTCTTCCTGGACTCTTCCTCAGTACCTTGAAGGGCTTCAGCCTGCACTTGTTTCTCTCGCATCAAACTGGTGTGTATGCTCCTCTCCTTTAAATCATGTCTATTCCGGATGGACATGCCAGTGATATCTAACTCAAGCTCGCAGTAGCTACTTTTGGGCACAGCATTTGACTGAAATGCAAACGGAATGGTTTTCGCTGTATACACACCTTCTTCTTGTTGTTGCTGAAGTGGTATAAAATGAGGAGATAGGGTGCTATGGCCACTGGACGTCGTCGAGGACTGAGAAATATGGTAATTAGCTTTTGGTTCGTCCAGCAAGGGCAATCGAAACTGGATCTTCAGGGAAGGCGATATGTTATGTTCCTCAATGTGAATCCAATCCATACCGTACAGGTTATGATCCATCAAGAATTGAAGTTCAAAGTTCAAGTGGGCTTCATGCGGCTGAAATGATGCATTTTGGATCGCTCCCGACTGCAATATCTCCAACATTTGATGCTTTTCGTAAGGGTTGGTCATGTAAATCTTGAGATAGGTTCGATAGCCAATGTGGTAACCGTAAAAGGGTACGCCTTTCACAAGCACAATAGCGGCTATATGCTGATTCGGCTCCTTTTGCGGCCTTGCTAAATCCATGGCTTCATTCAAATCCTTTCCAAACTGAAAAATGTCCTTTTGTATCTCTTGATCTGTAGCGTATTCAACTGGGATATCGTACGGTATAAAAAAATAGGGAAACACCTAAGTGATGGAGTGGTCAATGCATTCAGTTTTCGGTCAGTAGCCTCCCCAAACTTACCTGATGTATATGAAGACAGACTTTTTGGCCCAGTTTGGTGGATCCAAAAATGCGTAATACAGGCACTTTGACCAGCCGTTTGTCACTGAACGGTGTGTATGAACGATCCAATGGGCCTGGATCCGCCATGTAATGATCCAAATTGATAATTCTTACAGAAATCACCATGGTGAAGCAGAAATTAAAAAAGAATCAAAAAGAGGTTGTAATCCGCAGTTGCAAATTGTAGGTTTTTTTTTGAAAGCAGGAATAAAGACTCTGGTGTAACTAGCGCGTAATTCGTCGTGTAGTGATCCCTTTCTGAACGACTGCTCTATTCTATCAAACATATTATATACATACAACAGACATCATTGGCATTCATCGTTTTTGACGGTCAAACGCACCATGCAAACTTTGGTAAATCTGGACAGTATTCTAGGCAACAAAAGAGATAAGTTTCACGCAGCATCCTGCTCTTTACCAGATGTCGCTAGGCTGGAAGGCAGAGCATACCAATGATGCAATATTAAATGAGTCGTTAACCGGGATGCTCTATAATCAGTATACATGAGGTCTTTAGAGACGCGTTTGAGAAAAGAAACGCAGGGAGACAGGGAAAGTTATTACATAAGAAACAAAGTGAAACGTTGTCCCTACATACATCAATTAATAAGCATCTAACCGCGGAGAAGCAAGTGTATCATGGATATAAAAGATCAAACACAAAACAAACTCTTTCTCTTTTCAATCAACTTGGTTGCACTGAAACATCAATGACTACTGACACATCAAAATACTCTTTCAATCACACAATGCTTCGTGTGAAGGATCCTCAAGCATCCGTCAAATTCTACACCGAGATCTTGGGCATGAAGTAAGTTTGATGCAGCGGTTACTTTATAGACGTCGCACTGCTCACCAAAAGAACGGCAGGTACATTACAAAGCATGACCTACCAGATGCAAAGGCAACTCTCTACTTTTTAGCTTTCGTGAATGCCGTTCCTGAAACTCAAAAAGAGAAACTTAGATTAGCATTCTCTCATAGTGGTGTCATTGAGCTACTTCAGTAAGTGAATGAGGTGGTGGTGGGGGGGGGGGGTGACAAGGTGGCAACTAAGCTAACAATTCATAAAGCAATTGGGGTACCGAAAATCAACCTGGTTTTGCTTACAACAATGGTAATAAAGATGATGTTGGTAGAGGGTTTGGCCATACTTCTGTGCTTGTGGATGATCTCAAAGAGGCATGCAAACGTCTTGAATCTTTGGGTGTCAAATTTCACAAAAAGCCAACTGAGGGTGGTATTCACACTGTAGCTTTCGTTGCTGACCCGGATGATTACTGGGTCGAGGTATGTGTGTCTAATCAGATTCAGTTGATATTGTATTCATTGATATGGGTAGATCATTGGCAATCCCTTGTACACTGGTGAAAACCCTCTTTAAACTTGCTTGAATCGATAGAATGACACTTGCACATGTCAGTATTATTAGTGGAAGTTTTTCCTTGGATAAAACGATGAATAAAAAATAACAATCAATTTATTGCTACGCTTGTGAACCGATAAATCATGTAATAATATACTTTATGCCATATTGAAATGCTGCAAAGCGTATTTAGGAAGCTGTAATTACATATATTTTGGTGATGAACCACGCTGACTGGAGTTATCAGATATAAAAATGCCCAACAAGAGAAAAAGAAAACATTGAGATTGAGCGATAATCCTTTCCAGTTGATGCTCCCCATTTCATTTGCATCATCCTAATCATCATTGTCATCGTCAAAAGGAAATTTGGTCAGCCTGCTACAGCGCCAAATCAATTCAAACTCAGAATATTTTTTTTTTCTTTTCAGGATTGGACAAATTTGGTCTTTTTTCGACTTCTTTAATCTATTTTATAAGATATGACTATAGAAACTGTGATGATCAGCCCGTACTTCTTAATACATGACCTTTCTTTCGTCTAAATTGTTTTTAGGGCCTTTTAAACCCCGAAAACAACATCATCAAGCAGTAAAGATCCAAACAAAACCGACAACAAACACAGTTACAACAAGCCAGTCAGGTCTGTCAAGCCAGCCGACACCTACCGTTACCTCCAACTCCCGTCTTACTTTAGCCAAACAGACGACAACCGACAACCGAACCTCTAAACTTCCCGTTGCTTCTAGGAAGCGGCGCCACTCCACTATCAAAGCTACCACGGTACCTTTACGTAGATCACCGCGAAGCCAAGCACCTACTACTGACTTTATGGACACTATGAATATTGCAACACCCGTTGCTCCTGCACCTACAACCGCTCCCACCAGCTCCACTATCAATATGGTCGTTGAGCCTTCCACTAATGCGATCAACCCACCTGCCTTCCTTGAAGGCATGCACCCACCTAAACCAGACGAAATCCATCAGTCTCCCCTGATGCCCACTTGGATTCAGGAGATCTATTCACGTCTTGCCTCTGTCACCACTCACTTGCAGACTCACGACTCACAACTGGAACAGAACCAAGCTTTGATCAAACAGACTCAAGAATTGATCAAAAAGAACCAGGAACTCCAACTGGCTTTGGATAAAGCCCACCACGAGATTGCGCAACTCAAGTCGGCTGCCAATCAAACCTCGACACCTCCATCTGCTACTACGCCGGTGCTCGAAAGGAGCTCCGAGGGCACCTCAGCCTCTCTATGGGCAGATATGGCTGCCAAACCACCAGCGGATGAAGCAGCTCCAGCCGTTACTAAACGCAAGGATTCCAAGCCCAAGGCTTCCACATCCACCAAACCAGCTCCCAAGGCCAAAGCCAAACGGCCATTGACTTTAGAGCAGGTTAGCCGGTTCTACTCTCTTCCCTCGACGACCCACGGTTACCAATTCCTGTACTTCACCTCTCGTGGACGTGAAGCCATCTCGAAAGTCCGTGCGGGTTTCCAGGTGCTTGGTTTATCTCAAAGCCGCATTCTTGATATCCATTACCCTACTAATAACATCATTAGTTTCTTAGTTCACAACGACTATGCCTCCACTGTCGTGGAAGCAATGGCTCAACTCCCTGACTCTCAACGGATTACCGACTTCGACCCTTGTGCACCCACCATCCTCAGGGATCCCAAGTACGCCAACCATGCTGATCCGCTCTTTTTGCAGTCTGAGGCGGCACGCATTCACCAAGAACGTTTGCTCCGCATGATTAAACGCCTCAACACTCCCAACATCAAATTGGCCGTCGCTCGCGACTTCTGCTTCAAACGAAAATGGATATCCGAGACTATGTATCAAACATTTTACCGTGAGATCTACCCTGCCAAGGCATCCAAGACTGCCTCATCTTCTTCAACGGATGATGTTAACATGGATGATGCTCCTGCTTCTCAAGATTCTACTTCCCAACCTGCTGCCTCCTCTTCCTCTATTAGCCCAGCTGACGGCGTCTCAGCCCCCTTGGTCTAATGAGTACTACTACCTTTGAATCACCCAACTATGCGAATAATATGCCCCATTATGACACGAATACTAATTCTTTTATGCACAATCACAATCTAAATATAGCTTCCTTGAACTGCCGCAATCTCGTCAAAGCATCTACGCCCGAGATTAGCTCTGACTTCATCCGATACCTCCGTTCCTTACATTTGGACATCCTCTGTGTTCAAGAATCACATGCAGTCGAGGCAGTTCAAGATCAACTCAATTTACAATTTCAAGCTCATGACACCTTATGGACCCAACATTGTGGTATTATTTCATTCAATCCTTTAATTCAATTACATTCGTTAGACTTAGATCTAGATCAACGCATCATTGCCTGTAAGGTTGTCCATGCCAATGCGTTGTTTCCACCCTTTACGCTCCTTAATGTTTATGCCCCAGCCCAGTACTCACCCCGAGTTCGGTTCTTCAGAGACCTACTAACGTTGCCCCTTTTCGACATTCCTTCTTCAACCTCTCGGGAATCCCTATCCTCTTTATCTACCTTGCTCGATTCTGATCCTTCCAATCTTTCTCCCATGCTTCTGATGGGCGATTTCAACTACCATGCTACCTCCTATCTGACCGACGATAGTGATGATCCGGAACTTGATACTGACAATATTACTTCAGGAGCTGCTATTCACAGACACTTCCACCGACTCATCAATACCCACCTCTTTGAATGCACTCATTCCAGGGAAGAGGGTCCTCTATTACCAACCTATCGTAGACGAACTGGTCAATCTACTATCGATTACCTTTATGCTTCTAATTTCCTATTTCAACATCTACATTCGTCTGAAATTATGTTCCTTGACTCCTCCTGGACGGATCATGCTCTACTACGGGCTCGATTTGTCTTTTCTTCGGATCGTCAGGGATCAGGCCTTTGGCGTGCTAACCCAAATCTTTCGACTAACCCATATTTCATTGACCAACTGTTTACAGCTCTTGATGACTTTTTCAATACCTTGGAGATCTCTGCCTCTATCGATATCGCCGCCTCTATTCCTCCTGCTTCCCCACAGGACAATTGGGATGCTCTCAAAACCTTGGTGCAAGAAATTGTTCGTCGAGTCAGTCGTGATAGAAGTAGTGCCTTGGAACGTCAATCCAAACGACTCCAACGTAAACGCAATCGCATCTGTCGACAATATACAGATCCTCGGATCCGCGCTCCTCTACTCTCGACTATTGAAAAGCAGATAGGTATTCTTCAACGGGAGATAGCTTCCAACTTACGATTACGTGCTGGTAAACATTGGCGCGAGCAGGGAGAAACCTCTGCCGGATACCTCAAACGTACCATTGCCACTCGTGCGGTCAAAAAGGCGATTACTAGCCTCATCAATCCAGTTACTAACTCATTATGCACTGACCCCTCTTCAATGCAGACAGCAGCCTCTAGTTTCTATGCAGCATTATACTCCTGTGATGCCGTGGATTCAGCGAGTATCGACTCTCTGTGTGCCACTATTCCGGATTCTGACACCATCGCGGATGCCGATCATGATACCCTTCAGCAACCTTTCACCATTGCCGACTTATTGACTGGTACTCATCGTACCAAGTTCCAATCCAGTCCTGGTATCGACGGTTTACCTTACCCCATTCTCAACATTATCTTCAACCACCAGAAGGCCGCCCAACTTGCTGTTAAGGTGTTTAATGATGCCCTCAACCTGGGTATCTTCCCTTCCAGCTGGTTGCAAACTTGCATTTGTTTACTACCCAAGTCTGGCGACCTCTCCAACCTCAAGAATTGGCGTCCTCTTTCTTTGATTTGCTGTGATGCCAAGATCTTCACACGATTGCTTAATCAACGCCTTATGCCCTTCATGAACAAGATCATATGCCCCCAACAGTCTGGATTCATGCCTGGTCGTTTTATCGGTGATAATGGTATGATTCTCAACAACACTCGTCTCATTGCTGCTGAAACTTCATCGGACAGTATTGCGCTGCTCTTGGATCAAGAGAAAGCGTATGATCGCATCCACCCTGACTACCTTCGGGCGGTGATGCAACGATTTAACCTTCCTACTAACATTATCCATTCATTAATAACCCTTCTCTTCTCTACGCAAATTCACATCAACATTAACGGCCACATATCCACCTCGTCCATCACCCAACAACGTGGTATCCGCCAAGGGGATCCCATCTCACCCCTCCTTTTCAACATTGCTTTTGATCCTTTCCTTCGTTCCATTCAACAAGATCCTCAGTTTACTGGTTTCAACCTGCATACTGAAGCTCCACCTCCTACTAATCAAACTACATCTGACGATATTTCAGTTCCTATGCAACAGTTGTTTCCGGACAATGACGGCCTTGCTGTCAGTCCTGATACTCCTGCTCCTCCAGATTCTCCCGCCTCTACACCTCTGGCGGTAAAAATCCTGGCATATGCGGATGATACATTGGTATATCTCCATGATACGCAGGACTTTCATCGCTTGCAGACCGCCATCACCATGTATATGAAAGCTTCTAACGCATTATTGAACTATCACAAGACAGTAGCTACATCTCTCTCAGGCAATCCTTCAGCAACTTGGCAAGCCTTACTCGCAACCTATGGCATAAACGCCTGGCATGATCGAACATCCGCCACTCCCCTCATTTATCTCGGTTATCCCATCTGTTCCAGCATTACTCAACGCAATGTTGCCTTTCAAAAACTATATGATTCCATCCGAAATGCCATTGCTCTTCACTCACAACGCAACATCTCCATCCGTGGCCGTGCTACCATTCTCAATTCACTCATTTATTCCAAATTATGGCATGTTTTACGACTCACAACATTTACCAAGGCCCAGTTGCTCTCTTTACGAAGCCTGGGTACCGCCTTCATTAATTTTCGTATATTCCCTAGACTCTCTTTTGCTACTCTCTCTTTACCTCGCTCTGCCGGTGGTTTGGGGCTCCTAGATCCTCTCTCTCAACAACAAGCTCTGCAATGGTACTGGGTGTGCCCTCTATTACTTCAATATCTTGACTCTCCGGCCTTCTCCAAGTACAACACTCCTTCGCTTCCTGTCTTAACTTATACTCTTTCTTGGTGCTACTCCTCCACCGTCTTCCCTCATTTCTTCTACTATCTCTTGTTGCCTTATGCTCGCCATCGGTCGTGGTTTCCTCAAAGCCCATCCCGTCGACACAGCTATCTCAATCCAATTACTAATCTTCAGTCCTGTTTGTCACTTTTCCAGATAACAGAGCGTCATAACTTATACGTTGATGCTGTTACTTGCTACTCACTTCCTCTCTATGATATTCTTTTACATTCACTACCTACTACTAATACTCTTTATTCATCTAGCTTTATACCACCGAATCTTCTCTTAGACGGCTCCAACGTTGCAAAGAAGCTTCTTGTAAGCGACATTTTCCGGTTAGATGCTGATCATCAGGTGCTTCGTGTTCGTTCTTCCTTCCAATTTGCTAGCCATCCTATTGTCTCCCAACGTGTTGCTGATTTCATCAATTCTCGTCAACTGATATTCCAACCTTTCTTTGCACAGCAATGCTTCATTGCTCCCCGTCCAGCCCTAGACCCTCATCAACCTCCCTCTCTGCGGGCGTTTTGCCGTAGCATTTTCGTCCCTCCTTCTTCCTCGCCTTCGCGTAGTCGGTTGCCACTCAACAGCATCCGCTTTTTTAAAAAACTACGCAAAAACCTACCCTCTTCCTCCTCCTCTCTTTCTCCTCTCCAACCTCCTCAATGGCGCTCATTCTGGACACTCGCAATTCCCCTTGCTGCTCGCACGGTCTGGTATCGGGCTATATATGAAAAAATCCCCACCAGAGCCCTCCTACATCTACGCGTTCCTGACAATCACCCTTCTCACCTCTGTACAATCTGCCCTGCCTCTCCCACGGAGGATATCACACATGCTCTGTTCTCCTGTCCTCCCAAGTTGCTGGTCTGGCGATACATGTATCACACCTATCTTTCTGCTTCTCCATCAATCTCTGATGTTGATCTGATTCATTTCTTACAACAAACTTTACTCTGTTCTTCCCCTCTTCTTGATCGTGATCCCTCTCTCTCGTTCAATGAACTCTCTATTCCTCAACTATTCGCAACTACTCTTTTGACAATTTGGCAAGCGCATTGGCGCTGGATCTTCGACCGAACCCCGTTCATCGCTGACACCGTTCAACTTCGCCTTGCTCGCTCTCTTGCTCGTTTGGATGCCGAGTTAAATCTTGATTCGTAAGTATTCAGTTTTACCTTTTCGTTCATTCTTCTGTCACCTTTTTTTTTTCCAACCCATTTTCCATCCGATCCTTTGTCTCTATATCCAGTCTTTTCTATCCCTCAGCACGACATTTAAAGGACTTTAAATAAAAACTGGAGCTCGTCTCCCCTACAAAAAAAAAAAAAAAAAAAAAAAAAGTACTTCTTAATACATTCGTGGAATACTTTTCAAGGCGCTTCCAATGGTGCTAAATAAAAGAGGTGTTTTGAATAAACTTATTGAAGAATCCTTGAAAATATGAAATGACGCTTATGGCGAAAATGTCCAGATTTTACATATAAAGATCGTTTAAACACAGTTTGGGGGGTTGCCTTGGATCAAGAGAAACAGTTTGAGTTGATATATGCCATAGTAAAAGTCTTCGTTTTTGAGGTAAAAAAAAACACGATCGTTTGATTTTTGATGAAAATCATGAGGTATCCCTCATGGTTTTGGGTCGATTTTTGGCCATGTTTTTTGGGTCCTCAAAAAGTTGAGCAAAGGTGTCAGGAAGTTACTGCTACTCGAGAGTAATCGTTTGGCATCGTTCCGATGGCTCAAAAACGTCTTCACGTCAAGATATGAATGCTTGAAAGATATCAGATTTGGCTGTGTTTTATACATTTGCTTGCCAATAGGCGCGGTTTTGTTATGATAGATACAAAGGTGTAAAGACATTGCATGCATTAATCTTGATTCAGAGTATGCTGCTGCATTTACATATTCAGCTAGAATTATTAGATTGAATGGCACTGTTGTATCGCTGTATTATAGCACAATGATACAGCCTATTAGTGAGGTAATGGCGGTTGCAAGGCACACGCTGGAGATTTTAGGTGCAATAGATAGTAAACTTATATATGTCGGATTGAAATTGTAGTAGAAGCAGATCTTTAGACTTTGCAATGCAATCTCAGACAAAAAGTGATTTGCATAGCTGCGTTTCTCAAAGTGTGCAAATGTTTGCTCCTAGATGCCAGATCGATACTCAAGTTCATCATCACTATAAGCTCAATAAGCTGATCAGGGCTTTGCAGGCTTATTCTATCTGGAAATGAAGAGTACTGTGCCAAGGCATAACATGCAAACAGGGTATACACTGATCTTCAAAGCAGCCAGGAACCGGATCTTACATTATCTTTTTTTTTGACATGCACATGAGCATCGTTTCCTCCTTGTTTGAAAGCACTGACTTGGTTATATAGACTAGCATAACGTATAGATGTGTGTATATGTATATTTTATTGTTAATGAAATGACACGCTTGATTTGTTTTTGATACATTTAATGGAAATCGGCAGCTTTACCCGTCTATACAACAAACAACATGAGAAAACAACATCCTTCATAAACCCACTTGCACATGCTACTTACAGTCAATAGACCAACGATAAGGCCAAAGAGGCCAAGCACAGAGCCAAAAATCTCAACCACCAACACCTTGACAAACAATTCAGGGTTTTGAGCATCTGCTAAAGCAGCACTTGATCCAGTGACGCCGACGGAAAGACCACACAACAGATTACAAACACCAACAGTTAAACCGCCCCAAAAGATAGCATGGCCTATGTCATAGCGTTATTGGCATTGAAACATGTCTCTCTCTCTCTCTCTCTCTCTCTCTCTCTCTCCCTCTGACAAGTGCACTTACCAGTAAAGTAGTTGGAGTTGGAGTAGAGGTTTTCGGGAGGAACATCAGTCAATTTAGCAGAATAGACAATGGCCATGATAACACCATAGATGGCTACGACTTCACAGAAAATGATGGAAATCAAGTTTCTGGACTGAATACGAGGTGTTTTGACGGCACCACCCAACAATGCAGAACCTGTAATAAAGATACCCCTTATTTTCCATGTGTTAAATGTGCAAGTCGCGCGTTTTAGGGTTTCATGAGCTTACCAGGCAGCGCCAGTGACGGAAAGACCAATACAAAGGCCCATACCAGTCAAGGCCCAAGCAAAAGGGGAGATTTCTTGAAGTAATTTGCCAACATTGAACTGCTCGCCGGAGCCAGTGAAGAGCATATACAATCCAACAATAGTCAAAAGAGAAAGGGTGAGACCACTCCAGTAACTGTAAGGTCCTAAACTATATCCTGCCATTTTCTATCTATCTAGTATCTTCTTTTCTGTTGCTGATTTGAGAAAAAGGGTATGTTGTTTGAAGAATATAAAGAGAGAGAAGAAGGAAAAGAAGGTGTCTCACTCTCAAAAAGTTTTGAAACGGATGAGGAACCTCAAAAAAGTCATCACCATCATACACCAAGTGTGTAAAATGGCGGTTGTTGATTTGATGACGTACATTTACGCTTATTTGCTTCATGTTTGGTATAAGGATCAATGCAAAGGATGATCTGGCCGAGTAAGCTGTCGTTTGGCATCTATACGCTGCTCTGATGCAGTGGTTTTCCGAGCCATTTAGAGAGGACTAGCTGGAAATGTTAGCAATTGAGATGTACCATTCCACATGTCTGGCATTGGAAGGCTCGCATGACGTATAGAGCCATAATAAGCAGACGCTCTCATCGTTCTAAGCGTCCAAGAGTATCTCTGTAGTAGCAGCAAGTGAAAACCAGGAGCAAGTCGTCGTATGGATAGCACAGATACGAAAGAGAGACGACAATGGCGGGTGAACGATAGTTGACATTGGATGATGATCAAGGGCGAGTTTCATGGAGGAACGAATAAGATAACAAACCTGCCCTCTGCAAATAGCTACAATGAGCTACTATAGAAACAGAGGAACTTCTTCGTTACCACCGTATGGCCTTGGATGCGATGCAAGAGCACACTACACAGTACAATGAGCCTCAACATTCAAATGTCGGATATTCAACTGACCACCTTTACCACACAAAATAGAGAACGAAAAACGGGTTCTTGTTTTCTCTTTCTCTTTAATTTTTTCTTTTTTTTTTTTTTTTTTTTTTTACAAGAATGGACCAACACAGTGATATTCGTCGTAGCGCTTACAAGGAACGTAGTCGCTTCAAGCCCGAAGAAGTGAGACGTAGACGTGAGAATGCTCAAGTAGAGATTAGAAAGCAAAAAAAAGAAGAGAATTTGGCCAAGAGAAGAAATTTCAACGCGCAAGCATTAGCAGAGGACTCTGATGATGATCTTGATAGTGCCAATCAAGATGCTCAGGTAAGCTGCTGCACAGCAGTCATCAAAACGAGAGAGAGAGAGAGAGAGAGAGAGAAAGCTCATGCCGTGTTCCGTAGCTCATGTCTGATTTACCCTTGATGGTCCAAAATTTGTATACCAATGATCCAGCTATTCAATTGCAAGCAACATCTCAATTCAGAAAGCTTTTATCAAAGGAAAAGAACCCTCCCATCAGAGAAGTCATTCAATGTGGTGTCGTGCCTCGCTTTGTAGAGTTTTTGCAATCTCCAGATAGCCAAGTTCAAGTAAGTTTTATGTGTGTGTGTGTGTGTGATGATGGGTAATGTGGAAAAGGTCAAGAGCAAATAATAATAATATATATATAAAAAAAAAATAGTTTGAAGCTGCTTGGGCCTTGACCAATATTGCATCTGGTTCAGCTGATCAAACTGAGGTTGTCATTAACGCAGGAGCCGTACCTTACTTTATTGAATTATTGAGTAGTCCAGTAGTGGATGTCAAGGAACAGGTAAGAAAAAGAGAGAGAATGCAAGGAGATACAGGGTGGATATACTCATACTATGCTAGGCTGTGTGGGCTCTTGGTAACATTGCAGGTGATAGTCCCAAGTGTCGTGATTATGTCTTGGAGACTGGTGCCCTTCCTCCTTTATTAGCCATCTTTGAAGACAACTCCAAACTATCCATGATCCGCAACGCCACTTGGACCTTATCCAACTTTTGTAGAGGCAAGAACCCTCAGCCCAGTTGGCGATTGATTGCACCTGCATTGAACGTGCTGGCCAAGTTGATCAACTCGACTGACGAAGAAGTGCTTATTGATACCTGCTGGGCTATCTCTTATTTATCTGATGGACCCAATGATCGCATTCAAGCAGTGATTGAATCTGGACTGTGCAGCCGTCTTGTGGAGCTGTTGGGACATCCAGCCACCACAGTACAAACACCCGCACTTCGATCTGTTGGTAACATTGTGACAGGAGATGATGCGCAAACGCAAATGGTGATCAACTGTGGAGCACTCGATGCATTATTACACCTGTTGAGTAGTCCCAAGGAAACGATCCGTAAGGAGACATGTTGGACATTATCAAACATCACAGCCGGTAATACAAATCAGATCCAAGCCATCATTGATCATGGATTAGTTGCACCCTTGATTTCAGTGCTCGTTCACGGCGACATCAAATCCAGAAAGGAAGCATGCTGGGCTATTTGCAATGCAACATCAGGTGGATTGAACAAGCCCGATCAAATCAAGTTCTTGGTTGGCCAAGGATGCATCAAACCATTGTGCGATATCTTAGCATCCATGGACAACAAGATCATCCTGGTTGCATTAGACGGACTAGACAACATCCTCAAAGTGGGAGACATGGAAAAGCTGAACACGATGGATGGCTTGAACCCTTACTCCTTGATGATTGAAGAATGCGGTGGTGTCGAGTACATTCATGCTTTGCAACATCACGACAATAACGATATCTACAAGAAGGCCTATCAGCTGATTGACAAATACTTTAGCGAGGCGGATGATGAGCAAGACACTGAAATGGCACCTGATACTGAAAATGGCCAATTTACGTTTCACCAAGATGTTGTTCCTCAAGGTGGTTTTAATTTTTAAGTTTGCAACAATAAAATAAATTTTTTCTCTTTTTCTCTTTCTCTCTCTCTTTCTCTTTCTGTTTTACCCCTTCTTTCTATATATCTCTCCAAACAATGTCTTTGCTGCTCACAAAGACATGTGAATATGCGATACTTGTAACCATACAGCAAGGTTTTTTTTTTTTTTTTACTTGACATGCAAAGGCTTTACCTTATTGATTAATCCTATTGTCTTTATCTCTTTTTTTGTAGGAAGATCCTTTGCGAAAAATGCAACAGTCAAAGTCGAAACTGAATTAGACCTTAAACTACCACCTTCCATCAACGACCTCATACCACAGAACACCATCATATCAACACCTGCAACGAAATCTGATGCATCCGGCAACTGCACATTCAATCAATCACTGGTTTATTACGTTTCATGGAAGCAATTACAGCGATTGCGAAAACTAGATGCAACCACTACCTTGCATGTGCACGAAAATAAGCAGCGATTCAACCTCACATTCTCGATATCAGAGGCCAAAGAAGTAGTGCACCAGGCAGGACACAAACTGGATCAGATTTACAAATTTGTATCAGATAAAGGCGCGTGGTGCTCTATACAAAATGCAACAGAAAACCAGCAATTAAAGGCTGGCTTATTTTACGTACAAATGCCCGATAACAATAATGCAGTTTCAGTAACCACGCCGTCCATACAATTAAGATCTCCACCTCCTACTCCTAGCATACCAAAAAGAGTGAGTACCATGACGAGCAACAGAAGAAAGAAAGTATTGTCGATACTGGGATCGTCGAGTCATAGCGCAAAATTACCAGACAAAAAATCAACGACAGAAAAGAAATCGACATCCACTGCAGCAGCAGCAGCAGCAGCAGCAGCAGCAGCAGCACCACCACCATCATCACCACCACCAGTACCGCCCTTACCAGAAAAACCACCTTTACGAAGAGCCAAGTCGTCCCTTGTCGACTTGAACATTGAAGAACTCTCCAACGTACTACAAAAAATGAGCATATTCTCAACACCACCCACACCGCCACTACCACCAGAGCATGCGTCCTACCATCAAATTGGTCAAGGATCATCGCAATACACGTTTTATTTCAAAGTTATGTATGTAGATCATATCCAGTTGCAACAACAACAAACCAAAAAACAATACAAAAAGCCATTCATTGCCTATACATTTCTGACAAACTACACATTACTACCTGCTGCCTCATTCTCATCCTCCAAGTCCAACTATTACACAACGAAATCCGCCTATCAATTGAGAGGCCATTTAGTCGATATCCAGCATTGGCTAGATGGACATGGCGCCATTTGCCTAGATTACATGTGGATGGATAAATTCACCAAAGAGACAGTGGGTCAAGTCAAAGTACCACTGAAGGGCATTGCGTTTGACGGCAGAGGCATGTCAGACAAGGTGTGCCCTGTGGTAAGCAACGACACCACACACGATATCATTGCCAGTGTCACTGTACGCACTGGACTTGTGAGCGGTTGGCACAAGGACGACTACTTCACCACACAACAGGAACAAGAAGAATTAGCTAGTAAAAGAACTTCATCCGCCTCCAATTGGGATACCATGATGATGATGAACAGTAATAAAAAATTTAGACATCATTCCCAATCGTCTATTCCTACACTATCAACAACTACATGCTCAACTAAATCATCTAATGTGCCATCTATTCATCTGATACAACAATCAAGACCTACATCTCTCAACAGTACTAAATCAAAATCCTTTTCAATTAGAAGAGGGCAATAGCTATTATACACAATAATAAATGCCTAATGTTTAATATTTTACAATTTTAATTTTATCGGTGATGAAGACTACCATGATGACCATGTTGTTGTATTATTGCTGGGTTGTCTGTAGGTGATGTTGGTAATGTTGCTGTTGTTGTTGTCGTTGTAGAGTATTCATAGTAGCATGAGTTGACTGTAGTATATTTTCGGCTTGAGCAACAATGTCTTCTAAAGAGTTGGTCAATCGTGACAGGACCTGACATTGCTCGGGTGGCACTCTACGTCTTAATCTTTCTAATCGGGTCATGGCATGGTCGAATTCAGTCAGATCAGCATAGGGATTGTTTGATGGTGGTGGTTGCGCGGATGGTGGCCCTGCAGCAGCAGCAGCAGCAGCAGCAGCGGTGGGCCCAATAGCTGCAATGGGCGGTAGATTTACAATTTTCTGATGCATCGGCTGCGATGTAGGCGATGAATGCGACAATAATGGCTGTGGCGATGAAGTAGATCTATAATCAGACAAGGGATCAAACCGACTCGCAGCAGCAGGTGGAGGTAACGAGCGATTGATATCATGAATCAAGGGTAGATTTCTAGCTGTAGCTGATGTGGTTGCTGCTACTGCTGGCTGATGAAATGCAGTGGGTGGCGTTCTGGGTGGTGGAGGTAATCTTGGTTGTGATGGAGGCGCCTGAGGAGGTGTTGCATAATGAAAAGGCGCTTGATAGGATGCTCTTTTTGGCTCAATATAGTCTTCAATGGGAGGTACAGCAGCATTGCTATTTGATCCACGTCGAATGTTTGTTACGGTAGTATTGACGACTCTTCTCTTCTTCTTTTCCTTTTTCTCCGCTGCTTGTTTGACCTTCTCCTCATCGTCACTATCCACAGGGTCCCCCTCTGATGAAGACTCTAGCTCATCCTCTTCTTCCTCGCCCTCTCCATGCTCGTTGACAATGATTCTCTTGCGGCGCTTAATCACACTACGTTTCATACTGACAGGTCGATGCACATTGTGTAATTTGTAATATAAACCACAAGCATTGCAAATCGTATTGCCTTCTTCATCTCGTCTCCATAAGGGTGTTGTTGTGGTGCGGCAATTAGCACAGATCAAAGCATGTCGATTCACTTGATGCTGATTAAAAGCAGGGCAGCCCTCGCAAGAGGGAGAGCCACCCGTGCCATTACATTGGCCACCGCCTGGGCATGTACCCGCCAAGGCCTCTGCTGCATTGATTGTATTATGTGTCATTTGTTCCTGTAACTGGTCCTGTTTGCTCTTAAAGTTGCGTTTCATGGAAGGCGGGCGCAGTGTGTTTCTCGCTTTGAGATAGAGACCACAGGCATTGCAAATAGTGTCTCCATTAGGTGCTCTTCTCCATAGAGGCGTAGTGGTAGTGCCACAATTCGAACATGCTGTTGCGGAAACTTGTTGCTGTTCTTTCTTCTTTTGCTTGGTATCTTGCAGAGGGTGTTCAGGTATAACCATTGATTATATCAGTTCAGATTAAAGAAAAAGAAAGAGGGAAGAAAGAAATGGAGCAAAAATAATACTACACACCAAATTTTTTTGATGGAAATGTGATTGTATAAATTGTATTGTAAAATGAGTATCCACTGAGTTATCAAATGCTTGTTACTCTTGCTTTTTGGCCAAAATGGTATATCGCATTTGGTGGCGTATCATGATCCATGAAAGGGGGTTTCAATTGACATGTCTGATTCAGCATTGAAATGGCATAATCTTGGCTATGGAGGTGTGTAGGCCAAAGAATCCATTTGAATATCTTTCTAGACAACATGTTGTTGGGTATGACAAGAATATTCGTATTTCGGACCAGCGAATCATTTCATTTCAAGTAAATTTCATGAACATAATGCCTTTTTGACATTTGCAGTGGGGAGAAATGGGAGAGCTTCGAGAAAAATCACTGTATAATAGAGTCTTTTTTTCAAACCCCATTTGCCTCTTTAAAATGCTTTACAAACTGTTGTTTCATGTATACCATGTATATATGGTAGTGCACATCAACATCTCAGATCAATTCAGTGAGCCATCATCAGCACGACAATCACAAACTATGATCATACTACTTGCATCTCATGATACATTATCTGCTATTGGTAAAATGACATCAATCTTCTTCTGATTGTTCTGTTTCGCTCGAGAAAAATGGAACTTGTGCTGAATCAATGGATTCGGCACATCTCGCCATGAATATATCAAAGCTCTTGTTGAGATGGAGCTTCAAGATCCAAAGATGATCGAGCAACCGCAAAATTGCCTCACATGCTTAAACACAGACATTTAATTCCCCATTTTTGGTCAAATTAAAAGGTCGTAGAGCATAAGCTCATTCAATATGTATTATCAGTCTATGGGTTATTGGGGCTAGTTTTTTTCTATTTTTCGTGTAGTTTGTATCACTCGAGCCGATTATAGTCATTTTTAAATAGCCCATTTTAGCAAGCCCCGTTGAGTTTATTAAAAAATGTATGGAATCAAACATGCACGAGATGGGATCACATCAAATTTATCGCTATACCACTTTTTGGTATTGTAAGCTCTGGTTGCTAGGTAACCAGCCGATCCTAATTGCAGGATCAAGATCAAGATATGCTGTGTTACAAGTACCATGGCAACAAACGAAATGATTTCGCTCAACTACAGGATTGATTAATGAGATACTGTCAATGCACGAGTGCAGTACTAATTACTTACATAGTGAGGGCACCAGACGTATTCAAAGAGCCCTCCTGATGGTATCTACTACACAATTAGGCAACCTCTCATTATGTCTCTAATCCCAGACACACCTTGTACTCTTTTGATTCGTTTTTGCGAAGATTTCGCAACAGGAGATGGTGATAGAAATTGGTATATTCTCCAACAGTAAACATGACCACACCCAGCAAGGCTAGCTTTGAATTGCTTTCGGGTACATTGAGTGACATTTTGTAGATGAACGAGGTAAAAGAAAAGTAAGATATCGAAATAAGAACGCTATCCTTCAATTTGGATTGTCCAGAATAGCGATGAAGGAACAAGACTTCCTAAGTCGAGAATTGGTTCGAATTCTTGATGAAATTTGGACATGATGGCTCTTACCAGCACTCGCTTTAAGTAATGCACAAAGACAGTTCCTGAAATTATTAGCATGCGACAGTCGTTGATTGACCAGCCAAGAAACAGAGAAGATGCAATTAAAGATGGCGAATAAATGAGAAGCATGCCATGGTATGAAGATATCTGTCACACACTAGTTAGCTCTGTATCGCAACATTCAAAGTGTTACATCACTCACAGACATCTCGCTTGATTCCTTTGACGATGTAGTATTAAATTTGGAGTAATTTAATCTCGTAGACGGAGAAAACTCTCTAGCAATCAGGACCACACTGCCAGCAATGGCCACAAAGACGATTGACAAGTTGAGTAGGCTCCACTCTGGATAGTACATGATGATAACAAGTAGAAAGAGAAGGATGCTAAGAACATGTGTTGCCAATGCTGTCTATTTAAACAAGTATTCCAGCCATAAAAAAAGGGGGGGGGTATATATCGTCTAATGCAAAAAGTTAATGCTTGATCTATTCATTATATGCGATCAAGACAATGAAATTGAACAGTGCATAAAGATGAGCCTCCCTTAAAAGTGGGGGAAAATGTTTCTTTTTTATTGCTGCTGATTCTGCTGCTGCTCAACATACACTTCGAGCACATGACGCAAGTTGGTAACAAAACCTGTGTCTTGATCTACAAGTTGAACCAGATCAATTGTATGCAATTTCTCCTTCACTGCAATAAACTGGATATCGACGCTCTGTGATGTGGAAGGACCAAGAGGACTAGTAAAAGTCGTGGATCAGTTGTAAACGAATCACACCAGCACTGAATATTACCTTAATCGAACGTTATTCTCCAGACAGATGATGTCGGCTTCATGTGTTTCGTTTTCAAAGTATTGCTTTAGGAATTCTGCATTAAATCAATAAGTCAATCTGACCTGTCATTGCACTCGAAACACCGCTGTACCTGCTTCATCCATGTAGGGATCAATGGGCAGTTGTTCTACCGGTAAAGGCGGCAACGTCGTCTTCATAGTATGGCCATACACTTCGCTAGGGTGTCTCTTTCGGTTGGGTATCATCACTTGGAATCGTCTTGTATGCTTTGATCGGTTGACAATGAAGATGTGAAGAGGGAACGTCTTTCCAACTTGAATAGCGTCAGGCACAGTAAACGAAACAACAATACCATCTGCAATTTCTCGTTCAGGCGCACGCCTTCCGCCAAATTCTCTGAGATGTGAAGGTGTCGAAGGCGTGCTTCCAACACTCATCTGCTTCTTCATGCCAAATACGCCCTCCAAAGAGGGGCTCATTTGATGTCCAGGTCCTCCAGGACTGCCTACCACAGATCGAGCTCCAGGCGAGTAGATGCTGCTCTGCACAGACTGAGAACGTGCCATGGACGGCGACATGGGGGAAGGAGAAGCAAACTTTTCTGCGGCAAAGGGTGCAGGAATCTCTTCTCGCTTTTGTTGTCGCATGCCTGATACATCCAACATGGTGTTCCACTTGGATCGCATAGGCAGTGCCTTTTTGCCGTTGATGATGGGAGATCCTACGATTTGAATAGACACACGCTGAGGTTGTATCTTGTCGTCGTTGTTGTTGTAGGTAGGCGCTTGTTGCTGAGGCAAGGGTCGTCTCAATGGAAACATGCGCTGTGGTTGCGTAGGTGGCTTGACGGACCCATCATCCAGCAAGGTCACATCGTATACAAAGACGACCAAATCACTCTTATTCAGAGCAATAGGGAACTGGATTTGGTTGTTTTGATTAAATGCTGCCGAAACTACTGCATTGGAGACTTGTACTTCGACTCGGTCTACAAGAAACTCGCACCCTACTTCAGCTGGATTCTCTAATTCCACAGACATCATCACCATCTTCTCGGCTACTGAAGCATTGGTGGTACGCATTTTTACCACTAATCCAGATCGAATGGCCAGATTTTCACGCACACTTCGCTTCATGGATAACTGAGATGACGCTGTATTCAGGTTGCTACCGCCGCTGCTCGTCAATGAAGATGTGGATCCTGTGGGTTGTCTTGTATGGCTTTCCATGATGAATCTTTGAAGAGGTCGGTCCTGACTTGAAGAAGAAGAAAATACGGGGTCTTTTTTATATGAGAGAAAGCGTGGTTAGTCCTATGAGACAACACAAGTACGGTGATGATTTACCATCTGCTAATCCACTCAACAAGTTGATCGTTTCAAACAGCTCGGTGTCATATTCTGAATCATCCGTGTTGTTCTGGTCGAGTTGTTGTGCACTGGCTCGCTTGATAGGTAATGGTCTGTACTGCACATTGGAATTGATGGATAAAACTGGGCTGGATGATTTAGTTTTAGCGTACACAATAGGGATAACCATAGGATACAGACAGCAGAAGCTATTCTCATGCTCGAAAATGATAAACTCTGCGTTTTTATTGTTTCGGTTGTATGCTTGCGTAAAGAAGGGTGTTGCTACTTCGTTGATGGTTCTTCGTTGGTGGCTCAAGTTCCCAATCTTTGGTGAGGTTGGGCCTATCAACGATGATTGCGTTGTGGCAGACGAGGATCTGTTCATTACAGGTGTGTTGCTGGGCATGACGGAATCGAGAAACGTGGCGTCGACTGTAACTTCCAGTTGATTATAGAAAGAGTGGATGGCTTCTTTGACTTCTTCGCCGGCACCTGCAATCTGTTGAGATACGCGGGCTAGTAGATACACTTGCAAATGCTCATCTAGTGTGCCAACATGTCTGTTAGTTGTTGTCTATGTGCTCCATTTCGACGACAAACCATAAAATGCAAATTCACGCGGATGAGCTTCCAAGATGGCTATAGGATCCTCTTTTTCGTTCTCTTCTTTTGGCTGATTTGGAATGATGATACGAAATTCGGCTTCATTAAAGAAGAGTTCTGTGGATATGGAGCTCATGGCGTGCAGTGGTTTATTGTTGGAAAAGAGAGCTCTCTCGGCAAGCAATTAACACTTGTAATTGCGGGCTTTATTCTAGACATGTTGGCCCTGAACACACACACTGTGCGACTCAAATTAAGTGACTCTAAAAATGACCTATTCCAAGTGAGGTTGATTCCATCTTCTCGCTCTTTTGTATTTGAAATGTCACTTAGAATCCTTGATATAAAGCAAGTTGCACGGGCAGTTCACTGTATTAGGCCATATTCTACACATGTATCCAACCACATTGAAAAGAAGCTGATCTACACATCTCCCAATGTCGGCTTGGTGAAGCTTGTCAAGAAGTTTTCATTATCGACCCTGGGTGTAAGTCGAGCAGCAAGTCATGGTGTAGCGCACTGAACAATCCTAATTATCTATAGATTTCAGCTGTAGCTACTCCTACTGTCATGTATTTCTGGCAATCACCAGCAGGTAGACGCTTAAATTATGCCTGAAGAGACACAATCACTAATGGCTGAATAGTGCAAGCTGCAGACATGAATAGCTCCATGTTTATCGGTGGTAAGTTTCAAAACATTGCACATGGCTGGATAGCAAACAATGAATAACCATGATCCCAATTGTAAGAAACACTAACCCACTATGTATTTACTCAAATGCTACTTTCAGCTGTCATGGCAAGTGCATGTTCTACAGGCGCATTGTCCTTTCTGTTATCTCCCTACGTCAATTCAATCTACTTGCATGTGCTCAAGCAGCAAAATGAAAGCAGCAAGAAACTACCTGCTATTTCACCCAATTCCACCATTTCTATCGAGACACTGGACCTCTTTGCTCGTCGTCGTACAACAACGCTACAACTAAAAGACTTGAAGCCTGTCGCAAGCTCATCGTTTATGACATGGACGGTTAATAAGCGAGTGTTGGAAAAGCAATATGCATTGGAACAAACCAAGGGAGTCAAACCAAAGATCAATCAACATCGATTCTGGTTAGATCAACGAAATGGCATGGGCGATAGAGACATCATGTCGAGTATCTTGAGAATCGTTCATGAGCAAGGTCGTCAACGCATGATTTAGATATCGTTAGACTGTCTGATTGTTACGGATGCTTTTGAATAAAATAGACATTTCTCCATTATCATCATGTGTTGAAAGATGCAAAATGAGTGGGATGAAAACTCGCCTGCAGATGTTTTGGAGACTATAGTAAATTGCGACATACCTGATAAAGCTTATTGAAGTATTCTTGCTCGTAACGAGCCGTTCGAATGACATGAGAGTTATTCATATAAATAATAACTTGTATACCCTTTCAACTCGTTGTGTTTGCCATCTCCAACCTTGTTCCGGTAAAAACCCAAGTATGATAATGTTTAACATCTCACGCCAATAAGTAAAAGAATTAAAGATAGCAACCCATGATATTGAATCAAACTGGAAATGAATGACAAACAACGACGCATGTTTGCCAGGGCATTTGGTACAGGGACGACTTGGCATCTAATGTACTGCTGTACCTATTATATAATTTTCCTCATATAATAAATTGAAAAGGAGACTTCCTTCACAGGAACTGTTTAATTAGTGCTAAATCAGACAAGTAAACCTTGTCTTACACTTTTGAATGAAGATTGGATTGAATTGCATCTGTTTCGGTGCCTTTTTATTATAAAAAAAATAATTATGATAAATGACAGATCAATGGGATATCAACTGAAGATCAACTAGTTATAACTGTGGAATTTGAGGCTTGATAGACTAAAATTCACGGAAAAAAAAGAATAAAAAAACAGTAATGTCAACTTGATAAAGGTATGTTTTATTATCAAACTGACAGGTGTAAAGTAAACTGAAGTCTCTCTACTGGCCAGGTAGATGATCCTTCTTATATACTATAACAATGGATAAAAGTTCTATTAATTAGATTAACAAATAAGTCAACTCAGATCAACTAATGTCTAATCATGCTAAAAGACAACTCCAGCAAGCTAATCATGATTTAGCTCTGTCTGGATGAATAATTAGACTCTCATCCGAAGTACCCTGATCTATCCTTTCTATAAGGATAATTAATATCGATCTAGTAGCATGTATCCGACTAGGTACAGTCTTCTTAGTCTATATTAATAGTACATATCTGAGTGTATATCGCTAAGCATACATCTTTAGCATGTATCTGGATATATGGCATGTCTATAGCATATCGTATGCATGTCTATAGCATATCGTATGCATGTCTATAGCATGTCTCATATATATAGTACAAGTCTGTAGTACATAAAGTATCTGTAGCTAGTATCACGGATATAAGCATGTGTCTTGTAGCGTGGATCATAAAGTGCACATCTGAAGCAACAAGCTCATATTGCATTAATCTTGATGTCTATCCAGATATGGTAAACATCCGTAGTCAATGTCGGAATACAAGTATAAGTCTATAGTGCCATCCATGTCCGTGGTGCCATCTATAGCCTATATCTTATATAGTATGAATCTTATAGCACTAGCGTATCTGAAGTCCATATCTTCTTATAGTATAAATCGATATCGTACATCTAATCCAGTGTACATACAGTTTATATCTAAATCTGGTAACTGGATGAACTGTCGGAATGCAGATCATAGTGGATGTATTCCACAAGAAGAAAAGAACATATTACTATAGGAGTATAGTAATATGTAGGCAAAAAATGGACACTCACACAAAGCGAGTCAAAGAAAAGCATATCACAAATACAACATCATAGATGTTCAAAAGAGCTCGTTGTTGTTGCAACAGAATTGCATACATGAGCAAAGTGCATGGTAAATAGTCGAATGTAGAGTAACACAAATACGCTCAACTGCAAAAGCAATGGTGGTATAAATTTGCACTACAACATAATGACTAATGTTGTCTCATGTCAAGCCACAGAGGCAACACAACCAGCAAAAGAAGAAGAAAGCGCAACAAAGTAAACATCATGATAAAATGCATTATTACGAGAAAGGAAGCAATAATACAAACGTTCAAAGAAGTTTTATATCATTCCGACCAGAAGAAAGAAGATACTTACCACTTACCACAAACACAAATAGACCAGAGAACAAGCATGCACCAAAGACAGTAAACCAGGAAAGACCAGATTCGCAACAGCAGCAGCAATACCAGCACCATCGAAAAACCAGAGAACAAACGACATCAGAGACCAGAGAAAGATCAGACAAAGACCAGACAAAGACCAGACAAAGACCAGAGAAAGATCAGACAAAGACCAGACAAAAACCAGAGAAAGATCAGACAAAGACCAGACAAAGACCAGAGAAAGATCAGACAAAGATCAGACAAAGACCAGGGAAAGATCAGACAAAGACCAGACAAAGATCAGACAAAGACCAGAGAAAGATCAGACAAAGACCAGAGAAAGATTAGACAAAGACCAGAGAAAGATCAGACAAAGACCAGAGAAAGATCAGACAAAGACCAGACAAAGATCAGACAAAGACCAAAAAAAGACCAGAGAAAGATTAGACAAAGACCAGAGAAAGATCAGACAAAGACCAGAGAAAGATCAGACAAAGACCAGACAAAGATCAGACAAAGACCAAAAAAAGACCAGAGAAAGATCAGACAAAGACCAGACAAAGACCAAACAAAGACCAGACAAAGACCAGACAAAGACCAAACAAAGATCAGACAAAGATCAGGCAAAGACCAGACAAAGATCAGACGAAGCTCAGACAAAGACCAAACAAAGTTCAGACAAAGATCAGACAAAGACCAGACAAAGACCAGACAAAGATCAGACAAAGACCAGACAAAGACCAGACAAAGACCAAACAAAGACCAGACAAAGACCAAACAAAGACCGGAGAAAGATCAGACAAAGACCAGAGAAAGATCAGACAAAGACCAAAAAAAGACCAGAGAAAGACCGGAGAAAGATCAGACAAAGACCAAACAAAGACCAGACAAAGACCAGACAAAGACCAGAGAAACATCAGACAAAGATCAGACAAAGATCAGACAAAGATCAGACAAAGACCAGACAAAGACCAGACAAAGATCAGACAAAGACCAGACAAAGACCAAACAAAGACCAAACAAAGACCAAACAAAGACCAGACAAAGACCAAACAAAGACCGGAGAAACATCAGACAAAGACCAGAGAAAGATCAGACAAAGACCAAAAAAAGACCAGAGAAAGACCGGAGAAAGATCAGACAAAGACCAGAGAAAGATCAGACAAAGACCAAAAAAAGACCAAAGAAAGACCGGAGAAAGATCAGACAAAGACCAGACAAAGACCAGACAAAGACCAGACAAAGACCAGACAAAGATCAGACAAAGATCAGACAAAGATCAGACAAAGATCAGACAAAGACCAGACAAAGACCAGACAAAGATCAGACAAAGACCAGACAAAGACCAGACAAAGACCAGACAAAGACCAGACAAAGACCAGACAAAGACCAGACAAAGACCAGACAAAGACCAAACAAAGATCAGACAAAGATCAGACAAAGACCAAACAAAGACCAGACAAAGACCAAACAAAGACCGGAGAAACATCAGACAAAGACCAGAGAAAGATCAGACAAAGACCAAAAAAAGACCAGAGAAAGACCGGAGAAAGATCAGACAAAGACCAGAGAAAGATCAGACAAAGACCAAAAAAAGACCAAAGAAAGACCGGAGAAAGATCAGACAAAGACCAGACAAAGACCAGACAAAGACCAGACAAAGACCAGACAAAGACCAGACAAAGACCAGACAAAGACCAGACAAAGACCAGACAAAGACCAGACAAAGATCAGACAAAGATCAGACAAAGATCAGACAAAGACCAGACAAAGACCAGACAAAGACCAGACAAAGATCAGACAAAGACCAGACAAAGACCAGACAAAGACCAGAGAAACATCAGACAAAGACCAGACAAAGACCAGACAAAGACCAAACAAAGACCAGACAAAGACCAAACAAAGACCGGAGAAAGATCAGACAAAGACCAGAGAAAGATCAGACAAAGACCAAAAAAAGACCAGAGAAAGACCGGAGAAAGATCAGACAAAGACCAAACAAAGACCAGACAAAGACCAGACAAAGACCAGAGAAACATCAGACAAAGATCAGACAAAGATCAGACAAAGATCAGACAAAGACCAGACAAAGACCAGACAAAGATCAGACAAAGACCAGACAAAGACCAAACAAAGACCAAACAAAGACCAAACAAAGACCAGACAAAGACCAGACAAAGACCAGACAAAGACCAAACAAAGACCAGAGAAAGACCAGAGAAAGATCAGACAAAGACCAAACAAAGACCAAACAAAGACCAAACAAAGACCAAACAAAGATCAGACAAAGACCAGAGAAAGACCAGACAAAGACCAGACAAAGACCAGACAAAGACCAGACAAAGACCAGACAAAGATCAGACGAAGCTCAGACAAAGACCAAACAAAGACCAAACAAAGATCAGACAAAGACCAAAAAAAGATCAGACAAAGACCAGACAAAGATCAAACAAAGACCAGACAAAGACCAAACAAAGATCAGACAAAGACCAAACAAAGACCAGACAAAGACCAGACAAAGACCAGACAAAGACCAAACAAAGACCAGAGAAAGACCAGAGAAAGATCAGACAAAGACCAAACAAAGACCAAACAAAGACCAAACAAAGACCAAACAAAGATCAGACAAAGACCAGAGAAAGACCAGACAAAGACCAGACAAAGACCAGACAAAGACCAGACAAAGACCAGACAAAGTTCAGACAAAGATCAGACAAAGACCAGACAAAGACCAGACAAAGACCAAACAAAGACCAGACAAAGACCAAACAAAGACCGGAGAAAGATCAGACAAAGACCAGAGAAAGATCAGACAAAGACCAAAAAAAGACCAGAGAAAGACCGAAGAAAGATCAGACAAAGACCAGACAAAGACCAGACAAAGACCAGACAAAGACCAGACAAAGACCAGACAAAGACCAGACAAAGACCAGACAAAGACCAGACAAAGACCAGACAAAGACCAGACAAAGACCAAACAAAGATCAGACAAAGACCAGACAAAGATCAGACGAAGCTCAGACAAAGACCAAACAAAGACCAAACAAAGATCAGACAAAGACCAAAAAAAGATCAGACAAAGACCAGACAAAGATCAAACAAAGACCAGACAAAGACCAAACAAAGATCAGACAAAGACCAAACAAAGACCAAACAAAGTTCAGACAAAGATCAGACAAAGACCAAACAAAGACCAGACAAAGACCAGACAAAGACCAAACAAAGACCAAACAAAGACCAGAGAAAGACCAGAGAAAGATCAGACAAAGACCAAACAAAGACCAAACAAAGATCAGACAAAGACCAAACAAAGATCAGACAAAGATCAGACAAAGACCAGACAAAGTTCAGACAAAGATCAGACAAAGACCAGACAAAGACCAGACAAAGATCAGACAAAGACCAGACAAAGATCAGACAAAGACCAAACAAAGACCAAACAAAGACCAGACAAAGACCAGAGAAAGATCAAAGACCAAACAACAAGCAACAACAACAACAGTGACCAGACAAGGACCAAGAAGCAGACAGCAGAGACAGCAGAAAAGGAATGGTAGCAGCGCCCATGTCAAACAGGGAAAAAAATTATCAAAACCTAATAAACAAATTCAATTAGTACTGATTCCACGTCTTCCAGTGCTCGTTTATCGAATGACACCTACCATATCCCACTTCAAAGAAGCAGTATCAAGTTCTTTTAGCAATACAAGGCAGTGAGATCGGGAGCTGGAGTGTTATTATCATTCGAACGGTTTCCAAACCAACATGGTCTGATACTAAACGCGTTTTGCAAAAAGAAAAAAAAACGGGGATATGAAAAATGAGAGAGCGCCTTATCCGACGTCACGGCCAGTGGTCTTGGCCACAGCCTTCTGCCACAGCAGCTGTCGCTGCGGCACTCAAATTTGAAATTTTGCAGTGGGTATTTTCGTGTTCAAATCTGACTTGATCTCGCATTCTTTAAATCTTTTTGTTAAATTTGACTATGAAAGTTTTCGTTATTATACTTTATATCCTATTGCATTTATAAAGAGTCAATGAGGGCGCATCGAATAATGTTGGTTACATTGAGCTTTCAAACGGAAAATAACGAGCAATCTTCAAATATGCGAAAATGGGTTTTCTGCGAATATGTCAACATTCAGCATATAAAAACCTCATAAAAGCAGTTTCCAATGTTGCATATTATCTTTACGGTCAATTTGGTCTGATATGTATCATAGGAAAAGTCCTCATTTCTGGGGTGAAAAACGCGATTGTTTAATTTTCAAGAATTATCCTTTGCTAATACTCGTGAAAATATGGGGATTTTTATGGATTTGCAATGACCCAAAAAAAACTGAGATAAAGCATCAGTAAGTAAAGCGCAGCCAAGAGAAGCCGTTTGGTGCTATTCCAGGTGCCCAAAATGCGCTGTGGCATGAGTTATTCGTGCTTGCAAATAGCTAGATTTGAACAAAACTTGACCTAAAAATATGGTGCAGGAGGTTGTATTGCCGAGCGAGTATGTAAATTACAAACTGTCTGATGATCTAGATGCTCTGTATTTACGAAGAAACTCAAAGCGCAAGTGATAAGAGCTTGCATTCTGATTCTAAAGCGTGGAACGTTCTTCCTGAAATGCGCGACTATAGTTATATGAAGACCTGCGTGCCAATGATATTGTGCAAGTTTGAATCTGACAGTATGCTTGGATTAAACGAGATAATCATTGGTCAGCAGTACACTGTTGATGGTCGTCCACAACAAGATGATTCGATATTACGCTATATAACTAAGTTTAAAGCCTATCCATAATGTTGGAGACTCATAACTCAAAACAAATAATGACTGGGACCGAACACGCCGAGTCGGTGTTGTCAACACAATGTGGGAAGCAAACAACAAACTTATATATCAATATATCAAAATTGACTAAAAAACAAAGATTCATAATACCTGTAACTTTTGTAATACAATGGTCGGCATAAGCAGATTACGATAAAATCGGGTTTAAATGGATTATTCACGGAACTACACTGCCGAAAAGGCAAATGCTCCAAAATCAATCACTCAAACACTGTTTTCTGCTACAATATATGGGCGTATATACTTTTTTTTGGTTTGCGCCAATATTAGTCAATACATGCCCTGGAATTTTTTATAGACTTGAGCACCTTATAAACGCTTCTGTGCTATTGTTGTGAAATTTAAGGCTTTATAAGACTAAAATTCACGGAAAAAAAGAATAAAAAAACATTAAAGTCTGTAATGAAATAGCCACCCAAACGCAACTTAATTGAAAACCAAAGTTCATCAAATAGCACTCATTCAAATTTATGCTATTTGGATCTATTAATGAAAGCGCTCAAATGTACATCAAAAAACCATTTAAAAATACTAAAGTAAAGATGCATGCTTATATCGCACATCGTGTGAATGAATCACTCCTGACCACAGTGTATTCAATCACACCCATGATGGTCGTAATAAGTGATGGCATCTTTATCCAAATAGAATTAAATCAATAACAAGCATATTCAAATATGACAACTATGCCCTGCTGCCATAGTTGCACAATATCCCAGATAAAGGATCCCATACTTCAATAACAAACATCACACTTTAAACCATCAAGGTTACATTAAATCATGCTATGACGATAGCTCACCCAAGCCCATCAAGGTTACTCAAATCGACCCTTATGGCCAGTGCTCTTGCATTGATTACCACTTTAAATCAAACATCAACAACATTTGCCAGATATCGCAATAGCAGAAACTATTGCTCTCTATCATCACTAAACCTACAAACTAGTTGCAAATGTATAAATACTCTTCTTTTTTTTACTCAATTCCAGGATCTTCAGTTCATTTTACACACAAATAAAATACAGTTGATTTCTATTGTATTCTACCTTTGCTTTATTTTTTTTGTGAAATCTATTCAAGCCTGATTTCACTGCAAAGTCAACTTGATAAAGGTATGTTTTATTATCAAACTGACAGTTGTAAAGTAAAGTATCTCTACTGGCCAGGTAGATGATCCTTCTTATATACTATAACAATGGATAAAAGTTCTATTAACTAGATTGACAAATAATAAGTCAACTCAGATCAACTAATGTCTAATCATGCTAAAAGACAACTCCAGCAAGCTAATCATGATTTAGCTCTGTCTGGATGAATAATTAGACTCTCATCCGAAGTACCCTGATCTATCCTTTCTATAAGGATAATTAATATCGATCTAGTAGCAAGTATCCGATAGGTACAGTCTACTTAGTCTATATCAATAGTACATATCTGAGTGTATATCGCTAAGCATACATCTTTAGCATGTATCTGGATATATGGCATGTCTATAGCATATCATATGCATGTCTATAGCATGTCTCATATATAGTACAAGTCTGTAGTACATAAAGTATCTGTAGCTAGTATCACGGATATAAGCATGTGTCTTGTAGCGTGGATCATAAAGTGCACATCTGAAGCAACAAGCTCATATTGCATTAATCTTGGTGCTTATCCAGATATGGTAAACATCCTTAGTCAATGTCGGAATACAAGTATAAGTCTATAGCGCCATCCATGTACGTGGAGTCATCTATAGTCTATATCTTATATAGTATGAATCTTATAGTACTAGCGTATCTGAAGTCCATATCTTCTTATTGTATAAATCGGTATCGTACATCTAATCCAGTGCACATATAGCTTATATTTAAATCTGGTAATTGGATGAACTGTCGGAATGCAGATCATAGTGGATATATTCCACAATCAGAGTTGTTGTGCCAGAAGGGCTACAACTGTCTATAAAGATTAAGGTATTCTTGATGGGTGGATATGTCTGTGTTGTGCAACAACATGGACAAGCTATGATAATTGAAGTGCATCTCGGCTATCTAAATGCTGAGGTTCACCAGATGCGATAAGCGTTGTACAAGATAAGTTGCTACTTTGGCATTCAGAACTTAGTATAAATAGAATAACTCTTGCCTTCATCAATAAATCTTTAGTTTTTGTGTCTGATCTTATTCAAATAAGTCTTTCCTTGTTTTTATAATATCTAACATTTTTTATAAGCTACAAATAATAATCCTTTTATTCTTTGTGCTTAACAAGAGTCATAGTCGTCATCAGAGTCCTTCAGGATTTTGGGATACCTGCGAGTAGTAGTGTGGGGAGTGTGGGGAGTGAGGTCAGCGTGGGCAGCATGGGGAGTGCGAGCAGCATGGGGAGCCTTCCTCTTACCTGCCAAAAATTATCAATTTTAGACATTGAAAAACCAGTGTAATACATACCTGGGGTAATACAAGTTTTTCGCATTTCTCTTTCCAGAAACCGTATGATACTCATCGATGGCAGCGTTTCCTCGATTTGTTTAAAGGCTTCCTTTGATTCATCTATGATATATATGTTAACGAATGTCCTTATAACCGACCGCAAAAAATTATGTACTGTACTAGAATTTGGCTGATGCAATGGTACGTAGAGTCTATCATCAATGGTGTCAGTTGCTCGGCAATAAACCATCAAATGTGTGTGATAATTCTCTCTGAAGAAATCTGCACTTCTGCGAAATTGTTTCCAATGTCTATGGAAAGACTTGTACTTGGCCAACATGTCAATGTTCGAGGACCGTTTCTTCTCTTCCTCTGCCTCTAGTTTGTATGACCGTTGCTGCTTTGCATTAAGCGCCTTCCATTGGGCTTCAAGTTGCTGTAAATGGGCTTTGCGCTCTGATTTCAGGATTTTTTTGTCATGAGTATGTTCCTTCTGATACATACTCCGGCGACTGACTTTCGTCTTGATTGCTTGGGGAGGCTTGAACTCTCCAATGAGCTTTGTATGATGCTCGTAGCACACATGTGCTCCAAGGTATCGCTTCACTTGGTCTTTGATGAAGGCTGCATTTGTTTCAGCGAAATCATTTATCAAGAGGTCCACTTTTTGAAATAATGGTCTCAATAAGACTTCATCCTCACTTCCATACATGAAGAACAACTCAGTATTACTGTGTTTGTCTTCATCCTCACCTTCGTCTTCATCTTTGTCTTCATCTTCATCTCCATCTTCAGGCTTTACAGTTAGGCGAGTGCCGTCGCTGTTATCATTCCAAATGTCCTCAGCATCTTGTTCAATGCTTGATTCATCATCGGAACCACGACCAGTCTGCTGGCTCGCGTAATCAATCTCTCCTTCTAAGGCGCCAAAATAGTTTTAATCAATTTACTCATTTTAATGTATAAAGAAAGAAAGAACAAAAACAAAGAAAACCTCAAATGTATTTATAGATAGCTTGTTCTTAACGAGAACTGTATAATTGCAACGGCTTATCAACAGAAAACATGATCCATAGCTTTAACAACGCACGCATGAAGCGAGATCATTTCATAAATAGAAGCATGCGAAGATTTCAAAAATGGTACAAATCCGCTTGTGCTTTTCCCTTATGATGAACAGACAACACTTGTCATTCTCCTTGAAAATGTACTATAAGTATTTCAGTTGTTCCACAGTTGCGTAACGTCGCTTTTGTCCAACATTAATTACCAAATGGATTCTGAATGGCAACAAACCTATGTTTATTTAAGAAGTGCATTTTTAATGCAGACAATCACTGTACAAAGCAGCTACTTTGACGAATAATACGACGAAGCCATAATAAATGTAGGCATAGGCATATATGAGAGTTGGCAGAGGCACACCGGAAATTGGGCAGAGATGTATCTAAATGTGGGCAGAGGTGTAAAGGAATGTAGGCGAGAAAGATATTCATGGGTTGAAATGAACAACGTTTTCATTGGATTAAAAATCCATGATGTTAGGGGAAATCTGATTGAACTCTGTAATAGTTAAATTTGTACACTTTGTTTAATGTAACATATAGCTCTTTTTGAGTACAGTGTGGTATGCAACAGGTCTATTTTCATGAGTATTAGCAAAGGATAATTCTTGAAAATTAAACAATCGCGTTTTTCACCCCAGAAATGAAGACTTTTCCTATGATACATATCAGACCAAATTGACCATAAAGATAATATGCAACATTGGAAACTGCTTTTATGAGGTTTTTATATGCTGAATGTTGACATACTCGCAGAAAACCCATTTTCGCATATTTGAAGATTGCTCGTTATTTTCCGTTTGAAAGCTCAATGTAACCAACATTATTCGATGCGCCCTCATTGACTCTTTATAAATGCAATAGGATATAAAGTATAATAACGAAAACTTTCATAGTCAAATTTAACAAAAAGATTTAAAGAATGCGAGATCAAGTCAGATTTGAACACGAAAATACCCACTGCAAATTTTCAAATTTGAGTGCCGCAGCGACAGCTGCTGTGGTAGAAGGCTGTGGCCAAGACCACTGGCCGTGACGTCGGATAAGGCGCTCTCTCATTTTTCATATCCCCGTTTTTTTTTCTTTTTGCAAAACGCGTTTAGTATCAGACCATGTTGGTTTGGAAACCGTTCGAATGATAATAACACTCCAGCTTCTGATCTCACTGCCTTGTATTGCTAAAAGAACTTGATACTGCTTCTTTGAAGTGGGATATGGTAGGTGTCATTCGATAAACGAGCACTGGAAGACGTAGAATAATCAGTACTAATTGAATTTGTTTATTAAGTTTTGATAATTTTTTTTCCCTGTTTGACATGGGCGCTGCTACCATTCCTTTTCTGCTGTCTCTGCTGTCTGATTCTTGGTCCTTGTCTGATCTCTGTTGTTGTTGTTGCTTGTTGTTTGGTTTTTGTCTGATCTTTGTTTGGTCTTTGTTTGGTTTTTGTTTGGTTTTTGTTTGGTCTTCGTCTGGTCTTTGTCTGGTCTTTGTCTGATCTTTCTCTGGCTTTGTTTGGTCTTTGTTTGGTCTTTGTCTGATCTTTGTCTGGTCTTTGTCTGATCTTTGTCTGTGTGGAATTTGAGGCTTTACAGACTAAAATTCACGGAAAAAAAAGAATAAAAAAACAGTAATGTCAACTTGATAAAGGTATGTTTTATTATCAAACTGACAGGTGTAAAGTAAACTGAAGTCTCTCTACTGGCCAGGTAGATGATCCTTCTTATATACTATAACAATGGATAAAAGTTCTATTAATTAGATTGACAAATAAGTCAACTCAGATCAACTAATGTCTAATCATGCTAAAAGACAACCCCAGCAAGCTAATCATGATTTAGCTCTGTCTGGATGAATAATTAGACTCTCATCCGAAGTACCCTGATCTATCCTTTCTATAAGGATAATTAATATCGATCTAGTAGCAAGTATCCGATAGGTACAGTCTACTTAGTCTATATTAATAGTACATATCTGAGTGTATATCGCTAAGCATACATCTTTAGCATGTATCTGGATATATGGCATGTCTATAGCATATCGTATGCATGTCTATAGCATGTCTCATATATAGTACAAGTCTGTAGTACATAAAGTATCTGTAGCTAGTATCACGGATATAAGCATGTGTCTTATAGCGTGGATCATGAAGTGCACATCTGAAGCAACAAGCTCATATTGCATTAATCTTGGTGCCTATCCAGATATGGTAAACATCCGTAGTCAATGTCGGAATACAAGTATAAGTCTATAGTGCCATCCATGTCCGTGGTGCCATCTATAGCCTATATCTTATATAGTATGAATCTTATAGTACTAGCGTATCTGAAGTCCATATCTTCTCATGATCATAGTAAAAATCGATATCGTACATCTAATCCAGTGTACATACAGTTTATATCTAAATCTGGTAACTGGATGAACTGTCGGAATGCAGATCATAGTGGATGTATTCCACAGTCTGGTCTTTGTTTGATCTTTCTCTGGTCTTTGTTTGGTCTTTGTCTGATGTTTCTCTGGTCTTTGTCTGGTCTTTCTCTGGTCTTTGTCTGATCTTTCTCTGGTCTTTGTCTGATCTTTGTCTGGTCTTTGTTTGATCTTTGTTTGATCTTTCTCTGGTCTTTGTCTGGTCTTTGTCTGATCTTTGTCTGATCTTTGTCTGGTCTTTGTTTGGTCTTTGTTTGGTCTTTGTCTGATCTTTCTCTGATCTTTGTTTGGTCTTTGTCTGGTCTTTGTCTGGTCTTTGTCTGGTCTTTGTCTGGTCTTTGTCTGGTCTTTGTCTGGTCTTTGTCTGGTCTTTGTCTGGTCTTTGTCTGGTCTTTGTCTGATCTTTCTCCGGTCTTTCTCTGGTCTTTGTCTGGTCTTTGTCTGGTCTTTGTTTGATCTTTGTCTGATCTTTCTCTGGTCTTTGTTTGGTTTTTGTCTGATGTTTCTCTGGTCTTTGTCTGGTTTTTGTCTGATCTTTGTCTGATCTTTCTCCGGTCTTTGCTTGGTCTTTGTCTGATGTTTCTCTGGTTTTTGTCTGGTCTTTGTTTGATCTTTCTCTGGTCTTTGTTTGGTCTTTGTCTGATGTTTCTCTGGTCTTTGTCTGGTCTTTATCTGATCTTTCTCTGGTCTTTGTTTGGTCTTTGTCTTATGTTTCTCTGGTCTTTGTCTGGTCTTTCTCTGGTCTTTGTCTGATCTTTGTCTGATCTTTCTCTGGCCTTTGTTTGGTCTTTGTCTGGTCTTTGTTTGGTCTTTGTCTGATCTTTGTTTGGTCTTTGTCTGGTCTTTGTCTGATCTTTCTCTGGTCTTTGTTTGGTCTTTGTCTTATGTTTCTCTGGTCTTTGTCTGGTCTTTGTCTGGTCTTTGTCTGCTCTTTGTCTGGTCTTTGTTTGATCTTTCTCTGGTCTTTGTCTGGTCTTTGTTTGATCCTTCTCTGGTCTTTGTCTGATGTTTCTCTGGTCTTTGTCTGATGTTTCTCTGGTCTTTGTCTGGTCTTTGTCTGGTCTTTGTCTGATCTTTCTCTGGTCTTTGTTTGATCTTTCTCTGGTCTTTGTCTGGTCTTTGTCTGGTCTTTGTTTGATCTTTGTCTGATCTTTCTCTGGTCTTTGTTTGGTTTTTGTCTGATGTTTCTCTGGTCTTTGTCTGGGTTTTGTCTGATCTTTGTCTGATCTTTCTCTGGTCTTTGTCTGATCTTTGTCTGATCTTTCTCTGGTCTTTGTCTGATCTTTCTCTGGTCTTTGTTTGATCTTTCTCTGGTCTTTGTCTGGTCTTTGTTTGGTCTTTGTCTGATCTTTGTTTGGTCTTTGTCTGGTCTTTGTCTGATCTTTCTCTGGTCTTTGTTTGGTCTTTGTCTTATGTTTCTCTGGTCTTTGTCTGGTCTTTGTCTGATCTTTGTCTGATCTTTGTCTGGTCTTTGTCTGATCTTTGTCTGGTCTTTGTCTGGTCTTTGTTTGGTCTTTGTCTGGTCTTTGTCTGATCTTTCTCTGGTCTCTGATGTCGTTTGTTCTCTGGTTTTTCGATGGTGCTGGTATTGCTGCTGCTGTTGCGAATCTGGTCTTTCCTGGTTTACTGTCTTTGGTGCATGCTTGTTCTCTGGTCTATTTGTGTTTGTGGTAAGTGGTAAGTATCTTCTTTCTTCTGGTCGGAATGATATAAAACTTCTTTGAACGTTTGTATTATTGCTTCCTTTCTCGTAATAATGCATTTTATCATGATGTTTACTTTGTTGCGCTTTCTTCTTCTTTTGCTGGTTGTGTTGCCTCTGTGGCTTGACATGAGACAACATTAGTCATTATGTTGTAGTGCAAATTTATACCACCATTGCTTTTGCAGTTGAGCGTATTTGTGTTACTCTACATTCGACTATTTACCATGCACTTTGCTCATGTATGCAATTCTGTTGCAACAACAACGAGCTCTTTTGAACATCTATGATGTTGTATTTGTGATATGCTTTTCTTTGACTCGCTTTGTGTGAGTGTCTATTTTTTGCCTACATATTACTATACTCCTCTATAGTAATATGTTCTTTTCTTCTTTCTTTTATTATTATTATGTTTCTTTAAAGTATACCTTTTTTACGTTGTGGTGGATGTGCCTATCGCTGAAGCTCAACAAGACTTTATCCGAGGCTAGGAGGTAGATAGGCTGCCTCCACTTGGTTATCGCTACTTACTTTAATGATGATTGAGAGCCTCAACGCCAGAATCTAAAGCTGGGTGGTGTAAGTAAGGCATGCTCTAGCACCTGAGGGAAGTTTGATGATAGTAACAGCTATATTGCTATATATAGCGGAGCTTAAAATTTCGCCTCACATCCAAACAGGGGGAAACCCTCGCAATTTTTTTTAGGTCAGCGGAGTTTTCAAGCGATTTGATTGGTTCAGGGATTGAAGCATCAAACGGTTATAGCTAGTTGATCTCCAATTGATACCCCATTGATCTGTCGCTTTTTATAGTTATTTGTTTGTAATAAAATGGCATCATTATCCTAATAATCAAAATTCAAATCATTCTTTATCCAATAAGATGAAAGTTACAGCTGTTAGATATGATATACTTTGCAAATTTTGATTCCAGGGATGTACTCGAAAGTTAATATTTGATGCAGTAAAAAGAACGTAAAAGTAGACAAAATACTGTTAAAATACCAATTTACTGAATATTGGTGGTATCATGTGTGTGTTTAGGATACAGATCATATCTGAGAGGCAAATGTGTTATCATACAACGCATAATACATGAGAAGGACTGAGCAAGAGCAGAGATGCATGGTATATGTTGTGCCAGAAGGGCTACAACTGTCCATAAAGATTAAGGTATTCTTGATGGGTAGATATGTCTGTGTTGTGCAACAACATGGACAAGCTATGATAAGTGAAGTGCATCTCAGCTATCTAAATACTGAGGTTCACCAGATGTGATAAGCGTTGTACAAGATAAATTGCTACTTTGGCATTCAGAACTTAGTATAAATAAAATAACTCTTGTCTTCATCAATAAACCTTTAGTTTTTTGTGTCTGATCTTATTCAAATAAGTCTTTTCTTGTTTTTATAATATCGAACATTTTTTGTAAGCTACAAATAATAATCCTTTTATTCTTTGTGCTTAACAGTATATTGCGATCGCCAGACTCAGACAGTAGTGCAAAGAATAAGAGTGGTGTTATCAAATGTCTAATCTATATCCTGGCTCCTGAAATGTCGTACCCTATGACCTTTCGTCCCTAAAAGTGGGTTTCAATTCAAACAAATGTTTTTCTGCCAAATCTACTATCAATGAAGAGCATTCTCTTCTGGATCCTCATTGTTATTCGTTCCTGACTGGCCGTCCATGAGCTTTCACGCAGCACATCTTTATTAACTGGTTCAATGCTTATACAATTACCCCGCGTTCCAGATCAAGGTTCTATTGCTGTGGCATTGTCAAATAATACCTTCGAAATTTACACTAGTATGAATCCTTATTCAATCTAGGAATAGCATAATAAATATATTCAGTTCTAATTGTATTTTCTCTGTCTATATCCTTGTTAAGCACAAAGAATAGAAGGATTATTATTTGTAGCTTATAAAAAATGTTCGATATTATAAAAACAAGAAAAGACTTATTTGAATAAGATCAGACACAAAAAACTAAAGGTTTATTGATGAAGACAAGAGTTATTTTATTTATACTAAGTTCTGAATGCCAAAGTAGCAATTTATCTTGTACAACGCTTATCACATCTGGTGAACCTCAGCATTTAGATAGCTGAGATGCACTTCACTTATCATAGCTTGTCCATGTTGTTGCACAACACAGACACATCTACCCATCAAGAATACCTTAATCTTTATAGACAGTTGTAACCCTTCTGGCACAACAATTTTGTTATTCTAAACAGTTTGCAGTGAAACCAAGTTTAAGAGATTTCACAAAAAAGTAAAGCAACAATAAAATACAATTGAGGTCAACTGTATCTTATCTGTGTACAAAATGAACTGAAGATCTTGGAATTGAGTAAAAGAAAAAACAGAGTATTTCTACATTTGTCACTAGCTTGTTGCAGGGTTAATGCTGGTAGAGAGCAATAGGTGCTGCTGTTTCACTATGGCAAATGTCGTTGATGTTTGATTTAAAGTAGCAATCAATGCAAGAGCACTTCTGGCCATAAGGGTCAATTTGAGTAATCTTGAAGAGCTTGGATAAGATATCGTCATAGTATGGTTTAATGTAACCTTGACAGTTTAAGGTGTGATGCTTGTTATTGAAGTATACAACCCTTTATTTGGAGTACTGTGCAATTATGGCATCAGGGCATAGTTGTCATATTTGAATATGCCTGTTACTGATGTGGCCTTATTTGGATAAAGATAACATCACTTATTACAACCATCATGAGTGTGATTGAATCCACTGTGATGAAGAGAGATTCATTCACACGGTGTGCTTGAGCGCTTCATTTGTAGATTCAAATAGCATGAATTTGAATGAGCAGTATTTGTTGAATTCCGGCTTTCAATGAAGTTGCTTTTAGGTAGCTATTTCATTACACCAAAGAAAGCCTATACAAACTGGTTTTTCGATCAAATGTCAAACGCATGAAGCACTGTGTAAGCGAATAATACCCTCTTTCACGCACAAGGATGCCATGTATAGTTTGTAAATCTAATTGTATAAGGTATACTGGAACCCTCATCTGTGCCTCCTTTCAAGTTTGCTTTGAGTATTTGCTTTTTTTTTTATTATTATTATTCAAAGATCTTCTGATGATAAAAAGCCTTCATAATCCCTTTGTGATTAAGCAACATAGCTATACATGTCCTTTTGATTTTCAACACGCTCAATATATTCCTTCTCCTGCAAGTTCAAACCGTAAGTGTGAGTAAATCACGATACAAAATGCACTATCCACTTATGCACTTACCAATAAAACATCGATACACTTCTTGATGGCAGGCACACGAGGCTTGAATCTTGATTGTAATTGAGTGATAACTTCCTCTATGAGGGCCACATGCTTCATAACCTTGCGAGTCTTCATGATTCTCACAATAGCAGCTTGCATGACAAACATTCTGTCCTCCTCAATTGTTTTATGTGTCTCATCGGCTTCTGCCTTTTGCTCCATTCTCATCTGCATGTTAAGGTTGATGCGAACCTTCTTGCTCTTGAAATCAAGATTCAGAACGTAACGAGATCCAGCATCGCCAACATTTTCAGCATCGCGCAATAAAAGAACCTTGGCTTTAACAAGGATACCAAGAGCGGGATTCAGAGCTTCAGGGGCAAGTGCCGTACTCTTGTGCAATTCTTCGTAGGTGCAGCTGTCAGTTGTATTGAATTGAAGAAGAACACCCATTTGATAAGCAGAGACCATGAATGTGTAACCAACCTTGGATGCTTTAAGGTAATGTGTCTTGAGCTCAGCTTTGGATAATTGGAAGAGCCAGTTGAGCTTACGACCAGAGTGCTTATTTTGATAGAACTTTTGGAAACGATCATACATTTTGACAACGTCATCTGGAAGATTGAAAGATGTAGATGGAGCAGACAAAGGCCAGGAACCAGCACCAAGCACCAAAATATTGAAATCAGCTAAAGAGATTGTTAGTCCTTACATCTGATCCACGCCATGCTTGAACTTACCTCCAGAGGAACCCTCTTGACCTTGAGAAACCAAATCCTTAAATTGATCATTCAATTCTTTACTGAGAGACATATCGGTCAGCATACGCTGAAGTTTTGACGTGTACTCGAAGCCACATGCCTCCTTCAATTTAGAGATCATAGAGCCCTCAGCATCATCCGAAGCAGATGTACCATTCACCAAACGCTTAGCCAACATCTTGCTGTAGAACTTCTGGAATACATCCTTGTCCTCGACGTATTTGAATACGGTCATGACGTTGTTTAGCACATCCTCCAATTCATCCTCTTCAGGGTTCTTGGCACTCTTCTTGAGCAACTGGTCGCAGAAACGGGCCAAAAGTTCTGGTGATTTGCTTGACGACCCCTTGCACACCTTATTTCTGTTGACAAACTCACCACAAGCCTTATCAAGAGCTGCAACAAATCCAGCCTCACCACTAAAAGCAGTTTGCACCAAATCGTTGTATTTCTTGTGAACCTCCAGCAAAGTGTCGACATAGCTCTTGGGATCAACGGATTCAGATTCATTCTGCGAAATACGCTCAATTGCATTGAGACCTGCTTTTTTGACATGAGCTTCGAAACTGACACGCAATGGATTGAGACCGTCAGTGATACGAGCTAGCAACGAGTACATGCGATGAAGATCTGATCAGTGTAAGCATTAGTTCCATGTCATATCAATAGGGATTCAACATGCACTTACCATCCTGCTTATCGGCATTAAGCAAACCTTGGAAGCCATCCCAGATGCTCTCCTCTTGATTTTTAACGAGAACAGTTTCACAGATGGGGATTAATGTCTTGTGGGTGGTAGGATGAAGGTAGACTTGCACACGGCCCTCTTCTTCGTTCAATCTGGTTTCAGCCTTCTTCATATAATCAGGAATGCTGTTTTCGCTAATGAACTTTTCTGACTCTGTCTTGTAGTAAACTTCAGTGGCTTCGAGAAACTCCTTTTCGAAATAATCCTTATACACATCCAAATTTGATTTTGAAGAGTCGTTGTGGTCAAGGCCAAGAGATACTACAGCATAATCCTGTCAGTGGGATCTCTCACGTAGAGGAAAACAGGCACCAGAAGTGTCTTACCGAATGAATCAACGACGTTTTTGATAAGGCCTGTTTCGATGACTTCGCCATTTCTCTGTTTGGTGATCAACTTCAGCACTGCGGCAATAACATTGTGGTTGACGTATTCAAACATGTACTTTTTCCAACTGACAAGAGTCAACTATATGCATATATACAACGAAATGTCAGTAATCTGCACTCAAATATGGCGTGTAGATCAGCATTACAGTAAATACATCATAGACATCGCTCTTTCTATCCTCGTCAATCTCACGCTTGACCCAGTAGCGGTTAAGGTACATAAAGATGTTGTTTACGACACGAGCGGCAGCGGTATATCTTGTCCATTGTTTGGTATAGTATTGTAATAATGATTCGTCCATGTACTGTTCAGATTCCTTTCTGATCTTTTCAAGATGAAGCTTCAAGTAGTTACTGAGATGTTGGTAAACCTCACCACCGATCAATGGTGGTGCAGGAGCAGCTGTTTCTCATGTTAGTCAATTGCTTATGCAAATATACCTTTGGCTATATTTACGTCTACGGGAATTGGGTCCACCTGGAGTTGAGATATTGCCATGCAAGTTGGAATCGCTTCGAGCACAGTAGTTGTGTACAGCACTAGAGCGCAAGAACTTATCAGTTACACGTAACAAAGCATTCAAATCAACCTCATACCTATAAAGAATGGAATAACGAGTACGGTCAAGGCCTTGCTCAAAGCGACACATGATTTGATCAAGACCTTCTTCTAGGAAAGTCCAAGTGGCATTGAAGTCGTTGCCAGGAGGCAGCTGCATAGAGGTCATTGTTCAAATGTGATTCAAATAAGAGAGATTGGGGGCGTGTGTGAGTGCAATATATCGTGATTAATGCTTTTTTCTCGCTATTGACTATTAGAAAAAAGGTTAGATACACTGGATAGGTGAAAGAAACAGCAGAAAAATGGAAACACTCTTTCAAAATGCTCATGATTGACCTTAGTATACGTCACTTTATTATGAAAGTCTAGTCGCACCTGTCGTCACACTCGTTTCCAATCAACATCAGGTGTAATCAATGTCAATGTACGCACATGTATCAAAATAGAGCACTCGTCTATACTCCTTTTTTCAGTTTATTTGCTATAGCCAAGCAGGGCTTAATCTGACTCGGAGGCAGAACCGTCATCATCGACATCTTCGTCATTGGCGATATCAGAATCATCCTAAACCCAAAGACAACATTTAGCATGAATTTACAGGTACATTTATGAGAAGACTTACCAAATCAATAGCAACACTTGCTTCGTCTAATTTTTCCTTGATGTCTTGGTATTTGGGGTTGACCAACATGATGGGCGTTAATTTACTGCGATCTGCGATCCTTTTCACATGGCATTAGCATCCAACTTGATGAGATGCGGTGATCAGCATCAGACTTACTTGGGGTCAGCACCTCCAGCTAGCAACAACTCCACCATGGCAAGTGCCATTTCATGATCTTGATTTGCATATTGTACAGCAATGTGCAAAGGAGTTTGTCCCTCCAAAGTGTTCTTGATATCGAGGTCAATATCATCATGATTGACAAGCACTTCCAGACATCCAATAGATCCTGCTTTTGCACTAATGACGAGATTTGAGTTGCGCTATTCGAGATGATTCATAACAATTCTCTTACGCGTAATGAGCAGCTGTATTTCCTGCACCATCTGTAAAGGAGACATCGCAGTTTCCTTCATCCAGTAACTTCTCCAAGTCCTCTTCTTGGTCATTTCGACACAACGATAACATGAGTTCATCTAGTGAATGTGGTCAAATCTTTTTGCTCCTTTCTACAAAAGTTGGCGATGCTTACTTGCGGGAGCTCCTTGGTCTTCAGTCATTGTTTCGTGGATATATAAAGTTCTTTGGGAAAGAGGTAATTAACGAGGTGAGAGCACGAGGATGAAGAGAGGTTATTTTGAGAGAGAAAGGTGTGTTTGAAGGGGAGTGGAGAGTGCCTTCTGGTGACTTTGCACTAATTCGGTACCAGTTGATGCTTTGTGCAATGCAGAGCATTCATTCAGTTACATTTTTCATACAAGAGTATAGCTAGTTTGTATCTGCATGATCTCAGAGCTCACATGCCGGTTTTTGCAATGCTCAAAGAAGGCAAATAACGAGTGAAAATCTTGCACAATAGTCTTCAAATGTTGTTGAGGCATTAGCTTATTTTTGCTTTGCATTTGGGAATCATGGATACCTAGATGTAGGTCTCAACAACTGTCATTTTGCATTTGCAGTTAGTACTTTCTGACGTTTGTCGCATGGTAATTGCTTCCAGCATTTGACATACGGATAATGTTACACTCCATATTATACAAACCATTTAAGAACATTGCATTTGGGCAAGTTATACACCAGGCACTGTGCACCACATTGCCGAGAGCGAGACGTTGATGTTTATAAGGAATCAAAATATAAAGTAAGCATTACATAAGTGTTGTCCATGGCTTTTAAAGACTTTAACGTTTCAAACTACAAACATGAGTACTTGATGACAGATCTATTTGTTTGTTAGTATACATCAGATCGGAATTCAAGATCAAAATAAGGCAAAACGTGATGGCCATTTCCCGCATCTCGATGAATAGACTAATGTAATCGTTCTGATAAAACAAAATCCAGATGTTTCGCAAAAAAGTAACAAACAGATGATGGCTTTGTATCACAACTGTCCGCCCCCTTCATTAAATATTTACCCAACTTTTTGGATTCTAAAAATACACTTTACTTTGCACGTTTCTTGTGTCTCTCTTTTGATGTTGCTTTTCTTGACATTCCTCAACTCAAGTAGTATGCTCTGGATAATCACACATGTACAATGTGCTGATGAATTGCATCTAGTGGAGATTTCTGTTGACCTCTTTCTCTCTCTTGCTCCGCACCAAATGATTTCTTGTGTACATTTCAGAATTTGGAAGCATTGCACATTCATCGTTGGTCCAGCCTTTTTAAGAGGGAGCATTTAAAGCTTAGTGTTATCAGCGATATGAGGGATTTAACTATATTTGCAAGCATTACCAAGAAACTGGCACATTCTTCATCAGAACACTGCAAATATGATATCAGTACCATTGCTAAGCGAGAGATTCGATTTGCGCTGGTATCCATAGCTGTGTCCTGAAGCAAAACCTGAATGATTCCACTGGTTGCCAAGTGAAATCTTTATTCTAAGAAAATTGATGTAACAACCAATTGTAGCGAATCTAGAAATTGTATTTTCTATCTTTTTTTAACATCCAGATGACATTGCATTGACATTATCTCATGCAAAACATACAACTTTTGCTCAAATGAAGCCGCCAGATGTTACTGTGAGCTATCTCAATTCAAATCAGAATGTTTGATTGTGAATCAATCGTGATTTCACACATCAATCAAGGAATGGTTGTGCCGGGGTCTCAATACTAATTGAAATGGCGGGCACAGACCATTATTATGGGTCTGGTTGTATAAAGACGAGGTCGGCTTTTCTCTCATTTCTTTTTACTATCTTCTCTTTTTCTTTCTCTCAAGTTGAATAATTCATTTTTCATGAATTCATATGAGTTATTCTCCACCGTCAGATCCATTTCACCATAGTAATCATAATAGACAATCGTCATTGCCAATAGTATATGAAGACAATGACCCATACAGAGTCGTCAAGAAGAGTCCACGATTAGGTATTTTTTTATTTTTTTATTTTATTTTTTTTTTTCTTTCTCGTTTTGCCTATTAACCTATGATATAAATATTTAGGCTCCATTTCCGATAATTCAGAATTTGATGCCGTTCATTCTCGTACAGCTTCAGACAGTAGTACAAGTAGATTGTATAATGGCACTATGGCGCTACCATCTTCAAATGACTACGAGGATCCGTACGCCAAATGTAATTACAAGAAATGGAGGGCATCAACCGCTAGCAATCACAATGTCAACAACGATAGAGCCAATTCTTATTTGCCCTACTCACATCATCAACGAGACCCAAACCAAAAGACGGAGCCTTTATACATAGAGGAATACTCGGCACCAGCATCCACCACATTAGGCATGGGCTCAATGTTGCAAGACAACATGACAGACCAAATAAATATGCGACCTTCACAGCAAGCACAAATACCCGACTACAGTGATAAAATGAGCACATTACCACAAATGAAGAAACGCAAACAAAAGAAGACATGCTGTGGACTACGCTATAGAACGATTGCTTTCAACTCACTCATTTTCATTGCGATTATTGTTGTCATCTGGTACTTTGTATGGCCCCGTATCCCTGTAATGCAGCTGGATGATGTAGATAATAGAGGAGGTTCTATCCAAGTTGTTACCAATACAACCAAAAAGAGCATGTCTGCCAGTTGGTTGCTGAACATGACAGCCGACAACTCTGCTAATTGGGTTCCCACACACATAAAAGCAATTGATGTGTCCATCACAGACGATAAAACAATGCAGACATTTGGAAATGGAACCTCATCGTCGATGGTACTGGCGCCAAGAACATCATCTACAGTGTTGATTCCAGTCGACATTTACTACGCTTCTGATTCAGCAAATGATACAACATTTCAAGATTTATACAATGCGTGCGGCGTACAAGTTACCTCAAATATGCCGTTTGAAAACCAACAAGATGTGCTCAACATTACCCTACATCTCACTTACCACATTGCTGGTATCGTATGGGCGTCTCAACGTCAAGTGCCTTTCACTGGCCTGATATGTCCAACAAATTAATCAACTGTACATACATCAATACCCTTATACATTAATAAAGAACTGCCCATAGTGGTGTGATCAACTGACCCCCCTTTGTGTATATGAATAGACCATGTCCGCGCTTTGCTTGTGCCATACATCGTTCTTTGCACTTCTCTGCTAGAACCATTTTAGCATCATTTCAATGTCATCATCACCACGAGAGCTATAATTGAATTTTTTTTTTTTTTTTTTTTTTTTTTTTTTTTTTTGGCTGGAATTACAACCACATCAAAAGTGCGTGGTGCACAAAAATGATTTTTTTTTTATTATTTTCACTCCAATCAATATACCTTCAACAAGGGGATCTATTTACAAAACATGTCAAAAGCAAGTAGCATAGCCAACATCGCACTGAAAAAGAAAAAGTATTTCACGGATTTGCCTTCGCTCAAGGTGCTCTCAAGACCACATGATGCGAGGTCTGAAGTAACAGTGTATGTAAAAGGCTTCCTAGCTGAAGGAGACTCGCCTGAAAACTTTCAAGACTGGCTACATTCGCATCGACTACTCGTATTGAGCCCAAGCCATCGATGGGCACCTGCTGCATTGGGGTAAGTACTAGGAGCCTCTGCAGGCAACTCGCTCTAATCAAGTTTAAGGTACTCGTGGCCATCAGGCAGCGCAACTTCACATATACCAATTCCTCTTGCTTCATTTGGATCCACTGCATATCTGATTGCTAAAAATCTAAAGCAGTTGAAGAACCTTCGATTTCCTACTCCGGCATCCATCGCAGGTGCGTTAGCAGTGGATGTTGGTATTCACGCAACTCGATTAGCATACCAATTTAGCATAGCAAATCAAGAAAGCCATGATAGAGCAGAAATGCTGGCGTGGCGACTACTGGATCTTCGTCGGAAATATGAATATTTGAGGGTGGTAGGGCATTCTCTTGGCTGTCGACACATAGTCGAGGCCTGTTCATTAATGAATGCCAATGAAAGGTGAGCATTTACTAATAGCACCATCCTTTGCTGCTATAGTAACGAGTATATTTAGACCAGACTCAATACATTTGTGTGCTCCGGCGCTTGTTGCACCAGACATTGTAAATCAGATTCGCAAAGAGACAGGTGGTTTAGGACAAAACAAGACATTGATTTACTACTCGCCAAAGGATCTAACATTGGGCATTTTACTACGAACCCTTCTAAAAGGAGACCAAGCCATCGGTGAAATCGGATTACCGCAACAAGTAGGATTTGAGAAAGACTGGCTTGATGAAACAGTGAAATCGATTGATGTATCCAAGAGTCTAGGTGGTTTCTACGTTGGCGCACATACTGACTATGCCAACAAGTTTCATTACTTTGCGCAACCATATTAAAGAAAAATTTTCATTGTGCAAGGAAAAGAGTCTAATTTTACATGTATCCTCTATAAAAGATTTTTGAGCGGGTTTCAGTTTTTTTTCCTCTTCCATTTGAAGAACTTGGACCCTAAATTTGTATTAAATCCACCTTCTTCTATCTTTTTTTTTTCTTTTTCTTTTTCTTTTTGTCTGCCTTACTATTACATCTTAATCATGGTCAGTGCAATGCGCCATAAAGCAAGTGAATTGCAAATTGATCTGGAAAATGAAGAAATCGTTTTGCTGGGACACTCGTCTGAGTCTGCTGGAAAGCTGCTGAGAGGCACTGTTACGCTTAATTTAACAGAGCCGATGAAGATAAAATCAGTGACATTGCTGTTCATTGGAAAGATGAAGGTATCTTGGTCTGAAGGTAAGGGTTTATTTATGTTGCTTTTAAAGGAAATATTATCTAAACTGTGTGTGTGTGTGTGTGGGATCAGGCATTGGTCATCATCAGCATTATCACAAGCAAGAAAAAGACATCATCGAGCATCGGTGGCAATTCGTCCCCATCATGGATCAAGCACACAAAAAGGCATATACATTGGGAGCAGGGCAGCATAAATGGGATTTCGAACTATTGCTACCTGGTGATTTGCCTCAATCACTGCAGGCGGAAGGAGGCCAAGTGATCTACCGATTAAAGGCCGTTGTTGAACGCACCGCTTTTTTGCAGAATATCGTAAAGAAACAGACGGTACAGATCGTACGTTGTATGCTGCCCTCTGAATTTGAACTTATTCAGACCCTCGAAATCCACAACACTTGGGCAGAGAAGATGATGTATGATATCCTGATACCTTCAAAAGTATACGCCAGAGGTCAATTGATCCCCATCACTTTTCACATCACACCCATTGCCACGAAATTACGAGTGCGCTCACTCACAGGTACTCTAAAGGAATACTGCACCTACACAGCAAACGAATGTTCGAAAACAGACACACGCATCATCAAGTTGCAAAGAGTAGAGGATCCCTTTCCAGCCAGCCCAACTGGTTCAACTTCTCCCATCTCATGGACAAAAGTGCTGCAACTGGATATTCCTCCCATGTCCTCTCAACTGGCCTTCTGCGATGCTGATAATGAGATGATACGTATTCGTCACAAATTGAAGTTCATCATTTGCCTTGTCAATGCGGATGGCCATTTATCGGAACTGCGTTGCTCAGTGCCTGTCTTGATCATATCGTCTATTTCTCGACAAACAGAACTCAATACCTTGCCTGCTTATGATCAATCATGGCGCACTGTTCTCTGCATGGAAAGTCCCATGGCATCTCCACGTATCGAACATCCTTCTGCCATGGCAGCAGCAGCAGCAGCATCATCATCATCCACAACATCAACAGCAACAGCTACGGATGCTACCGCTCCAACAACATCAACAGAACCTATCGCCATGGCAACGCCCACTACAGCATCGGGAGCAATGGCAATGCCGAGCGACACTGTAGCAGTTTCACCTACTGACGACCCTCTATGGTGGCATGGAGCCAACTTGTCTCGTGTTCCCTCTTATCGCACAGCTGCTCAGCAAGAGTCGGCACCGTTTTCAACATCTTTACCCTCGTATGATCAGTTGTCTGTATCTCCAAGACATGCGGCCATGTTTGAACAACTTTCCATTACTCCATCGAATCGACAAACACCTCCCCCTGCATCCTGATTGACTTTATGGATCACTTAATTTATATAGACCTCTTTTTTCTTCTTCTAATACATTTGCATTCTATACATTTCATCATATAAAGATCTCTTCTACTCATGTTTCGAGTCGAAACCTCGATCTCAAACCAAGATGTTTTAGTTTTCTTTTGTTTTGTTCCGTAGGCAGACCGAAAATGCGCGAATTTTTTAGACCAAGCATTGAATTGACAGGCCATTTGATGAGGAACGAGGCCCAAAGTAGAAAAGACTACTTTGCTAGATCTAGCATAGATAGAAATGCCACCATGGCGACATCACATCACACATGTACACACACACACACACACACATTCATAAAAACCCAAATTTTTGTACTTTCAAAAGAGAAACTTTATTAAATCAAATGTTACAAAAGAGAATGTAGCTATGCATCAAACCAAGATAGATGTTGTAGTACGTCTACAAATGATTGTAATTAGTATAATGACTCGACATCAAGTAAATGTATGTAGAAAATAAACAAAATCAGACGTGTGCATATTGACTTCAGCCATGAGGCGTCGGTGGGTCCCTACAAGCGAATAAATTCGCCGTAGTACCGACGTGAGCCCTCATGGTCAGACGCAAATTATAATCATCAGGAGCTTTTGTTTATTTTCTACACAGAGTGTGTCGTATATTTACCTTTTATTATCAGTGATTATAGAAGAAAAATATAAAAAAGTAGAAGGACATCCATAACCTCAATTTATATCTGTGCAATGTTGCATCGCTGAAAAATTTTTCTCGGCTGTTACTGTCACAAGAAAGCAGTCTATGAGATGCCGCTTGATGAATGTTCGAGCAAACATGAGATGGTAGGGTGTCAGGTTCACGAAAAGCGAAAGTCAGAACACTTCAGGATTAGAGGTGTTTTCAATCCTGACAATAGCAACATTTGAGAACTCCTTGGGAACACCCAATATTAAATTACAATACAAATGGCATTGGCGTCTACTGTAATGATGTCGTACCTCTATCTCTAAGATACTGAACATCTACGAGCAGTCTGTGTGTGCGATCAAGAAGAACGGTGACCTTGCTAATCTCATTCGAGACACAGCATCGATAAGTTGGGATGAAGTGCCAATGCAGCATCGATATTGCTTTGAAGCTCTTGATGGAACGCTTCGAGACATTTGCAGTTGTGGTGAACGTGTCCTCTTTGGTGGTGTTCTTGTCGTTCTTGGTGGTGATTTTGCTCAAGTTCCTCCTGTCGCGAAACAAGGCGGTCGCCCTGAAATTGTCACTGATTTCGTCAAGATTATGGCCCAAACTACAAAAGCTGAGACTGACTGAGAATATGAGACTTGCCAACTCGAATGATACCGATAGGCAGTTTGCGGACTGGATTGGCAGAATGTCTTACGAATCAACCATGATTGGCGACATTGCTTTGCCCTCTTTTTTGAGGCAGATGACTGATCTTGATCAGTTCATTGAAGATATCTATCCTCAGCATGTTCTGCAGCGTCTTCTGCAAAAGAGTGATTTCTTCAAGGAAAGCTATTCTCTGTTCAAAGAACGACAATGCTGATGCTATTAACAGCAAGGTGATGGAGAACGTGTTTGGTGAAAAGGTCATTTTGTACTCTGCTGACACAGTGCAATCCGATCTGACCAACACTGAGGCCCAAGCCTATCCCTCAGAGTATTTACAAACCCTTTCGCCTTCAGGGCTGCCGCCAGCAGTTTTGGGGTTGAAAGTAGGTCTTCCTGTCATGCTCTTGAGAAACTTCAACCCTGAAAGAAGTTTGTGCAATGGTACAAGGCTCATTATGCAGCAGATTGGACAATATGTACTGAAGGTGAAAATCCTTGGAGGGTCAGATGCAGTCGAGTTGATTCCTCGCTTTACTTTGTCCACATTGCCTGGCACATTGCCATTCATTTTGACCAGAAAGCAATTCCCGGTCAAGGTGTCTTTTGCAATGACCATCAACAAATCGCAGGGTCAATCTCTCAAAAAAGTCGCCGTGGATCTCAGGAGTCCCGTATTTACTCATAGTCAACTCTATGTTGCCATGTCAAGAGCAACATCTGCCAATGACATGACCATTTTATTACCCGAAAATATAGCACATGCACAAAATGTAGTGTATCCTGAAGTTCTATTTTCAGATACTACTTTTTTTTTTTTTTTTTTTTTTTTTACCTTATATAACTATTGATTTAACCAGTTTTATTGTATTCGGCCAAAGCCCACAGGGCGACGCCGACATCGAGCGTAGCCAGATAGATCGGCTAGTACTGGAAAACTATGAAAAAAACGTCGTCGTAGCCAAGATCAAAAGCCCCTCTCTCAAGAGTTATTTGTGGTTTCAAGTCAGCATTTGGTAACATTGACCTTAATAAGAGGGTTTTTACCGTAGCAAAGCAGAAGTGCAAAACCATAGTATTCAAGCAGAAATTTGGTTTCTCATTTCCATTATTAATAAGCTTGCCAACAACGTAATGACACATCAACATTAGCATGAATGAGCTTTACCAAGATCAATATACCTCCTATTCGAATCAGAAGTTGCACAGACTGCAGAACTACCCTTCCAGAAGATTTCGGCTACCAATAAAGATGTGGTTCATGCCTGCAAACAACAGCTACAAAGCAAAACATAACCAAATTTGGCAGCTTTCAAGCCCTCACTTCTTGACATATAGGCCTTTCTGAGCTGCCGAAATAACTCTAAACGATTATACTCGAGTAGTAGTAACTTCCTGACACATTTGCTCGACTTTTTGAGCCAAAAAAAACATGGCCAAAAATCGACCAAAAACCATGAGGTACCTCTCATAGTTTTCATCGAAAATCATACGATCTCGTTTTTCACCTTGAAAATGGAGCCTTTTGATATGGAAGATATTAAATCAAAATGCTTCTCTTGTTCCAAAGCAACCCTTGAAACTCTGTTTGTGAAACCTTTATATGCAAAATTTCGACATCTTGGCCAAAAACCTCATTTTACATTTTCAAAGATTGCTCAATATGCTTATTCAAAACACCTTTAATAATTAATGCCATTGGGAGCGCCTTGAAAGGCACTCCAAGAATGCATTAGGAAGCATAGAAAGATCATCACAGTTTGCCTAGTCAGATTTGTCAAAATAAATAGAATTGGGTCCAAAAGTTCGAAAATTAACAAATAAAGGATAAAATCGGCAGTCGGAGCGTTAACCGTTTTTGGCTACTGACAGAGGTTATGCCATGCGTATCATGGGATAAGATGCTCTTGGAAGCTCACAAGAGAATCAATGCGAGCTGAAAAAAGTACTATAGTTTAGCTAGAATGCTTACTATTATCTTTCTGTAGCATAAAGTGAATATCAAGTGATACTCATTGATAATCCGTAGTCTAAGGTTACAACATTTCATATGGATTTGCAATGTTGCCAAAGATCTCATTAAAAGAGATGAGCAAACACTCAATAAAGGTTGCACATAGCTAGAAATGCTTCAACATGTTGCATAATTTCAATAAACATTACGCTGGCTGATGAAGCATGAGAATTTCTGGAGCATGATTGTAGTGGAGATTTTAGCACATGTTTTGTATGTTGAACAACAGATTTCCAAATCAAGGTTTGACGTTTGACATGATAGCGATAATCGTCAGATACACAGATTTTTCGAAAAGACCTATCAAATTCCTCATACATTGCTACAATGAACAATCATAGCTAGATGGTGCTATATTTGCAATGCCTCAGCCCTGATTGATGGAGGGTGAAAGCGATGCAAATCATGTACATGTTTGAAACTCAAATGTTGTACACATTGGTGGTGGCTTGTTCTGAAGGTAGTTTTCCCTTTCATGTCATGCCGTTTCCACTCACATCACATCAAACCTATGGCTCCAACGACTCACATTACCCACCAAATCATTCTGAATTTCCAAAATACAGATGCCTATGAAGCCAAACAAGGACCGATCCCTTGATATATTCAGTCCAATGCATCAGATGCATCTGTTTATCGAGATTGATAGCTTCCATGACGTCACGTACTGAGCAGCTTCGTCTGTTTTTCCTTCGTTTTGGCTATTTGAGCTCAATCAACAAAAGTTTTTTTTTCTGATTTTCCCTTTTCTTGTTTCTTTAACGACGCTCGGTGCACTTTTTAATCGTAACCCTTTTAAATAGCACCTCTCTTCTTTTTCTTTTTTTTTTATATTAGCAAAGTAAGTTGTCAATGCTGCCAGTGTTTGCTTATCCAGATCAGTCTAATCATCTAATGTGTTTGATAGCCAATTTAGGTCCTGCTAGGATATGCAATTTTGAAAACACAACAACTAATGAACAGAACTCCTAATACAACCGAAAAAACCAACGCTCAACCAGTGTTCAATTACGCTCAGGCTGCAAAGAGAAGCTCACAAAATTTGGAATCACAGAAACCCAAACCCAACACAACGACACCTGCTGCCGCTGCTAATGAGTCAAAATCCACAGAGGCAGAAGCTGCAAAGGTAGAGTCACCCTCTTCTTTTGCTGCTGCCTTGTCAAAGAACGCTCAAGCTACTTCGTATGTTGTTTGATATTGGATCTTGCTGAGCGATGGCTTACTAATGTAAATTAACATTGAAATCTAGTCCTCAACCTGCTCCTGCTGCCAAATCCAATAGAAATGCGTCTGTTCAATTGCCTAGAGAACCATCCACTGATGCAGGTAGATATTGAATGTTTTATTATGGATTTAGCCTACAGAAGACTTATGCTTTTTTTTTATTTATTTATAGCACCGATTCAATTTGGTTTTGTCAACACAGAATCAAAGGCTGACGATACTAAACAAGCTACTCCCGAGACACTGACTGTTACTGATAATACGTCAACTGTAAGTAATGGATTCGTGCTGAATTGATTTGGGAACTGAACAGTTTTCGCTTTTACAGCGTCGCGATTCCACACATTCAAATACATCAGGATCTGAACCTCATCATTACGGCAATCGTCACCATGGTAATCGCAACCAAGGAAAGCACAGCAACAACATGCATTCCCCCAACATGCAACCTAGCTACGTTCCTCACCATAAAAAGCCCATGTCCCCTCACATGGGTTCTGCTACATCTCCCAACATGAATGCTAATCAAGGCGGCAGCTGGCAAAATAACCAATATGTAAGTTAGGCTGTTTCGCACGCCATTGGTATAGATACTCATATGTAAACCTTGATTTCAGTATCGTCCCTCTCAATATTACGCCCCCAATTCCTATCCCATGCCCATGCCCACTTATGGTGGTCAAGCATTTGTCCCCCAACCCTCCGTCAACAAAGCTATTCCCATCATCAACCCCAACACAAGTGAAGTGATCAACCTCTCCAGCCAATCATCATCTGCTAGCAAGGAAGCTCCTGCTGCTTCACCAGTTGCTGCTCACGCTTCTCCCAAGGTCGATGAAGCTACCAAAGAAACCAAGGACTTCAAGATCAATCCCACTCCCTCTCGCGCAATCAAGATTGTTAATCCCAGAGTATGTTGATTGATTTGATTTTTTGAGAGTTATTGGTAATCTGACGACAACTTGCTTTGATAGGAAAAGGAGGAAGAGGCTGAAAGAAAGGCCAAGGAAGAGGCCGACAAAAAGGCAAAGGAGGAAGCTGAACAAAAGGCAAAGGAAGAGGCTGAATTGAAGGCTAAGCAAGAAGCTGAACAAAAGGCCAAGGAAGAAGAAGAAAGAAAGGCCAAGGAGGAAGCAGAGAGAAAAGCAAAGGAAGAGGCTGCTATCAAAGAAAAGGAACAAGCTGAAAAGAAGGCAAAGGAAGAAGCCGAGCAAAAGGCAAAGGAAGAGGCTGAATTGAAAGCCAAGCAAGAAGCTGAAACTAAGGCTGCAGAAGAGGCAAAGGCTGAAAAGAAGGCCAAAGAGGAAGCCGATGCCAAGGCCAAGCAAGAAGCCGATGCTCAGGCTGCGGCTGAGGAAGCCAAAGCTCAAGAATCCAAGACTGAAGAAGCCAAGCCCGCTTCTACCGAAGGCACCAAGGAAGAGGAGCGTATTGCTGCTATTACTGCTGACAAGGTCGCCAGAGGTGTTGCTCCCGGCCGTCTTGATATGTCTGCTATTCCTGCTCACGTTTTCCATGATTCCCCCGTTTCTACCCCCACTGGTGTTACCCCTCCCAAAGTCAAGGGTCCTCCTATGCCTGTCATTGAAGATTTCAGCTCCATTGATTATCCCCCCGAGTTCCTTGCTCCCAAGGCCAGAGATCCTGTTTCTGGCAAGATCACTTACGAGCCTGCTTTCTTGATGCAATTCCAAAAGCTCTGTCTGGAAACTGACGAAGATTTATCTCAATTCCAAGGTATGGGTGAGGAATCCAGCGGTAACGATAACAACAGGCGTGGTATGTCTCGCCGTCAAACCTCTGATCGTGGACGTGGACCTCGCACTCCTGGTGGAGGATCTGGTGACGGTATGTACAGAAATAACTCTCGTGATGGCCGTGGCGAGATGGGTAAATTTTCTGGAGGTCGTCAAATATCTCATCGTCAAGGCAGCAACGGCCCCAACTCGCCTGGCATGGAACGTCAAGGTTCTCATGGTGGCAGAAACCGTAGTGGTCGTGGCGGTAAGGGTCGCCATCCCCCTAGAGAGCAAGTCGGTGCTCCTACTATTCCTTTGGATCAAGTTGTGCCTTTGGAGAAGGGTAAGAATCGCTGGGTTCCTACTGTGGTTGCTACTGACGGAGCTGCTGCTACTGTTGGTGAGAAGGCTGAAGCAGAAGCTGCTGAAGTTGTGTCTCAAGACATCATTATTCGTAAGATCAAGGGTCTCCTCAACAAATTGACGCTTGAACGATTCGACTCTATCTCTGATCAAATCTGGGAATATGCCAAGCAGTCTGAAAAGGAAGAAAATGGCCAATCCTTAAGAACTGTCATTCAACTCATTTTTGACAAGGCTTGCGATGAGCCTAATTTCGCTAGCATGTGGGCACAATTGTGTAGAAAAATGTACGATGTTATTTCTCTCGATAACAACATCAAGGACGTCAACATTGTTGACAAGAAGAACGAACCTGTTTCTGGTGGTGCTTTGTATCGCAAATACCTTTTGAACCGTTGTCAACAAGAGTTCGAAAAGGGCTGGAAGAGCGATTTACCCAAGCTTGACGAGTCTTCTGCTGAAGTCATGATGACAGACGAATACTACGCTGCTGCCAAGGCCAAACGTCAAGGTCTCGGTCTCGTGCAGTTCATTGGTGAACTCTTCAAGCGTCAAATGTTAACTGACCGTGTCATGATTGAATGTTTGATGAGACTCTGTGCTGATCCCTCTCACCCTGAAGATGAAGAAACTGAAACCATGTGTAAGATGTTGACTACAATGGGTAAGGCTTTCGATACTAGTGGCAGAAAGAACAAGGAGTGGCTCGATATCTATTTTGAAAGAATGAACGAGATGTACAAGTCGACTACCCTGAGCTCCAGAGTCAAGTTTATGATTTTGGATGTCTTTGATCTTCGTAAGAGTAAGTGGACTCTGAAGCGTGGCAACCAACCTGCTCCTACCACCATTGCACAAATCCACGAGCAAGCCAAAAAGGCTAATGAAGAGAAGGAAAAGGAAACCATGAAGCGTTCTGGCAGCTCTCGTGGTGGCAACCCCATGTCTCGTCAAAGCTCTCGTGGTGGTCGTGACATTTCTCGCCAAAACTCATCCCGTAACAACAATAATAACAATAGCAGCAGCAATGCTAGTCAAGATAACCAAAGTGGTGGTAATACCCCTGTTGCCAGTGCTGATGGCTGGAACACTGTAGGTACTGGTAGTCCTACTGCTGGCCCTCGTTCTGGACGCACCAATGAACTCGCCAACTTTGGTAAGACGGATCGCGGCAAGTCTAGAGGCAATGTCCTTGGTCCCGCCAGTAGTCCATTCTCCAGCTTGGCTCGCTCCAGCTCCAAGACCAACATTGACAAAAAGGCTACTCCTACTGACAGTCGTGCTTCCAGCCCTGCTACATCCATGGCCAACATGTTTAGTGCTTTAGGCGGTGAGGATCAAGAAGAAGAGCACTCTGGCGAGCGCAAGAAGTTACAACTGTTACCTCGCTCTGGTGCTGATAACACATCCTCTGAGGACAGCAGTGAAAAGAAGGAAGAATCACCTGCACCTGCTGCTGATGAGAAGCCCAAGTTGAGCGACGAACTCATTGAACGTAGATCCAAGAGTACCATTGAAGAGTATTTCAGTCTTCGTGACAAGAAGGTAAGGGTCAGTCTCAAGTTGATAGACGCAATGCAATTGACACTTTGGTTAGGAATTATGCGAGTGTGTCAAGGAATTAGATCATACAGACTATCGTGTCATTTTTGCAGGCAAATTATTAGATGTCGTTGAAAAGAAGACTGAAGATGTTGATGTTGTTTGTGACATGATTGCTGAACTCTACAAGGAGAAGCTCATGTCAAGAGAGGAATACGTTGCTGCATTCAAAAAGTTCTGGGAAGGCTACGAAGACTTGGTCATTGATGTCCCCAAGGCACCACAACATGTCGATAAACTGCTTGCTGCCACAGGAATTGAACGCTCAGAGGTTGAATGTGAAGCTGAAAGCTTCTAAAGTATGTGTCTTTTTTTTTCTTTACCAAAGACAAATAATTGTATAAAATCATAAAGCTAAATAAAATGTTTAAAATTATTATTATCATCATTATTCAAAGAAAATGGAATATTTTTTTTTTTATTCATCTAGGTAAATGCTACTATTTCTTAACAACTTGCACAACGTCTTCATCGCCTACTAAGTGATTGATACCGACACGTTGAGGATTGTGTTTTGTCGAAGTTCCCTACATCATATCGCTCGTTAGTGCCGCTCTGTTACCACTCCTACTCGAAACACTCACCCAAACCAAGGCATATCTAAAGTTATCGGTCAAGGTTCTGTGAATAGCATGACAGACATGCTCAATGGTAGCTCCGTTTCTGACAATAAGACCATCGCTGAAATCAGGATATTCGCCTCTCTTCTTTGTATACACGCGCATTAAATTTAGCTTTCTCCAAATCGTTTCAATGAGATAGTCTAAATTGAGATCATCCTCACAAGACACAACAACAGTATTATCCTCATGTGCTAAACGGTTGACTTCTTCCAAACTAATTTGATCAATCTTGTTGTAACACTACCAAACGAGTGAGATTCTGTCCTGCCTACCAAGCCGATCAAACACTTACATAAATACACTTGATGTATCTTCTGTTGCCGAGAATGACATCAATAAACTGATCTACTGTAATGTCTTCGCGAATAACGATATCTGCATTGAAGATTTCTACATGGAAGAGCATCAGCCAACTGCACAGATTGCCTTCCTTTCTCTCTGCGTACACATACTGTAATCATGCAAAATGTTGTGCACCATCTTTTGATCGATCTTTGTTAACTTGAGGGTTGCATTGAAACTGATACCACCAGCCTTCTTGATTTTGAAAGAGACATTGGGGAAGCTTTGGTTCAAACGGATACCGACAGCTTCCAATTCAGCTTCCAATAAAGGTCTACCATTTCGCCTTGTTCAATACCTCATCTCTTTCCCACCTTAAATCCTTATCCTTACCTTTGTTGGGCAGATTTGGTAGCATCCAACATCATCAAAACAACATCTGCAGTACGAGCCACGGCAATGACTTGGCGACCGCGACCTTTACCTTGAGAAGCACCTTCAATAATACCGGGCAAATCGAGCAATTGGATGTTGGCACCCTTATAAGTGAATTTACCGGGAACACAGGTCAAAGTCGTGAATTCGTAGCCTGCAACAGCAGATTCGGTTGTTGTTAATTTGGATAACAGTGTAGATTTACCAACAGAGGGGAAACCAATCATGACCACACGCGCATCACCCGATTTCATGACATCGAACCCTTCACCCTATGTAAGTATGGCATGGCATTAGCATTTCTGCAAGAGCATTGGAAATTGAGAGCATCCAAACCTTTTCAGACTTTGTCTTTGCACCTTCCAAGAGTTGTACACGATATCTGGCCAATTTGGCCTTCAAGAGACCGAGATGGTATTCGGTAGCTGTAAATGGTCAAAGAAAAAAGTTTTCTCAATGTTAAGATGTCTGCAAATCAACAAGGCAAAAAATGATAGCTTACCCTTATTCTTTTGAGTACGCTTGATTTCGTTCTCGATATCATTGATTTTCTCGACGATACCCATCTTGATTTAGCTACAAAGGTTTTTGACAATTGAAAGAAGAGTGATTATCTCAAATATTTGGCTGTAACAAACAACGGCTTTGCAAAGAAGCGGTCTTATACACCACCTTATAGCGTCTGGATAGTCACATCAAAACACCTTTGGTCTGTTCAACAACATCAAGGCATTGGGAATCATCATACAAGTTGTGTTTATTTAGTATATTTTATTTATCAAGAAACTCAAGATCTTCCTCTCATCATTTGGCGCTTTGCTTTGCCTGGTCGCTTGAGACTACTCTTCTTATTGAGCGACATACCCTTCTTTGCAGGATTTGCATTGCTCTGTACTCCTTTCTTTCTCTTGCCCAAGGAATATTTCGCATCCTACACAATGGTTTTAGCATTGCACGATTCATCAAATGTCTATACTACGAGCATTTACCTTGGAATCTCTATCGTAGTTCTTTGCAGGTCTATCATCCTTTGATTTTCCAGTATTCGTAGCAGCCGCTAATCTCTCGGCTTCGTCTAAATCCACATTGAATTCATCATCCAGGGTAACTTCAGCTCCATCCTTTCTCTCTACAGTCTTGGCATTAGATCAAACCGAAACATTATCCTCGCAAATCAACCTACTTCTTTGCAACAGTTTGGCTCTCTCGTTTATCTTGGCCTTTTTCTGCTCCTTGTTAAAAATGTGTAATCTACGCAATGCATCTTCATCTCCATCCTTGGCCTCGGCAATCAATCGTTGACGCACAGCTTCCATTTGTTTGTCGTCCTTCAACATGGGCGCAATAAAGTTATCAGGTCGAAAGAAGGCAGCGCCTGCTTCCTCGGCTAATTTTCTTCCTACGAGTGCTGCTTCGAGTGCTTGCTTGTAGAATGCTTCCTCGCGCAACAGATCGTCAAACACATCGGCTACTTGAATAGGCTCTTTTGATGTCACTGTCAATGTCTCGATCCATGGCATGTCATTCAATTTAATGTCTTCTGTAATACGTTCCAAAGCATCCTAAAGCCTATATTGGTTTTCTGCTGAAAGCTTCGATGATCCTCTCCTACCTCGTTATTCACCAGCAGCTTTTGCTGAACTACCATGTCGCCATATTCATCATCGATATCGTCTTCCTCGAGATCTTCTAAACGGATCCAAGCAGGCTCAGCATCCTCTTCCTCTGCTACTGTATCGTTGCCTATTTCATGCTTTTCTGTGGTTGGAATGTGATCCAATTTTGCTTTTTTATGTTGAGGTGCCATTTGTAGATTTGATGAAAGAAAAGTGGTTTGAAAGGTCGAGTAAAATTTTTTGGACCAGCAAATTTATGTGACCTCTTGCATTTAGCAGAGAGCATTTATGCACACGCACTGCCAAATGTCAAAACTTGAATATGCAGAATAAAATGCCACATTTTATTATCACCCTGATGGTTCACTCTTCCTCTTCTCTTTCCTCTTGTAATTCTTTCTGTTCCTCATCTACAGCTTCTTGGAACTCTTTCTCATCCTCCTCGCCAACCTCGACAGATCTCTCCAATGGCACCGCGGCAGGAACCGATATGGCAGGAGCACTTTGTTTATGTGACGAATGGTGATGATGGGCATCTTTTAGGATAAAATTCACCTTTCGCACTTCTCCATCTGGGCCCACCAGCAAGCAATTGGACAGACCATTGTATTCGCTTTTATCCACCGAGCTCTTTCTTCTACTGACATTCACCATACTGCTTCCTAAAGGTTCCCTTGCACAAGGCACCAGTTGCCATCCTGATCCAACATGATAGGCACCCACTTGCTTCCCATGTCTCATTTGAAACACCTTGAGAAATCCTCGTTTCGACGAATACATGACCAGAAATTGCAGTATTTTGGTGGATTCTCCTCCGCACAAATCTCGTTCAAATACCTCTACCCAACCACACACGGCATCACGCACGCCTTTCCACATGCGGATCATTTCACCTTCAATGACATCCCATAGTATCACCCGTCCTAGAGCATCTGAAGTAGCAGCCAATGTTTGTCTCTGTGCGCTGGTGGATGGCGGGCAAATACTGATGGCGTTAATTTTGCGGTAAGTGTCGTTCAGTGATAATATAGCAGGGATCGGTGTGGCCGGCTCTATATGGCTCGGTGGACGTCGCATGTCAGGCACATAGGGTGTAGGCCCTCCACTATGCGATGCTCTGGTACCGTTGTCGCTGTTGCTGGATCCCCACCACGATTTCGCAAATGAAAAGACGGGCGATGTTACTCGAGAGACTACATAACTGGCCATGGACGCTGCTGACATGAGTGGCCTGCTGGATTCCGATGTTGCGTAATAAGTAAACATGGGATGTGCACCTACACCAATGTATCTGGAAGTTGCTGATTTGGATGGAAATATGGTAGTTGTAGATATAGTAGTGGATGGGTCGAGGTACGGTGATTGTGAGTGAGATGGTGAGGGGCCTATGTAGATCAGTATTAGTCATACTTGCCTTCACCGTATAAAATTGCATACTCTACCCAAACTGACAATATCGAGCACTTGATCTTGATGCTGGAGATCCCATTTTTTATATGTAAAAGCCGTGTGCATGCGCGAAGCATCGATGCCACTTTCTCTTTGGCCATCACACACTCGCAATACCATCCATAAACTCTGACCGTCGATACTCACAACTCGATTTCCTGCAAACAGAATAGAAATGTCTTCATCCTCTGTGACAAATTGTTGAGTGGACACCTTAAAGATAGGTGGTGGCGTTCTGATCTTCATGGTCAATACAGGGGATGTTTCCAGTTGCTGTTCTGTCAAGAGGACGCCCGCCTATTCACACACAAGTCATTGGTATATGAAAAAAAGCGAAAGCGGTTGATTTGCTTACATCTGAAAATACTCGAATCCATCCGGTATTGTAACCACACATGACATAGTTTTGACTAGAGGGGAGCGCATGAGACATAAGTATACACATACCCAGACACAACCTACGTGAGTCGAGTGGATGGCACAAATAAAGGCAAACACAATACAGCAGTGATCTCCTCATGTGGTTGACATCCTGAGCCTTGGCCTAATGCTGAATATTCTCCCTCATTGTTGAGTTGGACCATGACAAACTTTGTCTTGTATGCCAATACCAGGCTCTTTCCTCCTGCAGATGCTGATATCAAGAAACTATCGCTAATGGGTATATTGGGTGAAGGCGAGCGTGTGATGATGTCTGTCGCTGATGGCACAGGTTCCTGTTCTTTGACTGTAAGCGGAATGCTATGCTATGGCTGTTCTGCTTGAGATTACCTCATCTACTTCGTCTTTAAACACCTTGTTCCAGCCGTCTAATTTGTATCTTGAGCATGCCGCTCTGATGATGCAATGTCTATGTTACCTTCTTTAGGTGCTTTGATGATATTCGATTCCTCTGTGCTCTCGTCAGTAACATCCTCAATGGAGCTGGATGCTTGAGGCACATTGCCCATCAAGATCATGAGTATCGGTGGCGGAATTCTGTAATGCGCATCCAGAATGCACTTGATTCTCTTGTTGGAATGATCATTCGACATTGGATTATGCAAGCACGCTGTTGGGTTCAAAGAGAAAAAGAGATTGGAAAAGCTGAAGCTACACTTAGTTGGGTCATGGTTTTTTATTCAAAGCCAGTCAAATGAGCACATCAATTATTTTTTGCTGGAGAGAAGCATAGCACGGAAATCATCATTGGTTTTCTCTGGAGCATTCTGTGTATCCTCCTTGGTGTTTGCTTCCTTGATAGTTTGGACATCGTTGCGGCTCAACGTCTTTTGCGGTAATTTGACAGATTTTCCTCGTCTTGTATTGGGTCGAATGGATCGAGGTTTTGCCTTGAATGGCGCAATGGGTCGCTTGAAGTGCTCGGTTTCATTGGATTTATGCTTCTTGGCACTTTCATCGTCCTCTTTATCATCTGTAGAGAGTTTACGCTTGCGAGAGGAAGCATCTTGTTCGGAATTTGCTGGCTCGGCAGATGGCGTGGCATCTTGATTAGCAGCAGAAATAGCTGACTCATTGGCAGCGGATGCTTCAGTAGGCTCTTCGACCTTTGGGTTAGTGTGTTGGCCGTGGATGTGTGTAGCACCTTCGTTGGGTGCTTTATGTTCAGCAGCATGCTCCTTTTTCTTTTCTTTGGCTCTTTGCTTTTGTGCCAATCTATGGGCACTCTTTTTTTTCTACCGCAAAATGGTGATTAGATAGTAGATCATGGATACTAGGTCGGCAATAACCTTACTCTGTCCATTTCTTTCTTTTCCTTGGCATTGGCGGCCTTTTGCTCTTCTGAGAGCTCTTGCTTTTGTTTGTACTGTGGCTGGTGCTGTGCTTGTTTTTGAGATTGGGCCTGCCATTGTCTTGCGAGTATCTTTGATTTCTGGTTGATTTTGACAAGTGACGTTTCGTAAGAGGCCAATGTACCGATTTCATGCTCCACAGACGTCCAAACACTGATTAGTCTCGCAGGATTGTCGATATTCTTTTGAATGGCTTGCTTGAACAATGACTCGCACTTTTCATAATGACCCTGATCTCGTTCAAACATGATATAATCAATCCAGGCTTCTGTATTGAGGCCGTGGTGTTCCACTACATTTTGCCAGAGTTCTTTTGCCTTGTCCATGTCCCCCAATCGTTTCGCAGAGATGTACGCATAATATTTTTCAATGCGGTAGAATGGGTCTCCTGAATCTGGAAAAGCTGTTTGATTTTGTATTACAACAACACAATAAAGTTAGATCGAGCAATTCAATGTGCTGCAAAGCGAATCTACCTTCCGAAATATACTGCAAGCATTCTTCAAATGTCACCCTCAAATCCATCACTTCATCATCGTCCGCTACACATACAAATTGAATAAAATGTCGCTTCCAGTAAGTTGCAATGCACTTACGATCTTCCCAATCAATCTTTCTTCGCTTGAAATCACACTTTGCAAGCAAAACAGCGACTAAGTCTTCCACGCTCGACAAAAGGGGCTTTGATGATAAGGCGCGATCGAATATATCTAATGCAAGTGAGTACATTAGTCCATGTGTCACTCATACAGCAAGCCCATTTACCGTCAATTTGATCGTCCTCCTTGTTTCCAAATTCCATCAGTCGAGCCAAATGAGCCCAAAGAGTACCAGACCACGGACAGTTGCGAATAGCTCTCAAACAGGTTGTCTCTAAAAATACCTGCACTTTGGCTTGTTCGATCTACAGCACACATGAGTTTTAATCAGTACCACAACCCAACCAGGTTACATACCAAAAACAAAATATAATCATCCCACAAGGCAGGATCTGTGCAGTAATATACAATAGCTCTCTCATAAATCGATCGAACATAGACAAGCGAATGCATATTCTTTGTGCGTTTCTCGTACTCAATGTACTGCTGAAATGCGTCTAATGAATATCCTGCTGTACTCAATTGCATTTCATATTGATCTCTTTCCTCTGCTGCCTTTTTGGTCTTGGCATAGATTTTGTTGGCTTTCACCATGGTGTCTTCATAATTGCTGTTGTCGTAATTGGAAACAAAGGTAGAGTAAGCACTGAAGGTGTCCTCGCAATTGATATGGAGCGTTGCGAGTCGATCCATATACATTTTTCGCACCAAATTCAACTGATCTGCGTCCTTGAATCGCTCTAAAATCTCCAACTCAAACTCGGAATACGGCTTCCAGATATCTTGACTGGATTTCACATGAGCACTGGTGGCACGCACAGCCTTCAAAAGATCTTGACGAGTTTGCTCAATGAATTCGGAAACTGATTCGTCTTGATCTACAATATCCTCACTGAACCCTTGATGGAACTTGTCCAGAATATAGTCTACATAGTCTTTCCAAATGTTGATGGCTAGAAGAAAGGCATGAGGCGCTGAAGAAGCTAGCAGATATCATTGCTTGGACACTTACATAGATAGTCTTGCTCAGCATGGTTATATAAGGAGAGCAACTTGATTTGCCCTTCCACACTGGTATCCTTCTTGGCATCGTTGATCCAATCCAGCCATAGGGGTTCTGTCAAAGGGTAAATATCATGCATGGCGACACGAGCTTCTTCCAGCTGATCCTGCAAATCCAATTGCTTTAATAATTCAATGTACTTGACGTGAAGTTCGTATTGCGTGTTATCCTCCATCAACTAAAAAGTAGACGTAGTCAGTACCCTTGCTGTATCCCTTATAAAGTGTTGCATTTAAACCTTTTCTTTAATCTCCAAAAGTTCATCGTAAGCTTGCATCGTCTTTTGACCCTCCAGTTCCTCTGCTGTCAAAGCGGCTTCGTTTTGGTCATTTCCATCCATGGTTTGTTCAGATACTACTCCTTCAGACATCTCCATGTTGACATCGACTTGTTTCTCTTCTACTGCGTCCATATCTAACTGTTGAATGAATAAGAAAAAAAAAGAGAGGATAAATATCGGCTCTTATTCCAATGTCACAAAAGGGCACTCGTTTGGTCATTACATGTGGAGTGTAACTACTCTCGGATTAATAACGCAAGAAAAACGAAGATTAAACAGCCATTATTCAAAAGTTTCGGCAATACCATAGAAATACGACAAGAAAAAGAAGCAAAGAAGAATATATATATATATATATATATATTCCATATAGTAAAAGACATTTTGCCAGACTGACAAACGTGATATACGATTCAGGGGGGTAGCTGCCAAATGATCTAGAAGTGATTATTGGAGACTGGCATTGGTTTAAAGTCTTTCTTCAAGTATCTAGTGTTGCCTATACGCTAAATTGAAGAATAAATCGTAAAAATTTGATTGTTTTCAAAAAAGAAACTCAAAATAATCCATGATAAATGTAAGATTATTAATAGGTTATCAAAAAGAGGAATTTATTGCTGGCATTATTTGCACAAGTCATGACAGTTGTAATCAATTTGATTGATGCATCTTGAATCCTTAGCCTTGAAGAGGGTCTTTGATCCGTCGGCACCGTAGAACATGTAGTCTTTGCTTGCCTCAGTTTCACAATCAGCTTTTGTCAGCTTGCCACCACCGCTAGTAGAAGAGCAGCTAGAGAATGAAAAGAAACCTCCTGATGGAACGATACGGCACAGTGTGACATAGTCAGAGCGCTCACATTTATCAAGATCAGCGTTCAAGTTTTTGATGGCGAAATCAAAAGAATTTCTGCAAGCCTCTTCACCTTTCTTAATATCACATCCATTTTTCGTAAAAAAGTCGTATACACGATAAGCTTGCTGGATACAGGCATTTTGGTTTCCAATTGCGGCAGCAGAGACTTGATGGCTGGCAAAAAGAGCCACAAGGACAAGAGTCAAGGTCAATAGAAAGTAAGAAGGCATTTTGATGAATGATGTTGTATTTGGCTACAAAATGAGGCCCTATTTATATGGCACTGGATGCTAGTCCAGATTCAAGTCGGCTTGTCCAAGTTGGCTTATGCAGGGTGTAGCGTTCGTACCAATGCATGAAAATCAAGAGGTGATTATGCGTGCTATTCGTCTTATCACGGCGATCACTGATCTCCTCCTGAATGTACACACACACACTATTGAGAACTTGAAGTATCCATAAACTGGGCTCATTTAAAGTTTGGTTGGTATACCTCAATACTATGCGAGGGCTTGAAGAGCAAACACAACTCTATTTTCGCTCAAAAATTGTAATGCATTTCATGCTTGAACAAGGCCAACTTTTTTTTTTTTTTTTGCTATTACGTACGTATGTTTGGGATAGTTCCTTAAAAAAATTTGGCGATGATCTATGCGACGTCTGTCTAGTATATCAGCAAACCAATAATGATACACACTGCTGTATCAAGCAACATGTAGATCACATAACGGCTATCACCATGTATAGTATTGTTTTTCTTTTGCAAAGGTGTAATGCGCAACATGGTTTGAATCTCAAACGGGTATTGGTGAATGCAGCTTAGCCCCTCAAATGCTACGTTAGTTGGGATTGTGCAAACAAAATCAAGATATACTGCATACAACCGAATAGAGTGTGGCAGTATAGGTTGCAGGCTACCTTGAGCATGTCCGCATAGGCTAGATATCAACATATGAGAGGATTAACTGCTGACATTTACATTTAGTTGCTCCCACAGCTGCATTATGTAAACAGACAAACAGTTTTGACGAATGGTTTCCTGTAATTCTCTATCATTAATGCTTAAACCAAGATTTGACAAGGTTGGCACAATAAGTTCAAGCTTTGTTGCCACCAGGTGCAATGAGTGATTTATCCAAATCGAGTCAAGAAAATTCAGCACAGCATTGCAGAATCAGGATCTGCCAAGCGCATTTGTCTCCTTGTGAACGATGATTATTGTGCAAGATTTTGTTGGCTCGATACAGACCGGATTCTTTTAAGCGCGCAAACTTTCCAGTTGTAATCTCTAAAATAGCTCACCTGATAAACGCTTTAGCTCGCAATGCCATTCGTATCAGCTATAAAGACATCAAATACCACCCATGATACGATACGCATGGCATAGAATTTGGCTGCCACAATCATTGACATCTCCGATCCAGTTTTTTTCGGCTAAAATAAAGATTATTTGCTCGTTTTGCGACTTGATTGAACTATTCTGCACAATTCGACTATACAAGTCGTGCATATTTCTCCCTGCTCCCTTAAGCTTCCTAAAAGTACTTTTCAAGACGCATCTAATGGTGCTAAATATAAGACGTGCTCTGAACAAACTTGTCGGGCAATTCTTGAGATTATGAAATGAGGTTTAAGGCCAGAATATCGAGATTTTGTATATAAAAAACCTCATAGATAAGGCTTCAGGAGTTGCGTTGGATCGAGAGCAGCATTTTGGATGAATAGATGCCATAGTAAAAGTCTTCATTTTTGTGGTCAATAACGCGATTGCTTGTTTTTCGATGAAAACCGTGAGGGGTACCTCATGCTTTTCAGTCGAATGTTGGCCATGATTTTTTGGTCCCCAAAAAGTTGAGCAAAGGTGTCAGGAATGTACTGCTACTCGAGTACAAATGTTTGGCGCTATTCCAGTGGTCTAGAACAGCTTCTAACACGAGAAAACACAGCTGAAGTGCAACCAAATTTCGCAGTGTTTTGCATATGTACAAGTAGTGAGAGGCTATGCAGGTATGCTGCCTGCCCATACATGAATCGCTCCTATTGATACAGGCAAGGAACATTGTAAACGAGTTAAATCCATGGATAGGTTTCGAGCGATGGTAATACTTTATGGTATTAGAGCATGCAGCGGTAGAAATGCCATACTTTGAACAGCTGTTATAGCTAAGCTCCTGTCTTGTTGATTTGTAGGATCAGACTAATCAGTGTATATGAAACGAATGCGCTCGGCTAAAGCTTTCTTTTCTAAGCAATGGGGCTATGGGAGCAGACAGTTTCCTTGAGCAATGCTTGCTGCATGATTATAAATCCCAAACATTGGTCAAGTGCTCAATTGATGCGGCAACGCCTTGAATAATTTTCTTGACTATCTCGAAAAGGCTTTTATACGGATTGTCCTTGTGGCCAGCAAGAGTGGCCGTGATGGAACGAATGCATTGAGCAGTCTGTATTCGCGACTCATCAGCATCATCTACATAAGAAAAAGCCTCTCGCCTTTCTAAACATTTGCCTTGTGTAAAATGTTTGACACACTGCTTACACACCATTCACCATCTTACGGAGCGCACAAGGCTTTTCGATCACTTGTGAATCAGCCTTTCAAGTAAAGCCTAGCGAATCAATCCATCTAAGTATCATATTGAATGGAGCCCAGTTGCTCGAGTATAAACTTTAGCCCTTTTGTGAGATGGATGACAGATCTGGAAGCGATTCGAAAGATGTGCTTCCTGCAGAGTACTAAATTCCCATACCATATTCCATGAGCAAACCACTCAGGGTTACTTTAGCATTGCGCTTTCCTTTTAGGTAGAAAATCCCGTAGAGAAAAGCCCTACTGTCCTTTCATAAAAAAAAAGGCCAAAGGTGGGACGTTGTACATGGATACGTGAGCATCATTTAATGGATAATCTTATGGCATGTCTATTTTGGAAAATCGCGCCCTGACCCCGTCAAGTTCGCACTGTGATTAAGGTTTTAATCTTACAGTTGGGGAACACTCCTTCCCTTACCCATATATAAAGGATCTTATCCGAGATTTGGGAGCCTTTTTTTCATTACGTTACTGTGTCTATTCTCTGAACAAAAAGACATTTCATGAATGCCTTACGTTACAGCCTGCTGGTGATAAGCTTCCTCTGCTTGGCATTACGACATATGACCATGTTCCCGAAGACGTGGAGGAGATCATATCTGATTCCATCAAACAAGGCTACCGTTTAATTATTACTATTTTCAACGATGACAATGACGTTGAAGTCGGCAAATGTGTTACAAGAGCCATTACCGACGGTATTGTCAAGCGCGAAGAGCTGCTCAGTATGTATCATGATGCCTAATTGAACATTAGACATTTAGGAGACTAAAATAACACATGTGCAATAGTTGTGGGTCAGCTTTGGAGCAGCTATCGTCAGAAGCAACATATCAAGCCTGTCTTACAGATGGCACTCGATAATCTTGGCTTGGACTACATTGATCTTTATCTCGTACAGTGTAAGTTAGCTTTTGCTATTTTTTTCATTGGCTTATTGTGCATATATGTAGTTTCCTTTGCCACTGAGTATATTGACCTTAAGCAGTTTTCTCCTGAAAGCGAGGAAACAAACAAGCTGAAGCTCGCCAGCGTTTCCTTGGAAGAAACCTGGCGTGAACTGGAAGCACTGGTAGATGCTGGCGTCATTCGTAATCTTGGTATCTCCCACTTCAATTTCCAGTCAGTCATCGATCTTCTCCGTTATGCTCGTATTCGACCCCGTGTGCTTGAGATTGAGCATCACCCTTACTTTCAACAAAAAAAAAAGCCTGGTCGAGTGGGTTCGCTCTAAAGGCATGCAAGCTATGGCATACGCTTCATTGGGTAGTATATCCTATTATTACAACCTACAAGATTTGGCAATGAATCTCGTTGTTGAGAAAATTGCGGAGAAGCATCAGATCCGCGAACGTGAAGTTGTTTTGGCCTGGATTGTTCGTCGTCAAGTTGTTTTTAGTACAGACGCTGGCAATACGTATTTTACAGAGTCTTACGTAAATGTTGACCAGGTCGAGTTGGATGACGACGATATGCGAACAGTTGATGATTTAGAAGCAAATGCTCGGTTCTACCACTTTTCCGTCAATGTTGATGGCAATATCCTTCCTGTTTTTTTTTAAATAAACAAGGCACATCTGTTGTCTATTTGAAGATTCATAAGGATAATTTTGAACTTTAGAAAACCCAAATCAAAGAGCTCACTTCCAAGCATTGTCTAAAGCTACGCATTCTAAATGTGCTTCACCAAATTGAGAACAATGTTTATAATGCTATATAAAATCAGCATGGGCGTAATATATGGCTATGTCTCATGCCATATTGGTCGCATGTATTGCTTCAAGTTGAATGCCTTTAATCAAAGAGGGGCGCCTGGAGATGTTTACTCGACTTCCAGCCGGTAAAAGTATGGAACCAATGTGCCAAATTCTTTGCATTTCCAAGGAAAGTCATAATAGATGTAAAGATTTTTTTTTGCATTGATTGTAGCTTGTATTGACTACAGTAAACGACAATGCTACTTGATAGATGGAGTATAGACTTTAGAAGCTGTATCGCAACTCTTGACACCGTAGCATTCAACCAGATCCGTCACTTAGCAACCACGATGATGGCGCTGCGTTTGAAACCCAAGATTTCTAATAAACTTTGTTGTAGAAGCATCAAGTGAAGCTCCTGGCCCTTTTTTTTTTATTATTATTATTTACAAGACGATTATGCTCTTGAATAGACTAAAAGAGAGATGGGCAGCGAGGAAAGCCAACAACAAAGCAATTGATCCAGTAAAACGCGCCAAAGTCTTGCGCATCACACAGAAATCTGTACCCATCTTGAGGTAAAAATTAGAGTGTTGGTGTGGAAATGATGATCAACTCACTCTTTCTGGTAGCATACTCTTGTTTGTCATTGGTATTGCTTGGCTGCTGATATTACCTTATGATGGATACAATAAACGAACCTACATTTCTGAAAACGCACTATTACCTGGACAGGTAAGCCAACATTTATAGTGTGTGTGTGTGTGTGTGTGTGTTCCTGACAAGGATGAGCATGACTCAACACACCTTTACGTAATAGGCTAATTTAGATTATGGATTCAACGACATTCGCACTGCAGAAGACTACCGCGATAAACTGATGGATATCCAAGATAAGGATAGTGAAACGTAATGGATTTGCATGAAAAAAAAACAACAACAGTACACCACATGCTCAGAATGACACACTCTTTGTAGGAGAGCCAAGTTCATCCATCAAGAATTCAGACGTACAGGATTTGTGTCCACGATTCAACAGTTTGAGGTCAAGGGGAGAGAGCCAAAGAAGGTGGGTAGCAATAGAGCAACCTCCCTAGGATGAAAGCTAATTGCTTCTTGATGAAAAGGGCGTGAATGCATTTGCTATTAATAGAGCTCCTCGCAGCGATGGTAAAGAGGCACTTGTTCTGAGTGCATCATGGAAATCAAGAACCGGAGAATGTATATATATATATATAGCAATTCCTTGCTTGTCAAACACACTTATTTTTTTTTTTTTTTGCTAATGATGGTCAATAGACAATACCAACGGCATTGCATCCTTATTGTCATTAGCCAAGCTGTTCAAGAGAAACGTCTACTGGGCCAAGGATGTGATTTTGCTAGTGACAGATGAGGGTACATGGGGCACGCAAGCTTGGCTGGACGCTTATCATGGCACGACAGACGAATCTGCCTCTGTCGTGATGCCCAGATCAGGTGCAGTGCAGGGCGTTGTCAATTTAGATTTCCCAGGCACCCAAGACTATGAAACAATGGGCATCTTTTTTGGTGTGTATGACCGTTGGAATGCTAAAGCCACCATGACTAACCCATTTGTCTACATCTGTGGGTAGAGGGCGTGAACGGACAACTGCCAAATCTAGATTTAATCAACACCATCGTAGCAGTGGCCACAAGAACCCACCCACCTATTCGAATCACGCTGCATGATACAGTCAAGCATCCGTTTGAGCATCATGCGTATGGTAACTATGTCGGATCGTTGAATCACATGCTGCAGAGCATGAAGTATTTGGTGCTGGGACATCCATCCAGCGACTCTGGACTCTACCTTCGCTACACCATCGATGCAGTGACCATTCATGGCATTGTGGGCAGTGAGCATCTGGGCCAGTTGTATGGATTCAACCGCATAGGCAGACTGGTGGAATCCACCTTCCGTAGTCTAAACAACCTGTTGGAGCACTTTCATCAGTCCTTCTTCTTTTACCTGCTGCCTCAACCTGCTCGCTATGTTTCCATCAGTCAATACATGCCGCCTGTCATTTTGTTTGCATGTGCCTTGATCTTCCAATCGCTGGCTCTCTACTATTTGGGCACGAAGCCAATTGAACCAGAAAAAACGGATGTTTCCACAGCGTATTCCGTGGGCAAGAGACACACCTTGTTTGCATTCACTGTGCTGATTATTTCGCATGTGGCAGGCATTGTGATATTCAACCTGATGCAGCCTTCGTTTGGATGGAAGTATCTCGGCCAATTCACAGAAACCGAGGTAAGTGAGTGCAGCGTGCTATTTAAATGTGTTCACTGACCCCCTAAGATGCTACAGGCGATCACTATACAATACACTACTTCATCCGTTATCGCTCTGTCCACAGTCGTATTATGCGTCATTTGGATCAGCACACAACCGGCTGTGGAGCACGATGGCACTATCCTTAAATCACTCTGTCTTGCAGCAAGTGCATTGGTGATCGCAACCGTCTCACTCCTGAATTTCACATTAGGCATTGCAACAGCCATCTTGACTGTGATACCCTATAGCTTCATTCGCCCCTCGTCGCATGCTATTGGGAAATGTGTGCAATCTGTCGTCTTGCTAGGCTTGAGTCCTATGGGGTTGTTGTATGTATTCAGTTTGACGAGTGGACTGCCCCAAGTGGACATCCTATCCACACTCATGCTGGATTACCAAATTGTAAGATCCTGGTTTCTGACGTTTTGCTGCACCGTGTACTGGCCCATGAACATGGCCATGCTTATATTGGTGTTCACACAGTCATCCTCTTAGCGATAATAAAATATACAGGTTTATTTATAAGATATATGGTTTTTGTGCAATAATACAGTGCCAGTTAATGTAGGTTTTAGCGCGCTTCCATTCTGCTGGCAAGCCAGAGATGTATTCGTCGTATTTTTCGTGATGAAGGTTCATGACTTGAGAGAGCCAAGGCTTGAGGGACTCTAGTAAGAAGAGGTATTGACTAGACATGGCTCGTGCGAATTCAGAGCAGCGGTCTTGTTGTGGTACTTTGGACAGTGGTTTATCAGCAACATCTTTTTCGTCTTGGTCTTCCTCTAGAATACTATTGTTGTTGGAGTGCGATGATCCCCAGCCCAGAGGAAATGTTTGCGAGCAATCCTCCACTCGTTTGAATCCGTTTATGGCAAGCATAGTGGGTAAACGATGGACAGCATAAGGGTCTTGTTGACGAATGGACAGGCCATTGATCACTAGGGCAGGCTATTAGTCTCTATGGCTCTATGGCTATACAACAACTACTTACATGTGTCGTTCATCATGCATTCTTGCTCCAAGCTGTTTTGTGTTTCAAGATCAGGTTCCACACACTCAATCCAACCACCAGGCTTTAGGATACGTTGATATTCCAACAATAACGGCTGCCATGTTTGTCCAGTAAAAGCCCAGTTCATGTCACGCTGATAAATGTAGTCTATACTATTATCGGGAAATGGCAAGCTGATTGTTTGTGCAATATGCGTCACCACCAGTGAACCGCATGTTCTAAAATGGCAATTGCGTGGCTTGATGTCCTTTGGATAAAATGCATTTTGATCGATGCCGATAAAAGTGGATTTGGGAAATGCAGTGCTCATCTCCATGGTCCATGTGCCTGGCCCACAGCCAATGTCCAGCACCACAATGCCCTTTTGCAATTGAGATTTCAATGGCGCATTAAAGTCTGATCCAAAGGCTGTTCTTAAAAGATAGTGCTGTGCTACCATGCGATCTTGCTCGTCATTATTGAGTGTCAAGACATAAGGCTGGGGTTGTGTCTCCATGGATTTCTTGCGTTGGTAGTGGTGGTAGTGGTGGTGGTGGTGGTGGTGGTGGTGCGATGGTTCGGAAGCAGTCTTTGCGGAAGGATGTGTGCGAGGATGGTGGCGATGGCTGTTTTTTCTGACGGTGGATTGGATCTTGGCTGTGAGACGAGGTGGATGGAAGGTGTTGACAGTGGATGCTGATGTGGATTTGGTCATGGTAGGAGCCATCAAAGGCTGCTGTTGCTGCTTTAGTTTCTGATCCATGATTTTGATGAGGATTTCCGAGCTGAGAGGTCTTTTGCGTGAGGGTGGCCCAAGTGCAGGTGCCGGCGCACCAGGTGCCTGGTAATGATGGTAGCGGTGTTGTGATGGTGTGGAGCATGATGGCGTTGGAATGATGATGGCAGAGTCAGAGAGCAGAGATGATGTAGTGATGGTGGACGTGGATGGCGATAATTCAGGCTGACGGATGTTGTAAGTTTTAGGCTTTCTGTTGCTGTAAGCGGCCTGCGCTACCTTGGAAGCTGTTTGGAATTGCTTCTTCCATGGACCTACTTCAGCGACGATCTCTGATGTGTAGAGTGGTCGATTGTAAGATTTCTTTTTCAAAATCTTTTGGAGAAAAGATGGGCTATCAAACAAAGAGTGATGCATTTTTATTATGTACAGTTGCAAAGAGAAAGAGAAAGATGATGTTGAATGAGAGATGAAATGCAAAGGGGGGGGGTGGGGGTTATATATATATATATATATATATACTATGATCCCCCCCCTTATTATGATAATCATCTTTAAATTGACAAAAACAACAACAACAACAACAACAACAACAAGCAAGCAAGCAAGCAAGCAAGGAGTAGAATGACCATATGGATGTAAAAAGTTACGGTCGAGTGGATTCCGGGTGTTGCATCCCACCCCCCCCCCCCCGATTCATGATCAATATACAGAAATCAGTCGATCACTATATAAAAATGCGTTTCTCACAAGTTGTTTGCTCATACATTGAGTATCCTTGACAACTATTAAACAAGTTTTTTTGTTTAACCTCATTTAATTTTGATTATTCTCAAGAAACAACCGTGCAGACCTAAATTATTTACTTTTAAGGACATACGGTTTTCGTGTCTCAGATCATGGCACTAGATGGTAGAGTGGCAATGCAAATACACTGGCCAGAGGGATGCAACATGCGAATGAAGCATAACAACGGATGGCTATAAATATAGGTACATCGCTTTAGAATGGCATTAAAACAAGGAGACGAGAGACAGCGACACACACACATACACACACACACACACACACACACACACACACACACACACACACACACATACACACACATACACACACATACTGCAAACATTCGCATGATGATCCTAAATGGCGATTTCTCTCTTATGCTCATACATGATACATGCCTTTTTGTGTAATCATGAACGCTTTATTTGTTTAATGTCCGTGGATCATTTGTTTATTTTCTAACGTCAAGGCCTTTTTACGCTGTAAGGCTTTGATGGCTTTTTCTCTTCTCTTGTCATTTGAAACTTGTTGATGATCAATAACAGGTTTTTGTCTAAAGTATGGCTACAATTAGGATAGCAAAAAGTGAGTTTGTGTGAGAAAATAAAGCATGTAACGGATTCATTATCTTACCTGGCATCGCCATGCTGCATATGTTTTTATGCCTGTTTCTGGATTCACATCCACAATCTCCTTTGCAGGATCCACTTGTCTCTGTATTCTCTCTTTCAGCTCCAGTGTAATCGTGTGCATTTCATCTGCTGAATTGCACACTGCTAGTCTGTCCCTGAGGTCTGTATGCACGGGCAGACTGGCATGGAACAGCTTAAACAAGTGCGCTTTGATAATCACTGGCCTGGTCGGTGCCAGTGTGTTACAAATGCTCAAGTATTCCAAGGCGATATCAAAGGTGAAGGGCGGCATGTCAGTGGCCATAAACAGCGTTGGATTGTATAAATGATTCTCGGCACTCATGACTCCATCTGCGCCTGTCATGTCTAAACAATGCTGCACATCATCGTAATAGAGTATATTGCCATTGGCTATCACTGGTACCTGGGGACACTGCTGCTTGACTGCCTTGATCTTGCTCCAGTCTGCGAGTCCTGTATGATGGCCTTTTTGCTCTCGTAGTCTGCCATGCACAGTCAATAATTGCGCTCCTGCCGCAATCAACATGTTGGCATAATTTACTGTTTTTGTCTCGCTTGAAAACACTCGGATCTTGGCTGTCACTGGCACTTGCAAATGTGTGTCCAATGTGGAGATCAGTTTGTAGATCAAATCCCAATCGTCCTGCAAAAACGATCCATATCTTCCCTTTTTCGCAATGTATTGAGGACATCCCAGGTTGAGATCAATAGCATCGCATTGATGCTCCACCATTTTAGCTGCTTTCAATAGCGTGTCTGGATCATTGCCGCAAAACTATCTCGAGCGTCAGTTGAGCCTAATCCGCCATGGTGCTGCTTCTCTTACCTGTACAATCAAAGGTCGGTCTTCTGCATTGGTAGACCACTGGTCATCTTGGTATTTGTAGCCATGGATAGGGTCACTGAACAGCTTGGAGTGGAACATGGGTGTGTAGCATAATTGGGCATTGTACCGTCTGCTGAGGATTCGCCAAGCCAGTTCAGATTGTTCCACCATGGGCCCTACAATGTATTTCGGCGATCCCAATGTCTTTTCGTAGAACTCATAGCCTTTTAATTTGGTGCTTGTGCTATAACGTCGAGCATGATTTAATAAAGAGCTTGCACATGTCATTTAAATAAATTAATGTTTCAAGGGGGGACGAGATACAAAAGCGGATCGAAGCCACTCTTGAGTTTTATTCATGGTAGGAGTCACTCAGGTTCTGCCTGCACCAAATTGCGGTAATGTTGAGCGCCATACGACGTTTGCATTAGGGCAGCTGAACTTTGTGCTCCCTTAAAATGTCTATTCATGAAGGCATTGCGTATATGCATTGAAAAGTGCAGAGTACGGCAAAGAGAGAGCCATATAGCTATCGTCAATTCAAAACGGAAGAGCTTCTATCTAATGTCTGCCGCCCGTGAACGGTTAGTGGATTACAATCAGATTTGTGGTAAAAAAAAATGAGGCAAACCAAACACAAGAAAACGCCCCAATCTTAGTTAATCAACAGCCTCACATTGTAGAGTGGTAAATAATAGCAATTTTTTTTTATTTTTTATCTATTTAAAATGTACAAAATGGGATGAATGTGTTGAATGAAAGCGAGAGGGTAAAATATCATATTATAATGTATAAATTATTCAAATGTCTTCTTGAAGCTAGGACGAGCTTGAAGGCGTTCATAATAGGCTTTCAAGTTGGGGCGGTTCTCAAAGACTTGTTCAGGCTTGCGGACAATGAGATCGCGGAAGAGATAGGCAGTGAAATGAACATCGGCAACAGAGTAGGTACCAAAGAGATAATCACCATTTTTCTTCAACAAATCTTCAGCACGGTCGAGGAATTGCTGAGCAGTTTCCCAAAGCTTCTTGTTTAAAGCAAACATATCCTCGGGCTTACCGCTCCTGTAATAATCCAAAAGGTCTTTGGTTTCATCAATGTTCTTCTGGTAAAGAGCTTCGTGTTCAGGAGCTTGCTTCAAATAAGTTTCCCAGCCCTTGATACGGCCTTCCAAGAAGGGAGGCACAACGCTTTGCTTAGCATTGAGCTCTTCTTGATTGCCAGAGGTAAAGAAGAGAGGATTACCAACATCGGCTTCTTCATGCATGTGCTTGAGAAATGCATCGATTTCAGCCTTCTTTTCAGGAAGACTCAACTTGTTACCAGCCAACTTGTCCAAGTATTCGACGACAGACTTGGTATCATCCAAATAAGATTTCTTGCCATCTTGATCGATCTCCAAGGTGGGGACAGTGTGGTTAGGATTGATTTTCAGGTATTCGGGAGAGAAATTCTCGGCTTTGGAAAGATCCACTTCAACTTGCTTGACGTTGGGGATGTTGAGTTCATTGATGGCTAAGCGAGGGACACCGGCCCAAAGAGATAATTTGAAGGTGTAGAGAGTAAGATTAGGAGACATTTTAGGTTGTTCTGTATACGGAAAATAGAAATGAAAAAAAAAAAGAGGAGGCCTACCAAGCAATGCATGCTATTTATACTATATGGCATGTTTGAGGTGTGCAAGGGTTTCGGTCTCAGTAAGGTAAAGCCGCATAATCATTCTGGTTGTCAGTGTTACTCTGTTGCATTCTTTAGTAATCCTTGTTCAGCGCCATGATTGGACCAGTGCCCAATGCAGTAGGCCACGTAAAAATGCAATGCCATTTTGTATCACACATTAGAATATCAATTGTAAGCATCAATTATAAATCCATTTCACGTAATATGAATGAATAGACATTGGTATTATAAATCCTATTTCATGTCCCTGAGTCTGCCCTAAATGTAGCTACATCTGATGCTGAATCACAGAAATCCCTGGTTTTGCGCGACACCTTAAAGTAATCCATGAATGATCCAAAAGATCAGATATCCAATTCGGTCATGTTGGCGTCGCAACGGTTGCAAAATCCTCCCCTTTATCGTCTCGGAATCTTTCGTCAGCGATGTAAAATACAGCATATGTGTCCCCAATTGTTGCATTGAAAGCTTTACTTTTATCATTAATCAGCAAGTCCTTTGGGAAGCTGCTGTTCAATTCCTTGAAATCCCTTGCTTTGGACAGTGATGTAATTTAATTTCTTCATAACAATCTAGAGTTGACTCTATTGCATCATATGGATGTCCATGAGACACGTACCGAGATGCTCTGATTTGCCTTTTTGGAGACGCAATGTTGTGTTTGGCATTCGACACAGCGACATTTGCATACATGAAATAGGATCATGCGCAACAGAGAATACAAAGCATAGCCAGGATAGCCTGTAGTGCTCTTCGATTCACGATTCTCCTCTCATCAGCATCGCCATCATTGAATAGCTTGATAGGAAAGCGTGTTTGTCAGCCAAAAGCTGATTACATCTCCGACCATTTTCTTTGCTCAAAATGGGAATTTTTTTTTGCTCCTTTTGCGACTTGTTCAATCTATTTTGCGATATTAGACTATAAACTGCTGTGATTATACCATGCACTCTTAAGCTTTCTTGAAGTATCTTTCAAGACGCATCTGATGGTGCTACATATAAGACGTGCTCTGAACAAACTTGTCGGGCATTTTTTGAGATTATGAAATGAGGTTTAAGGCCAGAATATCGAGATTTTGTATATATATAAAAACCTCACAGATAAGGCTTCAGGAGTTGCGTTGGATCGAGAGCAGCATTTTGGATGAATAGATGCCATAGTAAAAGTCTTCATTTTTGTGGTCAACAACGCGATTGTTTGTTTTTCGATGAAAACCGTGAGGGGTACCTCATGCTTTTCAGTCGAGTGTTGGCCATGATTTTTTGATCCCCAAAAAGTTGAGCGAACGTGTCAGCAAGTACGTGCTAGATGAGAGCAATTGTTGGGCGCTATTCTGACAGTCTAAAACAGCTTTTAGCACGGGAAAACACAGCTCAAATGCAGCCAAATTTTGATGTGTTTTGCTTTATTATGAGTAGTAAGAGGCATTAGTCGTATGCTGTCTGCTTGTATATGAACCGTGCGCACTGATACAAATGCGGAGCAGCGCAGGAGGGTCAGCTTCACGGCTACAGACATATTAAAGAAAACCCCCACAAGAGTGGTAGGTTGAAAAAAGTAGTTTTCTAGTATGCATTGCACACATGAGACTTTATATAAAATGTATACCCCACTGAGATAATCTCTCAAGCTATCAATGCTACTCAAAGCATGATAATGTAAAAATGAAGTAATATATTATGTGGTGGTTATGTTAACGGATGTGGTAAAATCAAGCAGCATAAATAACTGGGGCTTTCAAGACGAATTCGTTCTGCTCGAGTTCGTTTATAAAAAACTGAGCAAGATCGCTACGAGAAATAAAGAATCCAGTTTCGCCTACATAGCCGCTTTTAACAGTACCTTCGTTACCATTCGTAAGGAAATATACTCTGGCCAGAGTCCAATCAAGATGAGATGCCTGCAGGGCGTTTCCAATGCCATTCATCTCCAAATAAGCATCGTGCATCATCCATTTGATGCTGCCTATAGCAAGAGTTGCGATCCAGGATGTCCCATCATACTCCTGATCCTTATAGCTAGGAGTTCCAAGAGCTATAATGCGCCGAATGCCTTTTCGCTCCATGCATGTAACAATGGTTTGATAACCATGGGTAATTGGCAATCCTTTTGAAGGAGCAGAGGTAGGGCCCAAGGTAGACAAAACCGCATCAACGCCGTCTAAAGCATGCATTATGTTCTCTTGGTCGTCTAATTCACCTTCAATCACTGTGATTTTAGAGGCCAAAACCGGATCCAGCTTTTGAGGGGATCGCATGTACGCAACCACTTGGTGATTCTTTGATATGGCTTTCTCGATGACTTTTTGTCCTGTGAGTCCTGTTCCTCCAAAAATTAAGAGTTTCATAGCGATTATTTTGTTGCAAAGTAGGTAGCCACTGCCTTGCTTCATCTCTTTATATACCCGTCAGTTTCTCGGATATATGGATCCAATTTTCTCCTCCACCCGTTACTGGCTTGATTGGCCAGTGGATCACAAAATTAACACTGAGCAACTCAGTAAATCATGCTCATATGGGGCCGTGCTCCATCACCACCGGGAGTCTGATGTGACTCGAACAGCCCGCACCTGCATCAACGCATGTATTGCTCCACGATGCCTGAACTGTTTAGATCCTCCTCTTTTTCATAAACTAGGTATGAACATCATAATCCATGAATGAAATCCAAAACAGCGATACTAACAAACATGCCATTCATCTTTTTTACATTACCCACCACATCAATTTCACATGACTCATCTTGGAATTTTACATCCATCCATTGCTACAACTGTTGCTATAAATTTCAACATCCATCCTTCCATCCATCCATCTATCCATCTATCCACCTATCCACCTACAACCACAACATTGCTTTACTACAACAATAGACTATCATGCCCGCTTTAGGTTTGCCCGCCGATGTCAGTGCCTCTGCTGATGGTACCCGTAGATTGTTCAACAAGTGGTCTTACGAAGATGTTGAGGTCAAGGATATCTCTCTCCAAGATTATATCCAAATCCGTCAACAAGTCTACTTGCCCCACACTGCTGGTCGTTTCGCTGTCAAGCGTTTCCGTAAGGCTCAGGTAAGTGCAATCAAAAAGAGTCCTTTCTCGCGAAAAGTGTGTTTACGTCTTCTCCGACATTTTTCGCAATGTCAATCTATTTGATAGTGCCCTATTGTTGAACGTTTGACCAACGCCCTCATGATGACTGGCCGTAACAACGGTAAGAAGCTCATGGCTGCCCGTATTGTTCAACACGCTTTCGAGATTGTCCACTTGTTGACTGATGCCAACCCTCTTCAAATCTTGGTTGATGCCATTATCAACTGTGGTCCTCGTGAAGACTCTACCCGTATCGGTTCTCAAGGTACTGTCCGTCGTCAAGCTGTTGATGTCTCTCCTCTCCGTCGTGTCAACCAAGCCATCTCCTTGTTGACTGTTGGTACCAGAGAGTCTGCTTTCCGTAACGTCAAGACCGTTGCCGAATGTCTTGCTGATGAATTGATCAACGCTGCCAAGGGTTCTGCCAACTCTTATGCCATCAAGAAGAAGGACGAACTTGAGCGTGTTGCCAAGTGTAAGTTTTGCTACTGGGGAGTGTTTGTTGATTTGTGTATGCTAATCTGTCTTACTCTATAGCTAACCGTTAAATTACTTTTTCGACGATCATTTCATTTTGGAGAGAAAGAGAGAGAGAGAGAGGATTATACACTATACTTTTCTTTTTTTTTTTTTTTTCTTTTGTGAAAAAATAAAATCAACATCCAACTAATAAAACTGTACATATGCTGAAAATGAGATCAAGTTGGATCATGTCAAAGCATGTTCGGGAGGGTTTGTGGATGGTTTGGAAGTTTGCGATTCGTTGGAACATGCTACTGAAGATCATGATGATGATATTGCTGGGCAAAGCTGGACATAGCACTCGAGCTATATGCAAACGGATACTACTTATAAAGCCTTGGTCTTTATAATGTACGCTCTATATCTACCTCCAAATGCTCACCCGGCAAACAAAGATGTAGATACTTGCGCATTTTGACTAGCCCATCAAAATAGCCTAACAGTGTTTGCATCACTTAAATCATTGTGTATCGGTGGATAACAACTGTCTCGTTGAGATATTGACACTTTCACTTTATGGTAGACAGTATGCATGTGCCACAAAGGTTGTATGCTGCTTTCGAATGGTTTTAATCAAGGAGATTCGTTTCTAGTGGGCCTTGTAGGGAGTCATTTGGAAACGAGTTGATCCATCTGCTTGATACTGATATGCCCAATCATAGGACAAGATCTCCAAGCTGGGAAGCAGCGTTTTAAAAAAGCATTCTCGCGTTCTTTTTTTTTTTTTTTTTTTTTTTTTTTTTTTTCATTCTTCTTTTTTTCTTACAAATATAATACACACAAAATGGATACCCCCAACGAAGCAGAAACAAGCAACAGTGCCACCGAGTTAAGAAAAGAGGCTTTGGAGCTTCGTGAGTTCATCAAGAAAGTCAGAGCAGAAGCAAATTTGGGTCCAATGATCAAGAGCAAACGATCCTTTTCCCTTATTGCAGAAGCAGCAGATACAGACGATGAGTAAGCTACATTGCGTTTATCAGCAATCAATGCAGCAGACTAACTTGAGATGGCGCTTGTAGGAGTAGAGGCAAAAGACAGCAGTTGGAGCAAGACCAAGCCGAGGCAGAAGAAGCAGTAATGATAGCAGCAACCAAGGAAGCAGAAGCAAGAAAAGCGTTGATTGCAGAAAAGAGAGACCAGTTTTTCAGCCGTTTAAACTCTTTTTCTCCCAGATTCTACTATCGAAAGCGACCTTTTACAGCTCTTGAATGTGCAAAATATGGATGGAAAGATACTCATTTGGTGGGTAAAAAGGACTCCAAAACCTGCATCTTGCAATGTGATGATTGTCAGGGTAAAATGTTTGTGATTACCTTTGATCCCAACGTTGATAATCCCAAAGGTAAGAGTGATTCATGGGTGATAACACGCTCTAATGCACAACGATTCTAGTCCAGGAAGTAGCCAAAATATACAAGGAGAGTCTGGTTTCATGTCATGCAGAAAACTGTCGTTGGAGAAACGAACCTGACACAGACGTAGTATACAACTTCCCTATTCAATCACTGGAGGAAGGCGTCAGTCGACTGAAACGAAATGCCTTTTTTTTCGTTTTTGCACAACAGAGAGTCAAAAGCACAATCAGTAAAGACACCTCCACAACATCATCATCATCACCAAGCCAGGAAGAAAAGAAATTGATTCCACCATTGGAGCACCCGCTGGACGATCTTACCTATTCCAGAGTGTGTGCTTTGGGTGTCCACTTTCTGCAACAACGAGAAATGATGGGAAAGCCCGATACCAACACTGTATATGCTGCTTACTTGTTATCATTGTTTGGATGGCAACTGTTGAGTGATACATTGCCTGGTATCCAGTGTGATTTATGCTGCAGTAAACGAGGATTTCATCAGATCAAGGAGGGCGAAAAGTTGGATGTCTTCAAGGAGCATAAAGAGTACTGCCCCTGGGTGAATTCAGAGACGGCGGATGCATACTCACCTAAAGTGCATTTTTCAAATCGAGATTGCAAGATTTGTGGTTACGAGTGGATGGTTGATTTGGTAGCTATTGAATATAGCCTCATTATGAGAAACAAGTTTTTGTCATTGGCAACAATAGACGCTACAGACGAGAAACGCAACGAGCTGAAACAAAAGAGGCACAGGGCGAATGACTTGCTGAAATTATGGGATTCACATAGCAGCAGCGGCAGCAGCAGCAACAGTGCTAGTGAGAATCAACAGCAACCACAGCAGCAGTGAGCAAAGAAAAAAAAAAAAAAAAAAAAACTGCCTTTTAAATGTATAGCACAAGGTTGAAACGTCAAAATAAAATCGTGCTTTTCTTTCTCTTTATTTAATTTAATTGCTATGGTGGATACATGTGAATACAAGAAACGAGAGCTAAAGATGGAAGAAGAGGATTCCAGCGCCAGTAAAAAGATCAAACTAGAGTTGGAAGAGAACGAAACTACTGTGCTTGCTGGTTCCGCCACAGAGCCACCCTCACCATCAAAGAATGAATCTATGCAAGACGAGGCCAAAGACCAAGACAAAGACCCTGAATTCTTCACTACATCCATGTACACAGACGAGTTCAATACTATGCTGGAAACTGTATTAAACGGTGAACAGTTCTTGTTTAGCACGGATGAGTTACAAGTGTTTGAGCAATTTCAGTTGCTGGAAGGTAGCGTACAATAGAATTACATGGTAAAAATGCATTTTTTTTTTTGAACGCCATCGCCACTGTAGACGAGTCAAAGCATTTGATAGTTCGGTTACTGATGAGAAAGCAAAAATGGCTCAGGATGAGCAAATTCAACTATGCAAGAAACATTCGTGATTTGGACAAAACTGCTGCGGACCTTGAGATGCATGGATTCGCAGACACCACCATAAAGGACCTATCTGAAGCACTTGCTATACTGTCAAAAGATGAGCTCAAGGCGATTGTAAAGGCACGACGTATGCAAAATTCAATGGACTCTAGTACAGTAAGTGCGCAGCTGGTGTGATCGACAAGCATCTAATGTTGTTGTGCTAGAGAAAAGATGGTTTTCTCAAGGAAATACTTCAGTTTGCCTCTACAACCAGTATTATACCAGAATCTAACGCAAGCAAGATGCAGGATTTATGGGCCTCTATCAGACAGCTCTTGGGATCATGCATTCGAGTCAATCCAGCACGCAGAGCATTGTTTGAAAGAGTGCAAATCGTCTATTACCGCATCAACCTGCTGGATGATTTCAACCCCATGTCCAACGCCATCTTGGCCAGAACAAGCAAACGAGTCTATCCAGAGTACACGCCATGCCGATCCAGCAGCATCTGGCTCTGTCGCGCTGATTTACTGAGATACGAGCAAGCCTTGCAAACAGAGAAGGCGTTTTATCAAATGACAGAAGGACTCAAGGTGTTCAATACCTCCAAAACGAAAAAAGTCATTTCTGCCGAGGGAGGTGATGCAACGGTGCGCCAGAAAATGGTAGAGGCATGGACCATTTGTGAGAACAGTATTGGGATCTGGGAGGAATGCATCATAGAGGCTCAGGAGCGGCCTTATTATATGAGACGTTTTGAAGCAGGTTGGATCTACACCCGGTTGATGGATCACGGCACTGAACTGTTGGCCAAAATGCACGAGTACGAATTGGAGGTCTTGATCTTGCAGAAGCTACTGGCCCAGCGCTTGTATCGGCTGGGTAAAAGGGGCAAATGGTATGATAGACTGGCTCTAGTACAAACCATACATATCAAGAGCGACAATACGAGGCTTCAGAAAAAGGCAGCATTACAAACTTGCATTGATGCCATCCACGATAATCGAGTGCATCAAAGTAAAACAGCAGTGTGTTTGAGTGCATGTGCCTCAACAAGAATCTGACATGCTTTATCTAGTTTATTTGCACGATATACACAAAAGGATCATCAAATTAGAAAAAGACCTCTGTGTGCCTCGAAGAGAACAGCACGATTTTAGCTACATGAACCTAAAGAAGCCAAAAGAAATAACGATACACGGTAAATTTGATGATGCATGGTAGATTGCGAGATGACTGACCTCAAAGTTTTGCACAGGCGAGAGGATCTCGGAGGAAATCATTGGTAAAAAGTCTGTATGGCGAAGTGATAATGGCGCAGAATGTTCAGTGGAACAAGTTTCACTAGAGTATTACCAAAAGAAAGGGTTCAAAGGGTGAGTGTGTACATGCGCATGAATGCTGAAGATGCAGAATAGCTGACATAGTGTAGTTTACATTGCGAGAATGGTGTTATTCGAATGATTGTAAGCTGTATTTCTGTTTGCGCCAAACATGATTGACTCACACTATACGACAACAGATGGTGCTTTTGTTCTGGGATATCGTATTTGCACCCATCCCTGGCGTATTTGAAACACCTTATCAAAGCGAGCCTCTGGACCTACGCACAGACGCCTTTTATGAGAGCAGACAGGATTTGATCAACACCCGGTTACGAGAGATAGAGAAGGGAGCGTATATAGAGATTATCAAACAAGTGGATGAACGAGAACGACCAAGAAACACAGCCTGCATTGGCATTAACTGGAAATATGAACCTCAGGACATTTTAGAGATTGCGGAATGCATAGGGCCCGCTTCTTTGGCGTCACTGAGCAAGCTGTTCTTTGAGGAATTTGGCCAACGTCAAGGCGGCATGCCTGATTTATGTTGCTGGAATTACGACAAGAAACAATGCTTGTTTTCTGAAGTCAAAGGGCCCAAGGATAAACTCTCGAAAACACAGCAGGTCTGGATTGAAACACTGACAGGATTTGGTATTGATGTGGAAGTGTGTCATGTCCAGATATGGAAGGGAGAAGATATCTTTTTGCACGACGATGCTTGAATAAGATAAATCATAGCAACGGAAAAGCATTTTTTGCTGTCATTTGTATGTAGATTTCCTTTTTTGGCCAACCATAAACACCTTTGATTTTCTTGACAGCTGAATAGATAAAGCGTTGCATCTCTGCTACTCGATTGTACGCATTTATCCCACTTACACACATCTTTTCATATACCTTCCCTATAGCAGCATACAATGGTCAACAACAGAGACAAGTTACAGCCATCTTTCTCTAGTCCAATCATTTCGCCCGACAATGAGTTTGGCTATTATCTACATGTGCCGCCATTCGATCACATGCAAGACCAACCAAGGCTTGCCATTGCTTCGATTGACAAGTTTGACAAAGAAAGCCCCAAAATATATGAAGTGCGTCCATTGCATTCAGACATTGCAGACTCGCCGCCCTTGTTTTCGTCTTCCATAAATACATCTGCCTCGACACTGGAAGAAGTCAAGTTGGCAGAGAGACAAATGTTTCAGCAGACTTGCCCAGAGACTTTTGACACAATCCAAAGTGTATATGATGCAGGGCCCAATCGACAATATCATTTTAAAAAATTGAAGCAAATGATGAGCTACTATGAGAAAAGTAATAGTATTACGAATAATCACAACGACAGTAGTAACATCTACCTAGATCACTTGCAAGATCCACACAATACCAACCACGAACAGCAGGAATCAGCAAACACTTTACCACATGGGCCAATCATTGATCCTCCGCCAAGGCATAGTAGTAGAAACCACTACCGTAACGCTTCACCTAATTTAAAGCGTTACGATTCATCCAAAATCGTCAGATATACGTTAGTCGACAAGGAGCTTTCGCACACCAAAAGCACCAATTCTAGCTATCATCAGAGATTAAACGAGTACGATAATGACGCTCGCCCAGTAAACACAGATCAACAGCAAATGGCAGGGCCACATCATACACCACCACCACTACCGAGTTATCATCCTAGTCTGCATCCAAAATTACAGACGGCCTCCTACCATGATTACTGGACTACAAGTGATAGCAGCAACTATTCCTCAAGCCGAGACTCCAAATGCTCATCGCAGTTTCAGACAACGGACAGCAACTATAGCACAACGTACGATCAACGCAATCAACAGATATTGAAAGAGCTAGGATACAGTCCAAACATGTTTTTTGGTTTTCAAAATTCGATTCAACCCGTAGAGGAAAAGACCAAGACAGAAGCCGCCTTTTATTTACGTTCGCCAAAGCAGAAGGAGGAGGAGTCTGCTCACACTGATGGCAACCAAACCAAGCAACCGGGAATACCTTATTTCACTTACTTGTGTACGCTTGTTATGATTGCCTACTTTGCTGGATGTTTGATCAAGAACTACCAACTGACAGGTATGTTGAAGCAAAGCTGTATTTGGATTAGTGTTGGTTGACGTTCAACTAGGTGCTGTCATACAATTATCTCCTTTCAATGTCATGGTTGGGCCATCTGCAGAGGTAACTTGGCAAGAGTCAAGTCGCAAAAGAGCACCGTTTAATGAGACTTCTTGATAGGCCCTGATATACACGGGTGCTCGATTTACACCGTGTATTCGTGCCTCTTCCTTATACCCCGTCAATGACAAGATATACACATGTCCTCGAAATCCAGGTAGGACCTATGCATACTTCAAAAACTACTTGAAGAGATTGACCATTTTGTAGCTTCTGATGTAGTGACGAGGCCAATATTCAATGATCAGGACTCTGCCGGTATTTTTGTCATAAATAGAACCAGCTCTCAGAGCGTCTGTGATTTACAGAGTGTCTGCGGCGGTAACTCATTCAATGATCCCTCAACACCCGACCAAGGCTATCGATTTATAAGTGCTATGTTCATGCATTCAGGTATTGTGCAGTTGGCCATTAATATGCTGGTTCATATAAGGCTTGGCATGCGAGTAGAGAAAAGGATCCATTCTGGACGATATGCCGTCATTTGGCTGATTTCAGGTGTTTTTGGTTATTTATTCGGCTCTCTTTTTGTACCAGCTGGTAATGGTAAGTGTGCTTAGGGTTTAGCAGTTTGTTTCGTATTAGCATTTGACGAGCGATTTTAGTTAGCATGGGCTGCTCTGTTCCTCTCATGGGTATAATGGCCTTTCTCTGCGTGGATCTCATTAGACATTGGCATACAATAGTACATCCGGTGAGAGTATTGGTATGCATTATTATTTATTTCGGTGAGTTACTTCCTATCCATCGTTTCCATACATCGTATTCACAGTGTCGCTTATAGTGATCACATTGGCCATTGGCCTGCTGCCAGGGTAAGTTGATTTCCGCCTAGTCAATATGTGCAAAGCGCTAATAATTCAACTAGATATGACAATTTCTCTCATATTGGCGGCTTTATTGGAGGCACACTTATCACGCTGGCTACATTGCCCATATCACCATTGTGTATAAACACGAAACATGATAAACAGTCTGACCAATCCATGTTGATTTGGCTGATGCGTATCTTGATGCTGGCGTTCATTGCTGTACTGATGTGGATGCTCGTGTATCTATTCATAAACAATGGGTCACAAAAGGTATTCAATGCAGACTGAAGTCAACACTAATTATCACTAATGCGCCTGTTTCACCTAGTCCTGCCAAGCTTGCCAATATTTCGCATGCTTACCCTTTTCAGACTTATGTAGTCCATATACCTAGATCCACGACATTTGCACAACAAATAAACAAACATTTTGCTTTTACTACTCCAGTGTACTACCATCAACATGTGTATCGATTCTTTGGATTGCCGGTGCAGATCTGCAAAGAGCGTCCAAGTACACTGTTTGGCTGTCGTGCCCTGAATCTGGTTAAAGTACAACGTTTCATCGCCTATCCAGTGCATTTCATCAAATATCAGGTAGTAATCGCATTTTTCCAAATCTGCGTGGCATATACAAACAAACATTGCATAATACTAGTAGCAAAAGGTCTGCAGCCATTGGCACCTAATGCCATCAATGACACATCCGTCTTGGATTGATCGGGAGGGAGAGGCCCTCCGTCTCTACACGATTCAATTTACTTGAGACTCTATGCTTGCAGTCTTTGGATGTCAGGTCTAAGGAAGCTAACGTTGATAGTCAATTTTTTGAATTGCCTTCATTGTCGAACTTGTTAAGCTTTGGAGGCTTATAAACCAATGCAAATAATGGAAACAAAAAGTTAAGCAAGGAAAAAAAAAAAAACAATGCTTTAATACGATTGCATTTGCGATACATGCCTTGACATTTCAATGGACAGTTTACACATCGTCCCCATTACTTGGCAAATATCATAACATAATAAGTTTATAGTCCCTAGACACTTTTACACCCCTAATATGAAAACTGGGTTGCCAAGCATTTGTCAGGCATAGTTCATATATGATTAGAGACGTTATATTAAATTTCTATTAACAATCAAGTTTCTTCCAACATTTTAGCTATGATTAATTTTGCAATATTAGTCAAAGGCTTGCGGCAGCGCGAGCCACCTGAACGTAGGCTGGTTTTCTGACCTACGCTTCGCTTTGGTGGAAACCAGCCGAAGGATCGACATGCTCATCGTAACGTAAAAAATTCATGGTCCTCCTTACTAGACACGTTTAAAACCTCAAAAAGGAAAGAAATTGACCTGACAAATGCTTGGATAGACTGGTATTATTAAATGTAGAAAGCAAGGAAAATAACATGGCTAACTAGAGTGCTATGCAATTTTGTCATCTATTTTCCGTATGCTTCAAAGCATCTCTTACTGTATTGCCTTCATGATGAAAACGGCATTGAGTTTGCAGGCCAACCCCCCATCAGCCAAAATTAATTCAAACGCAGACTCTTAGTCTGTTCCAGATTGGCCAAATCGTGGTAAATTTCAACTCGTTTGAACTATTTTAATAGATTCGACCAAGTAAAATATCGTAATCGTCGGTTGCTTCTATAAGCTTTCTTGGAATGCTTTTCAAGGCGCATCCAATGGTGCCAAGTAACGTAGATGTTTTGAATAAACTTATTGAGCAATTTATGAAAATATGAAAAGAGGTTTCTGGCCAAAAAGTCAAGATTTTCCATATCAAGGTCCCACAAAGATGATTTCAAGGGCTACGTTAGATTGATAGAAACATTTTGACTCAAGATATACCATAGTAAAAGTCTTCATTATCAAGGTCAAAAACGCGATTGTTTGATTTTTGATGAAAACCATGAGGGGGGTACCTCGTGCTTTTTGGTTGATTTTTGGCTGTGTTTTTTTTTGTCCCCCAAAATGTTGAGCAAAGGTGACAATAAGCAACTGCCAGATGAAAGCAATTGTTTGGAGCTACTCTTACCATCTAGAACGGCCTTGAACGTAAGAAAATGCAGCTCAAAAACGTTCAGATTTTGCTGTATCAGGGACACTAAGGACTAAAAAGGGGAAATACCAGTATGCTGTTTGCCCATATATGAAATAGCTACGTGTATATGGATGTAGAGCATCATATAAGAATCAGAACCACAGATAATATGAAGAGTTCTCATGTGTAAGTAGAGGGTCAACATGAAAGTAGTAGTATTTTGATAAGATACGCAAGGGCAATCGGTAGCGCGAGCTGCCGCTGCGCAGGTTGGTTCTCACCGAGGCGAAGCAAAGGTAGAGAGCCATCCAAAGCATAAAACCCCGTATAAACATAATATTTGTTATTATTCAATTAATCAATTCAAGTATAAAAATAGTTTTACAACTGGTATTTCTTTCTATTGCTACGTGAAAAACGTGGACGTTTGGTGTTTTTCATGTTCAAGGTTGGCCTTTTCAGCAATCTTTTTCGCTTGACAAGCTTATATGAATCAGTCTCGTTGATAGCCAGTTTATCTTTTGTGGTGTCTAGGGTATCTCCCTCTTTCTCAAAATTATTCTCAACGCTTATGCTTTCTGTTTGTATTCTGGTCGAAGTAGATGTCCTATTACTTCGCGCAACAATGACGAACTCTTCTACCGTTGTCGTCTCAGATTTGCTTGTGGTTGAGGAGCGAACGCCAGATTTGTCTTTTGATGTACTGGATGTCGAGCTGGATGATGTGCTAGAATGGCGAGATTTGCTGGAACGACGAGCATTCTTGTTGGTGAATGTTGGTGATTCTTTAGTAGACAAAGCATCACCACAGTCATTGGGGTTTGCACATTCAGCTAGAAAGCTTCTACCGAACGATGACGATGAACTAGAGGATGATCCACCACCAGAAGATGATGAAGAGGAATTTCCACCTTGTCCTCCAGAGGATGGCGATGACGATGACGAACTCCCACCACTCGAGGACGATGATGAGCTGCCACCGCCACTCGAGGACGAGGAAGACGACGAAGAGCCTCCACCACTACTTGAAGATGAAGAAGACGAGGAACCACCGCTACCACCAGATGAGGATGAGGATGAGGATGAAGACCCGTTATTACCACCACTGCTACTGCTTGATGACGAAGAAGAAGCCCCACCAGAACCATTGGAGCTACTGGAAGACGATGGTGACCCTGAAATAGCTCCGCAAGCGCCTTCATTTGAAGTGGAACTAGAGCTGCCAGTGCTAGAGATTCCTGGAGCATTTCCGTTATCGCACACTGCTTTTTCCTTTGGCATGTCGGTATTAGACATTGGTTTGGCATCGGATGAGTTATCGACACACTGTAGATTATCATCAGCTGAAGCAGGCTGTTGCACATCACAAACGACAGAGGGACTTGCTTGGCTAACTTGGGGACTTGTGGAAGAGGGTATTGAGCTAGCCGAATCACTAGATGTTGTGGCTGTTGTCAAAGGAGGACAAGCTGAGAGTGCGGTACCGCTAGCATCAGAGTTTGTTGGAACGCTTTCGACAGCAGGTAATTCTGAGTTGATTGACGCCGGTCCACTGATCGCAAGAGGTGCACAGACTAATTCAGATGTACTTGGCAGTGCTTGATCACTGGAGGTAGTGGTATCCAAGCTTCTGATTTTTTGAATAGGCAGACTCGAGGATTCGATTGATGAAGTGGCGGCAGTGTGGTCCATTGTGTTGACTGTATTGCAGATTTCAAGAGAATCGTCGCTTGCAAAAGAAGCTGTGGGTGTATCATCACCAGATCCCATAGAAACACTAACAGTGGGCAGCGGTCCTGTAGCACACATGCCCTCTGATGATCCAGTGGCTATAGTGCTGTATATGGAGGTGGTAGGAGATCCGGATCCAGATGAGACTATTGAGTGAGATGCGCCTGATGATGAAGATTCTGACGTGGGTGTAGTTTCCCAAAGTGTACTGACTCGTCCTGATATAAAGTTAAAACCGCTAGATGTCTTTGAGTCACTTGAGCTGCTTGAGATTGTTGAATCTAATCTAGAGCTTATCGAGTCAGGCGGGAGAGTTGATGCGGATTGCGATGTATCCATCGTGCTAGTAGCAGTATCACTGATCAGTGAAGTAGATACTGACCCACTGAATTCTGCGCAAACCACTAGAGACGTCATGGAGCCCAATGTGTTTGTGGCTACACAATGGTAGAATAACGATCGCATATAGATGAACTAGATATTGCTGATGAAATACTGGTACTCAACATGAAATCAGAATCACTACTGGGCGATACAAGGAAGATTTCAGATACATTATCGTATTCAATGCATCTTGTTTGAGATGTTAATTCACCATTGGCATTAGTATCCGTAACTGTCGTATAGTGATCACACGCAGAAGAGGCCTCTACAATGCTTGAAGCAGAGGAATCAACATAGGAAGGTACCAAGGCAGAGCTTGGTTTTGTGGCCCTTAATTCATCGCAGGTGGTTTGTGGTACGAGCGACCCAACAGTGTTCTTGACCAATGTTGTACTGAAGTGATCACAGTCAGTGACTGATGTTGTCAAAGGTAAGTGCATTGATTCAAATGCTGCTATGGTGGAGGTGAATGAATTCTCATTCAGAGAGGAGAGAGTAGGTGTGGCTCCCATGTTTGTGCTTAACTCAGCGCAGATAATGATACCAGTCTCTGTATGGCTTTGCACAGTGGAGCTTCCTATGAGGGCCAGGTAGATCAATGTGAATACAATATGAAATAGCATGACACTGAATGATTAAATTAGATAAAGAAGCAAGTAGATGAAAGATCAAAGAAAATGATCAACTGGCAATTGAGCTTCTTATTATTGCGTCGCATCTCAGCATTAATTGTCATATTAAATGTCTTGCATATATGCGCTTTTAACTTTTTTGTTGGTGTATAGACGACACTTAATTCGAAACAGGATCAGTCCTATTAAAAATCTGAAAACAAAGATAACAGTAAGCCTACCATAATCGTCAACTAGAAACACACATACATGCATACACACACACACACACACACACACACACACACACACACACACACACACACACACACACACACACACACACACACACACACACACACACACACACACACACACACACACACACACACGCACACGCACACGCACACGCACACGGGCTCACAGATAAATATGTGCATCCAAATTTAATGCTTTTACTGACGGTCCTGTTGTCAACGAAATTTTACTATTACCAGATCTTCGGGAATATTGTTCTGACAATATACATGATTGAGAAGAAAGTGAACAAACTTCTTCTTAAAGCTATCTATAGGTTAGCAAAATCCATAGGTTATAGACATGTGCTATATTTTGGGTAGAGGTAGGTATAGCAAAGACTACAAGTTGGAGCCTCTGAAGATATTCAAAAACTATTGTCTCCTTTTATCACCATAGTAACACAGAGACATGCTCAATACACCACTACTCGGCTAGGAAAGAACTTGCGTCCAGTTTATGGGGATGCTTCAAATTAGCATCTGATTCAACCATTGTTACTGACAAACATGGGTATTCGCAGATTCTCTAATTCCGAAATCATGATCGAAAAGTGCTCTGTTTGTCGATCAATTAATAATTGCGCATATTTACTTATAGTTAAAACCTAAACAATAGCCATATTCTGTAGTATAAGCGAGCTTTATCGTCATCAACAATACTAATATTCCATATTCTGTGTCCATGCTTGCTGAGATGGCTGATATCGAGGCGCAGGACGAAGATAAGGTGCAGGGTATTGAGAATCATCGTAGAGTGGCAGTACAACACCCAATTCCCAATTGCTAATGTTCATTTTGGGCCTCTTTGTATCGCGAGCTACGGTGAACTTTCCCCAAGCAGAGACAGTGGCGTTATGGCTCCTATTTTGAGTGTTTATAAAGACTGATACATGACCCCTTTTGCAATTCTGCATATTTACCCGCAATACATCCATCCCTTTAATTTGCCAGCTGCTGTCTGTGCTGATGTTGCTGTATTTGTTGGAAGGGTGGCAATTATATACTAAACCAAGACTATTCTCAATACATGGCATAATCCATTCATCCAGAAAATAGATACCTTGGAATGCATCAGCGTGCCTGGACGTTGGCTGATTGCATCACACATCACTTGCTTTGGAAACGTATCTTTTCTCCATGTACTTGTGCTCAAGCAAATAGTGCCTGCACCCTGTAATAAATAAGACTTGAAATTAACATTCCTCCAACAGTGTCAACAAAATAACGAACTTACAGGCGGGCCCAATTGACTTGATTCCACGGTATCCAACGATGGGTATATGATACTAATAGGTGGTAATTGGTTCTTTTGAGTCACTATAGGTGTTGCCTTGCCATCTTTGTATGCTGGAATGCCACAGAAGGATCTATACAGCTCATTCAAATACAATAGCGATAAGGATCCCAACGATGATGTCTAATTTGGGAAATTTTGCTCAGCAAATATTGCACCATTCGAAACCATTGAATCACCAATACCTGCATTTCAACTTTTGGCATGTTGTCTTTAGTATTGCATGTTGAACCAACGATACCCTGCACAATATCAGCCAATCGAGTATGTCCGTATTTTCTGTACTCTATATCTCCTTCAAAAACACCAGATACGGATGCAATGATGTGAGCCTGGCGAGAAATAAAATACCGTTAAATTATGCTGCAGTATCAGTGAAGCAACATTGGGCCAAGTACCTTGGCATTGTCAAAGTTGAAATTCAAAAGTTCGTCTTTGACCGAAGCAGGAACTTGCATATGATCAAGCAGATCACAAATGTCCCTTGCAAAACGTGGCAGTGCACTGATAGATGTGTACGGCTGGTCCACCTTGGGAAAATCTTGAATAAAAACCACGTTTTCCAACTCTTCGTAGTCGTATCTTTCCTATCCGCAACTGTAAATGTCTATCTATCCGACTCATGTGTGCAGTTGCCCTTACTAAATTTGCTGATCCAATGACGACTCGAACGGATGTATCATGAAACAGCAGCATCAATTTGGGATGGAATACGCCGAATTTGCTGTCTTTTAGAGGTGGTTGTATGATGATTCTATGCGAGTGCACTTGCTTCCTCATCGCCTGTCCATGCAAGAAATAAGATGTGTCAATCACTGAGCTGGCAACAAGCCGCTATGAGTACTTTACAGGTCTACCATGTGTAACTATGCAAACGTTGACGTCCAAAGGAAAGTGGTCATTGATAAAATCCATACTACACACAAATGCTGTAATGAGGGCTTTCTTTAAACTGTTCTATATAGCCTATCAATGTGCAGCTCTAACACCAATACCACGCCGGCTTACTGACCTTCTGAACAATATCCTCAAATCGAATATAATCGGGTCCAACAAATCCTTTCACATACGTAAGTTTGACTATGCCGTTCCAAAAGCGCGTTTCAGAGTTATCGAAGCGTTTGACAATTCTATGCACTGGATATGAACTGCTTGTTTCTTCTTCTCTAGGTCTTTTGTTGTTGCTGTTAGAAACGGGCAGAGAGGCATCCGCCAACAACATGTCTCTTGCTGTAAGTTGGTCAACCGTCTTTCCCAAAGATGCTGCAATCGCTGCTTTCATGTCGTTTTGCTCCTGTTGCTCTTGATCAAAACGTGCTTCTAATCCTTCAAGTGATAATGCCATGGCCTTAGCTATCTGTTGTCTTTCTTCATCGTCGCTCATCATGCACTGGTTTGTATCTTGAAAATAAATATATAGGGAAAGAGTTTTCATTTTCATGTTTTAAACTCTGGAACTAAACTTTTCACAATTGGTTCCCAGTTGCTTGGTAGTCTAAAGGACGAGTGTGTACATCCCTATATATTAGCATCAGTTTTTAGTCCATGTATACCTCGCATTGCACATAGAAGATAGCAATCGTTGATTATATGTCAGGGACTCTGCGCTTATTCCACTCTTTTCCTGTTGGTGATGATTACAGATGGTTTTGTAGATTTCATATTAGAATTCCACTCTTACTGTTACATTGAAGCCCTTTAAACTGTGGCACTAACTTTTCCACATTGTTCCTCTTCTGTATCAATGGGAACAATGCCTTCAAGGGCAGGCAACACACTAGCGTTGCCTCTTGCTACTCAAAATTATGCAAAAAATAGCGACATTTGGGTGCATTTCAGCCGCGATTTCTTGCGATTGAAGTCGTTTCAGGCAACCAGAGTAGCACCAAACGGTTTCTTTCATCTAACAGCTGTTTCCTGGCACCTTTACTCAAATTTTTTTGGGGTCCAAAAAACATGACCAAAAACCAGGAGAGGTACCTCATAGAAATTATCGAGAATCAAACGCTCGCGTTTTTGACCTCAAAAATGAAGACTTTTTCTATGGCGTATATTAATTCAAAACGTTGCCCTCGATCCAAAGCAAACCCTGAATCCACTTTTGTACGACTTTGATATACAAAATCTCGACATTTTCGCAGAAAACGTTATTTCATATCTTTCAGTTTTGTTTTATAAGCTTATTCAAAACATCTATCGTTATTTGTACCATTAGATGCGCCTTAAAAAGTACTCTAAAGAAGCTTAAGGAAGATATAGGTTAATCATCGCGGTTTATATAGTCGATTCTGGAAAAACAGATAGATCAAGTCGAATTTGAACAAAATCTGTCCAATCTGAACGAAAAAAAAAGCGGAGATGCAATCAGATTTTGGTAGCTGCTCGAAGCTTTTCCAAATCTTGAACACAGTCGATGTTACTAAAATGAACAAGAAGATTAGGAATCAAAACGTGCTATAACTTAGTCTGTATATCTTGCCTTGTTTTTTCCCCCTCTCTCTGAATGAACCTGTATAGGTATTGGAGCTGAAGTTTTATCTGACAATGTCGTTACTCGCTAGTGTGTTGCTAGTCTTCTTCTTCATTAGCTAATCATACATATGAGTCGCTATCTTTCCTTTTACACATACTTTACTCATAGTTTACCAGGATCATGTTGAGAAAGAGAGAGAGAGAGAAAGAACAATCGATTAATCGAATAAGCACTTATACAGGTTTACGATTGTAAAGTCCAATAAATCAGCATGATAAAATGATCGAGGCAGAGTTTTCTTTGAAAAAATAGAGTTGAAGTTATCTGGCTACACAATATATAAAATATATATAGTACATCCTGATGAAATGCATGCTTGATACACAGATGCGATTGTACAGCATCCAAGTCTATATACATGAACGCAATGGCAAACTCACATGAGCAATGATTGGGTAAAAAAAAAATGCAGTGTTTCTGATTCATTTAATGACAAAAAAACAAGGTACGGTTTTTCCCGGCCCCTTTTATTTTATTTCATATCTTGCTATTCAATGATACACTTATTGAGCAGAAGCCAGTTTGGGAGCATGAGCCAAACCGAGGTATTCCAAGGGAGCCTTCAAATCAGTAGAGGCCTTTTGACGAGCGATTTCAGAATAGTAGTTCAATTGAGCTTGGACATTTTGCAAGATGGGTAAGACTTGATTTTGGAGAGCTTGAGCAACATTCTTGGCCTTATCTAAAGAAGAAATATCGCTACGGCTGAATTGAGTGCGAACCAAATCAATCTGCTTGTTGGCAATCTCGACAAGAGAAGCAACACGGTTTTTGAGCCATTCAGGGGTTTCATTGGATTGCACCTTGACAAAGACAACTAATTGAGAGAGTTGGGTGGATACCTGTTGAGTCAAATTGGCAAGCTTCTCGTTGGTGCTAGCATGCAGAACTGAAAGACGTTCAGTGACAGCAGGAGGGAGACGTTTTTGAGTAGCTTGAGCATAAACAGAAACGGATTGAACAATCGTTTCTTGTAAGACTTGAATGTTGGCAGTGGTCTTTTGGACAAGGGCCGAGGTCTCGGTGATACGAGCAAAGTCATCACGCGAACGAGGGATTTGTGAGGCAGAGGTCTTGACTTGTTCAGTGACTCTGTGGCTCAAACGAGCGGTAGCATCATTCAACAAGTAGTAAGCACGGACAGCTTGATTGATCTCTTGAGCTTCATTGGACTCCTTCTTTTCATCAGCAGAAACTTCGCGAGCATTGGCAGCAGCAGGAAGATAACGGTCAAGCACAGCTTCAACATTATCAACAACAGAGCCGATACGCTTGTTGGCTTCCTTGGCAACTTGATTGGCAGGCTGCTTGATGGAAGCATCGATTCTGACCTTGACACCATCCACGATTTGATAAGAGGGAGCAGTAACAGCTCTGACAATCTCCGCGGTGGGTTGATTTACCACAGGAAATTTGGTTTGGATCAAGTCTAATGATCGACAACCAAGAGCATCGGCTTTCTCGACATGAGGTTGAATGTAACTCTCGTAGTAAGATTGGACATAAGTAGGCTGCTTGTTGGTATATTTGCTGACTGTTGATAAGGTGGAATTAGCAGTGAGAAGAGCAAATCGTCCAAGGCTGGTTTTGTTGGCAATGGCATGTACCGTTGAAACACTTTCTTGAACGATTGGGAAGGAGGTAACACGTGAAACGAACTTTCCTGTTTTTTCCTCTTCTTCACGGGCTGTGGTAGTGGTTGTACTGTCTGACGAAGAAGACGACACTGATGATGTATCAGATAAGACTTCCTCTTCAACTACAATATGTGATATGTTTTGTTGATCCATTTTTCTTGATAAAAACTGGATTTAATCAGTTGATAGGGTATAAGGGAAAAAAGAAAGAGAGAAAAAGAAGAGAAAAACTGAAGGCGAGTGAGGGTTTTTATACTTGAGAGAGCCCAGTTTAACCGAAATTGAGCTTGTAAACGTGGGCTGCTTGTTTTCACCCCAAACTACACATATCATGCCTTATCAGTACACACTGCATTGATTTACAGTCCGTTATTTTGCATCATTTATCATATGAAATGCACCTTTTTGTCTCTTGATAATCAAACTAAACCTCTTTCTTGCTGCAACATGAGAGTGCCCTTGAATTCATTATTATATTTGCTATAGTGAAAATCACTCTCATAGTCGTGAATCTGATCCAAATCGGGTTGATTAAAACGAGAAGTCAATCTTAACCTACTTTGATCATTTTCACATGTGAAAATTGTAGGGCCAAGCACAGACGCTCTGTTTATGATATGTACTGCATAGGTTATACAAAGAGAAGGCATAACACACTATCGATCCATGATTGCACTTCTATTAAAAGAATATGATAATAAGCATGTTATCTATCGTTGATAACGAAACCAAAAAGCCTTTAGGGCGAATGACGGATCAAATTATGAGTGATTCTTTTTCGTTGTAATTGCTCCATGCTATTCGTCTTGCCTGAAACAGAGATTCATGTCACAGCGCCCTGTCAAGTGTACACAAACGGTGAATTCAGGATCATACTGACTCTGTAAAATGGTGTTCGTGTTACGATGCTCGTATGGCTGTCGATAATAGAAAAAATGGAAGCTAGAGAAGAGTAATCTTAAAATTAGGAAAAACATGTCAACCGAATACTTCAAATTTCATCGAAAGAGAGTACAACATGTATGATCTATAAAGCTTTGTTTTTTTTTTTTTTTTTGGAAAGCACATCTAGCCTGGAAGGTGCTCTATTGAAATGAAATTTTCCTGCTGTGCCTTTTAGGGATGGATCAAACTGAAAGACGTTAGCATTGGGTCCGTTTAACATGGTATATAGATCACAAATCAGTCTATTCTATAACCTTTGACTTTAAATACCGGTACTAATAACTGGTAATAGTAAAATCTATTATAGAGATAGCATGTGGTATTCATATTGGTCACTACTTGCGAAATAAGGCTCGATCTAAATGTAGTATGTTAGACTTCTTTCATCCAACATTGCCATATTTATAACATTTCAAATAAGCTTTTTTTCGCACAAGCTTTTAGACAGCTTTCAAGTATCTTTGTTCCTTGGAGATGCTGATGATACGGTGCCCGCGGACCATATTTTGATTTGTAAAAGATCATGGGTTGGGGATGTTCAGTTGGAATGCCATCACGAGCAGATCGGTATGTCTCATATTTTCATGTGTCGGCGCATCTGACAGATATTTTTGACTTGTGAAAGAGAAGCAAGTTTTCATATGTTTGATTTAACAAATAAGCAGCTTGAAAACATCGAAACTTTTGTAGAGTTTCGACACTGCCATACCATCTTCATTTCGACCTTGATCTACTTCTTCATTTATATGCAACAAACTCAGTGGTTTTATATTATCTAATTGCCATCTTTTACAAATCCAATGGTGGGCGTTTACAGGTTATCTAAATATAAACGGTTTGCAGTTGAAAATCCTGATCTGCACCAAAATGATTAGCTCATTTTTTCAGGTACCATATTTGCTGGGCTTAAAATGTAACATCAGATCAGAGGCAATGAGCAAAATTGCTCTGATTTCAGCTTGATTCCTGAAATCGACAAAAGCACGAAATTTTTTGCCGATAGACTATAATTCAAAAGGAGGATTTCAGCTGTTGAACTTCTATCAGATTCTATCATCTCTGTAATTTGAGAGGAGATTTGAACCTAAATGAGTAAGAAAAGCAATGTGTAACAAGATATTGGTCAATGCATTTTTGACATGTGAAATCGATAACATTGGCAAACCGCTGCTTTTGCATGTGAGAAATGGAGAGCAAGAGTCATACAAACCTAGCATAGTGCAGCTACCCTTTATTTGTCGTACTAATGCCAGGATGCATAAATTCAAGCATGGCATGCTATTCCCTTTGTTTACCTTTTACATGTCCATGTGCAGCATTTTAAAAAGCAATTAAAGCAGTTTAGCAAGATAATAAATGACATTACAGATCAAAATGATTTGTTTTTATTGGATATTATATAGCGACAGAATTTCAAGTGAGAAAAACCAAAAAAAAGTAATAATAATATGAAAGAATAAATATATATGAAAAATACTATGATATTAAATGGAACCTGATTCCAATGGTGTATTGAAAAGAGAGAGAAATGTAAGGGGTAGAGAACGACAGAACAATAGACTTTTTATGGGTTTAATTAGCTTTTTGAGCGTAATTTTGGAATGCAACAGCAATGGCACTAGCTTCGACAGGGCTACAATCAAGGAGAGAAATGTATGTTAGTCATTGTATGACATATTCACCTCCAATACAACTTACTTTTGGATTTTTTTCCATGCTGCTTCGACTTCCAAGCCCTTGGCTTTGGTCTCCTTGCGATGAGCCAACTTGGCCTTACGACCTTTAGTGGGAACCACCTTTGCAGTCATCTCGAAGCTCCAAGAACGGAAGATTTGCACCTTGACAGCATCAAGGAGCATGAAGTATACAAGGGAAACGCCAAGCACAGATAGACCCCAAGGGTAACCACAAGGGGCCACACCTTCGTGCTCACCAAAAATACCGTACACAGAGAAGAATAGTGCAATGATCTGTGTACCGATAATGCAAACTGTGAATAACCAATTGGGAATGTTTCTCCACCAATAACCAGGCACACGAGTTGAGAAGATCACGAAATGAGGAGCTATAAGGATCAAAAGTTTAGCATTCAGAACACACACACACACCCACATCAGAGCAGAAGTTACCTGAGGAGATATGCAAGTACATGATCGAATGAAGCTCATTATCAGTAACATGGAACACGTCTCGGGCGACATAGAAATGGGCAAACGATAAAGCTGCCAGTAGAGAGGCGAGAACAAACGACAAGGTGAGTAACTGGCCAATACGCCATTTATCAGGTTTCTCGGAAATTTCAGTGTTGTCGATGGAAATAACCAATGTAGCAGCATCGTTCTAAAAGCAACCGGGATGTTAGATTGAGATCTATCAATACAATATATCAATTTACCAGCACACAGATCATGATCAAGAGCACAGCAGGCATGGTCCAGTCCTCAACAAGCGTGATAATAAACATGAACAGCAAAAAGTGGATAGTAGAAGTGATACGGTACAGGGCGTAGGAGCGAAGACGCTGAAAGATAGCACGCGATGTAATTACACCGTCAGTGATAGTGGACAAACCAGGAGCAAGCAACACGATATCAGCAGCAGAACGGGCAGCATCAGTACAGCCTTCGACAGCAATACCCACATCAGCCTTCTTGAGAGCAGGAGCATCATTCACACCATCACCTGTCATACCGACCAAGAGACCCTTGTTCTGAAGCAATTCAACTACACGGTACTTGTGTTCAGGGATCACTTGAGCAAAACCATCAGCACGGACACAGTGTTCAGTAACTTCTTCTTCAGACTTGTTGGGGTCCACCAAGTGATTCGCATCCAAAATAACACGACCCATGCCGAGACGAGCAGCGACTTCCTTGGCAATAATCATTTGGTCACCAGTGATCATCTTGACGTCCACACCGAGGGCATTGCATTCGGCAATAGTAGACAAGGAATCAGGACGAGGAGGATCCAATAGAGAGATCATGCCAACCAGTTCAAACTTATCATCCGTGCCAGGCAGTGTCTTTGCAACGCCAAGCGCACGCAGGCCACGACGGGCAAGCGAATTAACAGCGTGGACAGCTCCATCATCACCACCGACCAGCTTTGTAATGACTTGAGGAGCACCTTTAGCAACACTGAAGCTTTGGTTGGTAGCGAGATCCAGGATAGTAGCTTGAGTCATCTTGGTGGTAGGGTTGAATGGAGAGAACTTGGTCACCTTGTAGCCAGGAATTTCACGCGCATTTTGACGAGTTTTGAGGATATCAAGTTGACCTTCGGCAGCACGACGTACAGCAGACTCAATGGGATCATTGGCTCCTGGTTCAGCAGCCAAGTAAGAGTAGAGCAAGATGTCGTCCTCAGTGTAGTTATTGGTGAGCCATGGTTTGTCAAAGGTCAATTCGTTCAAGGTCAATGTACCAGTCTTGTCGGAACACAGGACAGAGACAGAGGCCAGTTCTTCAACAGCGGTCAATCGCTTGACGATGACCTGCTTTGCAGCCAATTGCTTTGCGCCGACAGCCATTGTAACCGACATGACAGTAGGGAGACCCACGGGAATAGCAGCGACAGTTAGCACCAAACAGTTTTCCAATACAATCTTCCAGTTACCCTTGGGCGTATTACGGAAATGGACCATTTGGTAGATAAACACAATGAGCACCAGGACAACAGTGGACCAGATCAGGACATTGCCGATTTTGCCGATAATTTTCTGGAAATGACCTTCTTCAGCAGTAATAGCAATCAAGTTGGCAGCACGACCAATGAATGTGTCTGTACCCGTCTTTGTGACAATAGCCAACTGCTGACCTTGTTTGATGATACTGGAAGAATACACGGTGCTGCCCTTCTTCTTGGCGACCAAAAGCGATTCACCCGTCAGGCCAGATTGATCAATCATGAGTTCCGAGTCATTCTCCTCGCCATTGACGCCAAGACCCAAAAGACGAGCATCGGCGGGCACGATATCACCAATACGAAGCACAATGATATCACCAGGCACCAGTTCCTTGACATCTACTTCAGTCAATTCATTGTCACGGTAACTTCTCGTTTTGAGAGCCAATGTCTGTCGCAATGCGTCCAAGGCGGATTCAGCCTTAGCTTCTTCAATGTAGCCAATGACAGCGTTGATGATGAGCAAAGCCAAAATGATACCAAAATCGATCCAGTCGCCTACTACAGCAGCAATGATACAAGAGATTTCAATTAAATAGGAAATAGGGCCCGTAAAGTAACTAAAGAACTTTAAAAAGGGATTCGTCTTCTTCTCTGGCAGTTCATTCATGCCAAATTTAGCCTGTCGTTCCTCTACATCAGCGCTGGTTAAGCCATGGCCAGGGTCTGTATGCAAGAGCAGTTCTAACTCTGGTGAGATTTCATCTTCATGTTCCACGTGTTGATGCTCCTCAAACTCTACTGCGTCCTTCTTTTCGTCCATGTTGTTATGTGGTGTAGGGTCACTGTGAGGTGACTCTGGGGTGGCTGTAGTCATTTAATGTAGTGTACAAACAGAAAAAAAGGTATATATTTTTACAGAGAAAGAGTAAACAAAAGAAGAGAGAGAAAGAGAGAAAAAGAAACAGGAAGAGCAGAAATAATCAGTTAAATACAGAGAAAGAGCGATTTCGGTTGATTTATTATTTTACGCAGAGCAAATGTAAATATAAGGGAAGATCCTCAGTGTTAGGGGATTATTTATTTATTATGACAGATGCTATGTTATCCTCCTAATGTGTTTATATGTATATATATATATATACCCAATGTACAAGTGTCTTGCATGGTACTATTATACTGCAATGCACAAAGACTACATGTACAAACGACGTAGGCCCTATAGTGAGGTTAGGATGGTACTTGTTATGTATATCAGCAACCTTGAAAATCATTCAATGTGTGATATAGCAGTAGAAATTTTAATGATTTTATTATTGCTGTTGTTTGCAACAGTTTATACTCAAATATTTCAAATATAGCAAACAGAAAAAAGGAGCCCCCACTTGTCGTCTGATGTCTTGAGTGATGATGATATTGATGTGGGTATAAAATAGCACATCTAATTCCCAACATACATTCAAGGGAGAGAAAGCGAAAGAGAGAAAGAGAGAGAGAGAGAGAGAGAGAGAGCTGCTGCCAGGAGAGACACAGCATCAAGACAGAAAGAAGGGACGTATATGAAGGGGGAGAGGAAAACAGAGGCGCCATTGTTTTTTTTTTGGCCCTTGCATTTATTATGCAAATTATAAAGAATATTGTATATAAATATATTCTGATTTGTTTCTTTTAAGTGCGTGTGTATATACATGGCGTAAAAGATAGGATCCAAAGAGTATACATAGGATGCCGGTGATATAGTCGCGTGTGTGTGTGTGTGTGTGATTGAATCATATACACATGGTGGTGGTGTTTCTGATGAAAATATACAATATGCTGCTAATGCTGCTGTTCATGCTGCTGATGTCCAGACACTGTGGAAGATTCCTTGCATTTCTCAATCTCCACATCAATGACAAACTCCCATAATTCGTTGATGAGATCAGGACAAGCCGTGCTGAAATCAATGAGATAGTATCCGTCTACAGATAGAACACACGGGTTACTATATCACTGCAAACTCATTCAAACACTTGCTACATTACCATCTGATGTTTTGATATCCATTGTACTAGTATCATACTTTTTCATGATACGAAAGACTTGACGTAGATGCATATCATCCAATGCTTCCAACAATACCTTGAACTCTGCCAAATCAATTGTCTATACACAACACGGCAGTTAATATCCTAGCTAGTTTTATCAAAAGGCACAATTTTACCTCGGTGTCTAGTACAAGACTCAAATCATTCGCTGGATCCAGTATGTAGTGAGGTGGTATACCAACAGATTTTTGTTTGTTTTGACTTGGATCTTGCTGTACGACTACATCTGGATGCTGTGGCTCTTGTTGTTGTTGCTGTTGCAGATCTTTGTTATTACTATCGGCAGGTGGTGTGATTAAAGAAGTAACTGAGGAGGCAGAGGGCGAGGAGGTAGGTGAAAAGGAAGAGGTTGAACTAATGGTTCTCTGTCGTTTGAACACATGTTTGGTCTTTTTACCGCTGGATTCCTCCTGTTGCTGTTGATGTTTGGGTGTAGGACGACGACGAGGACTGGCACGAGCACGGGCTTGCCGATCTTGCTCCAATACAAGGTCGATCATAAAGTCCTCTTGCTTGTATTCAGCGTCAGATCCAAGAATCTAAAATAGTGCATCAGAATACTCTAACCCGCACATGGGTGTACATGTCTATACATACTATCTTTCGCCAACTGGCATATTTCGATCTCTTGAAGTTTAAATCAAATACATACCGCTGCGGTGATGGTACTTGTGGATCCTTGAAGAATATATGTATCAGCAGATCAAATTCGCCCCATCCTTCTCTTTGCAACTGATAGGGTGGCTCTGTACAGACTGTAGAGAATGATGATTATGTAAGTGGGATGCTTTTGATCCATCGCGTTCATGCTGCAGACATGTTTTTACCTGTTGGCGGTGATCCAAATGATGCGTGAAGCACATATTCCACATGGTCAATATGCTCACTCAAGTCCACTTTTGGCACTTCCAAGGTCACTGTCCATGCTCTCCATTGATCTCCATTATTAGTAAATTTGCCTTTGATAATGTTTGAGCTGCAATTAATCTTGATACGTTTTTCCATCATGCGCGTGTGTATAGTGTTTACGGCAACCAATGTATAGAAGCTAAAATTCAAGGGGTCAGTTTGTTTTGCTTGTGTGTTTTGCATGAATGAGAACCTTTATACTTACAAACGGATACCTTTTTAATTGGCTTAATTGACAAATAGGAGTGTGTGAATGTGATGAAACCAAACGATGCTAAAACTGGTTGGCAATATAGATAGTAAAAAGAGAGAGAGAGAGAGAGAGAGAGAGAGAAAAAAAACGATGAAAGGAACGAGGAAAAAATTGCTATTGAAATCAATCGTCTCTTGATATATTTTATTCAACAGACAATCAATCAATGACAATAAGTCGGCTACACGTGATTCTTGTGATGGTTGCTGTCATATCATCAGTGTGGCTTCATTCAACAAATTCATGTATTACATCCATAACAAAATGTAGTGTTCCTGATTTGACATTCACATTAATTAATTATGTATGTAACTTGGATGGGTAATCCATAGAGAGCGATGTGCTTGTTATAATGAGAATTCTGTAGTATGACACAATGACATTTGTTCTATTATTCGTTGGGTAGTATCACAATCGCTCCCTGGTACATCAGTGCGAATTGTTGCTCATCGTCTTGGAGAGAATGTATTGTGCACTCAACTCGATTTATTCAAGCAGATCAAGCCAGAAGGGCAATCAAAATCCCTGGATTTCAGGCACAGCCTTAACATTCAATTTTAATAAATCATCCCCAAATTGCGTTACTAAATAATACTATGAAAGATCTATTTGCTGCGTCAATGCTGTTTCCTGTAATAATCAAGCTTAAACCTGCTGGCAATGCCTCTATAGAAGATAACGTGGTGAAATGGGTCAAAAAAAATCTTCTCAACTGGGTTTGATTTGCCACAGCTACCATTGCAAATTTCAGGGACGTCCATGATGCGTCGAAAGGGCCTGAAACTGACTTGTCTCAGGGCCAGGATCTAATGCTTTCTAATCCATGCATGTTTAATGCTAATTACAGATGTGTTTTTTTTTATTAGTGTTACTATACATGTATTGATTAAATGAATGACTTATATTCTAGCTGCTCTTGATATGCGATGAGGAGGAAGGTGCTTCATCGTCTGTAGTGGCAACATCCACTACAACATCATCAGCAAAATGAGCATGGCTGTGATGCGGCGCCGGGTCAGCCCAATTATTGCCTTGGCTACTCTGCTGGATCCAGCCCAATTCATGGTTTTCCATGGGTTCTTCACTCGACTGTTCCCTTGTCGTGTTGGCAGCAGGTTGCATGATTTCATTGATATCGTAATTTGCAGGTGTTGCTGTCGAATCAGAGAGTTGAACTCGTGCGGGTATGATACCAAGTGGAGTAGCAGACGCGTCTCCAGCTCCAACTCCTCCTCCAGAGTGACGGTAACGTATGCCATGTTCCATTTGCTGTGTCAATGGGACAGCAGCACTGCCGCTCGATTGATCGCTGTATCTTCTGTTCTGCACATCATAGAGTTCGTTCTCCCTGAACACGTCGACGCTCATGTGGCGTTCAGCAAATCGAGGCACGGGCAAGTTGTTTTCTTGAGCCAGCTTTGTACGACGATCCATTTCATATTCACTCCACTTCTTCATGGTAATGACACTGCTATCAAAGTTACCGCCTTCGCCGCCATGACCCTGATCTTTTTTGACGCCTTCTACCTTACGTGTATCACCCCAAGAGAAATCATCAAAGTGCCAGAAAGCATAAGCAGGAAGAGCGAAATTCCAAATAGGCAGACTGATCAAGTAGATGAGCATCCAACCCACATAGACAATCTTGCGGCTTGTAATGACAATCAGCACAGCAGGAAGACCTAGGATAAGAGCAAGCAATACCAGGGGAACAACAGCTGGGTTACCGAGAATGGCCTCAATCACCAGATACAAAGTGAACGAAATAGCGGCAGGCAGTGTCAACGTACCAACCAGCTCCATAAAGACTACCGCCTGCATAGAGAAGCAAAAAGTACCACAGAGATCATTGACCAGCAACAGTTCAAACAAGTTGTGCACAGTCGAGTTGATCCAACGACGACGCTGAGAGAGCAGCACCTTGAAGGTATCAGGCACCACGGTTTTACAGACAGCTTGAGGAATAAACATCATTTTACGGTTGGGAAAGGTACGCAACATCAGTGTAGTCAAGTAGCGGTCTTCACCCAGCAACAGCAAGTTTTTACGGTGCAGCGTATCCACAATATTCTCGGAATAGTGCTCTACAATATCAGGGTTTGCCAAGATGGGCACCCAATAGCCGTTGGGTCCCTTGGGCGCCTTGATACGATACATACAGAAACAACCCGGCAAACAGGTGACACCGCCAAAGATGGACTCAAAGGCCTTGGACTGGTGATGCGAGATGTAGTATTCAAACACCTGGATCATACTGACCCAACTGTCCTTTTTGTTGGCAATGCGAGTTTCGCCACAGAGACCCGAGATTTCAGGATCTTTGACAGCAGCAGAAATCAGTCTGGACAGAGCGTCAGGATACAGCTTGGTGTCCGCATCCACCATGAGACAAATCTCAAAGTTATCCGCAGGGACACCGGTGACACGCCAAATAGCGTTGAAAAAGTCGTACTCCATCATGGTCATACGCTCATCAAACATGACTTTTTGCAAAAACTGCATCAGCACAATTTGAGAGTCTCGCTTACCACGGTTACCAGGTTTAGGCGCACCTTGTTCCTCTTCCGTACCGCATTTGACAATGGTAATCATGGGGACACGCGATTGTTGATCTGGGGGCACTGTGTCATCGTTAAACTTGTAAAAACCAGCATAGACCTTGGCACAGTTGTTCCGCTTAGCACCATCACCAATTGCCACATAGGGCTGGGGCTTGACCTCGTCTGCAGGGACAACCAGATCGCGCATCATGCCCACACAGACATCGGGAGTGGACCTGGACTCGCCACTGCCCGTAATTAAACCATCACAGATGACCAACAGCATGGTATGGCTCTTGGGGTAATCGCTAACAGCAATGGAATCCAATGTGGTGCGAATGCCTTCTTCGCCTTCCGAGTAACAGGTGACAAGACACATGGTGTAGGCAAGAGGGTAGTTGAATGGCATATAGTCTGGTGGTGGTTGAGGCACACAGTAGGGTGAAAGCGGGAAGGGACATGGAGGTCCGTTTGCATACACACCACCATTGACGCTGGAACGATTCATGCTGGCAGAGTCGCTGCTGCGGCCATCCCACGAGTAGGAGGAGATGGCAGGTGTCATGTAATTGTTGTTGTGGCCATTGTTGTTCATGGTGGAGAACGAAGCATACGATCCACGATGACTGGGCGAGTTGAAGAACGAAGGTGTGGATGCTGAAACGTAAGAATCAGGGCGACTACCGTTGCTATGCACTATCGTGAGTCACCTTACTCCAGAGCAACCATACTCTCTACTTACTTTTTCCAGACTGGCATCGGTGGTTTGTCAAAGTCGAAACGATTCGGACCATGTTGCATGGGTGTAAATCTGGACGAGCGAGGGAAAAGAGATTTACGCTTGGCAGGTTGTGTTGCTTGAGATGGAGGTGGAGGCACATGTGTCACAGGCCCGTTTGTGTTGATGTTGCGTGTCCAGTTTTCAATCTGTTCCTCACGCTCTCTTCGTGCTGCAAATGAGCTTTCTTCTTCAAAGCTGCCCAGTTTCCATGACAGGAACCAACCGAAAATGACGGCCAAGACAAACTTGGCGCCAATGACAGCCAGAATGACCACCAGCGATACGTACAATACGATCTCTGAGAACATACAGCCCACGGACAAGGTGTCAATCTGCCCCACTCGAATCGTCTGTGATAAGCATTCAGCTTCCTCTCCCCACGACACACCAGATCCATGGTGCGACTGGATCACGTAGGTCATATCCTTTCCTCCCCAACTATCGCCATCTTTTAAAATGTGATCCACAAGTCCACCTTGTGCAATTTGGAAATGTGTTGTTGGCAGAGATTGCAATAAAGCCAAATTCAAGACAGCACTAGTAGGTGCAGTGTTAGTTTAAACTACAATACTCCTGGATCGTTTTTCTTTTTACCCGTTGTAGATCATCAGATGGTTGGTCGCATTGACATCCTCATAGTTGTAGTACACTCTAGCAATCTTGTTGTAAGCGCCGTCCTTGTTGGGCACACCTTGAGTCGCAAATGTGTTGAGCAGACTGGTGGCTGCGTCCGATGTGTGGCAATTGGTGCGATTGGTGTAGAGTGAAGCGTCGGGTGGTACGGTGTGGTTGGGGTTGAACAGTTGACAAGGAAAGTAATTTGGCTGTTGACCTTGCAAATCGACAAAGACATTATCACAGGCAGACACACGTGAAGGGAACAAAAACGAAGCGTCCATGCCGCTGCCGTTCATGGGTGGATACAGCACGTTCATGGTCTCATTACCGCCGTTGATGGGAGGATGGCCCTGCCAATCTGACAGACTGTAGGCCCATCCCTTGATGATCAGATACCCCGGCGACACTTCATTACCGTGCACAGCGACAGGTTGTAATGGACATGTTGCTGCTGTGAAACCAAATGTCAGAAAACCAACAAATGCCATGATGACCAAAATGACAGCAACAAGACCAATCTTTTCTCGCCAAGCCGTCTGTGCCTGGCCATATGGAATACCGCAAATCTTGAGCACAAATGGAGGGATCCAAAAGGTCAACACATAGCAATACAGCATCCACGGTCTTGGAAACTTGTCCCAACAGGAGGGCTTTTGCTCTTGCTGCACATAGGCAAAATCATCATCCTCAATGGCCTTTTCCTCACGACCCAATATGCTCTTTCCTCTGCGAATAGCGACTGATTTGGTGGTGCCTTTGCGGCTCAAGGCGCGCTGAGGCAGATTTCCAGTTTTGCTGGCTTGGATGGTATCCTCGGGTGCCTGACCTGCTGCTTGACGGTAGTGATATTGTCTATGATTAGGATCGATTCTCTCTCTTTCAGGTCGCACAAGTGACTTTCCACGCTTGACAGGTTGTGTAATGAATGCTTGAGCATCAGAGGCCATGGGTTGCTGCTGTTGCTGGTCCTCAGGGTCAGAGTTGCTTGTGGCAGAACAAGAAGAGAATTCTCGACTGAGATGTGGATTGTAGGTTTTTATCTTGTCATCGGATGGGCCCATTTCAGTGGAATCTGATGATGGTGTGTGTGTGTGTGTGTTGTCTCAGTTGGAATGATGGATTGTAAAGCAGGGTTAATGTGTGGATATCTTGCTCTGATTTGCGCCTCGTCTCTCCCTTTCTTCAAATCAGCAAAATGGTGTAAAAAGTAAAAAGAAAGAAAAAGAGATGAAAGGGAATCCCGAGAATAGACACAACAAAAAAAAAAAAAAAAAAAAGCTATATATAACAAGCGGCGCAATAAAAACGAGATCAGTTCACCAAGCATCGGTGATTCGAAGTATATTGAAACTTGGCAATGATATCAACTCTTCCTAAAAATAACGCTAATAAATGACCTGGCATTATATCATACATTGTCAATTTACAGCGTGAATACAGAGTGCGCCAAGATATCCATATAGCGTCTAACAATGGCAACTAACGCTGGCCAAATCTACCAACAACAACAAGGCGCTCCCAACAAAAAAAAAAAAAAAAAAAAAAAAAAAAAGGTCAACATCGTCACCTCGGTCCTGTTCATATGTTTCAATGAGCTAATATAGGGCCACTTTGATCTATGCGTAATAGAATATTCATAAAAGAACCACTCTGTTTTTCTCTTCACATTCCTGTCTAAATTTACATTATTTGGCTTCACTATGTTGCATGTTGCTAAAGAACAAGGAATGGCATAGTATATAGTGTGAATGAATGTATGAGAGGCTGCTACCCATCATTTTTGGCGGTTTCATACATTTCGTAGATCAGATTTCTAAAACATGAGCAGCAGCAACATGTAGACTTGATGAACACTGCCATCAAATCTCTGCGAAATGTCTTTATATAAAGGAATTATGGATGCAGCCACGGGTTCTAATATATTTGCAGCCGCTTTCCGTTTGAGATTATTCAGATTATCCGTCTATTGTCATTTGCTCAAAAAAGTAATAATTCAGCACATTGTAGCACAATATATCCTGATGGAAAAACATTGCCGCTGGTCCTCAAAATCGACATTTCCAATACTGTCAACATGACGCTTTTACTGTTATATGTGCTACTAATGGATTATAGAGCAATATGATATGCACTCTACTATCTATCATGCAATGTGCTAGCTCATTTGCATGGATGTGCCTTACTCTTGGATGACTCAACAACTCCCAGAACATGCCAACCAATACAGCAGCACCAGGTCAGTTTGATTTAGTAGTGTGAAACACAGCCAATTTGCCCATTTCTATATTCTACCAGTAACGATAGGTGTAACTTGACAGTGCTATATAGCTGTGCACCTGCTGACCTGAGGGAAGATGAACTCAAAATGTGTCAGTATGGTAGTCCCTTTGGATTGCCGAGCAGCAAGATTCAAAATGTCGTTCTTGTCATGCGATCAAATCATTCATCCAAATCTCGCTTATCAAATTCGGTTCGTACCTGAATGTGGCACGCCTCTTGAGACAGTGATTAAATCCTTGCACGCATACTACCTTTTGTAAAACGAAAAAAAAAAAGTATTCCTGCTACGCGTTGTTGGAATGTGTACGTGTCTGGCATAGGTAACTTTGGGGTTAGAGCCAAATCGCTGTTGTAGAACTGCTTGAATAGGGCCTGTTGCTCTTATTGCGATAGCCAAGCTTCTTTGATTCTGATGAAACGCATTGTATTCGTTAACAAGTCTGATTTACATAACCTAAGCCCCTCGTCATCAGAAGATGCTACAAACGACAGAACGCTCATCATTCGCGGACAGTGGATCAAATCCAGCACCACGTACAAATGCATGACACTATCAAGATTGAAGGTGCAGTAGGTTAACAACTAACCGGTATTTGAAACATAAAAAAAGTAGACAAACAAGTCATATATTTTCAAAATTTTAAAAAATTGTGTGCCGTACAAGGTGAATAAAACCATCGGCAAAGTCGGCAATGGGGAGAGGGTTTGGGAAAAACTTAACGCGTCTAATTCAACACTTGAGAGCATTGATTTATAGGGGGGTTTTTTATCGTAGCGAAGCAAAGATGCAAAAACGTAGTGTTCAAGCAGCAAATTCGGGTTTTCATTTCCATTGTTAATAAGCTTACCAGCAACATAACGCATCAAAATTTGCATGAATCAGCTTTACCAAAACCAATATGTCTTCTATTAGAATTAAAAATTGCTCAAGCTACAGAATTGCTTTTCCAGTAAATGGCAGCTACCAAAGATGTGATTTATGCCGCGTAAATAAACTCTACAAAGCAATACATAGACAAATTTGACAGCTTTCAAGCCTTCATACCTCGACATGCAGACCTTTCTGAGCCACTGGAATAACTCTAAACGATTGTACTCGAGTCGTAGTAACTTTCTGATGTTTTTGCTCAATTTTTTGGGACCAAAAAAAAAACATGGTCAAAAATCGACCAAAAAGCATGAGATATACCTCATATTTTTTTTACGAAAATCAAACGATCGCGTTTTTGTCCTAAAAAAAATGAAGACTTTTACTATGGTATATTTTGAATCAAAATGTTTCTCTTGATCCAAAGCAACCTCTGAAACCACTTTTATGAGGTTTTCATATGCAAAATAAGGCTATTTTCGCTAAAAACCTCATTTCATATTTTATTAAATTGCTCAATAATTTCAGTCAAAACACTTATTACAGTTAGCACCATTGGAAACGCTTCGAAAAGTACTTCAAGAATGTATTAGGAAGCGTAGGGTGATTATTACAGTTTATATAGTCGAACATCACAAAATAGATTAACAAAGTCGAAAAAAGACAATATCTGTCCAATCTTGAACAGAAAAAAATTAGCTGAGTTTGAATCAATTTTGGCGATGGCATTGCTGCTGGCTGACCTAAATGCCTTTCAGTTGATGACAATGATGATTGTGATGCTGATTAAATGGGGATCATGAAATTGAAAGGACAGTTTCTTAGTGCAAATACTTTTTTTTGGGGGGGCTTTGCCTCATAAAGGTGTCTTTTCCAATGACAATATCTCAAAAAAGCCGCTGTAGATCGGATAGAAGTCCTGTATTTACACATGGCCAGCTTTATGTCGCCATCTCAAGAGCAACATCAGCGAATGGATAACTCCCTCTCCTGACTCTGATATAGGCTTTTTTTTAAATGTTAATTGATTGTTTAAAATCTACTTTATGCCAGATTTTTATTATCTCTGATTTGAAATGTCTTGGGCGAGAGCCCACAGGGCAACACCGTCATCAAGCTTAGCGAGATTGATCGGCTAGTTCTGGCTACACGTGTGAAATGAATGCATAGGGTTTATTGGAAACAACTTGAATATTTACATTGATTGGTATATAGGATTAGGTGGATTACGATGAAAATCAAGATGCTGGCTGGTCAACAGTTAATAAATTGGATGTAGATTGCGTACTGAATAAATAAAAAGACGGTGAAAAGAGTGATTTGGATATCTTTTCTTGCACCATGTTCATGGCGGCTGCTAAACCACTGATGATGCTCTTGGCCACGACTAAATCGTGTGCGTTTGATGAATCTTGTCGTGGGATGTGCGTATGCTTTAGTAGATCTAAAACGGATGAGTACCAGCGCCTTGTATATTGTACTCCTTTGAGCAAAAAAAAATTCACCTTTCAGTAATAGCTCGTATCGCGGCACTCTTTGGAAAGGAGCAATCAAGTAATCTGCTAGCCCTAGTCGATTGTTCTCTTTTCTGCAAGTCTTTGATTCGTGGTCAATTTTGATGGCGTATCCAGTATTGCTTGCACGTCGGATGGCCTTCATATGGCCTTGATAATGGATGGCGTATTTCAGAAATACAGCGAAGTCGTCTTCCATGTCCTTGAATATTTGACCGATCGCTGTGCCAGGGCTGCCACCAACGTCATTTGCATAAATTTCTAATTTACCAAGGAGCTTTTCCGACAAAGAAATGAGATCAGGCAGATGATAGAATAGTACATGAACATCGGCTGGTTTGACTAAAGGGACTCTAGATCGAGAAGCAGTTTGCATAGGTTCCATGTAGTTCTATGCGTATATTCAATTCTAGTAACTATTTCAATAGTTGTGGAAAGAGGAAAAGACTTACAGAACGAATAAACATTAGAAATTGATAATAGGACTTTTCTGTGTAATAGAGTTCACTGATTATAAACCGAGCTACAGCTAAATCTTTCTCTGTAAGGCACTGTAAACACATTGCAATTTAAATTAAATCGTCAACAGGGCCATGCAATCATTCTTCTTGTATAATACCTTGGTTGCCTTGTCTGGCTGCTGTCGTTGTTGTTCTAGAGCTATCGTCATTTTTCTCTGTGTCATTAATTGTTCTACAGTAGTATGCCACATTCGGATTGCCTTTGATTCCTTTTTGCGAAACTCTGATTTACCAAAGATGGATTTCATGTCCAAAGAACTGGATGAGGATGAGCTCTGGCTGTGAGATCTATCTTGATTTGCCTTTTTAGCAGTAGTGGTGGTGGTCTTGGTAGAAGTAGAGCCACGATTATTTGTAATTGGAAAAAAGGAGGAGGAGGAAGAGCAGGGGATAGGCTTTGCTTCCATCATCATCATCATCATCATCATCATCGTTCTATTTCCTTGACTTTTGCTTCTTCTTGTTATCATGGCATTCTTATCATACTTCATTTCATCGGCCGATAGCCATGGTCCTGATGCGCATGTGGATGGCGTAATCGCTTCCTCTTCTTCACTGCAACTACTGCTGCTGTTGTTGCTAGCTGAACTCTTTGAGTAGGTTAGATTGAATCGATCATTGTTGTCGTTAAAAGTAGACTGTATAGGTGTCACGGGCGTGGAGGTGGATGTTGGTTTTTTGCTTGGTTGTTGTTTGCTTTGCATTATATTCAGGGGTGGTAAATCACCATGGCTACTGCTTCGATTGATCTGGATATCTGGAACAGACCGTGATGCTTGTGGATCTAAGCGGGATAAACGATGGGAATAGGTGTTCTTTATTTGCATAGTGCAGCAAGTGTTTGTTTCGGCTGCCGCCGCACATGCATTTATATCTTGAAGTTTCTGATGTTGCTCCGTTGAGACATGGCTGCTCTGTGTGGGCTGTGGTTGGTCTTTTTTGCATTGATTTGCCAAATCTGGAGCTGCATTCATCTCACCACACTTTTCTTCTTTTTTAATGGATAATCTTCTGCGCTCCTGACGATTATCATCATTGCTCGATAATTTGTAGAGGATGGATCTTGAACATTTCTTGAGTACCACTAATTGCGATGATGAGAATCCCATAGTGTGAGTGGATTTCTTTGATTTTTTTTAAACGAGCGGAAAGGTTGACAGCCTTGTAATGGACAAAACGAGAGGATTAATGAAAAAAGTGAAATGAAAGAAAAGAACTGAAGAAAGAAGAGGTGTGTTGTCAATTGCATAGACTTTAAAATTGAGCGGAGTGGATGGGTTTATACGAAAACTATAAATGTTTCGAAACAGCCGTGCTCAACCCAACATTTTCTGATCATTGTTCAAAAAAAAGGGGGAGCCCTGACTGAATAAATGGTATCAGCTATTATGATATCAAGCGCATGCTCATACGTGGCCGTATGCTCATTCGATCTGCAGTTTACTACCTTTCTCTCTCTCTCTCTCTCTCTCTCTCGCTCTCTAGCCATTACGGGTACATCGAGTTTAATTGTGGGATCAATGATGAATGGGTACATTATGTTGAATGACGACATGCCCCGTGTTACTGATCCAACAGATATCAAGATAATGTACTCAACAACTTGGCTGTTGGCGCATATTCGACCAACTTGGCTAAACCGTTGAGACGCTAGTGCATCTATACCCATTAAAAAAAATATCGGATGAGTTCACGTTTGTCAATTGCATGTCAAAATACTGTATATGCAATGATCTCCGTCTGTTTTGATGGTGCATTAGCTTGATTCGCAAGATACCTTCACCCCTGGCAAACGTTTATCTATAAGGTGAAATTCATAACTTTGAAACTGAATGATAAAATTACCTGTAGTGCCTCGATTTAGATGGCATGGCGTTAAATAAATATGAACTGTAATTACTGAGGTTTCACTTGATAAAGATATATCGTAGAAGCATCACACCACAGCTAGAGATCGATTGATAAACGTAGCTGTACTATTTGTTTTGATTGCATTCAGGCATAATATATGTATAATGCTACCGTGTTATGAATCAAATTTCCTAAAAGCTAAAAAGTAAACGTTCATATTTTAATATAAGTGTATTGCTAATATATTACCAAGATTTCATTGTTTGAAGTTTGAGTATTACTATGTGAAGATCCTTTAGGAACAATTTGTATCTGTGTATTTGAATCTGCTATCATACAATATGCCCCACATCCGTTTCGATGTAAACAGCCCTTCTACAAGCAGGCGGCTTATCTGAAATGCCTCTTACTACTCAAAATCATGCAAAGCACAGCGAAAATTGCGTGTATTTGAGCAGCAATTTCTCGCGCTAAAAGTTGTTTTAGACCTTCACAATAGCACCAAACAGTTGTACTCGAGTAGTACTAACTTACTGACACCTTTGCTCAACTTTTTGAGCCAAAAAAAAGACATGGCCAAAAATCGACCAAAAAGCATGAGGTACCCTTCATAGTTTTTATCAAAAATCAAACGATCGCGTTTTTCACCTAAAAAAATGAAGACTTTTACTAAGATATATATTGAATCAAAATGTCGCTCTCGATCCAAAGCAACCCCTCATACTTCATTTCTGAGGTTCTAATATGTAAAATCTCGGCATTTTGGCCTTAAACCTCATTTCATGCTTTCATAAATTGCTCAATAAGCTTGTTCAAAACTTTTATTATAGTTGGCACCATTGGAAGCGCCTTAAAAAGGACTTTAAGAAAGCTTAAGGGAGTATGGTGTAAACAGCACATTTCATATAGCCGAATCTCGCAAAATGATTCAATCAAGTCGAAAAATAACCAAAAATTCCCATTTCAAGGAAAGAAAACGAGCAGAGATGTAAGCACTTTTGGCTGCTGGCGGAAGAGTGAAAAGCTCATGGTAGCTCAGGATGAACCTATTTCTTCCCTATCCATGGTTGTCCGCAGCTCCTTTGATGATTTGATTGGTTGTATCTACCTAATGAAAGGCATCTACAACATCCAATCATCAGAAAGCGGTCAAAAAATATGCAACATTGAGAAATGCGTCGGTATACAGACTCAATCAAAGCCAATAGCTATGTATCAAACGAACGTCATTGATTCGTCGAAATGAGTGTATCAACGTGCTCAAAATAGTCGAGGCTTTGTGGAAAACATGCCATGCGATGCTTCAAGCTTAAAAGGAGACATGTAGATTGTTGATTTCAGCATGACTATAGTGAATGATACAGATTGCATACATCATTTGCTCATTTTAAACTATACATGGCTTGAATTCACAAGAATATCGCTGCTGAACAGCCTGAGAACATGCTCACATCCCACTGCATAGAAAAACCTTAACCTTCTATTTTGGGAAGAGTGAATTTATAAATTTACAATGGCCGTGCTGGCATAATGACACGTATTTTTTTTTTTCTCTCTCTCTCTTGTTGACATCAACATTTGTAAGATATGCTTAGGAATTACACTGCTCTTCAACGCCAACTGGCTATTCGAGCCAAGGTCTCGATGATGATGCCCGCAATCGCACCACGCATCACTACAAGATTCTTCTCGGCATCACAATGCCATCATGCCACGGATGATGAAAAACCTCCAGTCCACAATAGCAGCAACAGCAACGGGACAGAAAAGAAGGATGAAGGAAAAGAAAAAGAGGACGGAGCAGCAACAGCAGCAACAGAGACGCCTAGCAAAGATACTACCATTACCTCGACAGAGGATGAGCTGAAAGCTGTATCGCTCAAATTGAAGGAATTGCAGGTAATTTGACCATTTTCTCCATCATGCAACATCTGACACTGAAATTATGGGCAGGCTTCCTATCTATTATCACTTGCTGATCAAGAAAATTTGCGACAACGCAACGCACGCCAAGTAGCCAATGCCAAAGATTTTGCCATTCAAAAGTTCGCCAAAGATTTGTTGGATTCTGTTGATATTCTAGACATCGCGCTTGAGTCTGTACCAGAGACGTTTCGCAACAAGGATGCTTGCAACCAGCATGAAAAAAGCGAAATCATCGAGCAATTGGTCAATCTATACACGGGTATATCCATGACAGAAATCGAATTAAAAAAGACGCTGAAGCGCTATGATGTCCAGGTTGACAACCCAATTGATCAGGTGTTTGACCCCAACAAGCATGAGGCTGTATTCCAAGCACCTGTACCAGGCAAAGAGCCAGGCACTATCTTTGTCGTGCAAAAGAAGGGTTATCTATTAAAGAACAGAGTATTGCGACCTGCTCAAGTGGGTGTAGCTGCTTCAGCAGAATAAAAATTGATTGGTTGAGGCTTATAAAGGGCAAACTGAATAAAAATTCTGCACATCCACATCTATCCTCATTTCTTCCACACACACACACACACACACACACACACAATGAGCTTTTCAGGAGACAAGTTGATACCAAGGGAACAATTAAGATTGCCTGATAGATACACTCATTTGACACCTAATGCGTATATTCAAGAGCTGATGAACTACATTGAAAAGTATCGACAATGGACAACGCTGCATATTGTTGATTTTTTGACGTTTGGTCAGTGGAATATTCTGGATGAGGAGTGGAGAGAGGCGCTTTTACCGCCTGATGGATCGATCAGTCATGAAGACTGGATAGACGCCATCATTAAGATTACATCGGGATCAGATGTGAATGTAATTATACCTTATGGCTCTCTTGAAAACCATGCTAATGCTATTATTTGATCAGGAAAATTGGCCTGAATCACTAAGAAGTTTCATCAAAGATACCAAAGACATTGCATTGCCCCGTATGAATGCTGCAGGATGTAGAGTATTAGCGTATCCAGTGAGCTTGTGGCTAGCATACTGACACGGTTGACATTGGTCATTAGCAGAACAAGTGAAAAGCAAGATTGAGAAGCGTATTCTAGCAGGCATGGTGGATAAAAAGATCCATGAGGTACTCTATCTATACGTTATCAGACTTTATGCCCTATGCTCATTCCATTGCAAGGTAGAACGCATGACACCTGTCATTCAAAAGATAGCAAAAGATCACCAAGTTCATTCCATTGTTGATTTAGGGGCTGGACAAGGCTATCTATCCCGATCCCTGGCATTCAAAAGTAATCTCAAAGTATTAGCAGTGGATTCTTCTGAAATACAGACCTGTGGAGCCAAAAAATTCGACCAAAAGGCTATCAAATTCCTGGATAAGGATGTGCTCAAGTTACACCATGTCACTGATTTCATCACACCCGAGAACGCTTCCAGTATACTGTCAAAATGGAGTGACAATGATGATGGCAAAGCACAAGACGAAAAATGGCTGTTGACCGGCTTACATACATGCGGTGATTTGGCAAGCATGATGCTGCGACTGTTCACATCCAGCCCAGAGATGAACTGCTTCGTCAATGTGGGCTGTTGCTATCACTTTTTGACCGAGAAAGACAAGGAAACGGACGATACAGTCGGATTTCCACTCAGTAGGACAGTGCGAGATGCTGGTTTCAAGCTGGGCCCTACTGCTAGAATGCTGTCGTGTCAGGCGCCTGCAAGATGGGTAGATCAGCAAGAAGAAACGTTGATGGCATATGAGCACCATTTCTTTAGAGCGTTGCTACAGGTAAATATCAGCTACATGCAATTCAAATGCTGGCTTACTGATACCAGTTTCTGTAGCTCATCATGGTTGAAAAAGGCTTGACAGATGCCTCAGTAGCTCCTGTCGTGGGTCGATTGAACAAAAAGAAAGATTTCACATCATTTCCTGTGTACATCAAAGCAGCCTTGAAGCGACTGAAATTTCCTGAAGATACCATCACATCCCAAGAGGCAGAAGCTTACTATCAAGAGTATAAAGCAAAACAGGCCGATAAGCAAATCACTATTTTGTGGACATTGAGAGTTCTGTTGGGCCCGATTTTGGAAAGCATCATTTTGGTGGATCGATTCCTGTATTTGACTGAAACCATTGAGGACAGCCCTACAAAAGGTGTTTGGTTATGGCCCCTTTTTGACCCAGTTACTTCTCCCAGAAATATCGTGATTGCAGCAACAAAATAGAGGCAATAAACTTGTCTTGTTAGAATGAATATTACTTTATCTAAAGTATGTTTGACAAAAAAAAAAGAAAAAGAAAAGAAAAGAAAAGAAAGCATTATGTGGGTATTGAGATTTGATCCAGTGTGTTTCGCAGTGTGTCGACCAAGTTGTTGAAGCCTGATATGGATATGCCTTTCCGAAGTATCTCGTCTAATGTGGGTTGGCTGCGTATCATTGTTAGTCATATACACCTTGTCAATAACCCACAAAGACACTTACGATATACTGCCATAATGTAGATTCACGTCAAATGTGGATAGATCGATTTTGGGGTAGTTGACAACATCCTTTGATTTGACTTCAAATGACACTGTAAACTTTGTTCTGCCCATGTAGCTGGATACGCAAATTTGGCACGAGAATCCCGCATCCTCTGGATCATTGACGAACTCCAAAGACTTGATCTCCACCCAAAACCTTCTCTGCACTGCGTCTAATTCATGCTGTATCATTCTTACACGGTTCCAATAGATGGAAATATCTTGGATGATCTGTAGCTAGGTTTTAATAAACGCACCCTTTGGCATGTCAAACTGGATTTACCTCGTCCATGTCCCAATTGTCCTTTGCAATCACCTGCAATCCATGCACCAGCTCTGACAAGGGGCCCAACTCTTGGTTTCGGCTCTCTAGCAAACGAATCAGCACAGCATCCTCGCTTTGACTAGACAGCTTTTCCTTATCAACTACAATGTTGACATCGCCATTGATGCTCAATTCAAGCGTGTCGTCAGGGGCCTTGGGAAGGCGGAATTTGTTGATCTTAGAGCATCGCCGGAACTTGTCAGCTGCATAAGCCAGATCACGATCAGTAACATAATGGTTGTTTGCTTTGAGTCTCTTTGCCAGGTCAATAGCATCTACCAGCTCTTGCTTGCGTTTCTCCAAGGAAGTTGTCTTTTCCACTAGCTGTGATTCTAGATCCTCCAACTCTTTGTAATGCTTTTTGAATCCCTCGATCGAGGTTCTGCCGCGTTTCCCTTTAATAACATAATGCCTCAGAAGCGACATGATCACACTTACTTTTGCTGTGCTATTTCCTCTTCCAACCGCGCTAATGCTTTGTGGTCAATACGATCGTAAGCTTGTTCCCTGCGCTCAGCTTCTTCGTGCAGTTGCACCACGGACTCGAGATAGGTGGATATGTCTGACATCTTGTTTGATACGTCCTGTCCAAACTGTGCTGCTTTTCCGTCGTCTTGCAGTAACTTGCTGCGGTTGGCTTGCAAGATATCTGTAAACTCGGTCAGTGTATTGCACCAAATCTTGTAGAATTCCGAAGCTGCTCTTTTCCAGGCGTACTTTTTCATAGCTGTTAATCTGACCCCCATTGCTTTTTGAGCTGCCAATGAGCCTTCCTTGTATTCTTGAAAGATCTGAGGATTCACCGAACTCACATCTTCGTCAATTTGGTCAATTCTCTCTTTGCATTCTCGGATGAACTGGTTTAGTTTCTGGCAGGACGTCTCGTAGAGCTCTAATTGGGGTAATGTCGACAATGCTGCTGCACCTTGTTCCGCAACAGTGGCCACACCTGATACAGTAGACAATCAGCAATTGGGTCGCATGGGTTCACTGCTCTTGTGCTTACCATAATCTGCAGTGTAGGTGGATCTGCGCCGTAAAGCCTTGACAGGTATCTCTGGAGGAAATCTGACGCCCACAATGGATAGAAAATCTGATAATGACATACTGTTGCTCTGGAATGAGTCTGTTAGCATGGCACCATGTTGTCTTTTGTCTCAAGATGCTTACAATGTCAGGGATTGAATGGTAAGTTTCTGGAAACTCTTCCTGCAATAAATCTACATCACGTCAGCCTCCACTCTGCATAAACGCGTAGTAACCTATATTACCATCCTCTTGATCATCATAAGCGTTGAAACGGTCTGTCAAATCTAGGGTCTGGCTGAGTCTTCGATCATGATATGGTGATTTATCATGCAAATAAAAGGTGTGGTGTGGCGAATACACGTCAGCAGCATCTCGTGCTGGAGATTTACGTAGGGGTGATTGCATTGTAGGCGATTGCATTGTAGTGAGGATTGGTATCTCTTGAGTGATTTGCATAGCATCGTCATCTGCCTCTTGCGAATTGGCTTCTGCCATTGACAGATCCTCTCCCTCCTCCTCTTCCTCTACATCATCAGTTTGATCTTGTGTGTTTGTGGGTGCATTACTTGTGGCTGGCACAGGCTCAATAATGGTCTGTGTAATCATCATGCTCTCGACAGTTGGATCTTCCAATTCCTCCTCTTCCTCATCGTCCTCTTCTTCTACATCTTCCATCACAACGCTTTGTCTCTGCTTCACTGTATTTTGTGCTACTTGCTTTTCCCTCTCTTCTTGTTCTTTGTCTTCCTCATCTTCTTCATCCTCTTCGTCAAAAATATTTCTGGGTCCTTTTTGATGCTTAACAGATAGATATTGTGTCAAATCAGATGTCCCATCCTCCTCTTCATTGTCATTTTGAACTCTGCTTAGTATGCTGGGAGGTTGTCCGCCAAATCTTCTCTTTGGACTTCTTGTATCTCCAGGTGGACTACCGAATAGGTCGGGCCGTCTATGCCATATTGCCATTAGCATCAGACACTTGCTTCAAACAGTGCATTTATACCTCTTTCGTTGATCGAGAGGGGAACCAGTCAATCGCTGAAGAAATGGGCTATCAGACAGTATGAGCACAGATTCGCATCGATGCCATCCTCTCCATACCTTGGTGCTTGATGAGCTGGAGAAGCAAAAACGTCTGCCATCAGCATAGTTGGCTCAGTTTCCTCAATAATGCTGGGCACATTTCTCATTGAGATATCCGGTGTATCATCTTCGTTGTATACTCTACTCCATTGTTATGTCGTGTTGCCATGGAAGCTCGGTGCAATGACTTACCTCAGATTCGCAGCAGGTGCAAAACTAACTCGTCTTCGCTCTGCTAGATGCCTTCTTCTCTGCCTATCGATATTATTTCATTCAGGAACCATACACTTATTACAGTCTTAGTTGCAATCCTACTCTTGTTCATGTTGAAATAATGGTGATTTGTATCGCAATGGTGTACTAGGTTCTTTAAGGATGCTTCGCACTGGTGACTAAATGGAAATCAATCAATATAGCGATTCCATCGTAAAGACTCTTTAGCTCTATTTACATGTATTTGAAAATATCGACTCTCTGAATTATCGACTGTCCATCGATGAGTCTCGAATGAAGATTCATATGTTCTCCTCGCTCTAATGGGAGATTGCATTGGAGGCGGTGTATGCGACATGATGTATAATGAAATGTTAATTAAAAGAATACAAAGCTCGCGTTAAAGCATAATGAAACCAGCTAGAGGTACACTTTTCTTTCTGGTCACCCTCGCACACACTCACAGAGCTACCAAATAAAAAAAATCTCTGACCTTTGATGCTGGAGCAGTCCATGTCGCGAAAGGTCACATTGATCTGATCGCTGAGGAATCGCTCATCACCTCATTCCTTAGGTAATGGCAGTATCTATTTGTATACTACATAAAATAGAGCATTTCCCAATTGCCTTTGTATATATAAACGTTAATCACCAGAGCAACATGCAGCTGGAAGCTTTTATCATGATATGCCAAGATGAATGGACTACAGATTCCAACCATCTAAATCCAAAATACAGCTTTCCAAGCAATCTTAGACCATCAAGAACATTTTTTTTTTACCGCCCTTGATTCTTTGGTGGATTCGGGAAAATGCCGTTGTTGAATTTCATGATAAGAGAACTAAATTCAAGGCCAATGTTCCAGATAAACATTTCAGAATAATAAAGTGGCAAAAACTAATGTTATTTGGCGGGAGGATACGGGAAATTTCGTTGATTCTACCAGAAATTTGTACATCAGCTAAACGTGGACATCTAGATGTCGAGTATTAGCTCTCAACATGCCTCGGAAGCCTATCTAAAAAATAGATATCACTGTACAAAATTGCTCTGTTGATCGATAGGCACTTTTATGAGATGATTGAGAAGCAACTGCGGGACATTTTTGAGTATTACTGCCATCGATTAGATTACGCGATGATGTACATATCAAGTGGCGGGAAAAGAAGGGTCTGGCAAATACCCTTTCCGCCCCTGGAATAGGTTATCTTCCACAAATATTCGACATTTAGTATAAAAGCTCCACCTTTTTCTGCATGTAATCTGAATCTCCTCCATCTCTTTCCATTATCAAACCACAAACATGTCTCCTACAAGCACTTTAAGTAACTCTAGTTACTACAACAACAACAACAACAACAACAACAACAACACATACTTGCATCCACTTGAAACTGCTACTGGTACCTTCATTGAAAGAAGAAATAGCTGTAGAAGATTGAGCATATCATCGGATTTAAGCGATCAAGAACCAATTGAGCCTACAAGAAGGGCCAACAGCAATGCCAGCCATTGGAACCAGCTCATTTCACAATTTGATTCACAACCTGATATGGTGCAATTAATACAGCTTTGTAAAGCTGAAGAAGACAGACGTCGCCAAGAGGAATCCAAGATGAAAATGAAGGAGTATCAAGTGTTGCGTCAATTACAACATTTGCAAGAAAGACAATCTCTTGATATCAAAAAGTCTCAAAAGGAATTGGACCTCCATTTGCCTCCTTTATCTCACAAATAGCTATCACATCATTTCATATACATTCATCATGACTATAGACATTTTTCCGTGTAGTTTAGACATATATCCTTGACATCTCTTTTTCTTTTCATCATCTAAACTATTAAATAAACTCAATCTTTGTACATATATTAACACACTAAAAATCACGGCTCTAATTAAGTTGGTCTAATATATGTTTATTAAAAGTCAAATATCCAACAGCTTGTAACCCGTTTTCATATCAATCGTATGTAACACCTTGCACTTTTGATTCAGTTCAAGATAATCTGCAGCTGAGTTGAAGCGTTGCACAGTGGATGAGCATTGACGCTTGCTGTTCTGTGGTCCAGACTCAGAATAGCTGGATTATCACTGATAGTATATGCGACAGAAGGATGCTAACGATATGAGTTCTGTTTATCATGTCACTTGATGGACTTGATCAAGGCTCTTGATTGGGGTTTTCATTATGTAATCCAATGATATTGTTGGTTGCTACTGCAGCTCTTTTTTTTCATTATGTGTAACATTTTCGTAATAGGGATACGGGTTTATCCAGGCAGAACTGTATACTGGATAAAGATGGTACCATTATTCCTGCTTGTTTAAAATAAAAAAAATATATATATAACGCTGTATATCTTAAACAGCAAAACGGGGTTTCTCTGGATTTACACTACTGAGTTGAATACCTGTAGTGATGCCTATGTATCATCAGCGATACTTGTTAGTGTCGCTGTAGATAGCGCTATATCCGTAATTCGATATCTAAGGATCCAAGCGCTGATTTACATTTGTCTATAAGACCAAATGTTATCTTGAATACTACAACTTGAGCTTACATAAACTGACGACAAAAAAAAAAGTAACATTTGACAAACAACCAAAACGTTGGTCTTCTCTTGTGCATGCGTTCTTCGTTTGCTCATATTAAAAGTACAATAAGCTTTTTTTTGATCTGTCTGGCATCGATATGATTCTTCCGTGTAAACCCGCTTAAATCAGCTTTCTATACATCAAGTTCGAAAGGCGACTTTTTTTGAGATTGACCATGTTGGACACATGCTATCAGTGAATGGTGTCATCTTTTGAGAATATGGCGAGAAAACATGATGAATTCTGCTTTGATATTCAAAGAGAATGCTTTCATTTGATCTGTGTTTATCATCTACGGCTACTTGCGTGGTAAACCTTGTACATTCATGAATTCCATGATGTTACACTGGGAGTAACAAGCTATTTTGATTTACAGACCCTTCATAATCGTCTTATCGCTTGATCTCCATAAAGAGATAAGTACACGTTTGCACAAGTAGAGGTCAGGAAACGATTGTATAGAAATTGATATAGTGACAATGGAGACGCTCTTCTTTGCTTGATCAGCTACTTTCTTCATCAAACAAGCAGCTGTGCAAATCAATTGTCTTCATATTACGAGCACCACGGAAAACAGGCTCTGTAAGAGGCAAGCTTTTGAATATGCAGTCGATATGGAGCTTCGATAAGCGTTGAAAATCCTCCAATTGCTTCGAGATCCTATGAGGACTATTGCCGATAAGTGGTGGAATTTTCATTTCTTCGAGTGGTTCTTTGAGTAGAAATACTGTTTGCTTGTTGGTATCTATGAGATGTTGCAATTTCATTTCTGAGCCTTGTACTGTCTGAGCCAATATTTGGTAAAAGCGTATGTCTGTATACATGGCTGATATTCTCTCTATACTCGGTGTTATTGCTAATCGAAGCGAGTGAGCCGTAACATTCGAAAAATATGCTCGACCGCCAAGGCAGATTTCTTTGATAATAATGTTTGCTCTCTCTGGCTTTTTGAGAAGATGCTCGTACAAAGATGTTGAGTTGTATCTTTGAATATACAACTGTCTGCTAAGCATGGCACATTCCGCAGGACCATCCAAGCTTTTGCTGGCCAGTCTACATTCGCCAAGCTGCTTTATAGTACTGTTAACATGTTGGAAGAATAGCCTCTATATTTCGGATGATCTAAAACCTGCTTGATTGTCGTCATACTACCAGAATCGTTTTGTGGACAGATGGTGAATTGAGCTAAAGTGTCTAGTACAGTATACGTTCAGTTTATCGCGAGTACCATAAGGAGCACTTATGAATGGTTCAAGTCAGGCTCATGCAGTTGAGGCTTCATTCAACATATTAGCTTTATAAATTTTGCTCAAATGGCAGTGTGTATTTACTTGGTGATGATCCAAAGTGCCAAATCCGGCTTGATATTGAATAACAAATCAATTCGTGCATCCAATAAACGCAAAAAGCATATCTCGATATTCTCTGATAATACAATAATGCTGTCTGTGCTATTGTAGAGGTTTTTCTCAAAAGCAATTCTTACTTGGCTTGTATCTCATTTATTTGTATCTTCTTTTTTCCTTTATTGTTTTATTCGTGAATCCTATAAGGTTGTTTAATTGAATAATAACTCCTGTAGTAGATCAGTTCATGGATGGGTAGATAGCAGACTTGCATTAGCTCTCATTACTCAAAACTACGCAAAATTTGTGTGCATTTGGTTCGCGTTTTCTCGCGTTAAAAGTCGTTTCAGGCCACCAGAAAAGCGCTAAACAGTTGCTCTTATCTGGCAGTTACTTTCTGACACCTTTGCTCGACTTTCTGGGGATCAAAAAAATATGGTCAAAAATCGACCAAAAAGCATGAGGTACCCCCCTCATGGTGTTCATTGAAAATCAAACGATCGCGTTTTTGACCACAAAAATGAAGACTTTTACTAATGTATATATTAAATCAACATGTTGCTCTCGATCCAGAGCAACGTATAATGCTTTGTTTGCAAAACTTTTATATGTAAAATCTCGACATTTTGGGCAAAAACCTCATTTCATATTTTCAAAAACTACTCGGCAAGTTTACTTGAAACTTTTGTCGTTAAGAGCACCATTGGATGCGCCTTGAAAAGCACATCAAAGAAGCTTAAGGAAGTTTGCGATCATTCGCACATTTCATATAGTCGAATCTAGCAAAATAGTTAAATTAAGTCGAAATAAATCAAAATTTGGCCAATCTAGAACAGAACTTGAGCGGTGATTTAAATAGCGGTTTTGGCTGTTACTTGGTGGTAGCAAAGCCAATGCCTTTGTAAAATCATGAGGGCAGACGACGCTTTTGAAGCTACCACGAAGTAGACTATGAGCTGCAAAGTACTATTGCGTAATTTGGCTAGTTCACTTTGATTCTGTTATGTATATTCCTATTTGATACGTAGACATATGATACTATGAGTAAAGCGACTCCTTTTAATAACACGCCATCCATAATATAGTCTCTATTTATTGATAAACACGTTAAATGTGAACACACCTTACTTGACCATCGAGCTACTAGTCTGTATATATATATATATATAAACGTGATGAAAAAGGACTAACTCTCGGCACTCGCAGTGTCTGGCTCGTCCACAAGTTGAGATGCATCCTCAAAATCATCCACTGGTTCTTGTTTGGGCCACTTGATTTCATTGTAATTATACTGCATGCGCCGGATGGAACTACATCTTACATGAATAAATCCAAATTGAATATCATCTCTCCAGCTCTTTTTCGGCAAATATCGATCCACCATAAAGCCATTCATGCCCATTTGATCACGGTGATAATTTTTTGTATAATAATCTGCCATGTATTCCAAACTTTTCACTTCCTCTAGTCGCAATCGTCGTAATGCAGACGGTGGGTACCGCAGCCTGCCATCGGTCAATTCATATAAATGATACCAGGATGCCAAATGAGGATAACAAGGTTCGTATTCAGGCAGCCTCTCTGTGTAGCGCGCGATTCGCTTCTTCACTGATGTGAACTGAGTAACAGCAAAGAGATTGGGTGAGGTACCACTTCCTAGATTGCCTTCCAATCGAGGTACATTGATCTTATTCAGGTCGGAGATACGCAGGAAATCAAAGTGATGACTAGGCATGTCAATCCGCATCTCCATTTCACGAGGCATCCAAGAACATGTGAGAATTTCCATGTGTTTTAAATCGGGACATCTTGCGCCTAGATACCGAAACAGCTGCTTGGATACACGGCCAACAGCAATTACAATCTTCTTCAACGGGTGATAGTAATCTGCAGAATGCTTGTCATTGATAGTCAAGGCGCACCGTGCCAACGAGAGTCTTGTCAGATGATTGCAGTGATCCAAGATCATGTCGATGGGAATAGGATTAAAGTAAAATTTTCCGAAATCATCACTGGAAAGCTTCAAATAAACCAGTCGATGACATACTGAGAGCGGCTCCAAGAGTGCGGAAAGATCAATATGCGCATTGATCCACAAATCGAGATCCAGGGCTTTGATGGTCGAGCACTGTCCATCCAACACGGCATTCAATACACTGCTATCAAACCCCTTTCTGGAGAGAAAGATGTCTGTATTGTATCGCAATGTCAGCTTCTCTAGGCGCACATTTTTCTGTTCAAGTGTTGCAAAAAACTGTTCTCCAGGGAAATGTGATGCTTTGACGGATTCCAGATTGAGTGTGTGCAAGTGATCCACATGTTGGGCCATAGCTGCAAATGTTTCTCGAGTCGCTTCTCGGTCCAGCTTTTGAATCGTGTCGTCAAAATTGACGAATGCATTCAAGTCAAATCGCAGGTCCAACACTGTCAAGTTGGGGTAGATTTTAGCGAGCCATATCAGCCATACGGGATCATCTATGCTCAAGTTCCTCAGACTGAGGTGCTTCATCTGTGGATTGACGGAAAGCGAATCCTTATGCATAGTTGACTTCATAATATCGAGCTCTGATTCCGTCGCTGTCAAGCACACTGTATGTATCTCTATGCTGGTCAAATGACTACACACCAGATGCAGCATCTTCCATGTCACGCAGCTAAACTCCAACTGTCCTACTCGTGTGGTGGGGTTGTAGAATCCGTCCAATGTCAAATGTGTCAGATTGGTGCTGTAGCAAAGAAAGGGTATGAGCCAGTTTTGCAAGACGAGATCACGGACAATGCGCGCCCCAAGATCCAAATGTGTCAGCGTCTTTCCTGTCTCCCTGAGCGCCTTTTCGCCTTTGCCGAGGTCGTACACTTTTGGTATCTGCTTGATGTTCTTGAAATGGCTCAAAGCAGGCGGTTTATAGTGTCTCCATTCTAGAAACTCAAAGACTTCCATGTGCGGGCAGTATCTGCCAAGCAGTTGAAACTCTTCTTTTGTCAATCCTACTCTGTTCTTGATGTGCAATTGTCGAACGTAGGGGCCTACAAGGTCATCGTACTGGCTGACAATGCGCAAAAACTGCTTTAGCTGCCTTCTGTGCTGTATCACCACTGTATGCACCAACACTCGGTAAAGACTGGCATACCACCTCTTGGAGACTAACAAGCATTGTGCCTTGTCTTCACTGGGAAGAGTAGATACTATCTTTTCCACCAACTCAAACGGTACGTCCACCATGGATAATAATGCAAGAGAGAGAGAAACAAGAACCAATAAATGCGTTGTGCATTTGAATTTGTAGGGTAGTGCAAATATGACTAAAAAAACTCCACCACCTCATATTATTTTAAATCAAAAAGGCCCCGTGTTTCCCTACATTGCTCTTTTCTTCTTTTTTCATTTCTTACAACACACACACACACACACACACATATCATATCTTATTATACCATAGACGCATCAAAATGGCATCCATGGCCAATCATCAAGTAGATACAAACAGTGGTCTTCCTGTCATTCCTCTATCTCCTATTGCTCAGTCCTACATTATTTGCTCAAATGCGCTGAATCTGGCTACCGAGAAACTCACTGAAGCTAAAAAGGCAAACCCTCCTGTTCAGGTCGGTGTCCTGAGAGGTCTTTTAGAGACTTCAAAAGTTGAAGCCCATCGACTCAACTCGCTCACTCGCAAGATGCAGTCGGTTGAAGCAGCAACTGCTCTGTTTTGGGATTCTGATGCGCTGGCTCGTCAAATTGCGGTGATCGATTGTCAGCTCTATGGGAATGCGTTCCTGGATAAGCGCTCGCTTTCACAGTTGGATCAAGAGCAGACCAAACTCGTCCATCTTGTCGATTTTCACCACTATCTTTCTCACAGCGTTGCTCATCAACTCATCTATTGGGCAGAGCTCGTTAGTAATTCAGAGCTGGCTGCTGAGGTAGTACCACCTGTGCATCCCACCAAAGACTCTCTCGTCACTCATTTTGTGCGTGTGGCTTATTTACTGCTGCATGCATATCGTGATTTCTCTGGCTTTGCTGCCATCATCAGGGCACTCACATTTCCCGAAGTGAGAAGACTCAACAAGAAGCTATGGCACAACTGCAGTTCCAGAACAAAAGACATGTTTCGTGAGCTGGCCAACATGGTGTCTCCCAGCAAGAACTATGCAGCCTATCAAGTGGCGCTCAGAAGCAAACTGGAATTGTATGTGCAGGGACATGGAAGTATGATGATTGCTGTACCTTGGATCCAACCTCATTTGCTGTCAATCCGCTCTATTGTCACTGCTTACACGGCAGGCGATAATGAAGACCAAATGTCGTTGGGCGACATTGTTCTCTCGGCTCCTGGCGCTCGCAAACTGAACATGGAGCTCTCCATCTTGGAATTATGCCAGCAGAATAACTGCTCCAGCGACTTTTCATTGCAAGACATTCTCTCCACGGGTGGATTCTATCAACTCAAGCCCAACAACAAGCGAGCTTCTATGGCTGCCAGCGCTACCAAGGCAATTCATATAGAGGGATTGCGGGCTGCTGTGATTCCTGTAGCCAACCTTAATCATTTAGCACCAGGAGAACAACTCACTCACCACTGGCTTGTGTCACGCGTGTATCTCCGTAAAGATCAACTCATAAATGAAAGTATTGAAGTGGAGCCCTTGAAGGCGGGAGAAACCATCACTTGCGATTCGGATGAGTTCGAGGAAACGAGATTTGTTCAGCCGCCTGTCAGTAGAGCTACTTCAAGACGTACAAGCTTTGTGCCACCGGACAAGCAAGATCAAGAACAATACATGGAGCAAGAATTGGTGGATATGTCTGTCAAGACAGTGCCGTCTTCACAAGCTGCTGAAGATGTTGGTAATGAGGACGATGAAGACGAGAATGATGACAGCAGTGATGAAGGCGGACTTGACGCAACCCATAAAGCAACCGAGAGTAATGAAACTGCAAACACACCATTGGTTGATCCTGTACAAGAAGTAATTGCAGAGCACGAGGTTACACCACATTCAGTAACAACAGAGGCAACAGTAGCTCATGTAACAGGCGAGAATCCCGCAGCAGCAGCAGTAGCAGCAGTAGCAGCAGCAGCAGTTGTGCCTGAAGAAAGCCAGTCTGCCAAAGTGCAACAAGACGACCTTGTTGAAATTATTGTTGGACAAGAGCAAGCATTCCAGGAGGTGGATCCATTGTCGGTCGAGCTCATGGATGTTGAGCCTCAACCCGCCGAATCAAAGGTAGTAGGATTGCAGTCCATGGAGCCCGTAGCCGTCGAATTGAAAGATGTGGAACCAAAGCAAGTCGAATTGAAAGAGGTGGAGAAGTCTGTCGACATTACTGAGGAAGAACAGAAACAGAATGAGCAAACAGAACCAGTACATCAGCAAGAGCCAGGGTCATTGAAGCCTGATTCAAATGAGACCAAGGCAACACTAGCTTCTTCAACTGTCTCCTCGTCCAACTCAACTTCTGCCAGCAAACAGAAATCCAGACTATCACCCACAGCACCTGAATTTGTGCCTGGAAGCAGTAACTATGGTCAACCCAAAAAGACAGAAAGTATTGCCACCAGCACCACGGAGGAGAAATGGTGCGGTTATCCTACCCAAGAAGAAGATGAAATTGCAACACTAGCTACTAATACAGAATCCGAGAAATGGGTAGGATACCCAGTTCCTGCCGATAAGCAAGCAGTGGCACAACAGCCTGACGAGGAAGAGGAGGAAGAAGATGAAGTTTGGAAGGGATATCCTGGACCTAATAGCAGCACCGATAGTCCTCGTCGAGCCTCTTCTCAATCCGAGACATCTGAAGAATGGAAAGGCTACCAAGCAACCAAGATGGAGGCGACATGGCAGAGAGAAAGTGCGCTCAAGGTGCAGGAACATGAATGGCAAGGCTATGCTTTAGAGACGTTGGACGAGGATGAATTAGATTCTAGTACCATGATGGATGGCGAATTTGAAAAGTCGCGGCAGGCTCGTGGACATAAGCAACACGGCAAGAAGATGGCCTTTTAAATGACATGATATGATTCTATTTACTTGAAATTATTGCTACTATATACTATATGAATTTATACTTGACAACAAACAAACAATACAAAATAAAATACCGAGACATATACCCTTCCCTTCAAAATATAAAAACTGCCCCCCACTTGTTTTATTCTGGTACAGCACTCTTCTTTGCCGCTGCTCTTGTATGTGAGCTAGCTGTTGTATCAGTGTCTGCCATCTTGAAGATCTTGATCTGTTCTACAGCATCATCTAGCATCTCCTTGGCCAAGAGATACACTTCAGTGCCTTCCTTGTTGTACATGAGCGAGTTGTTTAGCATCAGCACAATGTCCCTCTCAAACTCGGTTGTTGTAGTGATAATCTATATACCGTCTCATCAGCCATTGACAAATGCCTCTCCCAATGATTATATACTTACTCCATCCCGAATGCGGTTCTTAACAGCTTTGAGATCCATGGGTCGTTTGACAATCTCATAATAATGCGGTGCAATGTTTTCCTTGATAGGATTCATAAACATGGCGCCGTTTTTGTGATTTGCAATCTCACGCCATAGCAGGTTGATGTTTTTGAGCCAAGATTTGTTGCGTTGATCGTCCCGTCTTCTACTGCTCCGTTCATGGGTAGGTGTAGCCGCATTGCTTTCACTGCCTGCAATGCTCTCCGTGCCATCTCGTAAATCGGCGGGTGTTGTACCTCGACTTACATCTATGGCATGGTGTTAATATTTCTTCCTGTCCCAATGCGACCCATTCTAAACTTACCTGTTGAATAATCGGTTCTACTGGTGTCAATGGCAAGTGGCTCATGATCATCTAGTCTGCTCTTTTTGCTGCTTTTCAAGTCGTCCTCTTCCATGTCTGTGTGTTCTGGCAGTTTTTCTACTAGGATCAATCACTGTACATCTTATGATGAGCACAAGTTGCTTACCTGCTACCGAATCCACAATGAATGGTGCTTGATTGTCCACCTTTTGCCTCTTCAAATCTGGCACTTCTATGCCTTCATTCTCGTCTGAATGGCGTTTTAATGATATTGTTTCGTCTCTTTGTTCACGGTGCTCCTCTGATCCAAGTGCTGTTTGTATGCTATCTGAAGCTGCGGTGGATTTTGCCACTGTTGATGCAGCTAGAATAGTATCATCCGATGGAACAGGATTATTCTCAATGGCAGCCATCTCCTTCTGCTGCTCGTCGGTTGAGATAGGTGGTGCATCTTCTTTACGAACATCTCTTGTTTCATTTTCTACGTTTTCTGTTTCTACTTTAGCTGCTTCTTCAGCCTCGGTCTCTTGTTCTGCTAATTTCTCCATGGTCTCACCAGAGGGTAGTGGTGATTGCTGCTTATCGGATGTACTAGAAGCTTCAGCAGATGGTGTAGCTTGCTTGCTATTTTCCATTGTTTCTGGCTGAGGAGAAGCTGTTGTTGCCATGTCTATGGCTCCATTAGGAGTATTTGTAGAATCTGCTTCTTTTAATAGCGCTTTCTCTTCCAAGGTCGCTGACAATCCTAATAGTTGATTATCCCATTTTCCAGCTCGAATATCGTCAATCTCTGCTATGAGTGTCAAAAACTTTTCTTCGTCTTCGTTGATTGCTTTCTTTAATTCCTCTAGTCGTAGAGTATAGAGCTGTCGTGCTAATTGAACCACTACTGGCATATCGTTTGTGGAAGCACCTTTTCTACATAGAGAGTGTGAGTATGGATATTGGTATCACGGATACCACTAGTTACTTTTCTTTGTTCAGTTCTGAGACCATTGAGTAATACTGGTGTGAGCAATTCTAAGAACGGTATTTTTAGTGTTCAAGTAGGTATGTGTGCTGTTTGTAAGCTTACCTTTTGATTAAAATAGTCTGATGGACGATCCAATAGAGCATGGTGCTTAAGGTTTCTTGCTACTTGAAACCAATTATCTTCGCCGTATTTATACACTGCTTGCGAGAGTAATAGCTTTTCTAATATGGTCCATTCTAATGAAGACATTCTGAAGTTGTGATTTCTGTGAAAAAAAAAAGTGTATCAAGACAAAAAGGCAAAGCGTGCCCGTGTGGTTTTGAAAGCAACTTTATAATTGCTCGCGACGCTCCGCAGGAGAGTCATTTGAGCTGAAAAACAGAACTCTTACTTCCTATAACACTTGGCTCTATCACCAAGGATTGTATGATTACCACTTTCAAGCTAAATTTGCACCTCTATCATCTACAAAGTTATAGATTATGTTCGCGTATTGATGATAGTGCAACTGATGAGACAGCAGCAGTAATATTGGGTTTACATTCTTCAGGACATCTTCTGAATTTGCCGGCCAAATTTAAGCATCTAAGTCGTATTTGATCTAGCATACCAACCTTTAGTATTTCTTTGGGCATTTTTGAAGGTCCATCTAATGGCCACGCTTTTACAATCAAAAAAGCTAATGCGCAATCTTTGAAAGATTGAAATGAGTTTTATTTGACCAGAATACCAAGTAGTCGTTGAAAGCAATCCTTTGGCGCCTATGAGAAAGTCTTGAACAGCCTGCTTTACGCCAAATCAGCGATCAAATGTAACAAAATCCGACGACAGGAACAAGCTGCTTTCAGAGCTCTAGCATCAATATCTCAAACCTCTATTGTGGATGGCTCCAGCCTGGGAATTGAAAATCACCCAAACGTATAATTTTCAATAGTAACCATTGTTTTCTGTTCCTAGTCTGTTTGTACAGAATAATAGTTCGCATCGAATGGTATTGCTCTGGATAGTTATCCCGGTTGAGTTAGCAATTGTATAGCTTACAGCGTTGAAACACCGTAACCTTTTTATATCGTTTTACTTTACACTTTCCTCGTTTAATTATTTGGCAACTAATGTAGCGACTGAAAATCCTTTTGTGTGTTTAGCAACCCTTCAAATTGGGTATGTAATATTCCTGATAAGAAGTCTCTGTCAGCATCAATATAGGGCTTGAAAAAAGCCGTTCCTTCTTGCTGAGATGCGCAGCACAGCTTTAACCTCTGCCAAATAACAATGAAGCAAGCTGCCAGCAAACGGGTTTGAATAGAACAATTCCCAGCATAACATCCATTTATCTAGCACTCGTAATCACTTGTAATTGGCAGGTTCCATATGAAGGTCATGGTTCAACGCTGGCTTATTTTGAAAATTATCAATTTCTCATCAGTGCTCTGTATGCTTCAGTGTGCTTAATTAGAGCATCATGTCCGCCCAGTTTAACTGTACTGAACTGACTACAAGTAGATACCGTGTTTAATCTCGTTCTGAGATGTGTATGGGCAATACCGAATAATATATTCAATAGAAAGAAGGTAAGGTTTCTATTTAATGCGGAAATAGACATTAAGTTTAGTATTACTAAATAGTGTAGATCAAAGAATTTCCTATCGAATGAGCCTTGACTCAAAGCTCTAGCATGCTTCTATCATGAGATATTGACAATTTTGTGTTTACGAAGAATTGATCACCCAAACTTTTCCCTTGCTATTATAGGCAAATTTTGACCAAAAATCGATGACTTTCCACGATACTTTTTTTGGCCATATCTTGACAAATACTCAGCGGATTTGCACAAGTCAAAGACCATACGATAGCCCTACGCTATATCCATCATATTTTGAGTGTTGAAAGTACCAGATGTATGTTCCCTTCATAAATTTGCGGAAAATCATATATTTTATGAGCTACGAGCAGCGGATTTTTTAAAATTTTATCATTTCTCTATAAAAACTATACCATTCTATAGAGAATTGAAAAACAAACAGAAGCTTTTAAGCTTGAAGCTTTCGTTCACTTAATAAAATCTAGTGGTATGGCCCTTTGAAAATTGATCATTTAGACTATTTTCCGCCATTACTCATCCATATCACTCTCTATAACCTCAAATCAAACATGACCTAGTCATAAAAACTAACTTCTACAACTTTTACTACACAAACATCCCACATTCATATAGTCATTTAAAAATTTTTACTAGCAGCATCTATTCAAAATTAACCAGTTGTGAAAACCTTAAATTTCTCGACAACTATGTCACCTACGCAAATATAAATTGCACCATCGTTTAGAGGGCAGAAAATTGGTATAGAAACATGCTAGTCTCAAGACTCTAACATCAATATTTAGAAAATCGATTTTCGATCGTCCAAAAGTTGAAAACCTCAAAATCAAAAAAACATTTTGTACATCCAGGTCTTGATAAGTAAAGAAATTAGAGTCATGTGAAACTAAAATATGTTGTAGAATAATGATATTGGGTCAACTTCTAAGTGGGAACATTATATTGGAAATGCATACTTCATGAGATAATCGACATTGGAGACGCTATTTTTAAGCTGGGGAATATACATACTTTAAATTGGAATCGCTATTATTCTTGAATAAAGCAAGCTACAGTTGTCTAGTCTTGACAACAAGATTTTTCAACATGTCAGATATCTATTGATAACTTGAAAATAGCAAGTTAATATGGCTCTTTTCGTACGCTCCGATTTTTAAAATGCTTGGTCAAATTCATACTTGTGTGGTGTACACATGCGAAGGCTAAACGGAGATTCAATTTCTATTGTTCTGAATGAGGATCCATGAGGTTCCGAAATCTATCGACCTTAAGATTACGCGTTTCTTGATAGTAAACACCCCTTCAAACTTATATAAAACTTGTAGAGAATTTAAAGAAAAATACAATGGTATCTATATCAGGTGTCTGATGCGTATTGTTCACCTGATATTCGGTGGGATAGCTTTTGGAATTTTCTGATTGTTTTCAAAAGATTAATCACTATCTGTCATCAAAACATTTTGTTAAGCATTACTAAACATTGTAGACCAAACAATTTCCTATCGAATGAGCTATTGCTTGAAGCTCTGGCATGATTATATCATGAAATATTGAAAATCTTGTCCTGACCAAAAAATCGTCACCATATTTTTTTGCTTGCTATCATAGGCAGATTTTGAAGAAAACCCCATGATTTTTCATGATACTCTTTTCTGACCATTTCTCGACAAATACTCACTGGATTCGCACAAAACAAACATCATTCGATAGCCCCACGTTATATCTATTATAATGTAAAAATTTCAGGGACTAGATGTATTTTCCTTTCATAAAGTTGTTCTAAATTGTGTATTTTAACGAATCTAAACAGAGGAGTTATGCAAATACTTACAGTGGAGTTATGTTAGCCAGGTTATTACTGGGTGTGATGAAGGACTTGCTTTAAATGGTACTAGTTTTGATAGTGTTTGTTAAGCACAAAGAATAAAAGGATTATTATTTGTAGCTTATAAAAAAATGTTTGATATTGTAATGAAATAGCCACCCAAACGCAACTTAATTGAAAACCAAAGTTCATCAAATAGCACTCATTCAAATTCATGCTATTTGGATCTATTAATGAAAGCGCTCAAATGTACATCAAAAACCCATTTAAAAATACTAAAGTAAAGATACACGCTTATATCGCACATCGTGTGAATGAATCACTCCTGATCACAGTGTATTCAATCACACCCATGATGGTCGTAATAGGTGATGGTATCTTTATCCAAATAGAATTAAATCAATAACAAGCATATTCAAATATGACAACTATGCCCTGCTGCTATAGTTGCACAATATCCCAGATAAAGGATTCCATGCTTCAATAACAAACATCACACTTTAAACCATCAAGGTTACTCAAATCGACCCTTATGGCCAGTGCTCCTGCATTGATTACCACTTTAAATCAAACATCAACAACATTTGCCAGATATCGCAATAGCAGCACCTATTGCTCTCTATCATCACTAATCCTACAAGCCAGATGCAAATGTATAAATACTCTTCTTTTTTTTACTCAATTCCAGGATCTTCAGTTCATTTTATACACAAAATAAAATACAGTTGATTTCTATTGTATATTACCTTTGCTTTATTTTTTTTGTGAAATCCATTAAACCTGATTTCACTGCAGATATTATAAAAACAAGAAAAGACTTATTTGAATAAGATCAGACACAAAAAAACTGAAGATTTATTGACGATGACAAGAATTATTCTATTTATACTAAGTTCTGAATGCCAAAGTAGCAATTTATTTTGTACAACGCTTATCACCTCTGGTGAACCTCAGCATTTAGATAGCTGAGATGCACTTCGATTATCATAGCTTGTCCATGTTGTTGCACAACACAGACGTATCTACCCATCAAGAATACCTTAATCTTTATAGACACTTGTAGCCCTTCTGGCACAACACGCGTTGCTTGAAACTACCAACAAAATGCTGAAATGTGCAGCAGAATACCATTTAAACATACTAAGGCCTATATAGGTAAGGATGCATCTTTATCTCGCACATTGTGTGAATGAGTCATACTCGATTGCAGTGCATGCAAACACACCCATGATGGTCGTAATAAGTGATGTTGTTATTTGTATCCAGATAAAATCAAATCAACAACAAACGTACTCAAACATGACAAGAATGCCATTATGCCATAGTTACACAATATTCACCAGATAGAGTTCTATACTTTAATAACAAATATCACACCTAAAACTTTCACGGTTACAACATTAAATCATGTCATGACGATAGATCATCTAAGTCCATCAAGGCTGCTCAAATCAACCATTATTGTCAGTGTTCATGCATTGATTACTACCGAAAATCAAATAGCAACATCATTTACCAGATATCTATCGCAATACCGTAACAGCACCTGTTGCTCTCTATTATTACTAGTCCTACAAGAAGGTTGTTACAAATGTATGAATACCCTTCTTTTTTTACTGTAAATTCCACGATCTTCCTTTCATCTGATACACAAATAGAATTTGATAGATATCTGTTGTATTTTATTATTGCTTATTTTTGTTTTTGTGAAATCTTTAAAAAACTGACTGATCTGCACACTACGGTATTTAGAGTAACGAGATATACTGGTAGGCTGTGGAAATACAATTAGAACTATCTGTCGAGCCACAGACTGTAGCATCACCTTCAGTTGCACCAACCACTGTCTTTGATCCACCCTCAACTGTAGAACCTCGTCAGGATGACAACCTTGATGACAAAGAGCCAGCTTCTTAAGATGAACAGGAGATCGTTCACCTCACCAGTGGGGAATCTGAATGTGAAGGCGGTGATACAACTGAGAGCTTTGTAGAATATACTAACTACCGCGACAGATACAATCTTGGTAAGGGCAAAATGAAGACTTCTACTGCTGAAGATGATACAGCACAGGAGGCTTCTCAGAAGCGTTCTACCAGGGAACTGGCTTCTATTCCACCGGAATCTGAACAAGAGGAATCTGCCAAAAAGGTTTTCAAGCAACAAGAGGACAACCATATGGACGTGGCCGAGCAAGGCAGCTCCTCCACAGCCAAATCATTATAATTTCAATGAGTGAATCAAACCGAACTAAGATTATCAAAATTAAGATAGGTTCCATCAACTGTAGGAACATTAACAAACAACATAATCAAAATACAACAGCACAATTTATAAGGTACCTCAAAGGAGAACTATGCAACATATTACTATGCCAGGAAACAAATATCCCCTCACACTCGTTTGACACTACTACAATTAATCTCAAATACCAGTTCCAATATCACCAAGCCATCTGGACCGGACACTGTGGAATAATCAACTTCAACCAAGCCTTACATTTGCAACAAGACCTTTGACGATGAAAGAGCTATATTGGCTAAACTCTCTCTTGTTGACAATAGTATGCCACCTATGTATATACTCAATATCTATGCACACGCTGATGATTACTACAGGGCTAGGAATCAACTCTTTAGCCAAATTATTACACACCTTAACACTATGCCCGAAATCATTCCTTCTCTCACATCCCTTTTAATTCCATTCAAGTTTGCCGTCAAATCAGTTCTGAAGTCATAAGGTTGTCAAATCTTATGCAGGTTTCTATCTAGTTTTCTAATAGTTTTTATGTATAAGTCACTTTGTTACATACACTTGTCCATCTTCTGATGCATTTGTTTTATTTCTAATTATTATCCTAATAAAACAATATCGTCCAAAAAAAAATGCAATTAGAACTGAATATATCTATCATGCTATTTCAAGATTGAAAGATGATGGTTAAAACTAGTGTAGGTTTCGAAGGTATCTTTCCTTATTTGACAGCGCCGTCACAGCAACAGGGTCTTGATTTTGAATGCGGGATGATTGCATAAGCCTTGAACTAGTTAACAAAGATGTGCTTCGTGAAAGTGCATCATTCACCATCAGTCTGGAACAAACAACAATGAAGATTCCAAATAGAATGTTCTTCATAGTAGATTTGACAGAGGAACGTTTCTCTGAACTGAAAGCCGCTTTCAGGGACGAAAAGTCATAGAGTACGATACTTCAGAAGCCAGTATATACTGTAGATTAGACGTTTGATAGTACCACACTAGTTCTTTGCATTACTGTCTGAGTCAAGCAATCGCAATATACCATGCATCTCTGCTCTTACTCAATCCTTTTCATGTATTACGCGTTGTATAATATGTTTGCCTCTTAGATATAATCTGTATCCTAAACACACACATGATACCACCAATATTCTGCAAATTTGAATTTTAACAGTATTTTGTCTACTTCTTTTACTCCCTTTTTACTGCATCACATACTAACTTTAGAATACATTCCTGGCATTAACATTTGCAAAGTATACCAAATCTAACAACTGCAGCTTTCATCTTATTGAATAAAGAATAATTTGAATTTTGATTATTAGGATGATACCATTTTATTACAAACAAATAATCATGACAAATGACAGATTAATGGGGTATCAGTTGGAGATCAACTAGTTATAACGTTTTGATGCTTCAGCCCCTGAGCCAATCAAATCGCTTGAAAACTCCGCTGTCCTAAAAAAATTTTTGCGAGGGTTTCCCCCTGTTTTGTTGTGAGGCAAAATTTTAAGCTCCGCTATATATAGCAATATAGCTGTTACTATCATCAAATTTCCCTCAGGTGCTAGAGCATGCCTTACTTACACCACCTAGCCTTAGATTCTGGCGTTGAGACTCTCAATCATCACTAAAGTAAGTAGCGATAACCAAGTGGAGGCAGCCTATCTACCTCCTAGCCTCGGATAACGTCTTGTTGAGCTTCAGGGATAGGCACATCCACACAACGTAAAAAAGGTATGCTTCAAAGAAACATAATAATAATAATAAAAGAAGAAAAGAACACACTATAGGAATACAGTATGTAAGCAGAAAAGGAACACTCGCACAAAAATGTGAGTCAAAAGAAAAGTATAATAACAAATACAACATTAAAGATGTTCAGAACAGCTCGTTGTTGTTGCAACAACAAAAATGCATACATCAGAAACGTGCATGGTAATAGTCGGATGTAAAGCAACATGGCACAAATACGCACAATTGCAAAAACAATAATGGTATTATAAGTTTGCAATACAACATAATGACTAATGTTGTTTCATGTAAAGCTACAGAGGAAACACTACCAACAAAAGAAAAAGAAGAAAAAAGCGCAACAAGGCAAACATGATGAATGCATTATCACGAGAAAGGAAGCAATAATATAAGCGTTCAAACAAGTTTCATATCATTGCGACCAGAAGAAAGAAGATACTTACCGCTTACCACAGCCACAGCTAGACCAGAAAAGTATAGGCAATCACCGGAGACAGACCAGGGAACAAGCATGCACCAGTTACAGTAGACCAGAGAAGACCAGATTAGCAGCAGCACCATCAGCAGCAACACCATCAGCAGCAACACCATCAGCAGCAACACCATCAGCAGCAACACCAGAAGTAACAACAGCATCATAGGAAGCCGAAGAAAGAGCGACACCAGAGACCAGACGAAGACTAAAGAAGCAACTGCTAAAGATAGAGACAAAAGAAGCAGCTACCAGACACAATAAGCCAAATAGGCAGACAGCAGAGATAGCAGGGAAGCAGTGACAGCAACATCCACGTCAAACAACAGGCAAAAGAAATATCAACGTTTTATAAATAAATACTTTTAGTGTTAGTTCTACACCTTCTTCCAGTGAACATAATCAAATAATACCTACTATATTACACTTCAGGGAGGTAATGCCAAGCTCTTCTAACAGCACACGACAGTGGTATCAGAAGTAAAAGTGCAATATTCAATCGAAACGCTTTCATAAAAAAATAATATGGTTTGATAATAAACGCGTTTTGCAAACGGGGGAAAGGGAGAAAAAAAGAAGGGCGGCGCCTTATCCGACGTCACTGTCAGTAGATTTGACCTCAGCCTTCTGCCGAGGCAGTTGAATTTGCGGTACTTGAATATGGATCTGTGCAGTGAGCATTTTCCTGTTCCAACTTGACTTGATTTTACATTTTCTAAACGTTTTTGTCAAACTCGACTATAGAAGTTGTCGTTGTCAATCTTTACATTCTAATGCATCTATGGAGAGTCAATTAAGACGTATCGAATGACGTTGGTTTTATTGAGATTTCAGAATAAAAATAATAAGCAATCTTCAAAGATGTGAAAATGGGTTTTTTGCGAATATGTCAAAATCTAACATATGAAAGTTTAATAAAAGTAGTTTCCAATGTTGCATTCCATCTCCACAATCAGTTTGATCTCATATGTATCATAGAAAAAGTCTTCATTTTTGAGGTGAAAAACGCGATTGTTTGATTTTCAAGAATTTTCCCTTGCTAGTAATCATGAAAATATGAGGATTTTCATGGATTTGCAATGACGCAAAAAATTTGAAATTAGGCATCAGTAAGTAAAGCGCAATCAAGAGGAACCGTTTGGTGCTATTCCAGGCGCCCAAAATGCTCTGTGGCTTGAGTTATTCGTGCTTGCAAATGGCTAGATTTGAACAGAATTTGACCTAAAAGGCGAAAGAGGTTGTGTTGCCAAGCGAGTAAGTAAATCACATCTCTACTTGATGATCATCCAGATACTCAGCATTTTACAAAGCTCAAGTATTAAGTGATAGATGCCTTTGTTGTAATTCTGAGGCATATATCTTGCTTTTTGAAATGCGCGCGCTACTACTATTATTATAGTAATTTGAAGACTTGAGCGGCAATGACATTATGCAAATATGAATCTAGCAAATTGATCGGATTGAACGGGATGCTCGTTAGGTCAGCAGGGCACCTTTAATGGCCGTTCACAACAGAGATGTCATATCTAGCTGTAAAGCTAAACTCAAAGAAGTATATCCACAATGTTGGACATTCATAATTAACAAGAAGAAATGGCTGATAATACCAAACACGCTGAGCCAGTGTCAGCACAATCTAAGAAAAAAAACGACCAAATCATGTATCAAAATCGACTAACAGAGATTTATGATACTTACAAACCTTGGGATAAAAGAGTCGACATCTAGAAACTGGAGCGAAATCGGGTTTAAATAGGCTTAGGAAGCTACCCTGCCAAAAAGATCAGCTTTAGACAAATTATTCTAAATTAATCGCTCAAACGCTATTTTCTGCTATAATAGTGGCTCATATAAGTTTTCTGTTGCGCGCTAGCATTAGTCAATACACGCCCTAGATTTATTTTACAAACTTGAGCACCGTATGGACGCTTCTGTGCAATTGTTATTGAAGAAAGACGTATTTCTGCCATGGTAAACTCCAGATTTGGGAGCTAAAAACCCGATTTCTGAAAGAAAGCATCGTATGATTAAGCAATTTTAACTAGAACGTTTTCCAATACTTAACCCATCGATCCATAACACGTAACTACTCGTAATAAACAAATTTCATACAAAGGTCAGGGTTCCAAATTTACTGGTTTTTCATCATCAGTCATCAGTGACAATTCATCCAATCTCAAATCCAATTACGCCATCATTTTTCTCGCATCATTTCGTTATACTAGCGTACCACTTTAAGACGAATTTCAATTCAAGATTCGAAGAGAAATCAAACCTAAACAAAGAAAAGGCAGTGCGCAAAGGTTCCAAGGTGTAGCTCCTGCCGCAGGACTATTTGCTTAGACGCCATACTGGACTGTCTTGCAGACAGGATCAGGCCAACGAGATGAAGTGGAGCTCTTTTCCAAAGGCGTTTTACTCCCTTATACGGCGAATGTGCAATGAGTATAGCTTTATCACTAATGGCAGCCTTGAAAAGATGAAAGCTATCGAAAAGCAAAACTCGTTTTGAAGCTTCGTACATTTCTAGTGGATGGCCAGCCAACAATTCTTCGATCAGCAAGTCTATTATTTATGATATTTGGTGCAGTAGGAGCATGATACAAGGTGATCCTAAAGAGAGACCATCTCAAGCCGATAGAGTTGATGTAGCCTGCAGCTGCCAAAATCCAACACTTCCTGCAGTAGAAAAGTACGTGATGTTTGTGATTTGGGAGACTGAGCGTTGAATAATTCGGTATGGTAGAAGCTATCCGCAGTTTGTGTGTCATATTTTATTTCTAGTCAAAAGTATACAAAAGTACCTTCATTGAGATAGTTAAGCTGCAGCAGGAGATGTATAATGTAAATGATCGTCGCCAATGTCATTCTGTTTAATGGCATCACTCAAATCAGAGCTCGCTGGCATAATAGTCAGGCAATAAGTTGAACAATTTTGAAGCATTGAATACTTTTCATTCGTAGAATGGGTGTGTCGATGATGATATTACTAGTAGTAACATTTTATATGGCACATGGTGGAGCTCCTGAAAGCCCACTGTAGCGTATAAGGCTCATTTCTGTCGAGGCTTTGACAGAGGGCAGGTACAGACTATTAATCTGCATTGTTCTAATTCCAACATCAATTGACTTGTGCAAAATTGAATATCTAGTAGTGCGTAAAACTGAGTAGAGCCCCCAGATTGATACAGTATGGGCGCCAATCGCCAATTCAAGGTATGCTTAAATCAAAATAAAAATGATCACACAAACCAAGGGATGTCTTACAATGAAATCTTATTGTCTCTATCGGTGTAACTCCAATAATAGATGTGATACGTTACATAGCAGGGCAGATAAAAATATCAATTCCCTCATTATAAAGTATCGTATCAGCTTTTTCTTCTTGCTGAAGGCCCCTCTTCTACCCTGCACCCTCCTTCTCTCTCATTTAAAGCATCTTTTTGTAAATAACTACTCACATTCCTTCATCACAGCAAGCCATCCCAATGTCCAATGCATACAAAAGAGCAAGTCTGGTACTTCAGAAAGCAACAGGACCCAAATGGAAGCAGGAACTCGTATCAGATCACAAATTCGATTTCATTGACATTGAAGACTTTCGAGAACATAACTGTATATTGGCGATTCGGTACTTTCTGCTACTATGCTCAGTAGTTGTATCTGTTATGGTCTATGGTGCCGATTTATGGTCAGCAGCTATTCTCTTGATTTACGACGTACGTATATATGCCTGAGTCAGAAAACGATGCACACAACAGCTAAATCGATGCTGCCTCTATAGAAATGGTCTCTTTCAACACAGCCAAAAATCCCATTTTATATCAGTAAATGGATCTACGTTGGATGCATCGCACTCTCATTCATGCTGTTGGCATGGGAAATTCGTAAAACAAGAAATGTTATGGCAACACGAGACATTTCCTTGGCAGTAACTAACCCTCTGGCTTATCGAACATACTCTGTAAAAAGCTACATTCATTTCTGTCTGTTACAAAAGATCAAATCATCCACTCGATGGAGTGATGTGGTTATCTTTTATGTGTTTTACACTTTAAAAGGTAAAGGTTTCGAATCTAATTAAAGTCTGCAACTTTCATTTTAACCTCTTTTATCAGGCTGGAAAAGAGTCATTGTGGCTCAAGGTCCCAGACAGATCATTGCTGGTATCACTGTCTATGCCTTGTTGAAATCTGCGTGGACAGATGCAAACGGTATGTATCATAGTGGCAAGAGTAACTGCACAAACTAATGAAAAGGACAGGCGGATTCAAATTCTCGAGTGATTGGAACACTTATGGCAAAGATTGGCCACAGCGTGTAGCATTGGTTCTCATGTGCTTTACGTGTATCCTTTGGATCTTGTCTGCATTGTCAATTCTACTAGCTGTGTTGCTGTACTTTCCTATTCTCTGTCAAATTCAGGGCAATTTGAAAGAGTACTGCTGTCATAAGATTGACAAACGGTATGTACATTATGCTGCCACACCAACGACACATTGCTTACGCTGATTACATTTTTCCTTAGTATTGACGAACTGTTGGAAAAGCAACGTAAAAAACGTCTTCGTGAGAACGAAAGAAAGTATGCCAACAGCATCAGTAGCAAGAAATCAAAGAGATACAACAAGAGAGACGGAGATCAAGTAATTGAAGTGCTGCCTGCATTACCCACACTGCCAAAGATCACCAATGTCGATCTCTATGCTGGCGAAAAGAAGAATAGCCCATGGTTGTACCAGCACCAGGAGCAGCAAAACTCTTTTTACTATGACAGCCAGCCCATGACGCCACTAGAGTCTTCGTATTCGCTTCAGAGAAACCCCACCAACAAATACAATCCTTATAACGAAGCACCTCGTATCCAGTATCAGAATGCAGTGCATCAACCGGCCAAGGCATACACACAGCCCGATAATGCCTCCAATTACTACTATTCTGATCATCCAACAGCTTACAATACGCCCAGCACAACACCATCGTACAATCGCCTTGCATCGCACGATGCATCGACTATAACAACAAGCAAACCCCATGCGTATGATGATTATTCTTCTGTTGCACACATGACGAATGGCGGCTATTCTCAACCTTCAAATGACAACTACAGCCTTGCAGCCAAATCACCTTCTCATCAGTATCATCAACAGAATGCTTCTCACTACCAACAAAGCTATGAGGATCTGTCGGCAACTACACAGTCGATGAATGCAACCTCCTCTTACAAGGATTATTTTCAAACTGCAGCGCCGCATGCGACTACAAAGCAGCAAACATACACAAATTACATTTAGAACTGCAACGTAGATCAAACCCTGTGCATTGCATGCATTGATTGAATAATGGGGCAATAAAGAATGACTCTTTACTATAATGAATGGGGGGGGGGGAAATGAAAATGAATTGATCTAAACTAACAAATATGCACACATAAAGCGAATGATATTATTGATCAGCAAGTGGCTCTGGCTCTTCACTGCTGTCTGTGTTTTTAAGCCCTTCCTTTTGCTGTTGTTCTTGAGAAGGAGAACTTTCGTAATGAGGATTAAATTGACGTAATAGTTTGATGATATCAGGATACACAATCTTCTCAATGCCTTCCGCCCATAAAAAGTCTAAATGCTCCCATTTCTCGATTGACTTAACGTAGGCTAAAGGAGAGGGTAAGTCAGCTGACAGTACGTTGAAATCGACCAACGAATCTGAACGGCCGTAAAAGATGGCAATGGGTGCTCGAATCTGCAGTGTTGGAAAGCGAGGTGGAATATGATCTGCGACAGCATTGACCGTATGATACGGTAAACGACTAGGCACTTCATCGTACATTTGAAATTGGCCTGTGCGAATGATTTGAAACCAGTGCACCAATGATTTCACACTGGTCAGGGAATACAGATGCTGGTAGCTCACTGTCTTTTGGTCGGCAGACATGTTATCTCCTGTCCAGCCAAATAGAAATCGTACGCTTGCATCAATGACCTTGACAAACAGAGGCGGACTGATGATGCGCTGCCAAAACAGCGCTAATTTGAGTGGCGTCTTTCTACCAAACATGAGGTAAATCACGCTGGGTGTCGCCTTTACAAATGCATCAATCAATGGGTGTTTCAATCCTTTGGGTGTGGTAGCAGGTGCCATGGCAATGAAGAGATTGATCTTTTTGTTCAAGTCTGAATTAACAGAGAGACCTGCAAATGCCTGAGCGGTACCTTGGGAAAAGCCAATATAGGTCAAGCTGGGAGCTCCCGTTTCAGCCAAAATGTACTAAACAATAGATGTTAATAAAATGGCATGCTGAGCTCTGTCTTTCTCATCCCTGAGCTTACGTCGACGGTATCAGGCATATCTCGCATGGCAAATTCGTTCAGTGAAAAGTTCCAAAAGGGTTGATTTCGAGGACTGTGGTGTACATGATATTGAGAATACTTGTTTCCACGAGCATTGCCGAGCCAAACATCGTAGCCTTGCTGTGCCAGAATAAAAGGCAAGTTGCAGTGCTCTTCCGTATTGGCCACCCACACTTCCGAAGACATCAGGAATCCATGGTACAGCAATACCACAGGCTTTCCTTTGTATCCTCCTTGCGCTCCCTTAGGTTTCTTTTGCTGGATAAATTTATCCAAGTTATCAATCACTTCAATGCCCTTTTTTGGTAGAAATGTCTTTTCTCCTTTGCGGTTGTCGTTATGGTGGTCTTTGACGCTGGGGATACGGTGGACGCATAACAGATAGTCGTCGAGTGTACGCACCAAGTGCTGCTCGCATTCGTACTTTTTCCTGATGGCACAGTGTGTTAGTATGAGGTACAACCAAGTTGACCTAAGCTGACTTTACCAATGTCGAACCATCTTTTCGAAGCCTTCTGCCTTTTCCAACGGACTCACATGAGGTTCATTTTCAACTTTGGATAGCCAAGGAAACATACTATCAAACAGAGGGTGAGACGACGGCTAGATGTATGAGAATAGCTACTCACGATTCAATAGCGAAATCAACGCTCTTGAGCAGAAATTTAGGCATGATCATGACAATGATTCGAATGACGCTTTCAAATAGAAAGAAGAGTATGGTGAAAACCAACCTGAACAAACCAACTGTAAGTAACATGGAGTCGAACTAATGACAATGCTCTCTTTTTTTTTTTTTTACCCTTGGTAGTCTCTAAATGTCAAACGGTCTAGAATCGGTATCTTGATCATAGATATCAATTATATACAGTGATGAGTTATAAGAAGAGAAAGAGAGGCAAATAAAAGTAAGAGGCGAAATGAAACAAAACTCGATGCTTGATCGCCAAATTTTATAGTGATATTTTAGAGCGGAGAAGGGGGGGCAAATTCAGGGTATCACAACCTGTTTAGAATTGCAATCACATGCTAATTGCTCGTTTTTTCTGTGTATCAGACCAGCATAAGGTAGATTGACACTTTATTAAATTTTAGATTGGCCAGCCTTCATCGTCTGTCAGCACTTCACCTTCAAATGTATTTAGCACCTTCATGTAGCGTTCATCGTCCATTTCCACATTCAGCCATCGCTGCACCGTCTTTTGCTCCACCAGAGATAGCCGCTTTTCCAGCTCTTCGGCAGTGAGGCTTCCCCAATCAATGTCTTGCAGTGGATTGACTTCAGGTTCGACTTCATCCGCATCATCATCATCATCATCATCAAAAAATGTCTTTCGTTCAACTGCAGGCGTACCCCAGCCACCTGTTGTCTGTATAGAGGAGGGAGATGCGCCCCAGCCATCCTGTTCCAACAGCAATTGCTTTTCCTGCTCTTCCAGAAGCTCTTGTTTCTTTTGCTTTTCTTCAAACTCGCGTCGCAACTCTTCCAAGTACAATTTGTTGATTTCGTGTGTCAAATCTTGGGCAGATAATGGTATGGGAATGGTATCGGGCAACGGTGTGCCAATGTGTCCATTTGTTGTTGCTGCTGTAGCCTCCTCGTCAAAGTCTCTATCGTCATCGTCATCGTCCTCATCCTCGTCCTCATCATCTTCGCCGTCGGTAAAATAGACATCTCTTTCGAGCCAGTTTCGGTAGTCTCTTTTGAAATCCATATCCAGCTCCATATCATCCACCAAGATGGGTTCATTCAGTGTATAGTCAGGCAAGGCCTTGCTTGTGCTGTCATGACTGTTGGCTGTGGTGGCGGCAGTGTAGTCGTTACTGTAAAACAAGGTATTGTCAGGTCCACTCACTTCGTCCATACTAGGCAACATGTTTGGTAAATAGCGCTGGCCATTATATAATCGAGTGAGCATGCGTAGGTTGATCTCCTTCATCTGTTTCATCGCGAGTGTTGAGTATATATGCTGAGACATGTGAGGGAGATGGTTCAACTTACTGCACTTTCATCCATATCCGCACTTCCCTCAGGACTTGATAGCCAATCGTCATTTAAGCTGGTGAGGCAATGGGCATATATGGCAGAGATGGTCTTCATGTTGGCTACAGAGATCGTGTTGGCTTTAAACATCCTGTCAGGGCTGACTTGACTTACCTGATCGCCATTTGCGTCCCATAAAGGGCACTTGATTCTTGAGGTTTTTCAGCACATACAAATCCATCACTGGATGGCCTACCTTGAGTAGTCTTTTCAATATGGCCTACATGACTTGAATGAGTCATTGGGTGTATTATGGTATCATACATACATCAAACTTACGGACGATTTGTATTGCACGAGCAACAGGATGCGGTGTGTCTTTCGCTTGGTCAGCATTTGAAGGATCCTCAGCAAGTTGATGGACCACGATAAATTTCGACTGTTTGTATAATTTTCTTGAGTATCATTATTATCGTCATCATCCATATCATTGTCATTGTTTGCGTGTGTTTGTTGAACAAAACCTAGAAAGCTGTGTATTCCAGCATCAGCCTGCATTCAGGGTCATTTTATACTGTAAGCTTACCTTTGGCTGTCATCGTCTGTCTTTTTGGATGCCAACAGGGCCACTTCTTGCAATCCCAACAGCTTGAGAATCAGCAGCATGCATCCTGAGTCAATCAAGACTTGCGACAGGTATTCAAACTTTAGGACATGCGATGTTTTGAACCATTTCAGCAGCAACAACAGTATACCAGACACAGCTTTGGATATGGATTCTCGGTTGCGCGTGACATCAATGTCCTCCAGTATCTCGGCTTCCTTGTCTTTTCCAATAGAAACTGTGGACAACAGTAGTTTGAGAATTATTACTACGATGCTCTGAAAGCTGGGCACAATACTCTGATACAGTTGGTCAATGCGCTTAACTGTGGCTTGCTGCTGTTTGTCCAAATGATCGTAGACCATGCCATCCCATTCCTCTTCTGATGTGTGTGGATGTTGATGTCGCTGGCTCCATCGAGACCATCGATGCACTGCCTTTTCTCGCTCGTAAATGATCTGATAGTTGGCTACTGAAATGTATAGGTGTTTGATCCACACAGACTTGGATTCTGTCAGACTGCGAGGTTCCATGGCACTGGATTCAGTAAAGGGCAATAGATTGGTCTCCATGGCAAGCTGCTGCTTTTTGCTGCTGCTGCTGCTGCTGCTGCTGCTGCTTCCATTGACTGCCATGTTTGTTGCCGCTGTTGGTTGTTGATTCTTGGATGGGAACAGGGTTTGGTATGGCAGATCAATGTTCTTTGATGCTTTGTAGAGTCCCATGGCTTTGGAGAGTCGCGTAGATGCTGTTACAGTCAGTGGATTGGTACATTGACTCGGCGTATCGTTGTGGGTGAAGGTTGGATATCGTTCGCTTGCTTGATGGTAGAATTGGAATAGTTCTTCGGGGGTACATTTCACAGTGGTTGACTTGTCGGCAATGAGGGGTAAGTGGCATGCTGTGCGAATAGATGATTTCAGCTGTTGGTGTGATGCATCCAAGGGGCCTAAGCTGATGTGCAATACTTTGTGCAAGACAAGCATCAGCTAGAAACGAGTGTCAATGAGCGTACTCTAGTTACATGTGGATGCTACTTGAACCTTTTTCAGTGGAAACGTCTTTGTAAAGTGCTCCTTCAATCTCACCACCAAATCAAACAAGAATTCAGACAATCCGGCATCCTGGATACCTTCTTGGTTGAAAGACACAATCAAGTAGAATACTGTCAGGTGGATATCAATCTCTTTGCAATGGAACTTGACAGAATCTGGCACAGAGGATCTACATGATGAAAAGCGAGTTTAGCAGGAATTCCAAGCGGCTGCATGAATTTTGTCTCTGTACATGGAGGGTGTTTCGAGTTGTTTGCAGGCATGGTTCAGACATTGCTTTATAGTCGCTAAAATATCCATCTTAAACAGCATTTGGTTGTTTTTCTCGATTGCTTGCAAATGTGCTTGCTTCTTTTCCAAACCAGCGTACTCGCCATAACTTCCTATATGTGGGCAGTCAGTGTTGCTTTCCGTTATTCATCGTATATATGTATACCCAAGGAAATATAAGCAAGTCGCTTGGCCGCACGCAGCCTCTGCTGATCGTTCAACAGGTCGAGATGGTCTCCACAGCGTTGAATGATGTCTCGTCTCTCGTCTTGCAAGCATTCGCTCCATGCTACATACAGGTGGATGTGAGTTGTCAGATGCTTTCAAGCACTATCATGAAAGGGCATTTTACGTGGAAATAGCTCGTTGTACTCCTGCTGATACTGCTTCAGTTCGTTCTTGACTTCTGAGTAGGATATGAATTCGTTGATTTCCTGCTCGAAATCATCTGGCTTGTAGTAATCGTAGTTGATGTGCTGCTGTGGCTTCTACAGAGACAAGATGAATACGGCATTTGGGCAGAAGGCAAGCTACTAAATGCTTACATTGTTCTTGCTGTAAAATCTGTTCAGTTGCTCCGTATTCACTGTATGCTGGCTGTCCAACATGATGAAATGGTAATGATAGAGGAATGAACCAAACAAGAACGAACATTATGTCTATTTGAATGAAATGCTTCCCATTTGGTGACTGGTATAAGCACATACACGGCTTTTTTTGAGATTCATGGTTCGCCACCATCGAATTGAAAGGGGGAGGAGGGGGGGGGAGAAGAATACAAAGAACGCGCATCGCGTTGGTGATCCAATTTTCTTCCCATTATAATACACCTACCATGGATTTACAGAGCAAAGGACCAACGGCTGTCAACTTTATATCAGACAAGATGGAGACATGTAAGTGTATCGTTCTCAATCCAAGGCGCTTGATCTCACTCGTTTTCATCTTTAGTGCAAGTGCCTGACAATGCTTCTCCCAATTGCCAGTACATCAAAGACGGAAAACTGCACTTTATAGAGCCCAAACTTCGAGCAGAGAACCACCATGCCGTAGCAGAGAGTAAGTGCGCATTTAAGACTCGATGTATCGTACTGGCGCTCAAGCATCACACTCCAGAGATCATATTTTTCAGACAGTACAGAGCGCAGACAGAGGGCACAGCAGAGATGTTTCAACAGACCATTGAGATACCACCAGCGTACATGGACCTTATTGCTGCTCTTGTACAAGACAGTGACGAGCCACTCACTGTGCTTGTTGCTCGTGTCAATGATACATTATCTCCATTCGCCAGAAGTGAAAAGGGTAATGCCATTATTACACTGACAAGGGAGGAGGGAGTTTACTTACACATTCAATAGCTGCCCATAAATACGATATTGCTATTGAAAAAGCCATTCGACAAACAGCTCAAAAGTGCTCGTACGGACTTGGCCAGCAAGTCTTTGATTCCATAGAACACTCGATGGCCAATATACCATGGCACCTCAGCATCAGCAGGTGGGAAGTCTATGACATTTCATCGCTGCCCACCGACATGCAGCAAATTGTGACAGAGAGAAGAAAACATAGGCAGATCATGACAGAACAGGTCTCTGCTTACATCCAAAATCTGCCACCTAGTGAGAAATCCACCATTGTAAATACCAAGCATCGCAACAGATCCATCTACAAAGAAGACAAGGACGATACTGCGAGACTAAAACCAGTAGAAACAGAACAGGAAAAGGAAGAGAAGCGCCTGAAGCGAGAAGAGGAAAAGAAGAAGCGGGAGGAGAAGAAGCAGCGAGAAGAGGAAAAGCGACTACGAGAGGAGGAGAAGCGAAAGCAGAGGGAGGAGGAGAAGCGCATTCGCACAGAAGAGAAAAAGAAGCGAGAGGAAGAGAAGCGCAAAAAGGAGCAATCTCAATTACGATTGACATCCTTATTCCAAAAGACCACGCCTACGCAAGACAGCAGTTCACCGCACCATGTGGAGCAAAAGACGATCGAACCTGCTAAACCCACTCTATTCCCAGCATTCTATATCAAAGACCATGTTCACATTTCCAACAGGTGCTCAGCTCAGTCATCACCAAATATCTCCAGCTACGACCAATTTAAAAACGCTACCCATAACACATCTGACGTATCTATCCAAAATTTTCTATCTCAAATGACCCCTGACACCAAGCAAAAGAGAGGTGTCTCTACGCATGTTGACATCAGAACGCTTTTATTGCCTGGAGCGTCTGATATCTTACAAGTGCCCAATGTGCGCATGGTGTTGCGCATGAAATTGCTACAGTTCAAGGAAGATGTGAGACCTGCGTACTATGGCACATTCACCAAGCAAAGTCGTATTGTTAGTGGCAGAAGACCGTTTGCTCAAGATGTAGATCAACTGGATTACGATGTAGACAGTGAGGCTGAATGGGAGCCTGAGGGAGAGGGCGAAGACATTCATAGTGGTGACGAGGACGATGATGATCCCAACACCGACATGATTGATCCAGAGGATGTAAGTTTGCTCGAGTGTGGATGTCTCAAGGCATTGGTATACTGATAGGCAGTTAGGCGGGCTGGCTCGTGCCAGAGGGCTATTTGTCTGATAATGAAGGTGTCGAAGAAGGAGGAGAGAGATCAGGCAAACCGTTATATCCACAGAACGCATCGAAGCGATTGGCTGTGCGACAGGTTGTATTGGGTCCGTTCTTTGAGGGAGAGGATGCAGCCATGGAAGATGAGGTGATGCGACCCTTTGAGACACAATTTTTGGTGGATGTACCAGCAGAGGGCTTTAATCCATTTTACAAGGAACCAGTGTCTCGATCTGTCAATGGCAATACTACAGCGAACGCTACTACTACGTCTACAACTGGCTCACACTCACCTGCTGCTGTTACTAATACAACCAATGCCACCAACACTACACCAACTACAAATCCACCCAAGTTGACGGACGAGCAATCCATTGCATTGATTAGCGTAAATTGTCTCCACCTAATGATTGATGTTATATATCGCGCTGACATTAGCTTTTTACTAGGTAATCAATGAAAAGCAATCTGAAAGCATCCCCAGCTTGATCAATGAAGCTAAAGCAAACTCTGTGCTAAAAGATGTGTCCAAACGATCACTGGCAGCACAAATTAAGAGCATTGCAGTCAAAGAAAAGAGAGGCACAGACACTGTAAGTTATTGTGGGCTTTTTGTTCGTATTCTTTCACTCACAGTTCTCTCCTTTTCCATAGAGACTCTCTTGGTATGTCAAAGATTCTGCTACATCTCTCACGCCTCCACCACCTCAACCTCAACCTCAACCTCAACCTCCAGCAACGCAATAATGGACTTTTTTTTTTTTTTTTTTTTTTTTTTTTTTCTTGCATGATAATACAGTGAAAATATAAAAGAGCTTTATTGTATTTGCTGTCATATTAGCCTGGACCCACTTTAGGAATATCATGATGCTCGCTCAATTGTTCCAATTTATGATTGAATTCTTGAACTCGATCTTTATGTGATTTAGCAGCTGCTTTTGACACTCTTTCCATTTGCTATCACAACATGTTAACATTCTAAAGATGTGTGTATACTGAATACAACATGAAAAACTTACTCTTTGTCGCTTGATCTCTTCGAATTTGCGTTCTGCCTCTGTCTTTTCCACATCTTGATAGACTTGCTTCAATTTGCTCTGTTCTTCACGTAGAGCACGATCCATCTTTTCCTTGCTTGATTTTGAAGACTTCTTCTTCTTTTTTCTACATGTTCCATAAAATGAGTATTCAATGTGAATCAAGAGTATTAAAAGAAGAGCTACTTACTTGATGGACGCTGATTCACCACCTTTGAATTTCAGTGACCCTTTCTTGACGTGGTCGTACGCCGAAGACATGATTATGGAAAAAAAAAAAAAAAAAAAAAAAAAGTGGTATGGAGGAAGCGAGAGAGAGAGAAAGAGCTTGAAAAGAAGCTGCGAGAAAATTTATTTTACATGCAACGGCTTTGCTATGCCTACAGCCAATAGATGTGCTTCATTGATTTGGCCCATCGCTAAAATGAAAGCTTATACTGTATAGTAGATGCTTAATTCAGCAGTTTTTGATGCTACAGCTTGTGGGTCGTCTTTTGTTGATAGGCATTCGAGTTGACAACTGAGCCGTTGTTATCGCCAAATTGAAGTACTACATGTTCCTAGAGGCTCACAGGGTCATTTGTTTCAAAAACATGTAACATTTCGGTTCGGCGTGTTGGCTCGAAATGTCAACGCTTGCTTTAACCATTGTATTGACACGATCCTCTTTCTGAAGCTTTTATTGATTTAAGATTTTCGACCGATATAACAACTCAAATTGAATAGGCTTTGAACCCAAAGATCCTATAAAAATGTTTCTAATGAGAGGCAACATTTGGCCATCCTGACTTTTTTTTTTTTTTTTTTTTTTTTCTGGCTAATTTCTCAAAATGTCAAAAAGCTATTGTTTGATTTGCGCTCAGGCGACTTTTTGCGTAGAGCTTTTTTGCTCACCTGATGGTATAACTCACATATATTGACGCAGCTTATCTCGGTTTGCCATGCCTTTTGCCACTCTAAGGATCGAAAATGAGAAAAGAGCCATCCCGATCTTTCCACCTGCATGGATAATCGTGGACAATGGATAAACATCTCATGTAGTCTGTAATATCATGAACAGATATCCGCGATACAGGTTTTCGGCTAGACTCAAATAAATTCAATGCAATGTAGACATTACAAAGCAAGAGTTTAACCAACCATAACCCTTATCGCAACATTCTGTTTCCATGTTCTAGATATGAATGGGTGCTTCAGAGCCTCCCTACTGATATATATACCAAAGCTTCCCTTTCTAACCTACATTTATTACTTGAGAAGCCGTCGTAATTGAGAATTTGGCCTTTATAGTGTGTTCCACGGTCGCATCAATGAAAACAGGTCATATACAAGTAGACAGTGTACTTGCGTTTTGTTGTACTCATCAAAAGTATGAAAAACGCACCGAAATACGGATGAATTTGAGTCGACATTTCTCGTGTTAGAAGCCGTTTTAGACCTTCGGAATAGCACCAAACAAATGTTCTTGACTAGCATGAACTTCCTGACACCTTTACTCAACTTTTGGAGGACCCAAAAAACATGGCCAAAAATCGACCCAAAAGCATGAGGTACCCCCTGATGGTTTTCATCGAAAATCAAATGATCGCGATTTTGACCATAAAAACGAGGACTTTCACTATGGTATATATTAAAGCAAAATGATGCTATCGATCCAGCGCAACCCCTGAAGCTGCTTTTGTGAGACTTTGATATGCAAAATCTCGACATTGTGGCCACAAACCTCATTTTACATTTTCATAGATTGCTCAGTAGTTTTATTCAAAACACCTGTTATAATTAGCACCATTGGAAGCGCCTTGAAAAGTATTCCAGGAAAGCATAAGGGAGAATGAGACGATTCCTCACGATCTATATAGTCAAATTTCGCAAAATAAGTCGAATCGAGCTCGAAAAGTTAGAAAAACAACAAATCAGAGCATTCTTTGGAGCTGACTTTTATCCGATTTTTGGCTGGTGGCAGGATCAATTCATGTATGCAATCGAGGTTTTTAAAGAGAATTGGAGACTAACTTGGTACTTTATTATGCATTTCTATATATTGCTACAGAATTGGCCAGGCAAAGGCGAATCCTGATCCGAAATGCAAAACTATCATTTCACTCTGAATTGCATACAACACATACCGGGAACCCTCGTACTGTACACTGAAGGCTGTATTATTCACGATGACCATTTGCAAACATACTGTCATTAGTTGACGATACAATTATTTGTGCCACGGATACAACTCACATAGCACATTCATTCTCTAGCTAATCGATACGTCATGCATGTCTTGTATCCTATAAGTCAATTCTTCTGAATGACGCTGTGCAAAATAGAATTCTGTCGTCATTTTCTTATTTAATAGATGTGATAAAGATGCTGATATGCCATGCACCGTTTTAGCACATAACAAACTAATATGATAGACATGATCTACTAGCTTCTTTTAACGCCAATATATATGCACAGTGCAACAAACCACATGAAAATCAGGTAACGAAAAGTATGGCATTGGATAAGATTTGCATTTTTCCTCATGTAGATGATGCTAATTATGACGGCATGTAGTACATGCAAACCAAAGTAATGGTACCATCATGCCCAGATTAGGTGTGTACAGAAAACCTGAATTAAGATTTGACCCAAAAGCCCTTTTCGATGATAACGGAGATGTCTTAATCGAGCATCGTTCTTTTACGGTATATGTATTCAAGGGCAATCGACGATGTACACACATATCAAGGAGAGATAGATGTTGGAGCGATAGCCATCGTGTATGGTTTCAGGGCCAGATTGGTATATCATCTCATTTTTCCCCATCAGCACCATCAGCTTTTTTAGCGGTAAAAAGTATAAGCACATGGTCCTTGATGTATAGTGTCAAATACTGTGCTATTGAAACGGGTTTCACAGCTGCTACAATATCAGCAATGTGCAATGATTACGCTCACGATGACATATGTTGTGTGCGTTTTCATTGAACCGTGATTGAATTGGTTGTCATTCGAGCGAGGGGATGCATTTATCGATGTGGAAAATCAAATGTGAAGTTTATATGAAGTATTGTTCTGTTAGACATTCTGATTTTAATTCAAACTTTGCATCTCTATTTGTCTTTTTTTTTTGGGGGGGGGAGGCCTCAATCCAAACACACATTGTTCAAGAAGATAGTAGAACCAAGAAAGAAAAAAAAAGAGATAACTTTGGCTAGATGGATGTAATAACGTCACGAGATAAAATGTAGAAGCTTCTTCTCCTCTTTCTCTGATTTTGATACATTGGATTATATGGTAATTACGAGGGTATTGCTATAGGACCACATAATCATGGGCAAGGAGAGATTTTCCATTGTTCGCAAATGTTCTACAGAACGAGCTGATGAACTGATCCATTGCGAGGCGTTCCTTTTTCACACAATTTAAGGTTTGTGGGTGCTAAACCCGACCTAAACATTTGGTTCTGCTTGCTGTTTAAGCATTCAACTTTGAAACCGCATATTTGACTCAATTTAAAATGGTTTCTGATTATAAACATATACCGTACGTTTGCATTAAACCACGTTTACTGCTTATAAAACTAAAACCTTTTTACACCGAACCATCGTAATTAAGGAGACCATTTGATTCAGTTTTAGTCTTTTGGAAATCCCATAGAGTTAGTTGATCCTTTTTGCCAGATCTTGCCAAGGGTATACTCTAAAAATTAGCATGTTTCAGTGCTCCTTCTATCCGAATCTCCACGAAAATAAAAGCTTATGTTTGAATTTGAAATACATGGTTGGCGAATTTCAAAAAAAAAAAAAAAAAAAAAAAAAAAAAAGAGTTTATTACTGGTGCAAGCGCAGAGTGAGAGTAGATCATAAATCATATGTGTGATAAAACTAGACAGAGCGTAAAAAAAAAAGGGGAGATTATCATGAATGCAATTTAATCGAGAAATAGTATGTGATATAAATGGAGAATCATAGAAGAAAATTTACACATGGATAACAGTAGAATACTTTAGAACAAAAAATTAGGGGCATAGATCTTTTTGGTTTAAGGTGCAACAACAAAAAGATGGTGTCTATTTTGGGAGCTGATGAAATAAAACTTTAGATACGGACGTGGCCTCGTAACGCATTCAACTGACGGTCGTCTTCTGATGATGGTAACTTCTCCCAAGCAATGTCTTGTATAGGTAGCAAATATGAGGTGGATGATGTGGACAAAAGTTTCGGACTGGGCTGTTGATGATAAACTTTGGTATGATTTAGTGGTGTTAGTATGGTTTCATTATAGTCGTCTTCCAATGACTGAGGAGATGTCGATGATGATGTAAGGGATGGTGGTGGCAATGATGAGTTTGTAGTGGACGACGAAGAAACGGACAAGTTGTCGACTCCAGAGCAAGAGGAATCCATGGAGTCATGGCGCTGATAATGCTGCATGGAAGCAACATGTCCTCCACCAATGTCTAGAGGGTTTAATTCAGGATATAATCCCTTTGGGATTTCAATAGAGTTGAATCGACTGTCTTGAGATGGCCTTAATAAGCGGCCAGAGAGGATGTCTGATTTTGTGTAGTAAGAGATGAGGTGGATTTTTTGATTTGTTGTTGTGCAGATTGAAAAGCTCTGCTTGATGAGGCCATTTTGCTTGTAGGAGAAGGCCACTTGCTTGACACCAGGCATCACATTGGTAGGCCTACGGGGTCTGCGCTTTGTATCCAGCTCTTTATAGGTCAGGAAGCTGCCTAGTACTCTGCTTGGAGACCATGTACGACCATCTGTCCATCGTCGCATACCAGCTTCGTTTTCATCCCAAGCAAATACAGATCCAGAATGAATGTTTAAGCGTTCTTTTGATGTTAAACGTCTCTGCACTCTGTTCAAGGTGCCTCTTCGACATGCTTCAAAGATCAAAAGAGCATCTTGTGGCGATTTGATGTATCCAATGTATGTTTCCATTATTGCTGAGGGTAGAGAAGAAATAAATAAAAAGGGTGTTGAAGCTAGAAATCAAATTAGTCGTATTTAAATACTTTTTTTTTTTTTTTTTTTTTTCCAGGCTTCTATTTCTGCACTATACCCAAAATTATGTCATGGTTTTCCAAATAGCTAATTATGCAAAAATAGTGAAAGCACCGCATTTGTACAAAATTGGCAACATTTTAGGATTTTAGGGTTCTTGAACAATGTGAGAGCTCCCCCCATTTCAATCTTCAAATCCAGTGATTCAATGTAGGGGCTAAGATACATGTAACATTTTATTCGTTGTGCTTCTTTTGTCTCATTTTATAAACGTAGGGAATCATATTTAAGAAATATCTGATTTCTGCTTGCTCACCGGTGCGAACGACTGATTCATGGCCACATGCTACAAAGAAATAGTGAAGACTAGTGCACATCTATATACAAAAAGTCAGCCACTTGTTACAATTGTACCTATTAACAGTGTTGTATTACCAATACATGCCACCTGTAAGAGGGCAAGAGAGAAAAGACGTTAAACACATTGGTCTTTGTGTGTACAAGCATCTGTATTTACCATGCGTGAAATTGTGGATTAGGAACATGATCGAATACAAAGCAAAAATTGGAGTCAAACAGCCACACGCCAAGGGCCAATGCTAAGAACTTGCAGCCCTGATGAAATAATCTAGTAACCTGCTCATTCCTGACATTCTTATACAGTTGATACACAAAATAAAGATCGGTCCACATTACTAAACCAAACGAGGTCTGAAACATAAAGAATTGAGTTGTGCCCTTGTTCATACTGGTAACGTAGGTTGCGAATGCGCAATAGATTGAGATGCACACTGTGTATCCAATTCCTTTGTAGCCGTGTTCGTCTAGCAAGACCCACAAGAGCTGACATGCGCACCATACCATTGGGACCTTAGGGGAGTTGAGTCAATTACACTCAATTGCCTCTCTCACTAGTACTTACTTCATCCCACATTTGATGTTCAAACTGGAGAGTGGCATGAAATAAGACACTATTCAGAATATGGAAAGTCTTGAGCCCCTGAATTTCTTTTTCTTCGATGAATGCTTCCATTACCTTCCAATGCCTACCACAACGATCAAGAGATAGCTAGCAGATAGTCTCCATCCAAGTGATCTGTGGTGGAGCGCTACACCAAGAAATCCTAATGCAACCATCGCTAAACTCTGCAGAAATGCTCCATTGAAATCTTCCAAATCATGTTATGTCTGCTGCTTGTATACTTACTGAAATCGTATTCCAAAATTCAGCAATGTAATATGAATGTGTATAGTTTTCTTCGCACCTGCAATGTTGGCTTTAGTTTAGGCCTGGTTTGTTTGTTAGCTGTAATGCATAATGTTACCAATCAACTGAACTAGTGACAGGACCCCAATATCCTGCTGGTTGTGTCATTTTGTTTGTTTTATTTGGTCAAATTAAGGTTGAAGTAGTATACAAGGATAACACACAGAGGATAATTTAGTAATCAAGTATAAAAAAAAAAAGGGGGGGAAAGTTAAGAAAGAAGCATCTAATCCTTTGACCAATACACAATGTATATAGAAACGGAAAGGCAGACAGATTCTTCCTATGAGAGAGTCACAGTTTCTACCATGTATTACCCGAGGAAAACCACACAAGTATTACATGCCTACTTGATCCATCCAATCGACAACTTGTCCAAATGTATCTGTACCATGGGGTGCACTGTGGTCAACCCAACCATCCAGAAATGGAGGTGGATTCGAATTGGAGAGCATCAACAATGGAAAATGAGGTTCAAATTCACTCATAGGGTATTTCTGCAACAGCTCCGAGCTGCTATCATCATCGCTGGCCTCAACCATCACTAGTCCAGACACTGGCTTATTGGAGACATATTTCTGCGAAATGCGCCATGCTACTTGACCGAAACTAATCATCAGTGGAGGAAAGAAGGAAAGTTCTGTTGTGGCCTGTTTTAATTCTATGCAATTCCAATGCACATGTGAGTAGAGAGGAGGGAGAAGGGGAGCAGAAACTTTAATGTATGTCATACAGAAATTCTTACCTCCATAGCTCGTTTGTAATGGTTCCTGATCCTGAGGTAACTCTATGTATGCTTGTACGCTGGAATACCCTAATTCACTGAATTTCTGCTGCCATAAACAAGGTCTTAAAATGGTCAGTTCAACGCATGATGTGATCAACGGCCTCTAATAGTGGTTACATTTTGTCATCTTTATTTGTTCTCAACAAGAGAACTGGTGTAGGTCTGTGAACATTGCTGGTTTCAGATGCATTGTAGTTTGTGATTGTAATTCTGCTTCGTGAGATTGTTCGATTAAAGGGTCGCGTTTGTCTTGTTAGTAGCGTGGAGAGTCTAGTAAAAGTCGACATATTGTACTGTGAACCAGTGATGTGATAATGATGAAAAAGAAGATAAAACAAGTTTGCACGCTGCTGGCCAAAATGGCCTTATGTTTAGCAAGGGGGGGGGGATCGTTCGGAGCTAGTGTATGAATGTTTTTAGAAAACCTTATTTCAATGATCAGCGTTGCAACTCAGAGTGTACATTTGCATCCATCAGGTTCTTCTAATAGCCTAGATTCCAATTGATATGCCTGCCATGGGCAGTTGGATACTTCAGGTCAAACTAGATGTATAAACTTCTACAAGACAAGGTAGAGTAGGGCAAATTGCTCAGTCTTCAAGCGAACATTCCATTGTGAATATCAATTCGCTTTATCATTGCTGTTATTGTTTCATTTTAAGCACAGTTTCACCAGCAACATGCGATAAAGCTTGTGCAACTAGAATACACAGATCGTTTTAGTAAAGTTAGGAAAAGGTTCAGTTCTAATAAGGGTATAACTTACAAACTTTATATCGATTAAAGACAAGAAACGCATTAACCTTATGAAATTATGCCTCCAAAATGTTTATAACAATGTCAAAAATCTAAAACAAAAATGCGGTGCGGTTTAGGTTAAAAGGATCTGTGAATATTATCATCGAGTGACGATGCTAGCCATTACAGGTATATCACGCTTTTTATGATTAAGCTTTACAAAGCTCTTTGGTTTCGAATGGGGTAGAATCTCCTCTCAAACTAGCAAATTACGTTAAAAGGAATACCGAGATTTCCAGCTGTCTTGGTAGTTTAAGCTATAGAAAAAATTACTCATCTCTAGTTCATTTCAGACGCTAGGAGAGGGATAACATGCATTTTTGTTGCGCTTATATCGCCAGTGACGAACTTATGATACAGCATTTGGAATTCTGTTGTAGGAAGTGAGTATAATATCCAGAATCTCACTCTTTGATCTCGCTAAAAGCTCAGCCGGGATTTCACCTTGTCACTTCATTACTAATGGCACCGTTGTATTGATTCACTGGAAACGTCTGCTAGCGTATGATAGAACTGACCATTATACTCGAAACAGTGTACTAGACAAATGGCCCTGTTTTATGGCTGTATATCATGTACAAGGCATCGCTATCATGAAGGCCACTAAATCAAATTCAAGAAGCTAAAGTTTAGTCTGTTTGAAAAGGCTCACATGTGAAATATTGTTTGCCATTTTGAGTAGAATAGCCACTTAGGAATATAAAAACATGAAACACACGTAAAGCAAAGTGATAGGTCTAGACTAAGGTTATGCAGCAGTACCCTTTTACTTACAATCCCATTTTTATTAGCTTCGATTACTCCTGATGAGAAGCCATGCTTGGCAATAGGCTGCAAACAATTCAAATGCCGCTTATTTTTTTCTGCTCAAGATTGGACAGATTTCGTCTTTTCTCGACTTTTTTTTAATCTTTTTTATGATATTCGACTATGTAAATTGTGATGAACACCCTACGCTTCCTAATACAGTCTTGAAGTACTTTTCAAGGCGCTTCCGATGGTGCTAGTTGTAATGGATGCTTTGAACGAAATTACCGAGTAATTCGGTAAAATATGAAATGAGGTTTTTAGCGAAAATAGCCATATTTTGTACATGAAAACCTCATAAAAGTGGTTTCAGGGGTTGCTTTGGATTGAGAGAAACATTTGGATTCAATACATGTCATAGCAAAAGGCTTCATTTTCAAGGTGAAAAATGCGATCGTTTGATTTTCGCCAAAAACCATGAGGGGTACCTCATGCTTTTTGGTCGATTTTTGACTATGTTTTTTTTGATCCCCAAAAAGATGAGCAAAGGTGTCAGGAAGTTACTACTACTCAAGTACAATTGTTTGGCGTCATTCCAGTGGCTCATAAAGAACTACATGTCAAGATATGAAGGCTCGAAAGCTGTCAAATTTGGCTACGTATTGCTTTATAGCTTTTATTTACACAGCATGAACCACATATTTAATAGCTGAAGTCTTTTGGAAGGGCAGTTCTGCAGCCTGTGCAACTTCTAATTTGAATAGAAAGCATATTGATTTTGGCAAGACTAATTCATGCAAACTTTGATACGTTATGTTGTTCGTAAGTTTATTAATGATGGAAATGAGAAACCGAATTTACTGCTTGAATATTATGGTTTAACACATTTGCTTCGCTACGGTAAAACTGCCTTATAGGTCGATGTCACCAAATGTTGAATTAGATGCGTTATGTTCTTGGTGGATGGGCTTAGCACCTCCTCCAAACCCTCTCCCCCCACCCCCAATGCCGGCTTCGCCAGTGGTTTATCCACCTTATACAGCACTCAATTCTTTAGTTTATCTACTTTTTTGAATGTCTTACAGTATATATAATAACAAGACATAAGTAAAGCAAAGTGATAGATCTAGACTAAGGTTAGGCAGCAGTAGCCTTGTACTCACAATCCTATTTTTATTAGCTTCAAATATACTGATTACTCTTGATGAGAAGCCATGCTTAGCAATATGCTACTATCAATACTACAAAAAAAAAAAAATACGCTACTATCAATTCAAATGCCGCTTATTTTTTTTCTGTTCAAGATTGGCCAAATTGTGTTTTTCTTCGACTTGATTGATTTATTTTGCAATATTTGACTATATAAATTGTAGTGCTCCCCAGATGCTTCCTAATACATTCCTGGAATACTTTTCAAGGCGCTTCCAATGGTGCTAATTATAACAGGTGTTTTGAATAAAACTATTGAGCAATTTATGAAAATGTAAAATGAGGTTTGTGGCCACAATGTCGAGATTTTGCATATCAAAGTCTCACAAAAGCAGCTTCAGGGGTTGCGCTGGATCGATAGCATCATTTTGCTTTAATATATACCATAGTGAAAGTCCTCGTTTTTATGGTCAAAATCGCGATCATTTGATTTTCGATGAAAACCATCAGGGGGTACCTCATGCTTTTGGGTCGATTTTTGGCCATGTTTTTTGGGTCCTCCAAAAGTTGAGTAAAGGTGTCAGAAAGTTCATGCTAGTCAAAAACATTTGTTTGGTGCTATTCCGAGGGTCTAAAACGGCTTCTAACACGAGAAATGCTGGCTCAAATGCACTCAAATGTTGCTGTGCTTTGCATAGTTTTGAGTAGTGCGAGGTTATGTAAGTATGCTATCTGCCCATATATGAATTGTCTCATTGATACAATTGTGGAGCATCCAAGGAAAGCCAGATCTACAGTTTTGGGGACTTTTCAAGTAATAATGATCGGATGAAAGGTGCGGCATGCAGCTTTCATCAGAATTCCATACCGTGCACTTGTCTCAAATGATCAAATACCCTCATATTACTTTAGACTTCATATTTAAAATGATGGGAACATGCTGGATATCTTGACGTTCAACACAACAATGCCTCCCTGTACGTAATTGAAATATTGGTAAGATCAACTATCAGCTATATACATTACACATCTTTCTACAAGTCGAAAATCAAAGGTGATGGCATACAATCATATTTTCTCACGTTCCCGCTTGGTGGATTAAGAGTACAATTGGTAGCGCTTGATCTCCCTCTGTATCAACTTTTCATTACGAGTGAATAATATATTTCGTGTAATAACAGCTCACGTTGTGATTCGAGCAAATCCATGAAATGCCCAAACGGCAGATCCAGGAACTAATTTTACAATTAATTCTCCTAATTGAGTATATTGAATAAGAAAAAGGCATTCATAAACGTGATTTTCCATCCCACTACAAGAGATTGTACCACATGGAAAAGATCAATTAAAGTTAACCATCTAATTAGTGTTCTTTTTTATATTTTAAACTTTTTTTTTTTTTTTTTTTTTTTTCTTTTCTGTTGCTCTTGCTTATTGTTCACAAGGAGCAAGATGAGTTTATCGCAGACAACTCGTACCCATGGAAACATATTTCATCAACGAAGACCTTCCTTGACAACATCTTGTCCGCCACCGGACAAACGAAAGAGCTTTGATTTGAATAAAAGAAGGGGCAGCAGTCAATTTGCGCTCAAGACAACAAACAAAAGATCATGGGCCACCAAGGTCTTTGACATGCCTGTGATTCAGCTGGTAGGATGGACCTATGTGCTCATCTGTTTTTGCCTGTCGACCATCCATCTTGTGAGGTCGTTCGCATTGCTGGATCCTACTCATTCTGGTAAGATGACAGAAATTGATCACACAAACGCATTCTCACCTATTCTCTCAAACAGCAAAAGGACCTCAAGTGGATTGGGATAAACTACTCATGGAAAAACAGCAAGCGACACCGTGGTCTCAATTGGACGACATATTACCAGAAACCCGTCTATCGAAAATGTTTAGCAAATCCATTGTGAATAACGGATTCATTCGTCCTTATTGGTTTACTGCATCCATACGACCTCCAAAAGAGACGTTGACTCTAGCCACGGTTGTGGAATTGCGAGACTTGGAACATTTGATCCACCTAGCAGAGATGTATGAAGGTATCTATTTTACTGCAAATCACAGCACGATTTGCGACAAAGAAGCTCATTTTTCATGCAGGTCCGATTTCAGCTACATTGCTCGTTCCATCGACCGAAAACATCAATCATGAGCTATCAATTCAACAACTGACAAACATTCGCAACGAATACGAAACTACAATTGCATTGAAACGCCATGTGGACATCCATCTTGTGCTTCAACCTGGTGGTCTTTTAGAAAGTGGGCAAGTGATTGCCACAGGAGGATACCAAGAAGCCCGTAATTTAGCGCGTCTGTTTAGTCGCACAAATTATGTCGCACTTGTACCTGTGGCAACATTGTGGATGACCGACATTGCTCAATCATTCAAAAGCCATTTCCATTTACTACAAGCAGGTGATTTGTTAGTGATTCCTACCTTTGGATTTCCGAATTATGAGGGAGTGGATACCAGATCATGGCCGATTGATAAGCAGTCGGTGATTGAGTGGGTCGAAGGTGGCGACATGGGCTTGTTGGACTATAATTACGAGCTAAACAATGGCCCTACGTCTTATTCGACCTGGAGAGATGCCAAGGAGCCATATCTAGTGCCTAATTACGACTACAATTATAGCCCCATTTATATTTCGACAAAGCTGAACCATCCTTGGTAAGTTGGCTGCAACGCAATGAGCCGAGCATGTACACTGACAACTGTGCATAGGTGTGAAGAGCGATTTGAAGATCATCTGGCCTCCTGCGTTTACAATGCTTATTTAGCTGGTGCTAATTTATGGGTCAGCCATACTGATTTCGCAGTGAGAACGGGGCAGGAACCAGCAGATACGTTGTACACACCACAGGTAAGACGCTGGTATGAAATGCAAATCAGGGCCTGCGACTAACCTTGGTACGCAGCAACGCAAAATTCAAAACAAGATTGCTCGCAAATATCGCATTGAACAATGTGTATTTTATGCTCGACAGTTTGACCAATCTGGCACATTTAGCTCGGAAAGAGCAGAGCATGTCAAGCAAGAGTGCTCCAAGGCACTATTGAGCTTGCAAAAGGAAAAGATGATATCTGATATTGTTGCAGCTGAGCAGCCAGAGTATTGAGTTGTATAAAGAATTGTGTAAATAAAACTTGCTCTCATGTACATACCACATACACCTAAAAATGACTCAACGCATCAGACCCATTCAAACCAACTGCGCTTATCGCATTGCATTGTTGTCTTTATTATGGGCCAACATCTTTCAAAACCTAAATCTGTATCCAATGAAATGCAATCATCTTTTTGTCTTGCCCATTACACATTCTGACTTTTATGTTTTTCCTTTTACAATACAGGCTCAGTGGATGGAAAAAATTTCTTTTTAGTGTGTATAGGTGGAGATGTATATTTAACCCCACCTGAGGAGACATTTGCTTTATATTTTTTTCTCTCTTCTTCTTGCTCTTAAATTATAAAATTATGGCATCAGCAGCAAGCTCAGCAGCATCAAAAGGTGCTCTTCGTAAATTCATTGATTCCCCAGCTGGCCCCAAGACCATTCATTTTTGGGCTCCTGCCATGAAATGGGTAAGTTTGCAACATGTCCATGAGGGGCATGCCTCGCGTGTTACTGTTCCCTAGTTGCTAACGTAAGGGATCATAGGCCTTGGTTATTGCTGGTATTGGAGACATGCAACGTCCTGCTGAGAAGTTGAGTCTGACTCAAAACATGTGTAAGTGATTTGTCGTCATGTAGAGGTGTTTGGAGACATGCTAACAGTGGATGTTAGCCTTGATGTTGACTGGTCTTATCTGGTCTCGTTATTCTATGGTTATTATTCCCAAAAACTACTCTTTGTTGGCTGTCAATGTCTTTGTATTTGGTACCAGTTCCATCCAAGTGGGCCGTATTTTGAAGTAAGTTGAGCTTTCGTGTTAAAAAAAAAAAAAAAAAGGGGGAGACATTGCGTTAGTGGACTGTATACTCATCCCATGTTAATTTCAAGGTGGCGTCAATCTGATGAATACAAGCAACAACAAAAGGAATTGGAGCAAAAGCAAGCATAAGCACGATACACTATAAAACACTTAAATTGTATAATAATAAAATGTGGTATATAAACATACGAAAAGCCCGACTTTTCCCCACTCATTACCGTCGTGTAGCACTAGACATGTAATGGCCAAGATAAGTGAAATCAGCAGTGGATGTATGTATATGCGGATGAGGAGCATGGCAGTCGCTTTACGAGCAAAGCGCTTAGTTGATGGACATACGCAATATTCAAGGAACCGAATATTCCAACTGACACCTCTTGCTGCATTACTCGACTAGTTTCATGACACTAATTGGTCGCCCAATCAAGGCCAAAACCCCGGATTTTCTATTTTACCATTCCACCCCCCCCCCCCCTCCCCAGGTTTCTTTATCAAACAGGCTGATAGTACTACCAGTGTTGGACTTTTAAGACATGCCTCTTTTGGGCTAGATGGTGAATTCCTCCAAAGCGAATCTAAATGTCAATATTGAGCATAATGAGTTGCGTCTATTATATGTGCATAAACTAAAGCATTTGCCGTCATACAATCGATAACAGTAAATCAGTGATTTTATTTACATGGATACAAAGAACTACCAAGGAATCTGATCGTCATCATCGTCGCTATCCTCTTTGACTACACGCTGATGTATATTTTCATATACAGATTCATAAGGATACTCTACTTCGTTATCACCGTCAGGAGAATACACCTCTGACAGTTGTTGTTGTTGTTGTTGTTGTTGTTGTTGTTGTTGTTGTTGTTGTTGTTGTTGTTGTTGTTGCTGATGCTGTTTAGAATGTGATCTCTTGATCTCGTCATGATCGTCATCAGCATCCTCATCACCTTCTACTCGAATGACATCTATTCCCCTCTTGAGATCATCAATGTTATCCTCCTCGTCATCATCAAACTGAATAAGCGAGCTGCTGTCTAATGTTTGTAGTGGAGGCTGCTGCTGTTGCTGAGGTGTATGGCCATGCATGGAGGGTTCAGGGCTTGGACCACTACCCATATTGATCAAATACGCATCCTCGAATGAAAGAGAGGAATTTCTGTCCAGGAAAGACTTGTTCGTCATTGAGGGAGAGGGAGATGCATTCATGGCAGCATTTGCACTGGAGGAGAGCCACTTGAGATTGGTAGCAGGGCTGTTTCCCATAGAGTTGCTAGATGGAGAGAAGGAGGTCTGCATTGCCTTTGATATGTTGTCTACAAAGAATATAAGCATGATTATTTCTCAATACAACATCCTCTGCACGTTACCTTCCAACTCTGCCAAGGCATCTTCCATATTCTCTTCAACACTGTCATTCGCGATACGCGTCGTCGTCTTTCTAACACGATCTATGCGACTAGACACAGGTTCTGGCATGCCCTTCAACATGATCAAGGTATCTGTTTTGGGTATAATGCCTGCATTCAATACACGTTGCAAGTCCTTTGTATTTTGGTATGTCTGGAAGCTGAATTGATGATGCGTCCACAAAGCTGGCTCGTCGTTGGTATAGGTGGTGATCTCTGCATAGGACAACCAAAGCTTCTTTTTGCGTGTATCCACAGCAAACGTCTGCTTCTGGCTCTGGTTGTTGACCTTGTTCTTCTTCTTTTTGCTGCCTTGTGCGTCGTTGCTAACATCCTCTGGTACGACAGGCGATGAAGATAAAGAAGAATCCACAGATAGTTTTACTTGATCCCAATCCGCATTTCTAGCCACTCGCCACTCTGCCACATCTTCTTCCTTGAGCGACAAATCTAGCTTCTCTAGTGTACATCCATTCTCTCGTTTCTTGACAATTGTCTTGGCTACCCAGCAACGGTGCAGTGTCAAGACACCGTCCGGATGGAATGAATACATGTCTTGATAGCCAACCTCGTCATTAATCATCTTTGTTGAGTCATCGTATTCCTCATCAAATCCAAACATCAGCGTGTCATTGCTGCTGTTGTTCTTGTCCCATTTCTTGGATTGCTGACTCGCACTGGCAGGCATGTATGGTAGATGGCTCATGCTGGATCCGAAAGAGCTCAACATGTTGGTCGCCTGTTGTTTGATGGTCCCCAACGGATTTGCATTGGGGGAATCAGAATTCGAAGATAAGGAGTTGTGAGACGACTGATTGCTCTTATACACACTGTTGTTGACAAGGTAAGGTGATTTCGAAGCAGTGACAAACATGGCGATAATCTTGGCTCGAGGCTCCTTGCTGATGTTGCGATGTATAATAGCAGGTGGGGGAGGCATCATGGAGGGTATGTACTGAGGAGGCGTAGGACCATAGTAGCCATGAGAGTAACCACTGGGATTTTGTCCTTGTTGGCCAGCAAATGTTCCCAGGTCATCTTGAGAAGAGCTTAAGCTGTTGCCTGGCATCTTTCTTCTCTGCTTGATGCGAACCACTGAACTGAGTGTCGTTGCTTTAGGCTTTGATTTACTGCTGTTGGCCATGAATGGATGATAGACAGGGTTGTTTACCTTTCCGTGCACATGTCCAGATATCTCAGGTTTGCCACCGTAAGGATTGATAGCATAGACATGCGTAGTCCCTCTTGCAGTCGTAATGGCACACCATGTAGAGTCCACTGAGAACTGGCAGTCGACAACCTGAGCATCGGTAATGCCTCTGGATAGACTGTACAAATGAGAGGCATTGCCGTGCGCCGTGTTGGTCAGGATGCTAAAAATGTGGAATGTGTGGCCCTGCTTGGAGGCAGACATGAGCAGTGTGCCTGCTTGGTTAAAGGTCAGGCAAGACACTGGGTGGGTGTGCGGTCTAAAATGTGCAATGATGGACAGAGATAGATTTCTGGTAGGTGTCTTGGGCAGCTTTAAAATGTCTCTGATCATGATCTATATCCACGTTGGTAAGTATAACTGCGGCCCAATGCAGATCATGCAAACTTACCATGCCAGATGGCACCATCTTTTTAGCTGAATTCGACGAGCTGCTTGAGTTGATGTATAGATTGTCTTTGGGTGAGCTGTTCTGAAAACTGGTTCTTCGATTGGACGGACTCGACGCATCGTATATCTCTTGTGGTGCTGGTGGAGGTGGTCCCTGAGACTGAGGTGGAGGCTGATTGCCAAAGTAGTTTTGCAGTGTATTGAAACCAAATTCGCCCAGTGTCTTCATACCACTCACGACTTCTTTGGCAATGTCTTTAGCAGCACCTTTTACATCTTTATCGCCTTGCAACACACTGTAACTAATGCTCTTATTCGTTAAGGAGGTCATGACTGGATCTGAATTCAATACCGCAGTATTTGTGGCATAAGCGATGAATCGAGAGCCTAATGTGAATATAGGACCTTGATTGGGGGCATGGTATATATCAGTCAACGGTGTAGCGAAAGGTGTGTAATCTGCAGCTGACAGAATTCGAAGCGACGAACGATGACGAGATAAACAACCCTACCAATGCATGTTAAAGACATGATGATGCTATGATACGATAGTGATACTTTACGAGTACAATGACCTTGTGGTTACTTTTTATGCATGTGACTACCACTGTATCATCATTCTCTTCCTCACCAAAATCATTGATTTCCTTGATGATAGATTGTGATTGTAGCGAATAGATAATGAGACGTGAGGATGCCATGGTGGAGGTTGTCGACGTGGATGAATTTGAGCTCATTCTGTTGTGTGTTTGTTCATTACTGCTATGTTGCTGTAAACTGGATGTAGTTGCAGTTGTTGTAGTTTCAGATCTATCAAGGTCATAAAAGGGGATTTCAGGTTAATTATAAGGGGTGTGAATATTTTTCTCTTAGCAGTGCAATTTACATGATGGCTAATACAGGCTCTTGCTGGCCTTGTACTATATGAATGAATGATACTACGCCAAATGTATCTTTATCTCTGATGGAAACAAGCTCATGCACATTGTCTGGATTCGTAATGTCCCACAGCTGAAATCCATCATGATACCCCAACAGCAGACATGACATGGTCTTATCTCGATACTCTAGTTTCTCAAAAGATGCAAATGTGATGGTGTCTGCATCATCCATGTCATCTAAAACATCGTCCATGATGGCAGGCTGCTGTTGAGCCTGTTGTTGCTGCTGGGCCTGCTGCTGAGCCTGCTGTTGCTGAGCCTGGTATTGTTGATAGTGTGGATCAAATGGAGATGGCATGCTTGCTGATTTTCGCTTGGACAGATTGGATGCAACGTAAGATGATATCCTCGATATACCTGAGGATATACTCTCGAATGAAGTAGGATCCCTAGAGATCTTTTGGGTTAGTATCACACCACACCAATGTAGCCAACACACACCTTAAGAACTTGGGCTCTGCTCGGACGCCGTTATACATGTTGGATGCCATTCTACAAGGACAGATAAGCAACGTTACGAACGGTGATTTTTCACTGTAAAAAAAGTTACCGATCAAGTAATGTAATGAGTGAAAGTTGTATGGATACGAGTTGAAATAAACCAAGTACTTGATTTTTGTGTATAGAGTGTGGAAAAGTGTAAAAGATAGATAGATGTAGAAAAAGTAAAAGAAAAGAAACAGAAGAAAAAGGGAGGAAAAGGGCAAAGCAATTTTCCATTTGCATTAATATCCTCGATGTGTGGTTCACCCAATCACATGGACTTGTCACGGTTATGCTTCAGCTGTCCAATCAGCATGGTTGGATACATTCAATTCATCTGGCTTTGGGGATGCTCTCTCTCTGTGTGTGTGCACACATGGCGCAGAAAATCAAGGTACCATCCAGTTACTCAGTGTTGGAGTTTTGCTATTCTGTATACCATTTCAAAATGGCTCTTTGCAATGATAGCCAAAACGTGTGGCTCAGTCTTCCAACATACGAGAGATTAGCATCGGCTTTAGCACTTTGATCGCAAATTTTGATGTAAACACTGGAGAGAAGCCAGCATATCCAAAAAGTGTCTAGCATGATTCGCCAGCAGCTTTTATTATCAACAAGCGCATCATGGCATGTCTGCCCTATGACCAGCTATGATGCAGCGATACGACAGTGCCACTCAACCCTAATATTTCCGGCTGAATATTTGGATATAACAGCATGCTCTGACTCTAGACGAATGCGTACACTATCTTTACGCCTTTGTATCATAACAAAAAGCGCTTACTGGTAAGCAAATGTAAGAAACACAGCCAACTTTGACAGCCTTCAAGCCTTCATATCTCGACATGCAGACCTTTCTGAGCCACCGGAATGACTCTAAACGATTGTACTCGAGTAGGAGTAACTTCCTGGCACCTTTGCTCAACTTTTTGGGGACCCAAAAAAAAAAAAAAAAAAAAAAAAAAAAAAAGCCAAACTTCGACCAAAAAGCATGAGGTACCCCTCATGGATTTCATCGAAAATCAAACGATCGCGATTTTCTTCTTGAAAACGAAGACTTTTTACTATGGTATACGAGCCTTTCAGCACTTGGGGTGGTTTCCTGACCTACGCTTCGCTTCGGTGGAAACCAACCTACGTTCAAACGGCTCGTTACTATGGTATATATTAACTCAGACTGTTTCTCTTGATCCAAGGCAACTCCTGAAACTTTGTTTAAACGATCTTTATAGGTAAAATCTCGACATTTTCGCCATATACGTCATTTCATATTTTTAAGCATTGCTCGATAAGTTTATTCACAATACCTCTTTTATTTAGCACCATTGGAAACGCCGTGAAAAGTATTCCAAGAATGTATTAGGAAGTACGGGTTGATTATCACAGCTTGTATAGTCAAATCTAACAAAATAGATTAAGAAGTCGAAAAAGACAGGATTTGGCCAATCTTGAGGAAAAAGAATGCTGAGCTTGAATCAATTTAGGCTCTGCTGCCTGCTGACCAAAATGCCTTTCTGATGATGGCAATGATGATTGGGATGCTGATTAAAAGGGGACCATAAAGTCGAAAGAACTATCGCTTTGCTTGAATATGATTTTTTTTTGGCTTTTCCTAGAAATGTTCATATCTGACAATGCCATGAAAAGCAGGTAGGGAAGCGGGTCGATCTCAGCATATAACGCTAGTCTCCTTTCTTTTACAAATCATTATCTAATTATTTTTTGCGCCATCAGCCGCAAATTCATACTTAAACTTAAAGATATTGCATGGACAATGCAACCCTCATTCGATATTCTATCCATCAGTGAGAATTGACTTAGATGCTGCTACGTCAAAATCTAATCTCCATCTGCTTAATCAACTAAATTTACGCCGCTTAAACCATTCGGCTTAATCTCATCCATTGTCATGCTTTAAAAGCGTGAGTATACATTTTTTGTCATCAGATTAGCCAATCAAGGTATTACCCAAATGGTATAAAAAGCCCGCATTAGCCTCTCTCCCCACGTTTTAGAGCTATTCCCCTTTTTTTCCTCTTAATATACAAATTTTCCCCCAATGTCTGCGGTAACTCAACAGCAACAACAACAGCCAAAGATAGTGCCCAAAAGCAAGGCAAAAGAAACCGCTGTAGGATTTGTGATTGGTGGTTTAGCAGCATGTGGTGCTGTAACATTTACGAACCCCTGGGAGGTGAGTTGTGATGAGTAAGACCGATCTCAGGACGAGAATGGACGTCTAAACGAGGAGGATAGGTAGTGAAAACTCGTCTTCAATTGCAAGGTGAATTGGTTCGAGCAGGTGCCCTTTCTGAAGCAGCTCGCCCTTATCATAACAGTTTTCAAGCACTTAAAGTTGTTTTACAACATGAAGGCATTCGAGGAGCACAGAGGGGTCTTAGTGTCGCCTATTTTTATCAAATCTGTTTGAACGGTAGTCGATTGGGTCTCTACGAGCCAGTGCAAACCAACATCATCAAGGCTTTGAACTTGAAATCAGAAGGTAGTATTTTGGCATCAGGCATCTTTTCTGGCGCTTTTGCTGGTGTTGTCGGTGCTGTGCTTGGCTCTCCCCTTTATTTGATCAAGACTCGCAGACAATCCTTCTCTCCTGTTTTCAAGAACATTGGGCACCAGCATGAAATGGGATCTGCATTGAGTGCATTGGGACAAATTTATCGTACAGAGGGTATTCGAGGTCTCTATCGTGGTGCAGATGCTGCCATGGTAAGAGCAGGTGTTGGATCAGCTGTTCAAATGCCCACTTATATGATCGGTAAAGATATCTTGCTCAAGAAGTTTGGATTTCCTGATGATTTCAGCACTCATTTCGCTACTTCCATGTTTACCGGTGTGTTGGTTTGTTTGGCAATGAATCCATTTGATGTCATCTCGACCCGTATGTACAATCAAGGTGTGGATCCTGTTACAGGTAAAGGTGTCTTGTACAAGAGTCCCGTGGATTGTTTCGTCAAGATGGTCAAGATTGAAGGCGTGCGTGGTCTCTATAAGGGATTTTTGGCTCATTATCTGCGCATTGGGTAAATGTTTATTCTGGCTGATATTTTGTGTAGCAACATTTCTAATTTCTTGTGTTTTATTGTGTAGACCCCATACTACCCTCATGTTTGTGTTTATGGAACAATTGAAAAAGATTTACAACAAGGAGTTTGCCTAGAAAACGTCCTTGTATAGTGTATCATAGTATAGAAATCAATAGAAATATACCACTACCACCGTGTTTTCAATAAAGTAGTATTTTAGACTTTTTTTGTTGTGTTGTACACTGTTTGTGGCAGAATGATGTTGCTGCACTGACCTTGATCAGGCACCTTTTTTTTTTTTTTTTTTTTTTTTTTTTTCGTCACTGCTATAAATTTCACATTTTGCGTTTCGCAGGTCTCAATCTTGGCAAAGCACTATACAATCTACTGGTGATATTCTCATTCAAAGCCAAACATGTTGAGTAGTCTAAATTTAGTTTTTTTTTTTATTATTGAATAAGTTACAAGATAAAGATATATATATTAATAGACTTCGAGAATGTAAGACTCCTTTTCCTTCCATTCTTCAATAAGAGCAGAAGCTTCGGCAGCAGTGACACCACTGTACTTGGTGAGGCCATGGACAACAGCATCCTTGACATCAGGAACAGGCCAGGTAGGACCACAGAGATAGAAATGACCCTTTTGGTTCATCAAGTACTCGTTCAACATTTCAGCATCTTCCATCATTTTGTGTTGAATATAGATCTTTTCCTTTTGATCACGGGAGAAAGCAAGACCCATATGAGAGAGAACACCATCCGCATGATAAGCTTCCAACTCTTCACCGTACAAGTACTCCATGGAGCGATGACGAGAACCAAAGTAGAGGACAACAGGACCCACCTTCTTGCCAGCAGCCTTTGCCAAATAACGTTCTTGAATGAAGGCACGGAAAGGAGCCATACCAGTACCAAGACCAGCCATGATGACAGGTTGAGAGTCAAGAGGAGGCAACTTCATTACAGAGGGCTTGATAGATACAGTGACATTGTCACCCACCTTCAAGTTGGTCAAGTAGCGCGTACATTGACCGTAACGCTTCTTGCCAGTGGAGGTCTCCCAGTCAACAGCAACAATCAACAAGTGGACAGCATTGTTAAACATCTTTTGAGACGAGGCAATAGAGTAGTGACGAGGCTTGATAGGAGCGATGATTTGAGCAAGAGCTTCAACAGAGGGCTTGGCAGAGGTGAATTCACGCAAGAGGTCTTCGTAGGTAGTAGTCTCATCCACACGCTTCTTGAAATCTTCCTTGCCCTCAGGGGAGATCAAGAACAACAAGTGTTCCTTTTCCTTGGGATCAGTAGCATAAGCAGCAAGCGCCTCATAGAACTTCTTGGAAGGGCGGCCAAAGATATCCAAAGTTTGGCTGAACAATTGGAATACAGTGCGGACCTCTTCAGTACCCTTGTCATCGTGCTTGACAGAAACAATGTCATTGCCGTTCAAGCCATACCAGGTCAAGAAGTCCTGCACATCAGCGTAATCATTGTGGCCATGGACACCAAGAGCATCACCTAGCTCGTACTTGAGGTTGGAATCCGTGGTATCAAACTCAATGTGGAAGACATTACGGTCATAGGCATCAGGAGTTAAACGACGGTTCTCACCCACCTTGATCACATAGGTGTTTTCGTGCAAATCAGGACGGATAGCAGTTTCAGTCTTGTAAGCCTCGTTGAACATCAATTGCCAGGCAGCCTTATGCCACTTGCCAGACTCAGCACCAACACCTTCTTCACCCTCCACAGTAGAAGCATTAGACAAAACGTCGTCCTCTTCCTCAGCACCCACCAGACGATCCAAAGGCAACACAGGCAAGACAGCATCACTCAATTCCAAGATGGTCCAGGGAGGCAGCAACTCCACAGCGGTCAATTCACTGGTAACAGCAGTGACAATATCTGTTGTCAAACCAGCCAAGCTGCGCTTGTTCTCTTCCTCACCCGTTTGCTCAATCTCCTGATACAGTTCACACAGACGATCAGCAATAGAAGCTACCTTTTGGCCCAAAATCAAAAAGACGGCCTCCCACACAAGATGAGTTGACTTGATGTTCAAACCGAGTTCTTGAGCAATACGAGCAGCATCAATGGTGTAGAGTTGAGCATTGATTTCAGTCAAACCAAACTTGAATTCGTTCGACAAGACACCTTCAATTTCATCACCGTGCTTCCAGGGACCGTGGAGGACGACAGTGGCATTCTTGGCAGCATGGGCAAGGGTGTTGTATTCACGAATGACGCCGACGTTGTGGATAGCAATGTATTGGTGAGGAGCAGTGGCAGTGGATCCATAGGTGAGATGGGTGCGAGAAACAGCACCACCCACACGGTAAGCATCACGGGTGACACGGGCAGTAACAAGCACATTGGGGTGAACAGCCTTGACGAGATGAGCATCATGGATAGCAGCAGTAGCAGTGCCGTCTTGTTCGACATCCCAAAAGATGGCACTCCAAGCAGCATCGCTCTTTTCGAGGGCCAGTGTCTCATCAGAGACAGCGACAGTGAAGGGCTCGGCAGCAAGGTTGATAAAAGCCTCATGTTCAGCCTCCTTGGCAAGAGAGGGAATATGAGTAGCATGGATATGGCTGAAGTCAGTAGCTTGAGCGCTGACCAAACGAGGGCGTTGATCACGAGCAATAGGACCGAAACGAATTGAAGCAGCAATGTCCAAGTAGAGAGGACCATTGAAAGCATAAAGACCAGCACCTTCTTCCAATACAACCACACGACGAGTGGATTTGGGCAAAGCAGCAATGAAATCAGCCTCGGACCAAGGACGGAAAGTACGCACAGTCAAGAGACCGACACTAGCATTCAAGTAAGAAGCAGCACGAGACACAGCTTGATCCACAGAAGCGGTAGAAGCACTCAAGGTGACCAAGACAGTCTCAGCATCAGCAGCACCAGTGTATTCAAAGGGCTTGTAGTTGAATTGAGCAAGGACCTTTTTAGCCACCTGATAAGACTCGGTATAAGATGTGTTGACAGTAGTAGCAGTAGAGATGGTGGAAGCACTCAAGTTGGCCAATTGAGCATAGGAGGTGAGGTTGACCTTTTCAATGACCTTGGAAGCAGTAACACCATTGAAGAAATGAACCACAGGCAAACCTACAGAGCGAGCAAGCAAATGAGCAACAATAGCAATATCATGGGCTTCCTGAGCATTGGAAGAAGACAACAAAATGGCACCGGTGTTGCGAGCTGCAAGGACAGCGTCGACATTAGCAGAGGCAACCAAGTCTTGATCGATGGATTGGGCAGCTACATGGAAAACAACAGGTTGACGATCCACAGCCAAGGCATGCAAGTTGGGGATCATGGAGAGCAAGGCTTGAGAAGAAGCCAAGACGGACAGGTGCTTGTTCTGTGAGTCAGCAAGGGCACCTTGAACAGCTTGAAGAGCACCAGCACGGGTCTCCATCTCGACAACCTTGACCAATTCACCATTAGCATTGCGGACAGAGGCAGCAGCCCAGGAAGGTAATTCTTGGCCGAGATAACCGGAGGCAAAACCGGGATAGACAAACACAATGTCAGAGAGACCGTAGGTAACATAGTCCACAGCATGATTGGCATCGACAAGACGCACTTGCGAGTCATTGGAAGAAGGAGCCAAAAGATAGTCAATGGCATGCTTGACTCTGGATTGCAAGAGAATAGAGGCATCTTCATCTACAATGGTGGTTTGACTTCCAGTAGTAGAAGCAGCATCAATCTCCTTTTTCAGTTCGGCTGTCACTGCTTGGATGAGTTCAGGGGAAATGTCAAGCTTAGTGTTGATATCTCTAGTAGTGTGAATGGTATCATTGAGGGGAAATGCCTTGCTCTTGACAAGCGATGCAACCAAAGCAGCTGAAGCAAACATATTTTTTTTTTATGTAGCGTTGGGTGTAAAGAAGAAGAAGAGGAGAAAAAGATGATGATCGAGATTTTTTTTATATGATCTTTCGCTGGAGCAATGGCAACACAAATTGGGCACGCCATATTCCAGCAAGCAAGAGAAACTATCCATTCACAGTAAACAGAAATTGCGCAATTCTTTCTCCGTCATTGCTCATAATTCAAGGTTTTTGAGCGCTTTGTAAGATGTTTTGGATTGATTGGTTTAGAATATTCTCCACATTTTCATCATGGTTGCAAATCTTGGTTTTGGATTTGTGTGGTATAATTTTGCTCTGATCATCTTCAAAGGATTTGGCGGTATCTTTTGGTCGAATGCAGAGAGTGTCACTATGGGGTCTATCCATCTCAATACAATGGAGGTCTTGTTTGGATCAGTGATCGCATGCTGACTATGGCGCCATTTCGATGTGTTGATGGCTTACTTTTATCTGATCTGTATTGTACGGTCTCTTTCGTGCCATATCGCACAGATTATTTATTCATTGAATGGTGGATCAATCCAACATTTTATTACACAAAAAAAAAAAAAAAAAAAACTGTAACAGCGGCCTTGTTACATATACCCAACATCCGCCATCTACACAACCAGCTGCTTGCTGTTGTATTGCTTGACTGTGAGATGGTTGCCATCGTTACGTAGTGGCTCTTCCTCGTCATGCTTGATCTTGATTTTTTGTGCGGTGAGCCTATATAGCCAGATAGATACAAATATCATTACAAACAAAGATACACCCACGCTGATCCTAGTGTATCGATGCACTTTTGGTGGTAATTGAGGATTATTCAGGCTTGCCATTTGAGAGCCTAGCCATACAGCCCACATGAGCTTGAAAGAACCCAAGCATGATGCCGCACTGTAGACATTGAAGCTGATGCAGTCGTTCGTAGAGAGTATTACACTTGTCAAATGCCATGGTAGACCCAAACGGATCAACAGTATCATTTTAAAGCCTCCCTCATTCATAGCTGCAGAGACAGCCGAGTATTTCTTTTTTGAATTGAGCCATCGATCTAGCCGTAGTTTTCTAAACATGAGGAATGTCAAGATGGCACCAAAATTTGCACCCAGTATGACTGGAACGAAACCAAAGGGACAACCATAGGTATAGCCGCACATAGTAATAGCCACCGTAAGTCCCATCAATGGTGGTACACACGATAAACAAACAATGGCTGTCATGATGAATTCGCTGTACTGTGTTGCCCTCATTTGAATGGCCAAATGCTCAATGCCTATGTATTTGCTAGATTAGCTTTTGCAGTTTGGCAGAACGTTGTTGCTCACCTTGTAGTAATTCAGGTTTATAAATCTCGTAGACGTACAGAAGCAATGCCAATTTGAAAATCACAATAATGCCAATGCATATTGTCTTTTTATTCATTTTAGATTTGAAAGTATATAAGATAAAGAAAAAGAACACGACCTAGTTTTCTTGCACATGCTAAATAAATGATTGCCACTACATCATACACAGCCTGTTATGCATGCAGAGATAAGGCTTCTTCTTGTTGACCTAGCAAATGCGCTTGCTCCTGCTCCTCCTCGCTTTGCTTGACTCTTTGCTTTGTCAACTTATATATAGAGAAAGTAGCAATTGTCGACACCACAAAGCCTATGATTGTGATGATGCGATTCATGGTCAATGCTTCAGGGGACGTATCTGGTCGAGACAGGTTGGCTAATTGTGATCCAAACCATACATCGGCATTGATTTTGAATGACGAAATGAAGGCAGCTAGTGCATACATCCTAAAGCTCACATTGTCACATAATGCTAGCACAAGGTTCGTGATTTGCCATGGCAGAGGCGAAAGGCGCAGCATCAACACCATCTTGAAGCCGCCTTGTTCAATAGCTCTGGACAGTGCTTCAAATTTGAGCTTGGCTCTGTCGGAGACTTTAAGCCAAGGCACCAAACGCAGTTTCTGTACAAGTCCGTACGCAAGCAATGCACCAAAAAATGCACCTGTAGTAGCAGGCACACCACCTTCAGGGCCATACGCATACCCTGCCATGTACACTGCTAGTATGAATGCAGAGAGAGGAGGCACTGGTATTGAGAATACGCAAATAAACAGCGCTAGCGTAGGTTGGCTGTAAGCGTTTGATTGCATGGCAAGAGCTAGCTGATCTATAGCTGTTGAGTGTTAGCAGAGCCTGATATCTGGTTGACTCTCTCACGAATCATACCAAAGATGATGTCTGATTTGCTGAATGGCTGTATTACTACAAGCGATATAAGGACGGATGCAGCCACAGCAATGTAAAGCCATCTCCTTTGAACTACCATATGAAATAAAAATAAAAAAGAGAAGCGCAACAGCCTTGTCTTAACCGCCAGATCAAAACTGATGGATAGAGTTACGGCATTAAATCATGTGTATTCAAAAATACAAATGATTTGATTCTATTTAATTTGAGGTATGTACAGTTTGTTACTAATAAACTAATTGGGGTTTGTCTTTTTCCATTGGGTGTTCATAGCCATAGCAGAGGTAATGATACTATGCTTAGTATTAATCACTGCATCTCTACACTCGTGTACAACTTACCCAGCAATACCAATTTGGCCTTCGTTCAAATTAAGCCATTTCAAACCTCCAATGGGGATACAGATGTCAACAACATCTTGACACAATTGATAGGTGGCAGCTTGCTCCTCCCTACATCTTTCATCAAAACTAGCTCGTTACGCTTCTCTGCAGAGATGCATACTTACTTGATCAACTTGTTTTCCTCCACCTTGGCGTCTGCGTTGGCTGCTGCTTTCTCAGACTTGAGGGCCTCAGCACGAACACGAAGTTGCTTCAATTGATACAGACCAGAGATAATGGAAGCAGACAGTGATACGAACCAGCACTTTAAGCCAAAATCGCTTACCTTCTTGGCGTCACTCAGCTTGTAGAAATTGATGGTATCCAACTATAATACCAACTTGAGTCATCAGTTTTCCATGTAACTAATAACGGTGCTTACCAAACTAAAAGCTTCCGATGTAAAGTAAAAGAAATTACTGGCGAACTTGACAAATTGAGTAGCTCTAAGCACAGGATCTGCCAGAGCAAGACTCTTGACGCTGGATTGAGCAAGCTCGACAGGTTTCAATAGACGAAAGAATTTACGTCCAATAGCTAAATGGCTCTTCAAATTGACCCAACGTTGAATGGTTTCTTTGGAGGCACCTTGCTTTAGCAAATAAAAGGCATAGAAACGAGCAAAGTATTGAACGAGTCGGCACAGCTTTTCTCTGCCGTTGGTGACATTGAGGTATTTGTTGAATGCTGTGATGTGTGCTTCAGTAATGGCCATGGCTGTTTATATCAATGAAAAAAAGAAAGGAGCATGATTTTATAGAGGCTATAATCAGCTTTTTATATACAAGATTGAGTTTTGATCTGTGTTCTGATTAACACCTTGTTTAAGCGAATGATGGAGCAGTCTAAAAATCGGTGCACTTGGAGCATCTCATCTGTTTGTTTCACAATCATCGTCGCCATCAGAGGCGTCTGAGAGACTAAGATGCTATAGCATTTTCATCGAAGATTATGTTGATAATAGATTCCATTATTGCTTAGTGTTATCATTATCCATAAAACGACTATAGTAGTATTTGTGCTACTTAAAACGCACTAATTATCCTAAATTCTTCCCCGGCAATGGCCGTATTTTGTATCATGAAAATCAGATGAACATGGTGGATTACGTCCTGGATGAAGTTCAATGAATGTAAATGTAGATTGTTGATGTATTCAGAAAAGAACATGCCCCTCAGTTATTTACAGTAATCTGCCCTGCTTTTCACATGCGTTTCATTCAGTGATTGCAACAGTCATGAAATAAAACATCGAAATTTGACATTTGTAATTTGACATGTGAAGATTTATGTTTGCGTGAATAGCACCTTATTCTTGCAACAAGCGAAACGAGCGAATATGCGTTTAATACTGAGCTACACAAGAGACATTCATCGCGCTTAAAAGATTGCTAATAATATTTAGGTCAGGAGGATGAATGCAGTGCCTATTGAAAATTGAACATAAAATCATTGATTTGCTGTGGTACATCATATTGCTTTTTTGCTGTGATAATCAGTCGATTACACAGTTTCAGAGTTAGGACATGACAAGATTCAGTCTCCATAAGATATAGAGCTTCTAAATCAATAAACATAAACTGCTTTCATTTGCATACCATACCAACACAGCATCTTACTGAGTGGCGATAATATGTCAACACAGCAGAATTTGGCGAGATCAACGATGGTGTACTGAGATTTTACATTGGAAGGGTTATTGTTGAGAAATAGGTGATTTTCAAAATAAGCTAACATTGCACCATGACCTTCATATGAGAACCTGTTAATTATAAGCGATTACCGGTGCTAGATAAACGGATGTTATGTTGGGCATTGTTCTATTCAAACCCGTTTGTTGGCAGCTTGCTCCTTCATTGCGGTTTGGCAGAGGGTTTACGCTTTATTGCGTATTTAACCTAGAACGGGGAGCAGCTTTATCACGCCCTATGTTGATGCTAAAGAAGACTTCATATCAGGAAGATTACATGCCCATTTTGAGGAGTTGTTACACACATAAAAGGATTTTCAGTCGCTATATTGGTTGTCAAATAACTAAACTGGAAAAGTGCAAGGCAAAGCGGTATAAAACGGTTAGTGCTTCGACATTATAGCTATACAACTGCCAACTCAACCGGGCTGCTTTTCTATCAATCAAATCTTGACCTCCTGTTGTATTTGCTCTACAGGGTTAGACCTCGTTTGGATATTTACTACTGCAATGCTTTCGTTCAAAAATCGGGGTTACAGCTCCCAAATCTGGAGTTTACTATGGCAAAGATAGCCTTTATTCAATAACAACAGCACGGAAGCGTCCAGATACGGTGCTCAAGTCTGTACAATAAATCCAGGGTGTGAATTGGCTAACGTTGACACAGCAGAAAGGTTATTATGCGCCATTACTGTAGCAAAAATAACTTTTGAGCGATTGATTTTGGATAATGATTTGCCTTTCCGGCAGTGTAGTTTCGTGAATAATCCACTTAGACCCGATTTCTGACAATTTGCTGATGTCAACTCTTTTATTACAGGATTTCTAGGTATCATGAATCTCTATTTAGTCCATTTTGATGCATGATTTTGTTGTTTGTTTCCCATATTGTGCTGACGCTAACTCAGCGTGTCTGGTATCAGCCATTTTCCTTAATAATTATGAGTGTCCAGTATAGTGGATAGACTCTAAGTTTAGCTTTACGGCTAGTAGATATGGCATCTCTGTTGTGGACGACCATCAAAAGTATCCTGCTGACCTGATGATCATCTCGTTCAATCTAAGCAAGTTGTCTGATCCAAACTTACACAATATCATAGGCGCAAATAACTATAATTGCCGATCGCGCATTTCAGGAAGAAAATTCCACGCTTTAGAATCAGAGTAAAGGCTCTTATCACTTAGGATTTGAGTTTCGTAAATGCAGAGCTTCTGAGTCATCAGACAGATTGCGATTTACTTACTCGCTTGGCAACACAACCTCCTGCGCCTTATTTTTAGGTCAAATTCTGTTCAAATCTAGCCATTTGCAAGCACAAATAACTCAAGCCACAGAGCACTTTGGGCGCCTGGAATAGCACCAAACGGTTCCTCTTGATTGCGCTTTACTTACTGATGCCTAATTTCAATTTTTTTGGGTCATTGCAAATCCATGAAAATCCTCATATTTTCGTGAGTACTAGCAAGGGAAAATTCTTGAAAATCAAACAATCGCGTTTTTCACCTCAAAAATGAAGACTTTTTCTATGATACATATGAGATCAAATTGATTGTGGAGATGGAATGCAACATTGGAAGCTACTTTTATTAAACTTTTATATGTTAAATTTTGACATATTTGCAAAAAATTCATTTTCACATCTTTGAAGATTGCTTATTATTTTTATTCTGAAATCTCAATAAAGCCAACGTCATTCGATACGTCTTAATTGACTCTCCATAGATGCATTAGAATGTAAAGATTGACAACGACAATTTCTATAGTCGAGTTTGACAAAAACGTTTAGAAAATGTAAAATCAAGCCAAGTTGGAACAGGAAAATGCTCACTGCACAGATCCATATTCAAGTGCCGCAAACTCGACTGCCTCGGCAGAAGGCTGAGGTCAAATCTACTGACAGTGACGTCGGATAAGGCGCCGCCCTCCTTTTTTTCTCCCTTTCCCCCGTTTGCAAAACGCGTTTATTATTGTTGTGCCAGAAGGGCTACAACTGTCTATAAAGATTAAGGTATTCTTGATGGGTAGATATGTCTGTGTTGTGCAACAACATGGACAAGCTATGATAAGTGAAGTGCATCTCAGCTATCTAAATACTGAGGTTCACCAGATGTGATAAGCGTTGTACAAGATAAATTGCTACTTTGGCATTCAGAACTTAGTATAAATAGAATAACTCTTGTCTTCATCAATAAATCTTTAGTTTTTGTGTCTGATCTTATTCAAATAAGTCTTTGTTTTTATAATATTGAACATTTTTTATAAGCTACAAATAATAATCCTTTTATTCTTTGTGCTTAACAATTATCAAACCATATTATTTTTTTATGAAAGCGTTTCGATTGAATATTGCACTTTTACTTCTGATACCACTGTCGTGTGCTGTTAGAAGAGCTTGGCATTACCTCCCTGAAGTGTAATATAGTAGGTATTATTTGATTATGTTCACTGGAAGAAGGTGTAGAACTAACACTAAAAGTATTTATTTATAAAGCGTTGATATTTCTTTTGCCTGTTGTTTGACGTGGATGTTGCTGTCATTGCTTCCCTGCTATCTATGCTGTCTGCCTATTTGGCTTATTGTGTCTGGTAGCTGCTTCTTTTGTCTCTATCTTTAGCAGTTGCTTCTGTAGTATTCGTCTGGTCTCTGGTGTCGCTCGTTCTTCGGCTTCCTACTATGATGCTGTTGTTACTTCTGGTGTTCCTGCTGATGGTGTTGCTGCTGCTGACGTTGCTGCTGCTAATCTGGTCTTCTCTGGTCTACTCTATTTGGTGCATGCTTGTTCTCTGGTCTGTCTCCGGTGATTGCCTATACTTTTCTGGTCTAGCTGTGGCTGTGGTAAGTGGTAAGTATCTTCTTTCTTCTGGTCGCAATGATATAAAACTTGTTTGAACGCTTATATTATTGCTTCCTTTTTCGTGATAATGCATTCATCATGTTTGCCTTGTTGCGCTTTTTTCTCCTTTTTTTTTCTTTTGTTGGTAGTGTTTCCTCTGTAGCTTTACATGAAACAACATTAGTCATTATGTTGTATTGCAAACTTATAATACCATTATTGTTTTTGCAATTGTGCGTATTTGTGCCATGTTGCTTTACATCCGACTATTACCATGCACGTTTCTGATGTATGCATTTTTGTTGTTGCAACAACAACGAGCTGTTCTGAACATCTTTAATGTTGTATTTGTCATTTTACTTTTCTTTTGACTCACATTTTTGTGCGAGTGTTCCTTTTCTGCTTACATACTCTATTCCTATAGTAGTGTGTTCTTTTCTTCTTTTATTATTATTATTATGTTTCTTTGAAGCATACCTTTTTTACGTTGAGTGGATGTGCCTATCCCTGAAGCTCAACAAGACTTTATCCGAGGCTAGGAGGTAGATAGGCTGCCTCCACTTGGTTATCGCTACTTACTTTAGTGATGATTGAGGGTCTCAATGCCTGAATTTAAAGCTAGGTGGTGTAAGTAAGGCATGCTCTAGCACCTGAGGGAAATTTGATGATAGTAACAGCTATATTGCTATATATAGCTGAGCTTAAAATTTTGCCTCACAACAAAACAGGGGGAAACCCTCGCAAATTTTTTTTTAGGACAGCGGAGTTTTCAAGCGATTTGATTGGTTCAGGGATTGAAGCATCGAACGGTTATAACTAGTTGATCTCCAATTGATACCCCATTGATCTGTCGCTTATTATAGTTACTTGTTTGTAATAAAATGGCATCATTATCCTAATAATCAAAATTCAAATTATTCTTTATTCAATAAGATGAAAGTTACAGTTGTTAGATTTGGTATACTTTGCAAATGTTAATGCCAGGAATGTATTCTAAAGTTAGTATGTGATGCAGTAAAAAGGGAGTAAAAGAAGTAGACAAAATACTGTTAAAATTCAAATTTGCAAAATATTGGTGGTATCTGTTTAGGATATAGATCATCTCTGAGAGGCAAATGTATTAGGCGTTGTATATTACATAAGAGGATCTGAGAATGAGCTGAGATGCATAGTAGAAGTGAGAGGTCTTTATTCAAGCAACACGAAGGAACATGGGTGGTGCCATCAAATAGCTAATCTATATCCTGGTTCCTGGAGAGTGGTAGTCTATGGCCTTTCGTCCCTGGAAGTGGGTTTCAATTCCGACAAATGTTCTTCCGTCAAAGCTATTAGGAAGAACATTCTATCCTGGATCATCTTTGTTGTTTATCCTTGACTGGTGGTTCATGAGCTCTTATGTAGCACATTCTCATTAACTGGTTCAAGGCTTATTATACAATTATCCCGCATTCAAGATCAAGGTCCTATTGCTGTGGCACTGTCAAATAACTATAAATACCTTTGAAATCTACACTAGTTTTGATTCTTATTCAATCTTGGAGTAGCTTAATAAATATATCCAGTTCTAATTGTATTTACTCTGTCTATATTTCGTTATTCTAAATATTGAGGTTTTCGACTTTTGGACGATCGAAAACCGATTTTCTAAGTATTGATGCTAGAGCCTTGAGACTAGCATGTTCCTATACCAGTTTTCTGTCCTCTACACGATGGCGCAAATCAAATTTGCGTAGGTTACATAGTTGTTGAGAAAACGGAGTATTTAGAAAATATTTAGTTCTGAATATGTGGAGTTTGAGGCTTTTGTAACTGTAAATGCACGGAAAAAAAGAATACCAAACAATTGGGTTAATCGAATAAAGATATATTATTGAACTGAACTGTTATGTCAAAATACAATGTAAAATTGAATCTGCCAAAGAATTACACTTTTATTGCGAATGCATCCCAAGGATGCATTTATATACTTTTTCATTATTCTAGGGTTTACAGCATGATGACAAACTATAATACAAATAGGTTTACTATCTACCCAACAATTGATTTGTAAATTATGATTAGCATGATTTAACCAAAGGACCTAAGAATAGCCTAAAGCCTTTAGTGTGAGACCTTGCTATAACATTTGATATAACATGAACATATACAGGGGCGCTGGTGACGGCAAAAAATCATCAACTTAAATTATATAAAACCAATTTTTCAAATTTTCATGAAAAGTATCATGGCCGAGTGGTCTAAGGCGTCTGACTTAAGATCAGATCCGTGTAAACGGGCGTGGGTTCAAACCCCACTGATACTACTATTTTTTTTTTTTTTTGTGCAATTGGTAAATGATTTGAAATGGTCTTCAGTTATTGTTGATCCTTTTTTTTGTTTTTTTTTAGTGAAGTCGAAACGATGAAAGGCGAAGGGTTTAGATGTAGCAGCTTTTCAGATTTTCTCTTTGAATTTTTTTTACGACGGAAATGTCAGAAAAAAAGCCTCAATGAGTGCCTTTTTACATGGATTTATATAGTCTCATATGTGAGGACATACATTGCAAATTTAGGGATGATGATACGCCTTTACTGGTAGGGCGAAGAACAAAAAATTGCCAGATAAGAAAAAGAGGCGCCTAGTTGGCATTGGCATTGAGCATTTGGCACATGGTGGAGATTAGAGTTGATACATCACCAAGCCTTCAACATACAAATGGATGAGATTGCGGGTAATACTTATCGACGCTCATCACTTCAAAGCAAGGAAAAATGAATATGTACAAGTGCTATTTTGGCCAAATTGCGTTGTTCTGGCTTTAATAAAGCAACGGCGAGGAGGTATCTGACAAATGTCATGCATGATTGACAACTGCCGTAGAAAGAATCAGCTTTGAAATAAAATGTAACGTCGCAAGTGCTGTGTACAATACACCAAAACATCACCATGGCCCATATCATCTACCACTGTAATGCGCATTTAAACTAACCAAACCTCCGTATCTATCATACATTTATATGGATTGTCGATACTTGACTGCCATGACAAACAATGACCCACAAAAAAAACCACCAGATGGTCAAGTTCGACAAGACAAAATCAAGTCAAATGCCCATCTCCTGGACGAAACAGGTATCTTTCACAGGACTACTGCTGTTGCATTGAAGAGAGCATTGTCATTACCAAAATGGAATACAATAAGCATCAACAATGTGACTCTTTAAATGAGATACTTTGCACAACAAATGGTAGTCTACTACTGCTGCTTACAAAATCATTAAACATCGCCCCCTTTTTTTTTCCTCAAAAAAAAAGCTTCTTTCATTTCAACACAAGTTTTTTGTTATTGGCAAGTTTAGCTTTTATTTGAATCACTCCATGGATTCAAAATGGTAATAAGAAAAGCGGAAAGGGATTTGTTAAAGATGCAATGTACTAAACACTTCCAATTGATAATTTTTCAGGTCTACAAATTCGACTGCAAAAGGTCCTCGTAACTACAGAGTTACCTATGACCCTGAATTGGATACGCAAGGGCTAAAGAAAAGCTCTCAAACCACCTATGAATATCAACCCTCAGATCTAGTAAGTGCAGCGTATCAGTGGTACTGATGTAAATGACAATTAACACAAACTACTAGACTTCCTTGACAATTGCTCCTCGAGATCCTCGACAGGACAAATTGTTTTACGAAAGAAACTTTCTGAAAGGTCGATACCATTACAGGAAACAGTTCCACGTCGTTGAATACAAGGTAATGTTAAATTGTCTAATACGCGCGTCCAATTCTACGATTGTGATATACTTAGTCTTGTTTTTTTTCTTTCTTTTTTTTTTTCTGATAGTTTGATAAAAATTCATATGGACCCAAACCAGCTACCAAAGTGTTGGTGTCTCGACTCTCACCATTAATGACAGAAACACAAATTATGACATATTTCTCAGTGTACGGTCAAGTCAAGTCAGTCGATATCGAAAAAAATCCAACAACAGGTGGTTCATTTGGCATTGCTCATGTTTCCTTTGCCAGTGATGGAATCACAGACGGTCATGCCTCGGCGTGTCTTGCTGTTGAAAAGGGAAACGGACGAAAAATGGGAGTTGCAGAATCTGTCAAAGTGTGCTTTGATCCTACAGGTAAGTGTACAGGCAATGGCTGGCTATATTTGGTTTTTCTGATCTGAATGCACACAGGCGAGAAATTGAGGCTAGCCATAGAGGATTTCAACCGACCTGTTCCTTCACCCAAATTAGAACCAGTGCGATCCACATTGACAACAGCAGCAACAACATCAACGGCAGCAGCACCAAATTCACCGTTACACAGGAGCAGCAGCAGCAGATATGACAGTTACCATGGCCACCACCATGATCGCCGGTATCCGGACGACCTTGACAGCGATTGGGACAGATATGATTCTAGACAGTACTCTCGGCCCAGAGATGATTATCATCGCAGCAGTAGTAGATATTATGACGATTACCGATATAGAGATGAGAGGCCATCATCCCGATATGGAGGCAGTGGATATTCTCGATATTCATCACCGAGACGCTTAGATTCCCCAGAACATCATTCAAGACACCGATCTCGATGGGACAGCCCAGGCATGGATTCACCAGACTCAAGATATAGAAGTAGGAGTAGGAGCCGAAGTTTGGATAGACGAGACAGCTATTATCGATATGATGATGATTATTATGGCAGAGGGGAAAGTCGTCGTCGATCCGAATATTGGGATGAGCATTACAGCAGAAAGCCAGCACCTGTGTCATCATCACAGTCTCGTCCAATCTTGATGATTTCGAAAAACTGCTTACCTTTCATCAGAGGCGCTTTAGAGGATTTAAAAAAGATATACTACTACTACAACTGCATTGATGTGAGTTCTGACAAGAGGATGAAATGAAAAATTACAATTGACGGCTTGCTAGATTTACCACGACGATTCGGATTGGTTGATTGTCTTTGATTCACTTACAATCGCAAAAAGGGCTTTGGATGCTACAAATGATCAGCAGCAAGTGTTGGGGCACAAGTTATTGCTTACTCTGCGAGACTCATCAGTTTCTGCTGCTGTAAAGAGTGGTAGTCAAGACCTGCCTGTTGCTGCGAGTAATGGAAGAGTAGAAACGTCAGCTGTTACAGCCAGCATCCAGCAAGCTGATATGAACACTACGAGTGCAACTAATGAGGCAAATGCAGTGATCAATCAAACAGCATCTGAGCATTCTACGGCAGAAATGACTACTACCACAACAACGACCCAGGTTGTTTCCGAGCCACCAGCACCAGCAAAGCCCTTGACAGTCGAGGAGATTTTATTCAACGAACTGGCGGATGTCTTTTTGAAGGATTTGAAGAATCGTGTTGCAGGGCCATCTATTCATGATTTCTACAAATCGGCAAAAGCGTTGAGGTTGGAGAAGGAAGCTGCTGCTGCTGCTGCTGCTGCTGCTGCGGCCGCTACTGTCAGTCTTGTTGAAAGCCCTGGAAATCAATCAAATGACGCAGACTCCAGCGAAAAAATGAATGGACATAGCAGCAATAAGACACCAACATCGCAAGCAGATCTCATTGGATCTATTCTGCCGTCCATGAAGATTGCCAAGCTACCAAAATTTAAAAAGAAGCAAAAGCCACTACCAAAGCGAGATTATGAATCATTTTTGTATGATGAGCTTGAACAAAGTACATCCTCTACACCCTTTGCAACAACACACACTCATAGCCAGAACCAAGCATCCACATCAGCGTCAACCAACGTCAAGCAAGGGTCACCCACAGCAGACACGCCTGTGTTTTCAACATCTTCAAGTTCAGAGGAGGGCGAATACCATTCAGGTCTTGAAGAGTCTGGCAGCGATACAGCAATGGGGGACGCCAAAGACGATGCATCTACAGCGGAATCATCGCCTGCCATTGACCGCAAACCCAAGAAAATGATCAAACCTCGTAGTTTGCGCGACTACATCAGCGACGAAGAGAGCGATGTGGAGCACGATTTATTTTTGAAGAGGCTTCACCAGCAAGAAGACGAGTTCAATGACACAGATACAGATGAAGATGATTTTGTGGAAAACGACTATATGCAGGAAATCAGAAAGCGTAAACGAGTTGGACAAAAGAAATCAGCACTGAAAAAGAAGAGGCAGCACAGTGAAGATGACACCAGCGATTACGATTCATCCTCCAAATTGAAACTAAAGCAAAAGACAAAACAAGTGCGAAAAAAGAAGAAGAGTGATCTGACAGCACCGCCATTACCCGATAGAATTTATGAAGTGATAGAAGAGGACCTCTCCAAGGACAGTTCTTCCGGACAAGATGAATATGAAGACGAAGAAGAAGAGGCATACGAAGCAGAGGAAGAAGAGGACGAAGACGTGATTCAAGATACCAAGATTGTGATCAATCAAGAAGAATTAGAAAAGTCCTTGTTGGCTCCTGAAGAATCGGATAGCGAGGAGCTAGCAGAGTTTAAAACCACGGATAACGATCCACCCGAATGGGACCCATTCAACCAAATCAAGGAGCCAGAAGACTACTATTTCCTCAGAGCAGCACTACTGGAAAGAGTCGGCATTCCACCCAAAGAAGTGGTCAATGAACATATCAAAGGAGGCTGTGCTCGAGCGCGCGGCGTATATACCATTCCTGATTCAATGAAAGCTACCTATCTGCCTAAAAACAAGGCCGTCATTGATGTACCAGCAGATACTGGCAGGATCTCATCTCGTGCAACCCGTGTTAATAACCGTCGTTTGGTGGTGGGCATGGAAATGCAGAAAAAGACAATCGATTCTGATATTCTCAAGTTCAACCAACTACAAAGTCGAAAGAAACAGCTGAGGTTTGCCAAATCGCCTATTCATGATTGGGGTCTATACGCTGAAGAGCATATTGATGTCAACGACATGGTGATTGAATATGTGGGCGAAGTCATTCGACAACAGGTAGCTGAAGAACGAGAAAAGCAGTATGAACGGTGTGGCATTGGAAGTAGTTATCTGTTTCGTGTGGACGACGATACGGTGATTGACGCTACAAAATGTGGTAACGTTGCTCGGTTCATCAATCATTGCTGTGCTGTGAGTGTTTTAGATCTGCGAGTAGCGATAGTCAATGCTGATTCACTCTTTCTTTTATAGCCAAATTGCAGTGCCAAAATTATTACAGTCGATAAGCAAAAGAAAATTGTTATATATGCAAATCGAGATATTGAGCCTGGAGAAGAAATTACATATGATTACAAATTTCCAATTGAAGCTGACAAGATACCCTGTTTGTGTGGTAGTAAATTTTGCAAGGGAACGTAAGTTGAAGTCGCTTTTGCAAACTGCTGAACGATGACTAAACATTTTGATTGTGTAGACTCAATTAAACTAGCCATTGTAGTAGTAATTTAAGCGTCGCAGGCCAGAATCATAAATTACAACAAAATGTAAAGAAAAAAAAAAACAAAACCTCATTAGAAATTTTATATATAATAATAACATCGCTAGCATCTCTCTCTCCCCACTAATGTACTGTAATAAAGCTAAAAATATACACCGGACGCTGTTTGGGCTACTTGTTTAAAAGGCACCATCTTAATAAAATGGACCTGAAATCGAAGGTTCTACATGAATAATTTTTATTTTGAAACAAGAGAAGAAAAAGGTTGTTGTTGTAAGTACAATAGTGAGAAAAAGTAGAGAGAGAGAGAAAAAAAAAAAGAGTGTATGTTATATTTAGTCATCCTCATCCCAATGACCATCCTTCTTGAGTGGTTTGGGTCCACCAGCAGGCTTGGACATGATGATTTGATCAACTCTGAGAACAGTTATCGCTGCGTCGGCAGCCAATTTATATGCGCTGTACTTGGAAGCGAGGGAATCAAAGATGTTTGCCTTGGCAGCATCCAAAGTACCATCGTTCTCATTCTCGACATCAATACCAACACACAAACCAGCGTCACCTTCTTGGTAATGAGCGGCATACAAACGAGACAAGACAGCGGTTGCATCCATACCAGCATTCTCGCAAAGTGTACGAGGAACTACCTCCAAGGCTTCAGCAAACTTCTTGATGGCATGTTGATTTAAACCAGGAGTCTTTGAAGCGACGATTTGAAGACGCTTGTTCAATTCCATCTCAATAGCACCTGCACCAGCCAAAAGAAGAGGGTTGCGAGTAGCAGCCTTAATGACATTGACACCATCATCGACAGCACGTTCAATATCGTCCATGTGATTCTGTGTAGCACCACGAATGACAATAGTAGTTGTGCGTGATTTCTCAGATTCTTCTTGACGGAAAACAGTGACACGATCAGAGCCAATTTCAACTGTTTCCACGATATCACATTGGCCCATTTCTTCGGCCATAGGGGTACCCAAACGAGCAAGTGCAGTAGCACCAATGACACGGCAGAGACGACGCAAATCGAACTTGGAGAGGACCTTGACAGCCATGATGTTGTATCTGTTCAAATAGTGAAGAGCGAGCTCGCCAATACCGTTGCCAGTGACGACCACCTTGACGCCTGCATCAGCTAAATCTTGGAAGATCTTTTCGACTTGCTTCTCCTCATCTTTGCTAAAGTTCAACATTTCTTGTGCGTTGTGGATCAACACGGTGCCTTTGGTTTCAGTTTGTGAAATGTCGAGAGGACAAGTGAAGACTGCAATTTTGGCATTGGTAGCATTTTGAATGAGACCCTCAGGTTCACGGCCAAACACCATACCACGGACAACACGAGATTCGTGAATACTGGAACCCATTACCTTGACTACACGGACATTATCGACGTTGAAATCTCTGGGATTCTTGGGCATAATGTTCAAAGCTGCTTCAACTACTAAATCTCCCAGAAATTCCTCATAACCGTATTGCTTTGAAGAGATAGTGGCTTTAATAGTTTTTAAGAGTTGATCACGATCGGTCAAGGATTCAATCTTATCTACCGACAGCTCTGTCAGAGGGGTTAGTATTTGACATCCAAATGCGACATGGCAGCACGTTCTTTTTTAAATTACCTTCGATAATCGACAAAGCACGATCTCTAGCCAACTCATAACCTTGCACAATCTCAGAAGGATGAAGACCCAACTTCAAGAGATCAGCAGCTTTTTGTAAGAGTTCACCAGCAAAAACGATGACCAAATTGGTGTTATCACCCAACTCGCTCTCCTGTTGCTGAGATGCCATAACCATCAACTTGGCAGCTGGATGCACAACGTCAAGTTCACGAATGATGGTAGCAGCGTCATTAGTAACGAATAGCTTTTCGAGGTGATTAATGATCATCTTGTTACGACCTGTTGTCATTAAAATCAGAAGCTCTGTATGCGTGATGCACATAATCGAAAACTTACCATTAGGGCCCATAGAGGTTCTTACAACCTCAGAGAGCTCGTGAGTAGCATCTATATTACGGAGAACAGCTTCCTCTACGCCTTGTTGAAACTGTAGGCTTGTTAGTCATACAGGCCTCCCTTCTCTCATTATATCATCTGCCTGATTTACCTTGTATCCATCTTTGAAGAGCTGAGGAAGAGTGCTTTTGGGTACACGCAAGGCCATATTGATCTAATTAAACGCGTTGAAAGAAAAACGAAAAAAAAGGGACCTATGAGACGAAAAATTTATTCCAGGAGTTTCTTTTTCCAAAACCTGTCAAGGAAGCCTTTGAACGAAAAGCTGAATAGCGAGTCCGATGTGATTCGTTTGGTGAGCGACGTCATGAAATCAGTTGCCTTGTGTGCCTGATTGATCTGAAGTATGTCATTATACACAGAACTCTTAAAGTCTCTGCATCTGTCTATGAGCCGAAAATTAGAATCCCATATAAAAAGGCAACTATTTTTTTTTTTTTTGCAAGTGAAGGAACTCTACATTCAGTATCTGCTTCAGCATGTCTCCAAGACTCATTTCTGAAAGCTATGGTCACACACGCAATAGAATCCACATCCTAGAAGCAGGCGCCATAGGATGCTACATTACTGTTACTTTGAAGTCGCATTAGCACGACATGGCACTGCTTCTCAGGACGCAATCCAGCCTGAAGGAATTCAGATGCCTGAGAAACAGTATATCTTACTCTCAGGGTGAATCAAGCTCCTCGTATTACGTCCGGTTTCCAAGCTTCTGCTGTAGATGATACTACAGATACATCGCCCGTCACCTCACTCATTGTATGTACTAAATCAACAGAGACATTACAAGCAATCACAGCCATCGCTGGCCGCATCACCTCTCACACATACTGCTGCTACAAAATGGCTATGATATAGTGAAAGAACTCATTGAACATCTATGGCGAGAAAAGGCACCTCCTACATTGTTTGTGGCAGTAAAACCGAAACAGTATTGTCCGTAAGACAGCCTTTAATATTTGCCATCATTCTGGTCAATTGGATTCTGATGCTATCAGGATTGGGCAATATCCGGTCCAGGGTCAACCTCAAGCTTACGGCTGTTTCCTCATTCAATCACTCACCAAGATTCCTGAGCTGCATGCTACCATGTTGTCTTGGCCCAAACTGCTTTCTAAATTATACAGAAAACTTATCATTAATGCCTGTGTGAATCCACTAGCTGGAGTTTGGTATGCAGCAATGGAAAAAATTGTCATGGAAAAGAACAAGCACGGCATAGCTGTAGTGAAGCTCTTGCTGCACGAGGCATATCAAGTTTTGGGCAGTGCAGTTATTGGGGGGAAACGTATGATTCACTATTGCAAATGGTTCTGGATATCCTGTACAACACAAAAGACTTTACATGCTCTACTGCCCAAGATGTCAATGCAAAGAGAGCCACAGAGATCAACTATATCAACGGATATATCTGCAAAATGGGTCTTGAAAGGAACATCAATGTTAAGGTGAATCAAACCTTGGTTGAATTAATTCATTTCAAGGAGCTTTTGTATGAATAAGCAGAGGCAATGCATTTTAGACAACTTTCCCGTAGTCCATATCTTTGACTTCCAAATGTATCGGTTTTAGCTGTTATGGTTATACTGTACATGCGGTACAATAGCATTAGTCTTTAATACCTAGTATAACAAAGTACATAGTGCCGTATTCTATACACAGAATTTCACCAGTGAGGGTAAAAAATGTAATGTGTTAAGTATCTATTAAATATTTATCACCAAGCATGTTTAATAAAGAGCATACATGGTGCCGTTATTGCACGGTTTGTTTATGTCTTCTAATGCCTCGAGATACATAGTTTTTTTGAAATCCACAACATATCTTTAATAGTATTTCAAGATCGAAATCAAGCAAACGCACAAAACAAGCTACAACTTGAGCTTTCAGTGGTCAAGTTTGCTCTATTGTACTTGACAAAGCAGCTTTTTATTATTCATAAGCGCCTTTTTTTCATTGAATACAACTCATAGCTGGGACATTTGATAATGCTATTGTTTTGAGAGTTACTATTTTGAGCCAGCTTGTAGTGCTGCTGTAATAAGGTCGATTCAGAGTTCATGGATACGAACTACAGTGATTTTTATATAGAGATGTCGATCGCGATATAGATCAGGAACGTAGATAATGCCCCTGCAATGTGTTGGTGGTCTGATTATAATATGCAGCACCATATCTGGTGGGTTTAAAATTACTTGGATGGCCTCTCTCCCGAGAGCAACCATAGACAATACTACCTATTTCCTTGTATAAATCTTTGTCAGAAGTATCCAACTTGAAACAGCAATCTAATGGAAACATAAAATTAAATGTTGTCTCTCATTGATTACTATTACGAGAAGTCAGTTGTCCTTGAGTGTTCACTTATGAGCTCGAGTGTCTTCAGGCTTCACATGGCTCTCTATCGCTGTCCTCATAGCTATTTTACGCGAATACGGCTCAAGCAGCCAATTGCATCAGTTCATCTCGCAAGCGTTCTTGACCGTGCTCTTAATGTAGTCTTTTTCAAATTTTTACTAGCAAGCGAGAACCCTCCACAATTGCAGATCTGACTCTTCTGGAGTATCCCGCTTCTACCCCAATAAAGATAAGTTATGTAGGGGCACACAATATACTTGCATCACCACTTACAGCCCAAAAGTATGCTAAACACAGCAAAATTTGGATGGATTTGAGCAGCAATTTCTCATGTTAGAAGCAATTTTAGACTGCCAGAATGGCACCAAGCAATTGCTCTCGAATAGCAGTTACTTTTTGACACCATTGCTCAATTCTTTCGAGACCGAAAAAACAACTCCAAAAATCAACCCAAAAGCATGAGGTACCCCTCATGGAGAATCACCAAAAATCAAGCAATCGCGTTTTTGACACCAAAAATAAAGGCTTTTACTATAGCATATATTAAACCAAAATGCTGCTCTCAATCCACCGCAACCCCTGAAATCATTTTTGTGCGATCTTGATTGGTAAAGTCTGAACATTTTGGCCAAAAAGCTCATTGCTTATTTTCTGAAATTGATCAATAAACTTGTTCAAAGCACTATTTTTAACTAGCACCATTGGATTCTTCTCGAAAAGTACTTCAAGACAGCTTAATAGTGTATGGAAAGATTACTACAACTTTATAGTCGAATCCAGCAAAATAAATCAATCAAGTCGAAATTGACTAAGATATGGCCAATCTTGAAAGGGTGGCAAATGGAGATTTAATCAGTTTCGGCTGCTATCAAAATTTCTAACATCCTCATTATCAAGACAGTCCATGTTTATGAAGCAGAACAAAGAGAACTGATAGTTGAAACCTGCTACGAGTTGGACTATATTCTTCTATTTGGTTTTTTAAAGGCGTTATATTTTCGTAAAAATTGGCCACTTATAAAATTGCGACTTTAAATGCGAAGCCTAATGTGAAATGCCAAAAAATGTCTCATTTAAACTGCACGCGTATGTGATTACTTTTGCTAATTGGCCTCTGCTGCATTTATAGCATTATGTATGGTAAAAAAGAAACAAAATAGACCCATTTGACTCGTAGCATCCTATTAAATTGCGATGGTCATCACCACCTTTTGATGTCAGAATCTTTCAGTACAGCAATATCATTCTCATCAAAAATTGAATTAAAGGATAGAGCAAGGTTCTAACTAAGCACTGACGAGGACAGATGGCTAGCTTGCTCGTACTGATTTTCTAGAATGCTGCCATCAACTAAGGTCCTCATTTAAATTCATGTAGGTATTACAACGATGTTTCGTCAAATATAAACAATAATTGAACATGTATATTATATCGCAAATACAATGTATCACAAAAATTCTTCAGCGTAACGGTAGGATATAGTATATAATTTTGAGCAATGGAGGGCTAGCCGTTTGCATGCACATAAAAGATATAACATTTCTGCTTTGTTCTATCTTATGAACATATATGGTGCAGAATGGTTTCGCAATTCATGCTATTGCCGTAGAAGGAAATCAGAATGTTTAACATATTCCGAATTTCATAACAAACATTTGCTTTGTGGAGCAATAAAATCGTAGAATCTAGATGCTGCTGAAAGGGGCGCTCTTCAATTTTATACTACTCACAGCTACAATATAGCAATAGTGCATGTAATGATCAATGCGTTTCTAAATTTTGCTTTGAAAGCCTCTTGGGGTTTGAAATACTATTCATATGTCATGTAATACCATATAGTTTACATAGAAATGACCACACATTGCTTTTGTCGCGCATAAATCTTAGATTACCACACTGTCTATATTTTTATAATGAAACGAGGAATCTACAATCATTGTCGAGGGCATTTTAATGAATGCATGTGTACAATGTATTTGCTATAACGTCTGAGTCAAGCCAAACGTGCGTAGTGCATATTATACTAAAGACAGTATCCTAAAAGCTTATAAAAGGGCTCCCCAATTCCTCTAAATTCATTATAGTCATCTTCAATTCATTCTTCAAATGTTCAAGCTAACTCTCCTCTCTGTTGCTGCCCTCGCTGCCTCTTTTGTCTCTGCTGAAACTGCCTACTTTGCCTTCAAAACTGTGGAACGTTCCAAAGAGTTTGTCTTCCAACTCACTGATGATGCCAAAATTGCCCAGGCTAGAAGAATCTTGAGTGGCGCAGAAACCCAATCTGTTCACGTCTCTGGAAGAATTATCAAGACCCCAGCAACGTACAATCCCTATTGGCAATTCATTTTGGACCCTGAAACCATCAGCTTCTTTGACCACTCTATTGAGATATGTGATGCCAACGTCAACTACGTTGGAGAACACTTGGACGAAGCCTGTGGCGCTTTCTTGCCCGGATGTATCTTCTGTCCCTGGACCAGTAAAATTACCAGAGAAGTCAAGAGAGAGTAAAGTGCTATACTATGCACAGCCTACACTTTTGCATAATGCGCAACATTATAATCAATTTATTTATTCAATAAAGAATGTTTCATTTGAAATCATTGTATGCAAGTGTGTTTTTTTTTTACTATCATCTTCTGCATTGCCAAGGCGACATACGTAAAGAATTACACCCTCCTACGCATCAATGGTAAGAATACTACACACCAAATTTATTTCCACGGCTATTCACGCTAAAGCGCTCTGATTAAGTCAAAGATTAATGTTTCATATTAATGACGGCTTGGGCCAGAGGCATCTCAAAGCAGAATATATGAGTACCTCTCCTATAATACGCACAGCTCTTGCACAAGACATTTTATGATACCAGCAAAGGCTATGGTGTTGTGCCAACATGGAATGCTTTTGTAGTGAATCGTAGTTTATTGAGCTTAACGGAAACAAGCTACATGGGTATCACCAAATAAATGGTATTGACATCCTGATCATGCAGAATGTAAATTAGAATACCAATGTTTACATTTTCTGTATATTAGCTTCCTCATATACAGTAGAAAGAGTACATATTGTACATGCAATGAGCTGAACAACTGACTATGCATGGTATACAACAGACTATTTCATAGGCAAAGAGAACATGAATGACCACAAGTACATGTAATACTACACAATCATGTCATTTTCTTATACTATACAGCCATCCAAGAACATCAACTCACGACAGCTGTTTGTTGGAAACAGAGAATGCCTAGCTGTGTCTTGTAGCGCACTACTTGGATGGCCTTCACTGCGGTAGATACAATCATCTCCTGAATATTTGCTAATGCAGATACTGAGCTCCAACGTGCTCGGTAAAGAGCATATAAGAGGCATATATTTTGTATAAACAGCAGCAGTGTTCTTGTCTTGCTTTCATCTATAACATGCTCAAATTAGCTATGCTCTCTGTCGCTGTTTCCTTGGTAACTGCCGAAACTGCTTACTCTGCTACCCAAACTCATAAACAAGCCAACGAGTTTATCTTTGAACTCACAGATGACGCCAAGATTGCTTATGCTAGATAGATTCTGGAGATGATGAAACTGAGCCGATTCAAATACATAGAAAGCTGGTGAAGTCTACAGCAACGTACAATCCTGATTGGAGTTTTCACATTGACCCTGATACAGCTGAATTTCTGGCTCAAGACAGGGGAGATTGCGAGTTTTCTCTTGACATGTTACAAATGGCAGTTTCGTATACAAATAGCAAGATTCCAGACAATGCAGACATGTGTCCTGTAGCTCTACTTGTTAGAGAAGACTGGCTTAATGTGCAATAAACAAAAAGCATTTCTAGAGATAACATGTCATGTTAAATCTTGGCAAATAACACTACGACATGTAAAGTCCAAGACAATAAATCACTTGTTCACATTATAAATACTTTTGCAAAATTCCTCTGAGGCAACCTCACTCTCTCACTCTCTCACTCTCTTTCTCTCTTTCTCTCTCTAGCAACCTATGGACATGTGGATCTGCTGATGACTGGCGGTGTGCCAACTGGGATCTATTCGTTGAACTTGCTTTTGCATTTTAGTCCCTTTTTCTCTTATTTTTTTTTCTCGAATCTCCTGCAAACATGGCATCAACACATCCTTATAATCAAATCATTTTGTTTGGCGTAAGTAGAGACACACATAACCAAGATGCAATACTCATCAATGCGCTACATTCACAGGATTCAATTACACAGGTAAAAACCCCAGTTGTTCAATATATTGGAGCAGTAATACAAATTCGCCATTTAGTTTAGTTTCGACCCTGAACTCAAAGGCTTTGGCGCCCTTCTAGCCAACGTAGGTATATGTCAGTAGGATGTGCTTAACGTGAGTATATAACACCCCATCTAGATCTATGTCCGTAAACTGGATGTCATCAACCGTGGATTTTCAGGCTACAACACGGACTGGGCACTACCCATCTTGCGCCAATTACTGCCTACACACAAGGAGCAGCAAGATCAAGCATGCTCCATCCCTCTGATGACCATCTTTTTCGGTGCCAATGATGCTGCACTACCCGGCTCACCTCAGCATGTGCCCTTGAATCGTTTCAAGCAAAACACCAAGGAAATGATTGGTCTCGTCAAGAACCCGCAATCCAGATATTACAATCCCAAGCTAAGACTGATCCTGATCACGCCACCTCCCATCAACGAAGCGCAGTGGGGCAAAAAGTGCGAACAGGATGGCGGTAGATTGAACCGAACCAACGAAGCAGCACGATCCTATGCCGAGTGCATCTGCGAAATTGGCCGCGAAACCAACACACCAGTCGCTGATATCTGGTCTCGTTTGATGGATAAGGTGCACCAGGAGCAACGCAATTTATCCGACTTTTTGCTGGACGGATTGCATTTGAACGCGAATGGATACAGAGAGTTATACGATGTGTTGTTGCAAATTATTAGTGAAAAGTACAACGAGATCCATCCTGATAATTTGGGCTATGAGTTGGCATATTGGAAAGACCTCTTGACGCAGGATCCTATTGATCTTCAATTCCCTCTATTGAAAAATAGACTGACATCAGACGAATAGGCTAGGCAATATGTGTGTGAGAGAGAGAAGAGCACTTTTTTTCAAACAAACAATAGCCATGTCAATAAACTAAACACTGGTTCTAAATGATATTCTGTCATCCTTCTTTACGTCTTTCATCATGGCACCTCAACCTCGTGTGCAAGTCAATCATCGTGAATGGGTTGTGCCCGCCTCTCCCACACCGTCTCAGAAAAAGACAACAGCGCTATCAGATTGGGATACGGTCATGTATAAATCATACACACCTCTACTGCTATTTTATACAAACAACGAAAGAGATCCTGATTTCATGAACACAAAGACACTCAAATCCTCATTATCAGCTGTATTGGAGGACTTTTATCCACTGGCAGGCAGACTAGTCGACATCGGAAATGGCAGAGACGAAATCGACAATTGCGATGCTGGTGTCCTGTTTCAAGAAGCAGAATACCAAGGTGAATTGGAACAGTTCAAGGAAAATGGCTATCTGCCCAACCAAATGGACTACCATCGCATGTTTCCTATCCACTTTTACTGCTCGCCAGAGGATCCCTTGCTTGCTGTACAGGTCACTCGCTTCATGGACGGTGGTGTTGCTCTGGGTATCATGATCTTGCACAAAATTGCAGACACTTACTCTGCCTGTTTATTTCTGGACGCATGGGCTAAAACGGCCAGAGGATCCGAATACGCGCGCGCCTTGTTTGAAAGGGATCTGATTGAGCCTCCCTATGATGCCATGATTACAGATGAAGCCATTGCCCACTACCGTGAAGAACATCGGGTGGTTCAGCAAGACGAATCACACTTATTACGCATGGATCCCAATCAACAGAAATATGCCCGCACGTCGCCCAATGGCCCTATGCCTCTCAAAAGCATCATACTCGAATTTCACTCGGATGGACTGTATCAATGCAAAAAAGACGCGCACACACCAGACATGATCGCCAACAAGAACTGGCTGTCTACCAAAGACGCTTTGTTTGCCATGCTGATGAGAGCCATTGTGCGTTGTCGAGATGTGCCATCGGACGATACTGAAATTAAGATGATTATGTCAGTCAATGGTCGATCCAAAAAGGGTAGCAATAAGGAACTGGACTACTACTTTGGTAACTGGATGATGTAAGTGACGAGTACATGTTGGAGGCAGCATTTCAGACACTAATCTCTCTCTCTTTCTCTGTAGATCCAAAAGCATCTCGAGCACAAAAGCAAAGGTTGCAAAGTCGGGTCTCGTGGATGCAGCAGTTACATTTCGTCAAGTCATCGGGGGTGTCAAGCCATCTCTATTCCATGGCGTCAGTAAGCTATACACGCTCCATGAAGACATGTCCATCAACTACCTGTCCTATAAGCCCAACTCCAACGTCCAGTCCACCGCAAGTGATGTATCCATGCTGCCTTTTTGGAGACTCGACTTTGGATATGGATGTCCTGATCGCACAAGAGGGTACATTACTTTTGGAGGTAATGGGTGCATGGTTGTGTTTGGTCGCGGAGACGATACAAAGGGGCCCATGTATGATGTCCAGCTTCAAATGGATGCTGATTCTATGGGCAGGTTCATTGAGGATCCCGATGTTCAGAAATATGCCAAAAATATACTCTTTTAGACATTGACCGTTGAATAAATGTCTCGATATTAATAATACTACTGATTTTTGAGAGCCCTACTGTAAATGTCTAAAAAATGCAACATCTTATAATATACTGGAAAGCAAGCGTAGCGAGATTGCATCTAATTCAGCATTTAGTAATATTAGTCTTAATGGGGTTTACCGTAGCCAAGTAAAGGTGCAAAGCCATAGTGTTTAAGCAGCATATTCGGTTACTCATTTCCATTGTTAACAAGCTTACCAGCAACATATCGCATCAAAGTGTGCATGAGTCAGCTTTACCACCGAAATCAATATGTCTCCTGTTCGAATTAGAAGTTGCAGAGACTGCAGAACTGCCCTTCCAGAAGACTTCAGCTACTAAAGATGTGATTCAAGCCGTATAAATAAACGCCATAAAGCAAAGCATAACCAAATTGGACGGCTTTCAAGCCTTCATATCTTGACATGTGGACCTTTCTGAGCCACCGGAATAATGCCAAACAATTGTACTTGAGTAGTAGTACCATCCTGACACCTTTGCTCAATTTTTTGAGTCAAAAAAAAAAAAATGAGGTACCCCTTATGGTTTTCATCGAAAATCAAACGATCGTGTTTTTTACCTTGAAAATGAAGACTTTTACTATGGTATATCTTGAATCAAAATGCTTCTATCGATCCAACGTAACCCCTAAAATTATCTTTATGGGACTTTGATATGTAAAATCTCGACTTTTTGGCCAAAAACCTCTTTTCATATTTTCGTAAATTACTCAAAACATTTATATTACTTGGTACCATTGGAAGCGCCTTGAAAAGCATTCCAAGAAAGCTTAAAGAAGTATTTTTTTTTTGTAGGAGAGTCGAGCTCCATGTTTTATTTTTTGTCCTTTAAATGTCATTATGAGGGATAGAAAAGACTGAAGCTTAGAGGCATTGGATAATTGTCATATTTTATATAGTCGAATCTGCTAAAATAGTTCAATCGAGTCGAAAATCATTAAGATTTGGCCAATCTGGACACCCCTTACTAACTATCACTTCCGATTAAAAATCGAAAAAAAAAAATCAATTTTGGGCGGAATTTTCCGATTAAAAATCGAAGATGCTTTGATTATCAATCGAAATTGCATGGCCATGCCGATCCATGCCTCGATGCGCCGATCATTATTGGAACGAAGCCCCAAAGCTGCGATTGTACCTCCAGAATCACTTCATGGCCTATCAATGGCTTCATGATGTTTAGTAAATACAGACCAAAGGAAAAATTCCCAAATGTGAGAATTAACATTATGGAATAGAGCGATGTATTTTCCAACTGGAGAATTGCTCGAGTCGCTTTTGATGTCTCAAATGGTGCCAACAGCAACTGTGTTTCCCAAGTCTGCAGTGCATTTCTCCCCCCTTTGAGTCTATGATTGACAATCGCCTAAATGCGTACTCGTCGGTTTATGGCTTTGTTAAAGCAAACAATGCTAGTAACCTGAGACTCTCAAGCTATGATCCCAAAGTATGTATTTCACTTATCAGTTGAAATCATGTTCTTCTAATCGGCTTCTTGACTATATCAGTTCAAACCTCTTCCATCTTCGTTTCACGAACTGGCTGTAGTTTATCAAAGAGTTAAAAAAGACTCAATTGACAGCGTATATCGTCAACATGATGTGGAAAGAGATTGCAGCTGCTTGGCATGCAAGGTAAGAAACTGTCCTTTAGAGAGTACAACAATTAATCTGAATACAACCAGGGGGGCACCAAGAAAGGGAATCACAATGGATGGAGATTTCCAACAAAAACGATGCAGATCTAGACAGCTTGGTATTGTTGATAATGGCAATCCAAACATCTTTCTCACTTCTGAGGCTGAGAAAGCAAAGTTTGGTGACAAAGCAGATGTCGACAAATATGATCGAGCAGAGGCTGCTGCGACCGAGGATGTAAATGTTTTGTTTATATTAGGCAATTCCAATGCTCACATTTATATCATCTTAATAGTGTCTTCTGGAAAATTTAGATAGCGAGTTTCAAGCTCTCAGCAATAACCGCAGAGCTACCAGCAACCGCTTTGATGAAAATGGTAAATTATGAATTCATCTTTCATTGGACGTTATCTAACCCAAATGGGATTGTCTCCTAGGTGTCTTCAGTATAAATTGTGCTCGTCATGGAATTGTTGAAAGACTATTTGATATTTTTGAGGAAGAAGGGTAAGAGATTAGTCGACTGTGGATCTAATTGTAATTAATCTTTTTGTGGGAGAAAGTATGCTTTGGCTGGTGCAGAACATGTCATTAAGAACTTGGAAGAAGATCAGAAGCTTCTGATTATGTATGATGTAGCATGCGCATGTAGAGGAACTTTCAACGTAAGTTCCTGTGGCCTGGATTATATGTAAACTCAATATACTGATTGCAATTACTGGTCAAAAGAAAGCTTTTCCAGAGCTTGAAAGCGAGCGTGATGTGTGGTATGCGGTGAGTATTTTTCATGCGTACGCACTTAGTGCTGCTTGCCAAGCCAAAAACAACCCCAGGTATGTGGATCATGCACTAGGATTAACAGTTAAGACCTTCAGTCTTGATGATTGACATTTTCATGCTCTAAGAGCTTCTTATTCATTGCTCTAGATGGAGAAGGAGCAGGTATGTCAGGCATGATCCAAAGGCATTATTGATGATTAATGGCTTTTCAAGAAAGATTTTGGTCGTTTGCCAATCATTTCGTCGCGCAAATCATGTCGATGACCAAAGCTAACCGTAGGGCAATGACTGTTGAATTGGCTGAGGCATATTGCGATGAGAAGATGATATAATTGCGTAAGTTGACTAATATGTTTATTTAAACAGTAACACCACGTAATTTACGTAACTCATAGCAAATTTGTTCGTGAAAAAATACGACAAAGCAATGGACACTATCAGACAACTCAACATGACCAAGAGTGCCTACAACAGTTTCGAAGTACAGTGGAATAGCCACAGAACTGCGCTCGCTGTGCTCTTTTCCAACGTGAGGAACTCCCAAAGGCTACATGAAAGGGCTGAAGGAAATATCTTGCTTATGAACGATATTAAGCATGAGTATGCAGTGACAGCTGGTCAACTCATTTTCCTCAACTCAAGAGATTCGCCGTAAGATATTGCATGATATTTTTGAGCCAACAAATTAATCATTTGTTTTTGATTTAGTATTACTAGTGGCTATATAACTGGCTTGACGCGTCAGCTGGAAGCAAAACTCAATGAACTCGAGCGACTATTTCCTCAGTTAATTGTCCATGGAGGAAGGCCGACAACCTTTGGACACACCACAATGCAGCAATACTTTGATGCAATTAAAGATGAATGCCACAAAATATTGGTTAAAATCTTAAGACAACTAATTTTTTCCATTCTCATGAACGATAATGAGCTTCGTAGGCCCAATTCGACTGGTAAAGAAAAAGCAAGATACACCAAGCCGTTTAAATTGGTTTTAACCAATTTTCTTAGGAATTGATAAAGCTGCTAGGCTGCTAGTATCCATTGCCTCCTCTACAAAGAAGGCTGGACTAGTAGTAGATAGCATTAACAATTTTGTCGATAGAAACTTTGGAGGTAAGCTCTGTTGATTACCAAATTTTCTAATCAAGAGTAGGATTTCTCAATCTTTGGCTGACATATTAGGGGATCACAGTAAAAAAGTGCCCAGTGTCGCAATTGAGCTGCAAAGGCTCAGAAACAATCAAGATGCTGATTTCTTGAGACTGTCTCAAGGAATGAAAGACTGGCATACCCTTAGAAAGTGTGTCGAGGAAACATCAATTCTTGTTGTAAGTGTCAGATACCAAATCCATTCTGCAATTAATCATTTCTGGTAATATCGTAGGAAGAGGCACAGAGATACGAGCAGAACTTAATCGCTCGTATTGATGGCATCTATGAAGCTGCTCGCTAGAACCACTTGATCAAGATAGATTATCTCAAGTGGGTATGGCTGTATAAAAAAAACAAATGCCACTTGATGGAAATCTTGAAAAAGAATCCACCAAGGTACAACCCCGAGGCAGGAGATGATGATATGGTAGTCGTTTGCTTTGCTGACAGAAGTGATGTCAACCTGTTCTCGCCCAGACCACTTGCTAATGACCGCGTAGATGAAGAAGGCATTGTTGGCAGTGATAATGGTAGAGACGATGAAGTTGATGATGATGATGAAGAGAGCGATGGTGGCGAGGATGATCGTGGTCATGGTGATAGTCAAACCAATATGGCTGACAGCATAGCGTCTACACTAGCCTCAGTTATGCTCGAGCAATCTATTTAGTGGCTCTTATATCATTATTCAATTTTCAATCTTCTACTACTAAAAATTAAGTTTTATCATCATAATGACTATAGATCTAACGACAGACGTAGCATATATATAAATTACTCTCGCAAAACAGTTGACAATTTTATTTCTAAATGACATGATCTTCATCTGTGGAAATAATACTACTACGTCTTGGTGAGTTATATATGATATGTATTCCATAACCAGATAAGAAATCATAATTCCATAGGTACAAACGTCAAATCAATTCATCAGAAGAGGCAACAGCCTAGTATAAGGAACACTATTAGCACTCTTCATTCCCTTTCTCACTTGCAGTCGTTTACATACATGGTTAACCTTTCTGTGGCTCGCCATTGAAGGAAGTATTGGTTCCACTTGTCTTACAAAACAATTTCAATTGCTTTTCTTTAGATACGACCATGTGAAGCATTAATATCGACAAAAAAAAGCGTATTTTCGTTATAATGTAGTCTAAAATAATTGTATTTCTGATCCTGGAAATCACAGCGTATACTATCATTGATACTGAAGTGATAGTAATGTTTGAAAACATTTCAATGATCCAGTAACTTGGTTGTATGCATAAAATAACAGTTACCTTGATCTGACAACCAGTTCCTAGAATACTGTGATATTGTAAGCGTTGTTATACGAAGTTTAATTTTTGAGTAGGTCTTATAACAATACCTTAACATAAGCAAGCTTCCTTTAGTTCAAGTCATGTAAATGTTCTGCTTCCAAACCTTTCCAACAATAGTTATGCAGCTGCAAACAGTATATTAGTCCTTTTAAGGCCTTATGGGAGTTGAAAACCCAGAAAAAATGACGAAAATTGTAGTCAAAAGAATTGCTTTGTCTAGCAATGATAAGATCAAACAAAAAATGAATATAAGCTATTACAACAGAGCAATCATCATCATACAACATTAGGTTACAGGACAACGACTAACGTAGCTAAAAAAAAGTTTATTAGGATACAATCAAGTAAATTCTAGCTATAAATGTCAGGGTTGAAGAGTATTCTGACAGTGATTTAGATCTGTAGGATATCATTGACAGGCTAAACACAACTCATCATCAATACAGCCCATGTGTATGAAGCAGAACAGAGAGAACTGATAGTTGAAACCTGCTACGAATTGGACTATATTCTTCTATCTGATTATTTAAAAGCGTTATATTTTCGTAAAAATTGGCCACTTATAAAATTGCGACTTTGAATGCGAAGCCTAATGTGAAATGCCAAAAAATGTCTCATTTAAACTGCACGCGTATGTGATTACTTTTGCTAATTGGCCTCTGCTGCATTTATAGTATTATGTATGATAAAAACAAAACAAAATAGACCCATTTGACTCGTAGCATCCTATTAAATTGCGATGGTCATCACCACCTTTTGATGTCAGAATCTTTCAGTACAGCAATATCATTCTCATCAAAAATTGAATTACAGGATAGAGCAAGGTTCTAACTAAGCCCTGACGAGGACAGATGGCTAGCTTGCTCGTACTGATTTTCTAGAATGCTGCCATCAACTAGGGTCCTCATTTAAATTCATGTCGAATCTTTCCATCCAAAAGCCGTAGGTATTACAACGATGTTTCGTCAAATATAAACAAGAATTGAACATGTATATTATATCGCAAATACAATTTACCACAAATATTTCTTCTGCATAGCGGTAGGATATAGTATATACTTTTGAGCAATGGAGGGCTAGCCGTTTGCATGCACATGAAAATATAACATTTCTGCTTTGCTCTGTCTTATGAACATATACGGTGTAGAATATTCACACGAGACTACAAAAGATTTCCAAATTCATGCTATTGCCGCAGAGGGAAACCAGAATGTTTACTTTCAACATATCCCAAATTTCATAACAAACATTTGCTTTGTGGAGCAATAAAATCGTTGAATCTAGATGCTGCTGAAAGGGGCGCTCTTCAATTTTATACTATTTACAGCTACGAAATAACAAAAGTGTGTGTAATGATCAATGCATTTCTGAATTTTGCTTTGAAAACTTCTTAGGGTTTGAAGTAGTATCCATATGTCATGTAATGCCATATGATTTACATAATGGCCACCTAGAATGATCACACGCTGCTTTTGTCGTGCATAAATCTTAGATTACCACACTGTTTATATTTTCACGATGAAACGAGGAATTTACAATTATCGTCAAGGGCGTTTCAATGAATGCATATATGTAATGTATTCGCTATAACGTCTAGGTCAGGTCAAGCTTGCGTACGTTGGTGCATGTTGTACTAAAGACAGTATCCCAAAAGCTTATAAAAGGGCTTTCTAATTCCTTTAAATTCATTATAATTATCTTCAATTCATTCTTCAAATGTTCAAGCTAACTCTCCTCTCTGTTGCTGCCCTCGCTGCCTCTTTTGTCTCTGCTGAAACTGCCTACTTTGCCTTCCAAACCCACGAAGAGTCCCAAGAGTTTGTCTTCCAGCTCAATGACGATGCCAAAATTGCCCAGGCTAGAAGAATCTTGAGTGGCGCAGAAACCGAATCTGTTCACGTCCTTGGAAGAATTCGTAAGGTCCCAGTAGCGTACAATCCCGTTTGGCAATTCAGTTTGGACCCTGATACTATTAACTTCTTTGACCACGCAATCGAGGTGTGCGATGCTACCGTTCATTACACTGACGACCATTTGGACGAAGCCTGTGGTGCTTTCTTGCCCGGATGTATCTTCTGTCCCTGGACCAGTAAACTTACCAGAGAAGTCGAGGTATAATAAAGTACTAAACTATGTACAGCCTACACTTTTGCATAATGCGCAACATTATAATCAATTTATTTATTCAATAAAGAATGTTTCATTTGAAATCATTGTATGCAAGTGTGTTTTTTTTTACTATCATCTTCTGCATTGCCAAGGCGACATACGTAAAGAATTACACCCTCCTACGCATCAATGGTAAGAATACTACAAACCAAATTTATTTCCACGGCTATTCACGCTAAAGCGCTCTGATTAAGTCAAAGATTAATGTTTCATATTAATGACGGCTTGGGCCAGAGGCATCTCAAAGCAGAATATATGAGTACCTCTCCTATAATACGCACAGCTCTTGCACAAGACATTTTATGATACCAGCAAAGGCTATGGTGTTGTGCCAACATGGAATGCTTTTGTAGTGAACCGTAGTTTATTGAGCTTAACGGAAACAAGCTACATGTGTATCACCAAATAAATGGTATTGACATCCTGATCATGCAGAATGTAAATTAGAATACCAATGTTTACATTTCCTGTATATTAGCTTCCTCATATACAGTAGAAAGAGTACATATTGTACATGCAATGAGCTGAACAACTGACTATGCATGGTATACAACAGACTATTTCATAGGCAAAGAGAACATGAATGACAACAAGTACATGTAATACTACACAATCATGTCATTTTCTTATACTATACAGCCATCCAAGAACATCAACTCACGACAGCTGTTTGTTGGAAACAGAGAATGCCTAGCTGTGTCTTGTAGCGTACTACTTGGATGGCCTTCACTGCGGTAGATACAATCATCTCCTGAATATTTGCTAATGCAGATACTGAGCTCCAGCGTGCTCAGTAAAGAGCATATAAGAGGCATATATTTTGTATAAACAGCAGCAGTGTTCTTGTCTTGCTTTCATCTATAACATGCTCAAATTAGCTATGCTCTCTGTCGCTGTTTCCTTGGTAACTGCCGAAACTGCTTACTCTGCTACCCAAACTCATAAACAAGCCAACGAGTTTATCTTTGAACCCACAGATGACGCCAAGATTGCTTATGCTAGATAGATTCTGGAGATGGTGAAACTGAGCCGACTCAAATACATAGAAAGCTGGTGAAGTCTACAGCAACATACAATCCTGATTGGAGTTTTCATATTGACCCTGATACAACTGAATTTCTGGCTCAAGACAGGGGAGATTGCGAGTTTTCTCTTGACATGTTACAAATGGCAGTTTCGTATACAAATAGCAAGATTCCAGACAATGCAGACATGTGTCCTGTAGCTCTACTTGTTAGAGAAGACTGGCTTAATGTGCAGTAAACAAAAAGCATTTCTATAGGTAACTTGCCATGTTAAATCTTGGCAAATAACACTACGACATGTAAAGTCCAAGACAATAAATCACTTGTTCACATTATAAATACTTTTGCAAAATTCCTCTGAAGCAATCTCACTCTCTCTCACTCTCTATCAACCTATGGACATGTAGATCTGCTGATTGTAAGTGACGAGTACATGTTGGAGGCAGCACTTCAGACACTAATCTCTCTCCCTTTCTCTGTAGATCCAAAAGCATCTCGAGCACAAAAGCAAAGGTTGCAAAGTCGGGTCTCGTGGATGCAGCAGTTACATTTCGTCAAGTCATCGGGGGTATCAAACCATCTCTATTCCATGGCATCAGTAAGCTATACACGCTTCATGAAGACATGTCCATCAACTACCTGTCCTATAAGCCCAACTCCAACGTCCAGTCCACCGCAAGTGATGTATCCATGCTGCCTTTTTGGAGACTCGACTTTGGATATGGATGTCCTGATCGCACAAGAGGGTACATTACTTTTGGAGGTAATGGGTGCATGGTTGTGTTTGGTCGCGGAGACGATACAAAGGGGCCCATGTATGATGTCCAGCTTCAAATGGATGCTGATTCTATGGGCAGGTTCATTGAGGATCCCGATGTTCAGAAATATGCCAAAAATATACTCTTTTAGACATTGACCGTTGAATAAATGTCTCGATATTAATAATACTACTGATTTTTGAGAGCCCTACTGTAAATGTCTAAAAAATGCAACATCTTATAATATACTGGAAAGCAAGCGTAGCGAGATTGCATCTAATTCAGCATTTAGTAATATTAGTCTTAATGGGGTTTACCGTAGCCAAGTAAAGGTGCAAAGCCATAGTGTTTAAGCAGCATATTCGGTTACTCATTTCCATTGTTAACAAGCTTACCAGCAACATATCGCATCAAAGTGTGCATGAGTCAGCTTTACCACCGAAATCAATATGTCTCCTGTTCGAATTAGAAGTTGCAGAGACTGCAGAACTGCCCTTCCAGAAGACTTCAGCTACTAAAGATGTGATTCAAGCCGTATAAATAAACGCCATAAAGCAAAGCATAACCAAATTGGACGGCTTTCAAGCCTTCATATCTTGACATGTGGACCTTTCTGAGCCACCGGAATAATGCCAAACAATTGCATTTGAGTAGTAGTAACATCCTGACACCTTTGCTCAACTTTTTGGGCCCAAAAAAAAAAATGGCCAAAAATCGACCAAAAAGCATGAGGTACCCCTCATGATTTTCATCAAAAATCAAACGATCGCATTTTTTACCTTGATAACGAAGACTTTTACTATGGTATAACTTGAATCAAAATGTTTCTATCGATCCAAAGCAACCTCTGAAACCACTTTTATGGGGTCTTCGTATACAAAATTTTGATATTTTAGCCTAAAACCTTATTTCATATTTTCTGAATTTGCTCAATAAGTTTATTCAAAACATCTATATTACTTGGCATTATGGGAAGCGCCTTAACCAGTACTCTTAGAATGTACTAGGAAGCATCGTATGATCTTCACAATTTGTATAGTCAAATTTCACAGAATAGATTAAAGAAGTCGAAAAAAGACGCGATCTGTCCAAGCTTGAACAAAAAAAAAAGGTAAGCTGAGGTTGAATCAGTTTTGGCAGCGACATTGCTGCTGGCTGACCTAAATGCCTTTCTGTTGATGACAATGATGATTGCGATACTGATTAAATGGGGATCATAGAATTGAAAGGACAATTGCTTAGCGCAAATACTTTTTTTTGGGGGAACTTTACATTATAAAGGTGTATTTTGCAATGACAATATCTCAAAAACGTCGCTGTAGATCTTACGCAAGTCCTGTATTTACGTATGACCAGCTTTATGTCGCTATCTTATTATGATATACCAAAATGTTATAATATCTGATTTAAACTGTCCTTGGCGAGAGCCCACAGAACGACGCCGACATTGAGCGTAGCGAGATAGATCGGCTAGTGACCCTATACTCAAGTTTACTGCCTCTTTCATTTGGCAGATTACATGTATCACTCCACACCACCTGCGTCTCATTATCTAGTAACCCTTACTCTTAAAAATAGGGGGTAAGGTCCATGAAAAACAACTGTGGCAGGAGAGCTCGTGTAACACATTTTGAAACAAATATAACCCTACCTCTCCACTTTTTATTCTCGTAAATCATGAAAGAAAAGAGTGCGAATGACCAGACAAACGTGCATTGATTGATAGTATGTAGAACACCTATAAGGTGGTGAAAAGTCGCTTGTCCCAACTGATTCAATGCATACGGCTTGTACACATTTCATATGATTTTTTGGACCATATCCTCTTTTGGAAGGCTTCTGTGCAAGTGGGTCATAAGGACAATTTCAAAACATTGTATTGGCTCCATCAAATCAAGCTAAAAAGCTTGTTCTTGTTAAAGGTAAACAAAACGACATGAATTGAAGGGAGATGAGCAAGCCAAGGGTGGATTTATGGTCAAAGACAAGATAGTTCATTACAAGAAATGTACATTATTAGAAAGCGAATCATTCCAGGAATCTGATGGTGCCGTTTTCAGGGTCCAAAGTAAAGTGCACAACACGAAATTCAGCAAAACAACGCCACGGGATCCTTTTGGTTTGAGAAATCCACAGTGACAACGTATAAAAAGAAGGCCGTTTCTCAAAGTTTGAATCGTCACTCTTTCTTCTTGGTGTTTTTGGCTTGCCATAACATCTGGAGGAGGGTCTTTCGGTTGTCATCGTATGTGCGTTAACCTTCGTGTTGGTGCATGTGCACTCGGGCTGCCTAGTATTCTTGTTTATGTGTGGGTTACTTGTAACTCATCCGGGCAGCTTTTATATGTCTATCCCAAAGGTAGATTCGGGGCATATGAGGAAGGCATGACCTCTCAACCTATTCACTTTTTTTGGGAACAGTAGGCTCTCACTTTCACGTAGTTGTTCCTGTGAGTATCATTGCTGCGGTATACATGGCTTTGAGACACCAAGAAGGGTTTTTTATATCTAAAATATATATACTGGAAAACTATGAAAAAAAAATAGACAAGCCAATCATATCCTTTTAAAATCTAATAGTATTAAAAGCCAGAACAAACGAGGGCATAACCACCGGCGAAGCCGGCAATGGGGAGGGGGTTTGGGGGAGGGGGCTTAGCCCCTCCACCAAGAACATCAAGCATCACAATTTGCATAAAGTGTATGAAATATCTTTTTGTTAAAATCAAATCGAATTATCATGCCTCCTGTTCAAGCTAGAAACTGTGTAACCTGTAGAGTTGCTCTACCTGAAGATTACAATTTTCGAAAATGTGATTCATGTCGAGTAAATAGAAAAGAAATGGAAAACAAACATTCGAACGAACCTTATATATATATTTTTGTTTCAGGAACGTGCCCGAAACTACGCCAGACAGAGAGCTGCATTAAGGCCACCTAGAGCACCTAGAGCACCTGCCGCTTTCATATCAGAACTTGGAAGAATGCAACCTCATTATCTGGGAAGAATGGACGTTGTATGTGATGGTTGTGGCGCATTGCATTGGGACGCAGCAAGAACTACCGGTCAATCCAGAAGCAACAATCTCTTCTACTCTTGCTGTAAAAAAGGAAAGGCCATATTGCCCTTATTGCAAGATCCGCCTGAGCCCTTGAATAGCTTAATCAACGGAAGCCATCCACGCTCATCCCATTTCTTGAAGCATATAAGGCAATGCAATACTTTGTTTGCTTTTACTTCATTCGGTACCACTGCTACGCCAGCAGGGGCCCAGAGAGAAGGAGAGGAGGAGAGAAGAGGTGGAGTTACTCCAGTAAGTGCCCATGGTGAATTGTATCACATGCAAGCACCCTTGAATTTTGGTAATGCTCCAAAGTACAATCAACTGTACATTTACGATCCCGAGTATGCTGCTGCATGTCGATCTGCCAACCCCAGAAATCAGCATTTAGATGATTCAATCATTGAAGCATTAAGTGAAATGATTGATGACCCGGTTCGTTGTGGTAACCCATTTGTACGTATCTACAAGCATGCCCACGAAATTCTGAGTGCAGAGGAAGAACGACAAGCCCAAGATCATGTCAGCGAGGATGCGTATATTCGACTCAATCCTCAAATGAGACTGGAATTGGTTGTCGGTGAAGATAGGCGTACTCAGAACTTGCCAACTGTCAACGAGATTGCAGCTATTATCCCCAATGAATATGCTGATTCAAGTTTCAGAGACATCCTGATTACCTATCGAAATAGCACCTCCACCAGTTCCAGAGGACTCTTTAGAAGGATCAACGAGACGCATGCTGCCTACATGCCTCTCCATTACGTTTTGCTTTTTCCCAGAGGTGAATATGGGTGGCATTGGGGCCTTCGTTTGCAATTGCCTGCTTCAACTGTTGATGCCATGGATGTTGACAATGAAGAAGCGCAAGAAGAGGGACAACGTCGAGCAACAGGCAGGCTTACCCAGCGTGCCTTCTATAGATTTAGATTGCATGTCAGGAATGGTGAATCCAAAATCCTGTTCCTCTCGAGACGTCTATTCCAGCAATACCTGATCGATGCTTGGGCTGTTTGTGAACAAACCAAGTTAAACTGGATCAAGGCTAATCAAACGACTCTCCGTGCTGATGTCTACAAAGGTCTTGCTGATGCTATCAGTGCTTCTGATACAGATCTTGAAACGGTGGGTAGAACGTTTATTTTGCCAAGCAGTTTCACTGGTGGTCCCCGGTTTATGGCAGAGCTGTACCAAAACGCAATGGCTATTTCTAGATTCTTTGGTAAGCCAACGTTATTCATAACGTTTACTGCAAACCCAAACTGGAGGGAGATCCAAGATGAGTTGTTGCCTGGCCAAAGTGCTGCTGATCGCCCAGATTTGGTTGCTGAAGTATTCAACCGGAAGCACGACGCATTACTCAAAGACCTGAAGCAAAAGAAAATCTTTGGTGCTTATAAAGGGATTGTGAGAACAATCGAATACCAGAAGCGCGGCCTCCCGCATAGTCATATGCTGTTGTTCTTGGATAACCAAAATGACCGGTTTGATACGGCAGAGAGGATCGACCAGATTATTTCCACAGAAATTCCAGACGTTCATCAAGACCCTGAACTACATGCAATTGTCACCCGCAACATGATGCACGGTCCATGTGGTGGTTATAACAAGAAATCTCCCTGTATGGTGAAGGATGCTTTCGGTAACGACGTCTGCTCAAAAAAGTTCCCAAAGCCTTATCAGCCAGCAACCATAGTTCCTGATGATGGGTATCCACTCTATCGTAGAAGAATGGATGGCCGCTCTCATGTAATACGCATCAAAGATGATCAGAACGTGTACCACGACTTTCATATGACAAATGAATGGGTGGTAGCGTATAATCCATTCCTATCAAAGAGATACAACGCTCATATCAACGTGGAAGTATGCGCCAGTGTCCAGGCTATCAAATACATCAACAAGTATATATACAAAGGTTCTGATCAGACTACTCTGAAAACCACGACTACCGCGACAACAACCGCAACAGCTGGTACTGCAGCAATGTATCAGAATGATGAATGTGCCAAATATCTGAATGGCCGTTATATCAGCCCGTGTGAAGCCGTCTGGAGGTTGAAAGAGTTCCCAATGCATGAGGAAAGCC